AATTTAGTCTTACTGAGCGGTTCTACTACTCTGAAATACTTGGAGGACAGCGGATCAGATAGCAGGCTCTTTGAGCTAAATAAAGCTGGGTCTAAGTAGTCCTGGACTACGCCAGGGCTATTATTAGCGGTGGGTGTAGAGTCAGAGGTAATGTTGGCAGTACTGCCTACTCTTTTGCTATCATTATTTAGCTAAAAGACGTCCTATATAAGAGTCTTGTTACTGAAGCCGTCTAGTTAATCGCTCTTTAGGAACAGCTACTCAGGCGATATATAATCATCGAATTCCTCTGTATAGTGGTTAGTTAAGGCTATGCTGTAACTATTATTATTAAGTTCAGGATAATAGTAAGGTGACAGTAATATCAGGACTAGAGGCTGATCCTTACAAAGGCCTTTATCTTGATCGCTAGACAGATTAGGGGTATTTAACCTAATATACAGGGACTACTCAACAAAGGTTAACCCTATAGTCTTTGACCCCTAATCCGATTTCCTTCTTTTAGATCGCTTCATCTTATATAGTAGTACTAGCACTAGACTAAGCGGCAGAATTTCATACTTAGGCTTACTGATAAAAGAGCATTTAATAAATTTAGAAGCTGTTTTTGCGAGCTTTCTTCTCTGACGTAGTCTTAACTCCTCTTTAACCTCTTGACTTAGAATTAAGGCTATTTCGGTAGGATCTATATTGTCTTAAGCAGGCGTATTTGCGCCGAATCTCCTCCTTTCAGCCTTCTATAGGCTATAAATATCGCTCAGATAATAGTGAAGGGACATTACGTCTTCCTTTTTAGTGCTATAGCCATAGAATTCTGGCTAGAAGCGAATCTTTCTGACGTGCTTATTCTCTACGTGTATTATCAGAGTGCAGTTCCGGGTTTACTGCTTAAGCCTGCTAGCGGCTAGAAGGCTCTTATTTACAAGACATTAGGGGCAGAAGGCTAAACTAATTAGAGTGTGACAGTACATACATATCGCATACTATGTGGGCTTAAAGGTGTTAAGATGACTGCAGCAATGCTCCTTTTATATAGTGTTGCTATGGAACTATTTAAAGCAGAGGAAGCAGTATTCTACTTAAACCGTCTTTTCTATTATGACGGCCGCTATATATTCTTTGTGGCGGCAGGTATAAATGTGGTCAGCTTGTCTCTACTTCGCCTCTGGTAAGTTCGATTGATACACTAGGCAGGCTCCATCAACAGGCTCCTTACCAGGATGGTACATGACTTTGAAGCTTCTTGTGGTGAGCGACAGCAAGTCCTGCACACACTATAGCTTCTGCTCCCTAGTCTGAGGTTCCGTAGACTTGATTATTGTGGCCAGACAAGCACGCTCTGGCATAATGCGGAAAAGGGTCTCTGCCTGGCTGGCAGCTATTGACTAGTCCTGCGAGATCCTTTCCTGCGTTTTGATGATGCTTTTGTATCTGTGCTTAAGCTAGTCTGCTTTGCACTGTTTAAGGAGTCAGTTCTTAAGCTAATGCTAATAGATATTAAACTTTGATTCTACGTGCTGGATATCCCTCTAGAGTACACTAGCTTTCTGAAGCTCGCAGAGGCTTTGAAGCAGGCTGCATGCCTTCGAATCCTGAAGTAACTCTGCTATTCTCTCTGCTAGTAGCTCTTACAGAAGGCCTAATACTTGCTTAGTACTAATGCTTTAAAGTTTCTTGATATAGTTAGTGCGCTGCTCTCCTTTCAGGAGCGCCCCTATTTCATTAATACCAGTAATATCAGAAATATAGTATTTATTACACACGTCTAATAATGTCTAGCTAAGTAGCTTATTTTTCTCTTTAGTAGTAGTAATTTCTGGCCCTAAAATAGAATATTAGCTAGTAGTAGCAATTTATCTAGAGGAAGAAACATAGAAGGGCAAATGTAGAGCATTTGAAACTTATTATTAATAGCATTTGCTAGAGCATACTATAGGGCATAAATAGTGAGGACACTATAGTAACTTACATTCCGGCTTATCTGCTAAAAATAATATCTGAATATTAACTTATCTAACATGTGATCAGAGAGACCTCTATGTCTCGTAGCTATCTGTAAGACTAGGATATCTAATTTAGATAGATCCTTTCAGAGTTCTATTATTAGCTCGTCTTCCGGTACGCACTGCTCTTATAGCTGGGCTAAGGAGCTAATACTAAGCAGCACAGAATCCCTAAAAGCTATACGAAGAAGGAACGCTGTGTAATCAAATTTAAGGAGCAGGTATTCGTACATGGTTACCTCGCTTCTGTTGTGGCTATCAGCTTAGTGTGATATAGAAATTGCTGTGGAACAGGGACTAGAGAACGCACACATGATTCTCGGGATCCTTGTTGCCCTTAACCCAACGTTGTGTGATCTTGAGGACCAACTCTGTGGTGCCGTCTGGGAGAGGGAAGAGGTAGATATGGACGTCCTGCAGGTTCACTGTTAGCTTCAGCCACCATGTAAGTTCCGGGATACCGCTGTCCCCGATAGTGTACTCACCTTCCAAGTTAATCCCTTAAAGATGACATTCTCGGACTTGCTGTCTGCTCTCTTTACTTCCCTAGTACATTTGTGCAGAAAGGCCCCTATGCGGGCCCCTGAGTAGCTGTAAGCGTGTGTAAGGAACGTTATTTGACTCCTTATTTCTTTATATATGAAAGTAATATCAGGATCAGTCTAAAAGGACGTGATACAATTATTCAAATCCTTATTATTGAACAGGTGTTTCTCTTGCTTCTTTATAGTATAACAACCCTCCTTGATCAAGGTATCTTAGACAAACTAAAGGGGATGGTCAACCCAGACTCTTAGCTGTTTCGAAACTATGCGACAGGGCTTACTATATAGACATCTAGTCTTAGCTCATCTGGTATCTTTGTTCCTGTCATCCTTGAGAATTTGCTAAAAAATTTCTTTATAGTGTTTCTGACTGAGGTATTATTAGGTAATTCATCTAGCCGACCTTAACGAGACTTGTAGTACTATCGTGCGAAGTCTTTAATAAACACGTTGTTAGAGGGAAGACATTCTTCCTATAGACACTTTGCAGCAGACATCTCTTTATGTGACATAAATCTGTGTAAGTATTATTAGCGATCAGAAAGAGTATAGACACTAGACCTCCCTTGTAAGGAGCTATGCTAAGAAGCCTTATATAACCTACTAATCTAGTGCCTCTTGCTGATTTATTCGATATCTGCTAGAGGGTTCCGCCTCTTTCTGGACCACATGATCTTTCTTCTTGTACGCTTTAGTGACCTAGCCATTAGCTTCGGCTGCTTAGAAATAGTCTTCTGCAGTACGCTTCTGACTCATGATTTTACAAAGGAGATGACAGTAATAGCGGACGTGGAAAAGGAGGGAGGTAGACTACAAAATAAAGAGATTTAGCGTAATCAGAAGCAGACAAATAAGATAAAAGAGAGAAGAGATCAGTTGCTTATAGTGGGTGTCTTAGAAACAGTAAGAACTAAAAGGAGAGAAGATAGAAGAGGAAGAGGAAGAGGAAGAGGGAGAGGGAGAGGAAGAGGAGGACGAAAGGGGCCATCTCAAGGAAGCCTATTTTAGCTCTACAGGCTCGCTCGTTAAGAGCTTGTAACAACTTTACGACTTGGTGGACACGATCAGAGAGACATTTGAAGCAGATTGGTCAATTCAGATAAGGTGGGTGAGGTGGGTGAGGTGGGTGAGGGCGAGGTGATACTGGGTGAGCCTGGGTGAGGGGGGGGGACTTGATCTTTTTTTCTCTTGTTGAACCAAAAGGACCGTAAACTAGCTTTTGTCTGACATCTCTTCATATTTTTTGTTCTAGTGGCGTAAAACTGACCGACCTCCACTGCCGCTTCTGGTTGGCCCCCAAGTCGCTTTATATAAGCGAAATCAGGGTCCGGAGCCCGGCTCAACTTCGGCTCAGTCTCAATCAGACTGAACAACTTCCTGATGAGTTTTAGTCACACCTTCCGTTCTCTATCTTCTGCCAGCTCATACTCCCCTATTTACCCTGCCCAATCGATCATAAATCCAGAAAACGTCTTTTCAGGTTATAGTCAAGTTGATGTGCGCAAGATCTCTCCGGATAAGAGGATGCGTCTGATTTTTGGGAATACTGAGATCACTATGTCTTTTGGTCAATTGTAAACATTAGTGTGCGTGGGTGTCCAATTTTCGAGACCAAACAGCGCTGAAACGGGAACCCTCCGAGGCCTACACACGCACGCACGCACGCACAGGACGACGACGAGGCCAGGTCCATCGCCCTCGAAGCATGCTTGAAATGAGGTCCTTTCTCCTTGGGAGGAGGTACTCCCGCCGTCTTGTCATTCGATTAAATACCTTTCCTTTCTCCTGTCCCTTTTCTATTCCTCTCCGTAGATTTACCTGGCCTTACTGTAAACCTCAGAGTTCTCCTATTACAGCCAGCCTCCTCTCCTACTCACCTTTCTTACTTCTTATCTATCCTTGACCTTTTCATTTATTCTATCACCTTTTTTTTATATATAGCTAAATAGGACTTTAGCCGAACCTCTTTTTCAATCAGGCGTCCCTGTTTACTATCCAAACCTCATCCTTACCACTGTCGGGGCCTCTTTTATCTTCCTCCCATGTCTCTAAAAGAGTCGAGAGCATGGGAAGGGTCCAGCGAGAAGGGAAGGCAAAGAGGTAGAAGCCGCGGTCAGAAGGTGCGCTAAGCAAAAGCGGTACGCCGACAGTCAACTCTCCTTGTCAACGCTTGAAAGCCGACCGCTAGTCACTTTGTTGAAGGCATCTAGTGGGGTTCCTGACACTGGAAGACTTAGCTGGAGATGAGACAACAATTGAGACACGATAATAGCGGTGACGGTTAAATCGTATTCATTTCATAGGAGAGCACAAAAGCTGACCAAAATAGGATCCCTCGCGTTGCCACGGGTAATATTCTTGTCGTACTAATCATCATTTCTGGGCCTAGCGGGAGCTCCTCTCCAGCACAGGTTCGGACTGTGAAGTTATATGGGTACTGTGCAGGACCGACTCAATCGACACACCAAAACACCTCCCCATCAGTCGCCTCGCCGTTTATAGAATCAGTGTATTGAATACTGCCCTCGTTGTTCCCGCACATCTCTTTGTCGGCATTGATCGGCTTCGAAATTGCTGCTGCAGAGAAATAAACGTATTCAGAGACTGCTGCCCGATCCACCTTCTGTCCTGCTCCTTCACTGACACATGGGACACTTTTTTGGGGGGCATAGTTTACATTGCCCTTTCGTTCTGTCATGATCACAAGAGCGGCGTCAAACTCTTTAACATTCGGACTATATCTTAAGCCCGACCCAGTGGTCAAAGCCAGCTCAGCGTCCGGATCAGAAGCATCCACGACTTTCCATGGATCAGTAAACTTCCCACCAATCATGGCAGCCGTGCCATCGAATTTTCTTACTACGGTCACAACATAGCGGTTCTGTAGAATCTACAAAAGGGGAGAGAACCTGTATATGCTTGCCTTGAGCGCGCCCCAGGATCCAGCCAGAAAATTTCACATAGAGACCGAAGACCACGCCAACCACGCCATAATTGGAACCCTTACAGAGCCCAGCAAGGAATCCCAAGATAGTGGCTGCTCGACAAAGTCTTCCTGTCTGACGAACAAAGCAGTCTTCTCGGATGGCATGGCGCCAAAGGTTACCGTGATGCAGTGTTGAGAAGACTGCGCTGTGGGTGGTAATGCGCCAATTCCACAGCCCTACCTGTTTAGATCTCTGATTCCGAGTTCGAGGTCTTGAGCTCGGCCTTCAATATGCTCTCAGAGATGTGGACTCTAGAATTTGTCGTCGCATACCGCTCGAAGCACCACAGACGGTCAGACTCTGAGTTTAGGAAATGATGAATGGTCGATTGAGTGTCATTCGGGTTTGTCCTGTTGACCACTTCGCCCTGGAATTCTCAGATAGGCATTACGACGGCAGAAGACGACAAACGCTTCTGGCGAAAGGCTCCGCTCCATTTGACGTCTGAACTTACCTGGCCGCATCCATTGCAGTTATTTACCTTTGGCCTCCACCCTTCCGCTGGGTCCGTCAAGGAGACGTGGATGCTGCTCTTGTTGCCACTGAACTTGTGGCTCGTGCTAGACTCGCGCTTACTTCCTCCGCCTTTGCCTTTGCTTGGGATCCTGACTCGTTAGCTAACATGTTTAGCTCCAGGAATCGAGAATGTGCAGAAAAGAACCTTTCGACTGCCTCTATAGCTTCAGCAGTGCCTCGGGGCGCACCGGCTCCGTCTTGGCCAATGAGGGCGCGTTTGGTGGTGGCCAACTGCTGCATACCTTGGAGACGCATAGTCCGGATACCAAGTTTTAGTTCTGCTGAGACCTGACTTAGTGACTTGATTTCGCTATCCCTTTCGAGTTCTTCGATATGTCGATTCAACCGATCTAGGTTTTGTCGATATTCTTGAGCTAGCTTTTCCTCCCGCGTTAAGCTTGGAACCGGTCTCGTAGATGCTGCAGGCTGTTTTGGAGCTGGGCTGCCACTGCTTTGACCTCCCTCTTCTCCCGTTTGTCCAGTTTGCCGACTGCTTGCCGCTGTGGTCAATTTCATCCTATCGTTCTTGACGCCCTCCAGGACAGCTCTCAGTTTTTTGTGTTTCTTTTCCTCCGAAGCAGCAGAGTATATCTCGAGCCGCTCCATGGCTTGCTGATGAAATGCTTCATCATGGACAGCTTGGCTGTGGAAGTTTCGTGTCTGATTCGTACTAGCTTTCTTGCTAGCCACGAGGTCAATCAAATCACCTCGTGGGTAAGGTGGAGCCGTTGCTGTTCCTTGCTGATTGGAGACTTTGGGGGCTTTGGGAGCTTTGGGAGCTTGGGCACGATCTTCACGGCCTCTGGGTGTCGCCCTTTCTTCTGAAGAACCATCATGTCTCCTGGAAGGCCTTTCAGATGGTGGAGCACGTGTTGCTAGCTGCATAAAAGGGTCTGGACCATCAGCATACGCGGTACATTCTGACAATAGCCCTGTAGCTCGAGACCGCTGCCTTTCCGAGAGGATTGGCAATCCGAGCATCCAATTTACATCTTCCCGAAGTTGCACCCGATAATGCATTCTCCCTTCAAGATGATGTCTGAACGAGCGACCCAAATATCTAGAAGGAGTCGTAATGATCATGCCAAGCGTCAGTGCTTGTTCATGGTTCCTCATCTGAGTCATAGATATGTCGATCAGAGCTACATTTCTTGGATCGGATCGCACCGAATGGGCCAGTGCTTCAAGATAACCTGTTCTGCGACTGACACGGGTATCGATCAAGGCTCTTAGTCGTTGCGTGGCTTCGAATCTTGGTGCGACCTTTGTCTCCTCGGCTTCAATGTATTTCAAGGTCCAGATATAGATGGTACTATCTTCGTTCATTAATCGGAGGAAAGCCTCTGACTCATCCTGCGACACCGTGTTCCCGGACACTCGCTCGATAAGATCATTTATTTCTGACCCAACTCGTTAATATTTCCCAGAAAATGCATCGCGTAATCAGACATACCGGGAGCATGGCTAGGGTCCAGTCGTAGGAGTAGCAGGGAAGCTTTCAAATCGTAGATGGACATTATAAGATCCAAATAGTTAATAGAAGCTGTACCTCAAAAGTGGTGTGAAGGAAGCGCGAAGAAATGTGAATGTTCAGAGGGATAAGATAGAGAGATATCTTGACTCGGAAAAGAGTATCTATGGCCGTTCGTTGAGACACTCATTGTCTCATGTATGTTCTTGGGTTTAACGTGCGTTTCAAGAATAAACAGTATGCACGAAATACCGATCGACCAGTTTCTGCCTCGACTTATACTTGAAACACCTTCGGACTATCCTTTTCAACAGGCCACAGCTTGAGTGCAAGATAAAGCCAATGGTAGTTATAAAGAGAAGAAAAAGAGAGAGTTCAATTTGACCGAAAAAGACTATATATCCTTCTCGACACCAACAAGAACCGCATACCAGTGATATGCCTTGTTTCCTGGTCCACGCATAGAACTTTTGAAAACGGGGAAATCCCTGTTGATTGGTTAGGAATATGGACTCCGCTCCACGCATTTGATAAATTTCAGTCTCAGAAACTCCCATCACCAGAAGCTCTTCCACATCCCCTCCTCGCACAGAACCTAATATAAGCAAACCACACTATTAGTATTCCAGAAAGCAATTCGGTATACGTCGGCTGCTCGGGGGACCCTCGCTCCCAGGAGGGGGAGATCTTGTCAGGATTTCAATGCTATCTCGCTCCGACAAGGACAGCCCGAGGCCGCACGGGTGGACTCCGCGGACCGAGGTCCGGTGAAACGATCGGCGTCGCTCTTGAAATGATTTTTGATCACATATTACCTGGTACGGCCTGTAGGGCGATCTACACTGCTATAATACTTCATTTATTTCGTCAGTTTGTGCTGTGCCAAGAGCCACACCAATTGTTTCACCGGACCTCGGGCCGTGGCTGGCGGGGATACTAAGTTACTGTGCATTGCGAAACTCTTGCAGATCCTTGGCGTTTTATCGAGAATCGTCGCCGCAGCGTCGTCAAACAGAAACAGCTCTTAAGGGGCCATCTGTCGACTTGTATCATGCAAAAAACATATTAAAATGGTGCTAAGCTTCTCCTGATTATAGTGATATAGATGAATAGTTATATATATTGTAAGGATATTTGGGGTTAGGGTTACCACGGTTCATCACCTGGCGATCTTCGAAGTTGCCAAAAGATGTTTGACCATCTACGCCGGCCCAAGCCTAGGAAGGAAAACCATTCTGCCTCTTTGGGGCGTCTGAATGACCCGTTTCCCCTGGTCTTCGTGCTGACCGTAATGATGGCGAAGGCCAGCACGTCCTCTAATCAGACCGCAGGCAAAATCCAGTTCTGACATAATCCAAAGTGGAACCCTCTGCAGCGCAATTGTCAGGTAGAATAATTGGAATTCCCAAGCACTTAGAGAAGTGAAAGCTCTGAAGAATCCCACGCCAAGCGTCAATTGAGCCAAGGGGGTATGAAAGAGATCGAGTTGTAAACTCTTTCAGATGAGGGACAAAGCTGGCTAAACCAGTTATCTTATCATCCGTACCATCGCGATCGAATCGGGAGAATAGACCAATGCATTGTGGTTGAGAATAGTTGGTTTTAGGGACCTCAAAAAACTATCTTCACCATGAAATTCAGACGTGAATGCTTGATGTATCGTCTCACTGCATGGCATGGCCTCGCATAGAAAATTAACCTGCCAGGATGTTAAAACCAGACATCGTCGTGCGAACGACATTCTTGATACGTCCAGCCTCGAGTAGACCGTTTCGAGTCCCCGAGCAAGTCAAGCTTGTGAATGTCGACGCAAGCTTCCGTTTGCCCACGACTGCAGATGTCGAGCTCACCCCAGCAAGTCCATCTTCATCTGTTACCCCAGTTACCACAACGATAGTAAGGGTAGCACCTTCATAAATGCAACCAATATCTTATATTTGCTCGTGGTTTTCTTCTTGATCTGGTTGGTTAATACAATACTTGTCCTCCCGCAAACAGTGTCGGCCTAACGTCTTGACAAAAGTCACGGCGTCCTCAACAACATTGCTAAAAGTATTCTGAACAGCACTTGTTTGGCCCCATACGTAGCTGAGCGCAAGTGCTCAGCCCCGAATATCAAGGGTGTGACTGCCCGCTCCAGGCAGCCAATGACTCTCGTTGAGCTTGTATGACGATGATGATTGTGAAGTCCACAGATGTGAGTGTGAGTTTTCTGATAGCACTCGATCCATTCGCCAAGCTGATCATACCGAATGCGTTCTGAGTCCACAGACCTTCCACGCCAGTGATATGGCTCGATGATTGTCGAAGTGCAGTTTTGTGTTTCGTATGCGGACAGGCAAAAGTCTTGAGATAGAATGACTCAAGTGTATAGCTCTTTAGATCCTTCTCCTCAAGTTTTCGGACTCGACCCCAGCCGCAAAGCTGTATTTGCATGCAATGCTGACAGAGCCGGCTTGAGAGGTACTGTCGTGCAAAGCTTTTGTCTCAAATGGCTGATGACGTTCTTTGTGAGGGAATTCCCTGGCGGTCCGCGAGGAAACTGAAAAGACTTCCGGCCATGATCGTTCCTGTCTCCATTGAGTAGACGCAAGCGTGGGCTGCACAATTTGGCAATCTGCAGACCAAAAATGGATCGCCTAAAGGCAGGAGCGCCTTCACAGTAGTCCACGTGGATCGTTCACCAGTTCTATTGTATAGCGGCAACCTCATCATATCTTTCACACAGCTTCTCCATTTTCCTCCTTCACAGCCACCATCTCATAGCTTGGGCCCTCATCCCTGTTTCTTCCTCTACCCTGCCCCCCTCGAAGATGCTCATCCGTCTTCATTTCCCCTTGTCCTTCTTCTTGCGTCTGTCCTTCGGCTCCCGCCTTTGCTGTACCACCCACTCCAAAAGAAATAGGTCTCAGTTCTCTATATCGACATGCCCATACTCCTAAACTAATCATAACGCCCGCGCTCCCAGCCTGTAATAGCCACCAAAGCAGATTCGTCGGTAAACGTCGCGTATAGAGGGATGTAGTAAGAAGATGCAGAAAATGAAGCGTCAATGCGAAATCTGGAACGAGTTTTGATCGACTGATCAAAAAAAGGAGTATGATGACCCTGGTAGCCGGAAGGTGTACATCAGCACATGAATGTGCCGAGAAAAGGCCAGGTTTGGGGGAAGAGAGATGAAAGCTACGTACGCAAAGAGCGAAACCAATAACCAAACAAAGCCGAGCATCCAACCGATGGTGTTGTCTCCACGGACTGTTCTCCAGTCGAATATGAGAGCCAGATTAAACTTCTGCCCAGCAACCAATGTGGTGAATAATATGATCAGAGAAGCGATAACGTAGTATGAGAGTTGTAGAACGATTATGCTCCGGATGATCTTCAGGGGTGGCAGGTCTGAGAGGGCTCCTGATCTTGGAGGTTTGCGCCGACGTGGTGGCATGGCAGGGAGTAGGAGGATGCTGCTATCAAGGTGGAAAATTCATTGTGTTATACAGCGATGCGCCTTGTTGGTGGCACTGTTGCGAACGAGGCAAGGTGTAAGAAGTGTAAGAAGTGGAGGCAATTTGCGCAGGCAGTCAGTTTGTGAACACATGGGACTTGGAGACAACTTCTCGAAGACCGCACGCCATGACATGACCGGCCTCTAGTTAAACCGCTTTCGGAACTCGCCTCATCTGACTTATGCCTTACCGTAGTCTGTACGCTTACTACAACGGGGCATGAAATATTGTTAGTTCAGCGCTAGTACTACGGTAGGAGGCAGAAGTAGCCATAGTTCGGCGCTAGTATCTTTACCCGGAAACGGCTTGCAAACGAAATAGCTAAGCCCCAAATAGCTAAGCGGTTTTGCGATGACCAATAACTATGGGTCATCTTCTAAGAAGCTTCTAGACATCAATGTGGCGCTGTATCAGAACTAGCTGCTACTAGTGCCGAGCTATGGCTACTTCTGCCTCATACCATAGTACTCCGTATTCTTACTCGAAAACATCTTTTGTACATGATAGCTAAGCCCAGTTCAGATTAAAACGTAAAATTTTTAACCTAAATGGAATGGATGTGCTCAAGTCGAGCTTCACAATACCAAATCACAGCATTGTGATACAGTAACGTTAACTAGCCGCTACTAGCACCAGCCTAACAATACTTATGCCTCCCCCCATACGAGTAGTACTACCTACTACGGTAGGAGGCATAATGTTTCGCACCTGCGCACTAGTAACTACTTGTAACGCCAAGATAAAACGCCACAAAATCGCTCAATTAGAACTAGACTAGTTTTTTCTCAATATCGAGTATGCCGTCCTTCTCCATCTTTCACTGCCTGGCATCTCAAGGAGCTCAGTAAGATAGCTCTCAGGGACTGTATTTTAAGCTGCTAAAATCAACAAAATGCGTGTAGAATGGCTACAGTGAGCATTCGTACAGAGCAACAGGGTATCTGTATGAGCACTGTTAGTGACGTTAATTACTAGTGCGCAGGTGCGAAACATTATGCCTCCTACCGTAGTAGTTTGGAGCTTGATCCCTGCTGCACGTCTTGAGCTGCACCCTTTCTTGGGTCGTGATGATTACAGTTCCTGTGTCGGCCATCTGAGTCACCGTCTTCTCTCCGAAGTCACACTTGAACCACTTCTTCCATCAGTCCCTAGTCCAATCTACCTCCACCCTCCACCCAGCGATGGTCTGGCCCTTCTCCTCCTCCGCTCAAAATACCTCCACAAACCCCAACTCTTCCGGTCCCAAATCCCGCGACGGCGGCTTCATCGCCCCCGACCGCTCCGCGCGTGAAAAGTGCTACGAGTCGCGGGATCGATTGTTCGACTGTCTGGATCGGAACGATATCCTTGACGCGGTGAAAGAGGATGAAAAGAGTAGGCGGGTGTGTAAAGGGGAGAATGGGGTGTATGAGAGGGATTGTGCGAAGGCCTGGGTGAGTGGGTTTCTTCTTTCTTGCGCTGATACGGATGGTCTGAGAGGAGGTGTGACGAATGGATAGCACGCTCATTTTGCGTAGGCAAGGATGGGAGAAGGGGGGGTGGGGCTCGAGAATGCTGTTGAATTGAGGTACAGGCAGCTGCTTGTGAGGAAGATGCTGACAGAAACTTTTGTATAGATAAAATACTTCAAAGAAAAGCGGGTAATGGAATACAATCGAGATAGAACCATAGAGAGGATCAAAGAGGACGATGCGCGGATGGTGGCGAAGCAGAAAGCAGAGAAGAAGGGTCGAGGGTTATTTGGTTGATGTTCCTAGGGCACATCGGATGGAATATACAGTGGAAAACGGGCTGTACATAGATAAGTGGATGCATTTTCAGGAGTTTGGAGCGCACTCATGGTTCAAGACCCTGTACGGTTCCAACAACAGACGATTCAACTCAATTTCGGCCCTCACACCAATGGGTCATGACTCTACTATTCTACCTCCAGTTCAACCCTTGTCAATATATGTCTCTCTCCTCTATCCCCTACTCAAAACCCCAACCACACTCCCAACCATAACAGCAGCCTCCCTCTCCCAATTTACAACAACTCCCTTTCCTCTCTTCACACCAATCCCACCCGGCACCTCACCCCCCCTAAGCACACACTCCCTTATCGCCCCTCCCACCCTCTCGCGATTACTTCTCAACGTCCTCGCCGAAACCCCACCGCGACTTAGTATCTCTTGCACCCTCGCCGAAAGCGCCGCGGCGAGAGAGCGCCAGAAATAAGAGGGCAACGATGACGTATCCAATGACATTAGGAGCGGGACAAGAAGGTTGTTGCTTTCTTTTTCTTTGTCGTCCTTGTCATCATCTGCTTCGTCCCCGATACCTGGCGGTTCTGGTTCCGATTCTCGTGGGTTGGAGCTAGAGGAGGAGGAGGAATTTAAGAAGGGGTGGTGAGGACATTTTATCCCTGAGAGAAGCACCTCCAACGCCGCGATGTTTTGGCATCGCGCGCTTACCTCTAGGAGGGTGCGGTCGAGTGTTGGGAGGGTGGTTAGGGCGCGTGAGATGGAAGCTAGGGAGGAGGTTAGGGCGTTTTGGAGGAATGTTTGGAGGGCTGTGAGGAGGAGGGTTGGGTGAAAGTATGGAATTGTTGATGATTGCCCATTCGACGATGATGGTGGTGCGATCACGTAGGAGAGAAGGTAGAGAATTGTAACTGCGGATGTGGTGCGGGCTTTTGCGTCTTCGGTTTTTTGGTATGTGGTCGTCGTTGACGATACCGCTCCAGCCTGGGTACTCGTGGTGGTGGCGGCCGCTGGAGAGGTGAGGTTGGAGATGCTGAACTCGCGGATGATCTGTTGAGCTTTGTTCTTGATTTTCTCCTCCACAACAGCAAACAAGTCTGTCTTCAGAGTCTTGACAATGTTCACCCTCTGCAACTCTTTCTCCTCTGCTTCGTCATCAACTAGCCCTCTGAATTCCAGAATCGTGTAAGAAGCCCTCACCATCACCCTATGATCCTCCTTGCCAGCTCTCCCTGGCATATTCAGTCCGGCTTCGGAAACCTGAATCTCCAGTTGCCTCCCCAATGCCACTGCCCTCCCCACTTCCCTACCCAACCTCAACACTTCCAGGCTCCTCAAGCTTACCACCCTCATCTTCTCCGCCTCTTTATACCTCTCCAAAACCTCCTTCTCTAGTCTCTCATAATTACTTCTTAGCGTCCCAACCTCGCCCTCTACGACCCCCAGGATACGCTTACTCGCCTCGTCCCTACTCTTCACATAATTCAAGATCGGTAGGGCAGATCTGGTAGTGAGATTGTGGATGTGCGTGTCTATCTCCTGGATGTCAAATAGAACGCGGGATAACGGAGTGGAGAGATCAAGCGTTGTATCGGTAGGGTTGTTGGTGCTGAGGATAAGGCTGTTGGCGAATAATTCCGGCGAGAAAGATGGAGAAAGAAAAGTTTCGTAGTCGACATAGGAAGGTGAATCTGACATCTTGCTCTGCGTTGTGTTTGATAATTTGAATATAGATGATAAGAATTTGTGGAAAGTGTTGCAAATGCTTCTGATATTACGACTGAATTATGAAAAATGTCTCAGATCGTCCTCCTTGAACTCTTCATCGAGAAATCACATTCATGAGCTCAGACTGGCAGAACGCAAGTCTCATCGAAGCGCAATGTGCAGGCATAGAAAAGTAGTCGGAAATGGGTATCCAGGCAGGCGTAGTTGTTGGCTGTCTGCTCCCAAAGACTTGCATTGGTCTTCTAAAACTAAAACTTCCATGGATCGAAAGAGTTGTTACTGGATATGGTGTGATTATAATGCTTATCATAGTTTGGGATTTGGAATGTAAGGTGATATAATACTCGAACCCCGGGGGTGAATTGGTCTAGCTACTTTAACTTTGAGAGAATTCACCAAAGGACAGTCAAGTGTACACAGATGGAAGACTCTGTGTAGTGGTAAGGGAAGTGAAGCGCCACAGTGACACGGAGGTTAGGGTTAGGAATGCCGTCAAGCAGCCACAGTATGCTGTATTGAGTCCTAAAGAGCTCTGTCTAAGCAATGTAACTTGCAGAAGCCACCACCACAGGATGGCAAGCACCGTCTCCCAATACCATAGGGAGGCCTTGACGAAATCTGGTACAGATGCGAAAACACCTTGCTATCATCCTGCACGCTTGCCATGCTTTCCAAGACAGAATACGCTGGTTGTACAGTCAAACAATTCCTTTCAACCTCTTATTGCTCTTCACCCGCCACCAACAGTCCTGTCTCCCTTCGCATCCTCTCCCTCTCCAATTCCATTCTCAACTCTTCATTCACGGCATCACGCTCCTCCAGCCTTTTGCGCGCCCCGCTGCGATCCAACAATCTAGCTTCTCTCTCCGCCTTCAACCTTCGCTCCAATTCCCGCAACCGATGGATCCACTTGTCATGTCCACCAGTAGACGAAGTAGAGGCATCATCTCGTTGATGAAAGGCGGGAATCATAAGCTCGCCCCGATTGTTAGATGTTCTCGAAGTAACGGAGTCGCTTCGTCGACTTCCTCCCCCGTAATCACTCCCATTCAACCCGCCAGAAATATGCTCTACAACGTTTGAGCTATGGTGACGCATCAATGTTGCTGCCATTGCTGCTGAGGCACTGGCAGCTCCAGCATGACGGGTACTTGAGCCCCGTGCTGGAACCGTAGTCCCAGAAAGGGACGGTGTAAAGGAGGGTCCATCAGAAACTATAGAGTTTCGTGACTGGGTCCGAGAATGCTGAGGACGTAGCTGAGCATTCGAGTGCTGTTGTTGAAGAAGGGAAAGTTCTGCCTTTAGAATCCGATTCTCGCCTTTCAGTTTCTGCATCTCTGGTGAGCTTGTCCCTCGGCCTGTACTCTGCATGTTAGGCACCTGCGAGCTCTTCAAATTGTTGAAAAGCTCCTCAACTCGTTCAAGCTTCTTGATCCGCAGCTCCATCGTATGCTCAAGATTCTGGTACTCTTTCCATAAATCACGCTCGAGCCGCTTGATGCGATCCCTAAAAGAGCCCAGTGTTCCTTCAACCTGCTTCGCGGCCAATAGCAGATTTCGACTGAATCCAGGCCAGAACAGCATGTTCCCAATCACTTCTTGACTCGGTAGATTGCCGTTGATCAGGCTGTTGCTGTGTGCCCAGTCTGGTCCGCACATGGCACTCAGTCTTTTCCAGATGGTCAAAAGCACGCTGTTACGTTCACTGAGCTGATCCTTGTATTGTTGATCAAGCTGACTCATGCGACGTCGATCTGATTGCCTGCTGTTTTCTAGATCTGTAATACGAGCGTTGTTTTGGGTGATGGTTCTGGCAGAAGCTGAGTGAGATTTTAAGGCCTGCTCAAACGAATGTTTGTCAGCACGACGAGCCTGTCTTTCCCGATCCAGAAGTTCAGCCATTTTGCGGCATTCCAGTCCTGAAGATTCGAGCAACGAGTCTCGATTCGCCAGAAGCGTTTCCTTCTCATCAAGTCTTTGCCTGGTCATGTCCAGCTCGCCACTAGTAGCATCAAGATCTTTTTGAAGCTTCGTGACGGAAGTGAGCAAGCTGGATCGAGTGCCATTAGTATCACCCAGCAATTCTCGAAGATTGTTTTCAAGCTCCATCAAACGCTCACGCCATGTCGTTGACTCAATCTCACGGGTTGACAAGGCTTTCTTCAAACGACGTATCTCTTCCTTAGCCGCGCCGGCTTCTCGGTTCAAATCATTCACAACTCGCTGCACCTCTTGTTCTTTATTGCCAATAGCTTCATGCTGACGCCGTTCTTCAGACAGACGACGTTCAAGGTCTCTGGAACGATCCTTTTCGGTGCTGAGGGACAGATGGGTTGCTTTCAGCACCGATTCCATATCTCCAATTTTGATCTTATCAGCATCTTGTTCTTCTCGCAGAAAGGCAATCTCATTGTGTGAAGATTCTTGCTGAACGGTCAGTCGTTGAATCTTGGCATTGGCTTCTTCCAGTTCTTTCTCCACATTTTCGAGCTCTCGATTGGCATCGTTCAGCTCTGACTGTACCGTCTTATAGCGAGTCAGATTATTCTGAGCATCTTCCTCCAAGCGGATGATTCCTTCTGATGCTGATCGCATCTCAGCTTGCAAAGCCTTAAAGTTCTCTTCCTGCGCGTGTAAATCCTCTTCTAGACGGCTGTATTCTTCAAGTTTCTGATCGAGTTCATCCCCCAAACCATCAATCTCTTCCTGCGCCTCTGTTTTTAAGACTTGGAATGCGTCCTCAGATTCTTCAAGGGCACGCTCAGCATCATCACGCTGGAGAGTCAAAAGCTGTATTTCCTCGTTGTACTGATCGACATATGTTTGTGCTTGACCTTCAACAGCATCCAAGTCGGCACATACCTCGTCAAGTTGGGTCTTCAGACTCTGGTTCTCCAGTCGCAATTCTGACACTTGATCACGGAGTTCTCCAATCTTAAGCTCGAATGCCTCTCTTTCAGCGTCACTGACACGTGATAATCGGGTGGCGTTGCTCGTACGCGAATGCGATCTGGCTTGGGAGGCAGACCTCTCGAAAATGCTATCCCCTGCCACAGATCTCACCCCGTTGACGCCCAAACGTCCCAGCTTGAGGTCTTCGATTTCTTGATAAAGACGCTCCTTTTCCTTGTTCCTTGATGTGAGTGTTGACACCTGTGCGCTGATGGTTTTCTGTAGCTCCGAGTTTTCATGCTGCAAGCGCTCAAGCTCAGCGACATTTGTAGGAGCTTTGCTACTACTATGGTGGCCTAAATCTGATGCAGACGAGTGTGACATTGAAGAATGAAGCCGATTGTTCTTCCCAAGAGCCGACCGAGTGGGCCCATAAGCATCGTTCTTCATCCGGAAAATCTCATCTCGAAGCTTCTTGTTGTCCTCTTCAGACTGCTCCCGGGCAGCAGTTTCGGCTTCAAGCATATCCTTCCACATATCCCGCTCCTCTCTTGAGCCTACATCAGAGCCTGCAGCCCGTGTCTCGCCTAAGGATCGTACTAACTCGGCAAGTCTTCTCTTCTCGGTCTCTTTGGCAATAGTTTCTGATCGCAACTTCTCAATTTCAACCTCAAAGTTCTCCACCCTATCGCGGAGATAGATAACTTCTTCTTCAGTTGTAGGCGACCTTTCTTCATCTGTAGCATACCCCTGATCTGCTGTAGGAGCATCTTCTTCCTTGAGCCTTTTCTCTAGATCTCGTATCTGCTTTCGAAGGGAGTGATTGTCCCGCTCCAGTCTCAACTTATCGGACTTCAGTTGGACATTTTCCGTAATCATGTCCTTGACGCTATCGTCAGACCGTTTTTGCAGCGCTTGGTCAAGAAAGTGTATCTTCATTTTGAGGTCGAAGTTCTCCTTTCCCAGTCTTTCCACTGTACTCCGATGTTCTTTTAAGGTGAGACTCTTTGACATTCGTGCAGGGCCGGGAGGTATTCCCGCCGTGTTTTTGTCGGGCGAGGTGTCTCTGTGACTTTGACGATATTGCTTCGCAAATGTCCCCGGAATCTCAATGTCGCGTATGTTATTTGCTATTACTGTATCCATTGGCATATCCAGGTCCCGCAATGATGGTTTTGGGGTCAGATAACCCTCACCTATGCTACGCTGCTTGTTTAGTAGGGGGCTCTCCTCGTTCAACGTGCTTAGATCTGTAGCGCCAGTAACTGCTCTACGACTTTTTGTTTCCTCGCCTTCGCTCAGCGCCGAAAGTCCTGATGCAATGCTTCCTAGGCTCGTCGACCTTGACAGAGTCATTTTCGCTTTGCGCTGCAATCGAGGTTCTGGACGGGCTCCTCCTGACTGAAGGGCGTAATCGGCCCCCAACGTCGCATCACTCCCAGTCTCCGTGTTGGAGCTCGTAAGAGAAGAGTAAGAGAATCGTTGACTAGACTGACGCCTACTAAGGTATTTGGGTCTCTTAGATTGATCCGGATGCTGTGAAAGAGATTCTTTTGAATCGTAATTGCCATCACTTAAAGGTGGAATTTTTGGTTCACTGCCATCCATGCCAGGTCTTTGTGGGGCAGATTCTAAGTTTTCGATGCTATTATGATATATGCTTTTTGTTGGTGACACACGACCTTCGTCTTCGTCAGCTGTTTCGTAGCCGCCCAACGTGGTTTGCGATATGACCCTCGAAACAGTCCTAGCCGCTGCTGCTGCGGTCGGCGAGGAGGACATGGTCTCCAGCGACGAAATATTATGAGGTACTGGGGTTGTTATCTCCTCTTCCTTGACATGCTGGCCTGCCTGCTGTTCAGGAGCTGGAGTCTTGTAGGCGCCTGGTGGTGTCTGAGGCGACCGAAAATCACGCTTGTCTTCATTCGATGTCTCACTCTTCATGCCCATAGAAATGCCCGAAGTGCCTGCAGGTGAAGATGCCCTGTCCCTTGCCAGGTCATCTTCCTGATCTTCAGAAGTGAACGTGCTTCTGGTGCCTTGCTCACTCTCGACTATGTGCGAGATATCAGGGATAAAACTCGATTCCACATCCATGAGTTTCTTGTTCATTTCTCCCTCATCTAGGATCGTGCTGTTCCCAGCAACGGCATTGGCATTTTCGGAATAGGAGGGGAGCAAACTGCTGTGTTCGCCAGATAAATGTGGAGAAGAGGCGTGAATGACGCTTCCATCTCTATCGATATTGTCATCACCGGCCTCGGATGCTGATTCGTCCTCTGTCTCGAAGCCTCCTGGTAATCTCGACCTCCTGCGAATCGCCTGCGGTCTGACATTGGCCGAAGCTGACATGACCTCCCACGATTGAGTGAGGTAGGCTCAAAGTGTCGTTCAGCTACCGTTCTGCGAGTCAAGTTTTCGCCACTGTAAGCCGGTATCGCATTGGGATAGTCGCATTGAGAGTTTCGAGGGCAGTAATGACTATGTGGACGCGTTGTGAGTTGCAAATCACGTCCCCACAAGGAAATCGGCGTGCGATGGAGGAACACAGATCAGATCATTTTCATTCTAGCTTACAACAGATTGTCTTGAGCGATGTATGCTCAACACTGCTCGCGCGTTCTTGCACAGATATCAAAAATCTTCTGTCACGATTAATGACGCTCAGGGGAGAGCGGCGCTAAAACCCGTCAAAACACCTTGGTCCAAGCTTTTTGGACGTGCCCACGACCTATTTTCAATATTCAGATCTAACAGAGATCAATAACTAATATACTTAGCAGGTGCGATTTGCACAGGATGTTAGGCTTCGGAATAGACAGCGGGTTTCCTCCTATCTACACGTACCATTGAACAGCACATTATAGCACTGTTTCTCTTTACACCGTTGGAAGTGCACCATTCATCTGGGATTCGGAGAAAGATGACAGAAAGAGGAATACAAACATGCTGCATCGCGCCTGTCAAGAGCTTCGAGCCGGTCGTATTCAGGCTTTGAAAGGATCTTGGAAGACACCGCGTGAAGAGGCTGCACTTCCGAGATAGAACTTGGACATCGCAAATTCAGATTTCTTACTATCAAAATTGAAAGATGCTATCAGTTTGTGCCCGACTCCTTGTTACGAAAGACCCACAATACGGTAAGTACACAGTTCCGCAAATCGACAAAACCTTTCTTTGTGACACCTCACGAGAAATGAGAACAAACCCATGATCTCCTCGATACATGTACGAGGACAGTATGCAGACATTGCAAGCAGCTTGAAAAGGATAATCCCCCATCGAGCATTGATGTAGTCAAGATCACACCACACAGCAAGGTGAATCTTCGCCAGATGAATGTCTTCGCAGGAGGCATCGCAATAACGTGCTTTGTGAGGGCGTTCTGGCATGTTGAGATTAAGAATGCTAAGCTCTCAATTGAGTTTCACAGCAGCGAATCGACGAGAAGACGACTTTATCGATACGGAAGTGGGGCACACTAGTCGGAAGCAACAAGCGAAAAGCAGGTCGGAATGAGGTAGGAAATCGACAGTTTGAGCGCTGTGCAGGCAACCAAGGATGCAGCGTCCATGAAAGGGTTGAAGTTTGCCTTGACTCATGAGAGTAAATGAATATGCTATTCTGCTGTGCTTGGTTCTGTGCCCAGCGTTCCTTGTGTTGACTTGAACTGGATGAGTGAAAGGGAATAGTTCTTCATGAGGATGCCTCCGCATGATGCAGTGTCTTTCGAGTGCCCGGAGGCCCATGGCGTTCGAGAACCCCAGGCACCAGAACTTCAGTTCCTGGCCCAAAGCAGATCTGGACCGCCTTAAGTTTAGTCCCTATGGACCCGACCAATGACCCCCCCGCATCAGGTGTAGACGCCCGAGGGGGGTCCATGGACTTTCGGATTGAGGGTAAATTGGGACGTGCATTGCGGTCCCAATAACAAGAGAATTAAACCGTCACCCGACCCAGAGAAGCGGATATAAGCTGTACCTAGCTGCAGACCGCTTTTTGGAAGGGTGGTGGATGATTGCAAGATACTACACGAAGGAGCTAGCATTGTTTCACTCTCAACCAGCCAAGCAGGTAACAATTCAGCAGGTAGCAGCTGATGAACGTAGACGTGTCTCTGGATTTCGGTCTAGCTTGCGCCTAAGAGGATGGAATGGGATGATGTGGTATCCGAAACGCATCACGGGACAATATACCGCAGCCAAGCCAGTACAAGGATGCTGGAAGCAAAGGAAAGCGAAATCTTTTGTGACTGGAGCACGCCCTCAGATGCGTTGGGTATTAACTATTGAACATGTCGTGAAAATGCTGCACATGGCGTTGCATCAACAACAGTGGACCGCATCCCTGAAGCAAAGGCGTTGGCGAGGTTCTCGTCTGCAATATTATGGTAACTATCAAGAGCTAGATCAATGTGTGGGATTTGACGGCTGGTGCTGGTTTGACTTTGATTTGCAGGTCAGGGTGGCAAGACAAAGACATATGTGCTCATGCACCAAATGTGATTGCTCGACAGCAACTTCGTGATGATTTCCCAAACTTGAAGGAGGGTACCATCTGCCATGGCACCTAGACCAATGGATGCGGTTTAAACTATTCCTCTGACCCCGAGAACTGGTCAGGACGGATGGCACGCATATACACCAAAGCTTTAGCGGCAAATCTGTCAAACAAGTCCTTCGAGAAAGATGCTAATACTGCCGGTTGCTTGTTGCGTGTTGCTGGTTGCTGGCTGTGGGAAAACATCCGCCAAAAGGCATTGCCCCTTGCACACATCATGCCCCACTGCAGCCTAAGGTTTCGTTAGGGATTTGAAGCCAAATTCCCATAACTACGTAGTGAATAACCTAACTCTAGTTGCGCTGATGGTGCCTCGGTTTGACACTTTTCTGTGCCAGTGGCCCTCGAGCTAAGGTAGGTTAGGGACTCGTAGTCGCAGGGTTGGGTGGAATCAAGCCGTAGGCCCACCTCCTGCCCCTCTTACATAGTGCACCTAGCTAGGCCACACATATGTTAGTAGTTCTTGCATACGACAGATCTCAACACATGCCTGATCTTCCCGTCTTCCTACTGTTTGGGACACGCAATACTCCGGCCATTCTCCCGCTTTTGGTCCCATCTATGGTACTATGTCACCGTTGATAATACAGTTCCGATGAGAAAAATATTGACTCTGCTCTTTTACACCGACTCAGTCAGTTTCGCGCCCCTTGACTAACGGGTAGTTGGAGAAGCTGAGCCGCCAAACATCCCCCAAGAGCCGCAGAGGATCGACGGCCGACAGCTAGCCCCCCCAGCCCACCTTATCATCCCATCCTATTGCCCTCGAACTTTTCAAAGCCCGCCACATAATCCCAACCTGTTCAGCTCGACTGCGCGGCTCTCCAGCTATCGATGTTATTGAACACCGATTGAGCATACAACGCTGGTCTCTGCGCAAGCCACCCTCCCAGTGGCTGCTTATAGAGCAGCATCGCAGTCTACGTTGAACCCCACTGCACCCTCAGTCTCTGTCAGTAGCCGATTCAGGAACAGCTCAGCACTGGCGAGAGGGCTGCATTTGGTCTATCTGCGTCGTTCCCTGTGCGAGCGGCCTCTGGGCTGTCCTCAATATCTTCCTCATCCGTCGTGCCAATCCCAAGCGCTGCCGAGCACCTCGTAAAGATGTCGACCATGACTTTCCAACCAGTGAACTCTCCATCACTACAACCAGACCATTCACGAGATTTCCATGATGAATCAAATACTCCGACTACCCCTCGAGCTCGCGCAACGCAGATATCAACTAAGCAGGTCATGGTCGATAGTGGACAGAATCTAACCACAACTGTTGTCACAACGAGCGCTTCAAATCTACCAGGGCAAAGGCCCCTTCCAACCTCACCCTTCGCCACTCAAGCTGAACATGGAACCAAGATAAGCATGTTGCAGAGGGGCGGGTCCAACAATTCGGGTCAATCAACTCAGGCAGCGGAGGAGATGGAGTTGGACGGTTCTGACGAAGAGCAAGATGGTTCTGACAATGAAACAGAGAGCGGGGATCCGGGTAGGTCGTCGAAGAAGAAGAAAGGTCAGAGATTCTTCTGCACAGACTTTCCGCCTTGCAATCTGAGCTTCACTCGCAGTGAGCATCTTGCTCGTCATATTAGGAAGCACACTGGAGAACGGCCCTTTCAGTGTCATTGTAATAGAAGATTTTCACGTCTTGATAATCTTCGCCAGCATGCGCAAACTGTTCATGTCAACGAGGACATACCTGCAGAATCGCTTGCAGCTACTGGCACTCGTTACCAGAGACAAATCAGAACCGAGAAACTGAGGCCAGCTGGCAGTCGAGCGCGCAGCGGGAACCTGGGCAGTCAAGGTGGTCACAGTCGAGGTCACAGCCGAAATCTTTCCGCCTCCAGTATCGGCTCTACTGCTTCCAATTACAGCACCACCGAAACTCGCAGAAGACCACCCCCGTTGTTGATGGCCACAGACGTTACTACTCGACCACAGCTTACCTTAGAACCACCAGGTACGCCTCCATCACATTATCGTGGCTACTCCACCAATTCGCCTGGTGGGATGACGACTCCTACTTCGTCGACATATTCAGCGAACCCAGGTAGCCCGGGATATGGGTCTTTCATGGAATCACCGGTCTCCGGAACCTCTAGAATGGCAGGGTTCTATGGTAGTCGCACTCCTGGCAGACGCCTTTCTGTTCCTTCTAGTGCAAATACCTTTCAAACAGTTCACAACCATACTCAACCTCATCCCTATATGAGCCCTTTACCATCTTCCACAAGCAGCTTTTCGAATAACCCTAGCAATTTTGCCAGTCCGACGTCCTCCCAGTTCTCGTATTCTCGTATGGAGCCTAACATATCTCCTGCTGAGGCTGAGTTGCGACGAAGAACATGGCACCCTTCATCATATGCAGCAAGTGGCTTCAATTACTCTCGACCTGCAACTAGTGGTCTGAGTTTTTCGCAAACTCCTGACGCTTTACAGCCGGCTCTCACACCGTATGCCTCGGCAGCGGCCGGTCAGGCTCCGCGTCTACCGGGGATTGAAAGCTTTGATGAAGTGCGAAATCGTCCTTCCACACCCCCACGTCGCCAACCCAGTCCTATGCTGATCGACACACCTCCACAGTCAACATTGTCCACAAATCATGGTACATTCCAACGTCATGCTCCGCCAGCTTCTGATCATCGAAGAGGGCATTTCTCTTGGGATGGATCGCACCATGGCCCATTCTCGAGACCTGACTTGCAAACAAATCTATCAAGGGACGCGACTTCTTGGGGTCAGCAAACGCTCAACGAAATCCACAACGCTGCATCCCGTCCTATCTTTCAGAACACTGTAGCTACGACTTATCGACCAGGCGGTGTCATAGTGCAGAATGAGCCAACACGCCAAGCTCATGTCGAATCTCCTCCTCCTCAACAACAACAACCACCACCAAATACACCACAGCGCAGCAAGAGACTTGGATGGTACAACGGTCCCCCCAGCGCTGGACCCCGTGGAAGTCAAACCGCGCGAAGGTCTCCAGAGGACTCAAGCAGCAGCGATGGCGTTGTGACACCTGGGACATCAGCAGCAGAAGTTCACCCGGCAATCATGCACAGCAATGGGTATATTGAACCCCACCATCCTGTCCTGCCGGCAGAAGCTCAAGCGGATGTAAGTACGCCACGATCATATCCAGGCAGACGATAACAACCTTTTGATAGGCATGTGTACCAGAGCTCTCTAACCATCCTGCACCACTACGAGGTCAGGCTCATAGGCCGAGCTATATTAGCGGACGGTCGAACACCAACAACGACATGGGTCGTCTTGAGGCACTTGTCGCAGTCGCAACGAGCGAGGATAAGGCAGCTACTGTTGCACGATGAACTCCTTTCTGACCTTTCTGCCGTCCAAGTCCTACTCCTCGGTACACACACGAGCTTCATGACGGGCATGCAACGAGGAAGACTTTTATGAACAACAATCTCACGACTTCTTGATTTGCTTCGAGATTTCTTTCTTTTGAATGCCATTTTCTAGCCTATTTGCACATTCTACATATTGTATGCTACATATGACGGATGACGGGCCAATCGTCGGGTTAGCGGGCGTTCGGTCGAACACTTTTGATTCTCATATACCCACTCTCGTTGGCTGCATTGTTATGATACATCGAGCCTTAATACTCTTATTCGTTGATGCGCCACACTTTATGTTTGATGGTTCCTGCGATCACACTTCCGTTTCAGTATTGTGAATTGATCAGCCTCTTCCAGTACTCAATGCCGGGACCTCTTTCTTTCAAGTTGAGTAGAGACTGCACTCAAGCATAAGCTGAGTATGAGCAAATGTCTTTTATTTATTATGTTGTTTGACGGAAGATGCTTGCAGCCCAGCCATGTTGCTCACCCGTCTGTTTCGGATATTTCTGGTGTGTAATATGTACTACAAGCGGGGCTCAGATTACTTAGCGGGATTGCAGGCGGCAGGTCGAAGCGAAGCATATGCCAAAGCCTCTCTTGTTCGTGCAACATAACATTTTATTAGCAAACACTTCTGACCAGAGTGACATGGCTTTTCCTTGGACTCGGCTCATGCCCGCCATTTCACCAAATCTCCTACTAATGTCCCTGGAAGAACTCCAAGCAGCTGCAGGTACCCGTTCATGGCGGGGCGGAATGAACCACAGCTTGGCGATGCGCTAACTTGTGGGAAAATTCATCACCTTGAAGAAATGGACGGGGAAATGTGAGTACAGACCTCGGGGATGACTGCTTTTAAGAACCAATTGTCAAAGCTTGCGGTGGTGAGTAGGGGAACCATCGAGCCAAGAGCGGTCATTTGAAGGCACCCATAGTACAACACCAACGCACAGAATATCACCACTGGCCTCAAGTTTGCATGAGAAACAAGGCGTGCGGAATATTACCAGCACATGGGCACGAATCTGAGGAGATGGATATGCAGTAGAACAGACAGAATCCAGAATTACCAGAGTTACCAGAATGACCAGAATGACCAGAATTGCTAACGGTGGTTGCCCGATGTTGGAAACACCGCAAACAATGGCACTGGCAGCTTGCCCAGATTTCGCTGTGTTTTGAACTTGAATGTGGATGAGTCCTGCCCTTCCATTCACTGCCTTCCACAACCGGCTTCCTGCATGTTTTCAACCTCCCAACCCACCCTCGATTTTCTCCTTCACCTTTCTCCCCTGGCTACTCAATCTCACACCTACACAGCTTGACACTCGTTCGGCCTTTGACCTTCCAATAATTACTTTCTCCTCAGTTTTTTCCAACTCTTGTCCTTCGCTTGATCTATCTCACTGACCACAGCCTGGCTGCCTCGTCAACTAGACACCGATCTTCCGCTGTTTGACGAAGATCACGATGAAGCTTTACACTATCGTTCAGCTCCTGACTCTTGTGACTACTGCTCTGGCTGGTGTTATCGCAGCGGACAAACGCAATGATATCTCGTAAGTCAGATATCTCAATCCCTCATTTTGGCCTCACTTTCGAGCTGAGCTTGAGGATCGGCGCCACCGATATAAATCCTTCATAAATCACATATCTTTGTCAAAAACAGCGAAAGCCTAGCAAGCTCATACTTCTCAGCTAGAGATGCGTTTGGCTAATCTAGTTGTTTGCTAGCTCCACTCCTTGTGAGGCGGTTGCTCCTACGACAATCACGGTGATGGCAACCCAGAATCAAATACAGATCGAGACTACCACCGAGACTCAAGTCACCACAATCACCGCCCAGCCTGATTCCGTGACCGTTGCCCTCCAGGGTCCTGATGCTATCTCGTCCTCATTGAGCTCGGCCTTTTCAGTAGAGTCTCAACAACTCGAAATCAACAGCCAGTTGGCTCCAAATAATCCTTTCAGATCCCAACATCCGCTCCCAAGTTCAGCCACTCGTTTCACACGAACGCTCATCGTCCCGGTGATCGAAGCCACTAAGACGTTCGCAGCCAGTGGGCAGACTTCTGCAACAGACGTCTACTTTATTGGCGAGAATGATGGAACTACAACTTGGTTGTCAAATCTCATTCCACATGAAAGCATGACTATCGGCACTACCACAGTCACATTGTCTCCTGTCCCTTCTGTATCCACTATCCGCACGGTTCGGTCGAGGGTCACTGAATCGGCTACTCGCACCAACACTCTGACCATGACAGTCGAACGACCAAACGCTGTGGCGTCTGCGAGTGTGGGTGGCTTCGGTGGCGTTGGATATCAAGGCTGGAACACTTCTGCATCGGCTCTGGCTCCGGCTTCAACATCAGCACTTTTGATGGACGGAGGAGGTTCAGGGGTGCTATCATCATTTCAGGTGGTCACCACTCGTCAAAGCTCTGCCATCATTACCACGACTGTGCAAGTTTCTGGCTCTGCGACAAGCCGAGCTCTGCCAACCAACGCTTATGGATCAACTGCGAACATCACATTCCCTACCGCTGGTTATGGGTACGAGAAGCGCTCCGATGTAGATGGTCGTCGACGTGCAGTTTGCGAATGGATCACTGCAACCATGCGCGGAACGCCTGTCTCATGGCCGAACAACTATGATGGTAGCAAGACCGTAAATTGTGCAACTTTTACGTCGTCTACTCAACAATCTCAACCCGCACTACGTACGTAATATTGACTCGATGATGAGGCTGCAGCTAATCACATCGCTAGCTCCTACCATGGTCACTGTCACCGTCACCAGGGGAGAGATGCCATCATCGGACGAAAATCCAGCATCGAGCTCTGCTCCTGCAACACAGACAATCGTGCCCGTTTCATCAACTTCTACTAGTGCTGCTCCAGCTGCGGCAACTTCTTGTGGTGTTTCTGGTGATTTCACTCTTGACGTAGGTCTTTGTAGTACTCTGTTTTGCTCCAGCTGACAGCAGCAGTTCGACACTTTACCTCAGTTCTTTGCACCAGACAATGATACCGCGCCATTCCCTCCAATCTTCAATCCCTACCGACACCTGTTCTTCTCCTCTGGTTGGGCATATGTTCCACCCCCCACAACTCCTGTTGTGCCTCAGAATGGAAGTCACCTAGCAGTCTACGTACCTTCCGCATCTGAGACCAACAGCTCCGTCTCACAGTCACCCAATGCAGGTGACGTGCCGCCTGGCTCTTTTGGTGCTGGTCCTCGTGCTTACGACAACGCATACTGGTTCGACGCAGAGACATTGTATGTCTTCTGTGACAATGGAGCAGAGGACCCAGCTGTAACCTGCGACGTTGTAGTTACAGCCTATCAATGGGACGAGGATACGCAGTCAGAAACTGTTCTTGCAACTCAGCATTTTCCACAGCCACCATGCCCAGGCTACAATAACTGTCGAACTAATGAAATCTTCCTCGATACCCAGTTCCGCGGGTTGAGCAGTCTGAGCTTGTACGCCATCGTCGACGGCAAGCAGAAGATGTTCTTCATTGACACTGTTCAGTTGTCGTGGTGGAACAACACCTGCGAGGCTGGTCGTCGTCGTGCAAGTCAGATATGATCGGCGTCGTCAGCTATCATGTTGGAGGGGGGTTATTGAAAGTTCAAAGAGCGATACAGCAGCCAATGAAGGGAGAAGTAGACGCCTAGGAATGCTGATGTCTTCGAGCCTGCTGGTCTCGTGGTTCAGGCTCAACATGAAAGCCCAGGATGTGAGCTCGATCATTCGTGTCTTTCGCTTGGCATGCATGAGCTTCAGTTTGACAGCTAGAGGCGCAAAAACACGTCTAGCTAGGTAGACTAATCACAGACACTCGCTTGTTTTGTTAGCTTTCTCCATGTGCCTATTTCAAGTCTCCTGTTCATGACGATTTCCCCGCTGGAGTTAGTACAGTACTCAAAGCACGCCCTTAAAAATTACTGTACTTGGCATACCCTCAAGGATACTGCCACCACTGAGGCTGAACAATGATGGTTACCCCTTCAGATAGCCATGTCAATGTTCTAGATTTCATGCTGACATGAGGAGGTGAAATGCAAGTGTGCCTTTTGTCTCTCACCAGTATGTTACAAACAACTCGAGACTGGAAGCGGGTCTCAAAACAGCAGTGACGTCCATGAATAGTGCTCACGCCAATGACTAGCTGGCGGCAGGAATCCTGAGCTTACGTCTAAGTAGATCAGGCCCCGTGCTGGTATTGTATATCTATATTGAAACACGATATTGCACTGATAGAAGTAAGTTGTGGAGTATTAACCTGGCTCCTTAGATACTCATGATTGTGCTGAACATTCGATAAGTACAAATTACAGTTAGTTCTGTTAAAGGGGCTGAGCTTGGCGAGATCTGCCACAGCCTCGTGGCGCTAAGAATGTTTTGCCCTGTGTTTCCGGTTTCCGTCGTTTCATCATTGGTACTTCAACTCGAGGCTGATTGTTCCGCAGTTTGACGATAACTTCGCGCCAATGATATTCATCCATCCATCCATCCACCCACCCACCCATCCACCACCTTAATTCTGGAGGCTGAAAGCTTCCCACGATCCCCTGTCCAGGCAAGGAGATATTAGAGGTTGCAGGAAGCGAGTCATATCGCAGATGGCTGCTCGAGCGCTCTGACTCGTTGTCCGAAGGCCTTCAAAAACCCATTGGGACATCCCAACGTGGACGGAAAAGAGGATGCATCCAACAGAAGGTAACAGATAGCAATTCAATCCACTGACCATACTACCGACGATAGACTTCATGTCACGCGCTGTCGATCATCTGACCGATAGTAAAACACCATCGAGACCTCCTAGTCGCTGCACAATTGTACTAACTAGGTGTAAACACGACTTGATACGTTTCAACAATGCCACGTTTTCTGCACCCACCCCAACAATCGATACCTATGTGGTGGACAATTTCATTCGAGACATGACGAGATTGAGTGCTAAGGCACCCTAACAGCAAGAGTAAGATCATAAAGGTAGAAGAAAACGAGTCTACATTGCTACGCTAGCGCCGTAGAACATGCCTTGATGGCAGATTCTTCACAAACTACATTTGCTGTTCTCTTTTTCATGTGCTGTCACTCTCTTACGATCTGTTTCCGTTTTCATTTCGATTACACATCGTGCTACCATCAGTTTACCCTCCGTTTGAGAATTGGGATGGTGGCATCGTACTTGCGCACACGGAATATTCTTTGCATGACTGTCAGAGCCGCTAATGTTTCTTTCATATATTAGCTGTTCCCTAAACACCTTCAAAGTCTCCTTGCAGGCCCATCTGAGCAGTGCTGCTAACAGTGACTCCTCTCCTTTTATACAGACTAAACACCCAGCCTGCTCTTGTATACTTCATATTTTCATTCTTGTAAAATTTCCCCATCTCAACCCATTTAATTATCATCTGTGCTAGCGATACCTGATTACCCGTGCCAGACTTACTCCAGCCAGCTGCTTGATACAATGGATACACCTCATCGACCTCAAAGACGACTGGCTCCACAGCCAAGCTTGGATGATCCTGGATTGATGGTACCTTCACCACCTGCATCACGGCAGCCATCACGATCAGTCTCACCAGATTACAAACCTAAAAGATCTGGGCGAATCGGCTCGATGGTAGCGGTGAACAAAATCATCCATAGTATGAGTAGCTTGTCCTTCGACCAGCAGGACATGGATGCCGTTGGCTGGGAGGATATCTCGCCCCGTGGAGGACAAGAGACTCGGAGAACACGGCCTGGTGGATTGAGACCGGCAAGGCAGCCGTCTGGTGCCCTTAGTGAGCAGCTACCACGGGCTCAATCGAACCAGTTGGCTGCTGGCAGTCGAGGCACTTCTACCTACGATTCGAGGGACTCTAGAAAGTCAAACAGACGCCGTCGTGAAGACGATCTTCATGAGAGTGAAGAACCTCGATCTCAACGACAGCGGCGTGAGCATGAAGAGAGTGCTGCCCGTTCAGGAAGTACTGTGCAAGGCGCCAGTGGAACTGCATCAGAAAGCGCCACCTATGAGGGAAATGAATTACCAGGAAATGAAGGCAAGCCGGATGATCGACGTGCCCGAGAAGAGCGTCGTATCCGGGAAGCACGTCGTGTCCGAGACCGCCGTGAGCGAGAAGGACGTGGCGAACGAGGCACACATGGTGCGCGAGACGAACGTCTTATTCGGAGTCAATCAGTCCCTCAAAGCTGGTCTCACCAGGTACAGGAAGAGGAACAATCCTCGAGACCACGATATGGTGGGGAGGGGCATCGGGACCCGGAAGTGCGCCAACACGGAGGCAGCAGATTTGTATCGAGAAGGAGTCAGGATTAAGAATAGCAACAAAGTCACGCGTATGCTCTGTTGGAGGTGACAAATTCAGGGTTGGCGGGGGGTAAGCAGAGGTTTGTCGTAATAAGTCCCAAAGGAAGGCTAACTTTGGCCGCATTCTATTTTGCAAATGGACGCGGGCACATGATCTGCTGTTTCTCTGATGCTGCATTGCTATAAGTGAAGGGATGTGTGTGTATCGCTAGTAGACGACTCGGATCCTCCTTCTCTCCCAATGGATGGAAATTTGCGCAGGATCCAGCCAATCATCAAAGGACGGGCGCAGCATTGATCTGTCAAGGCTTAGAATCAGCCCTGATATTGCAACCTATCCACCAGGAGTCCTATGGATTCCATAACTCGTATATGCATAACCCGCGCGGTCGTGTTAACAGGAAATTTCTATGGATAGAAGCCACCCGGTCGATAGGGCACAATGTGTAATGTAATGTGTGCGAGCGTCCAGGCCAATATCTGTGTCGGAAGACGAGATGCATTGACCTTGGCTGGTTGGCTAGATGGCTCGCCCCCTTTAAAAGCAGGTCACTATGGGCTCAGACCTACGTACGTAGTAGTAAGTCGCATGTCAACATGGCTGCATCTTGGCACGAACTGGGAACTGCCGTGGGGAGCTCCAAGTTCAATTGTGCTTGTGCCACCACATCCGTCCTGTCTAACTGAGGTTAGTTTGGACTCCGCAACTGTATTTAGCAGCCAAGAAGATGCCCGTACTTACGGGGAGAAGGGCTGAAAATGACGCGGTTTTGGTCCTTAGTAACTTAGCTAGCGTCTTATTATTTTAAGGATGGTCAGGAGACTCAAATGACCATAATTTAGCCATAATTTGAGCGTCATTTTCTCTAAATGACGTCTGAAATAATACAATTTTATCAGATTTCAGGTGTTGAATTGCATAATTCTATGTAAACTAGATCATATCATGGTTAGGCCGGAACTAAGCACACATTGATGGTAATTTAGGCATAGTTTTCATAGGGCCTTCTCCTGCTAAGTAGCCAAGTGGAGCCAAGCAAATCATGCAGGGTCACGCGCCTCCAATCTCACATTTCCCCGTCCTTTCAACTCAGCATTAACTCCAGTATCATCGTTCCACACCGGTAACGAGGTCCAGAAGTGTGGCTCGCATTCATCCTACGCTTAGTAAACTCGGCTCGCTTACTTGCTGTCAATCTCAAAAACATCTCGCTACCGAGACCACGATATGGTAAGGGCAGAAGCCACCTCGCAAAGCAATGCCTTTGTTGGCTTGCCCTCTCCACACAGCCCGGACCGGTATTGGGCCTGATTTGGCCTCCGCCCTCAAGGTCAATAGAAAGCTCACAATGCACCATGAAGATGATGAGGCTAGGCTCGATGTTGGCTGCTATTTCCATCACACTAATCAGAGCTGTCAGCTATCAGAGCTATGGACTGCGTGCTTCTCGGATACCGGCCCAGAATTCAACCTTAATGGCATGCTATGCTTAGGCTGGTAGCCGTATAAATTTGGTAACTATACGAGTTTGGCGGCTTGCTCGGCCTTCTCGTTATCCTCCTTGAAGAATATTATAAAGCAGTGCATTTTCTCGCCCGTCTGAAGTTTTCTTCTACAGACATCGACTCAGACTTCAATCTACAAAGATCCCAGATTCAGCAACCTTGCACATTGCAACCAAAAAAAACATCACCACCACTACAACCATGCACTTCTCAACCAGCACCATCCTCGCCCTCGGCCTGACTCTTCTGCCCGCCAGCATTCTCGCTGCTCCCAGCCCCCCTCCTGTAGAGAGACAGACATCGTGCACAACCATCTACCCGGAATACGCGCGTGTCTCGCAGGCCCAACCCGTCGCGTCCTACCTCCCCGGCTTCCGCATCAGCCAAGACAACGGCGCGACCAACAAGAACGACATGTTCATCGAATTCGCCGTCCCCGCCGGCTCCTACGGCTGCCAGCTCGAGACATATTTCCCAGCCGGCTACCCCATCACCAAGTCTGGCCGTCAGGATGTCTACATCTACAGCACCGACAGACCACTTACTCGTTCACCCCAAGGGATTGACGTCAGCTGGGCCTATTCACCCGCGCCAGTGAGCCAGGTAGGCACGACGAGGTTCGAGTCGGACCCGGCAACGTCAACCACCAAGGTTATCAACTCTTTTGCTTGCCAGCCCACCATGACGTATCGCTTGAGTATTGGAAGGGATTGGTCCGATGCGGGCAATGTGGAGTTTGTGCAGGGTAGTGGGGCTGGCTTCAGAATGACCTATAACTGTTGATTGGGGGTGGGGAGACGTGTCCGTCATGGTAGTGGATTCGATTGATTGAGACTCTCGTTATTTATAGCTTTTTTTTTTTAGATTGTGGGGCGTAGAGGAATTTGGGAACAAGGAGGGTGCAGTTGCAACACACACGACACGGGGTACCACTGAAAGTTTTAGAGTTTTGTATTTAATCAATTATAATTTTGCCTGCGTTACCAATTTATCTCAGTAACCTGGCTGACTGCACTTGTGCAACACAGCTCATCTGCAACTCAAATTGCTTGGCGATTTTGCGTCTTCGAGCACACACACTGGTGACCCTGCATATTTCGATTACTTAACTAGCGGGAAAAGGCCTGAGGCCCGAAGGCCCCCTCCAAAATTCATGTCAGGGGAGCCATCAAAGTGCGCTTACACTAAGCCTGATGCTAAGATTGTTTAAAGTAAATATACAAGAATACGAACCTTAGCCGTCCATGATTCTATGAAATCTTATCATCTACAACGTATGTTACTAGGAATATGATCATAATATATGCTTCTCTTATTGTATTAGTATGGGCGTTTTTTGACAGAACAGCTGTTTTTCAATAAATGATACTTAGCTTATATCTTCAGCTACCTCTTCTCCGGCGTAAGAAGGAGGTTTGGCACCTGTGCACATTGTGCTAGTGATGCGAGACTTCAGGACCATGAAGACGATCCACATGACACTTCGGCCCCCTCGTCTTTACCAAGTGAGCCCCCTTTGAAAGAGTTCCCCCATTTCCCCCCTTTCTCTTTCCAACGAAAGTTCCCTTCCCCTATCACTGGGCACATCGGCCGTCCTCCTTATGCGCTAACCTTCTGCCTTCACCACTTATCTGCACAGCCCCAACTCCGTCCTGAACCCATACATACAGCTTCCACCTGTGTTCCGCCCTCTTCGAGATGCACTCTTCCCCTCGTCAATCGCCATGGTTATTCAAGTATAATTATCGTACATCTGAGACAGACAGATGGACATGACGCGTGACAGACCTAGATGGTGAACGTCTTGCCCTTGCAAAAGTCATGGAACGCTGCAGGACGGGTTTCTGTCCAAAATTGGCCAGGGTCTGCCGCATACTCCTCGTCATGAACTTGCAAGGTGAATGCCATTGATGGTGATTAGGACTCGGCAGGTCATCTTGGGACTGGGTGCCCAAATGAGACAATACACATCGACCAGGTAGGGTTTTTGGCTCTGGTCTGGTTGCTGTTGAATGGCATGAGTATGAGTTATGATTTTGGTGTGTGAAGTAGTAGATGAGGAAGCTAAGTTCTACGTACAAGTTGGGATGAGATAAATAGCAAGTAGTGCCAAGCCCGCGCCAGCCAAGTGCTCCTGCTATGCCCCTCCTATGCTCCTGCAACAGTCCCCCTCGCCATGATGCTCAACGCCCTCGTTAGCATTCCGAATTTTTCATGAATTTCTCATGAATTTTTCATGCAATTTTCATGGACTTTTCATGGACTTTTCATGCTCCGTTGCCTATCCTTGCTTGTTGCTAGGGTTGAAGTTGAATGCCCATGGAGGGTTCATCCCAAAGAAAGGGTATCGTGGATCAGCTTGCATTTGTGGCGATGACGGATACGCTTGGGAGGTTGGTTGTGTAGGGTAGTAACACATACTCATGCCATTCAACAGTTGCCCTGCACATCGACGGGTTCATTGCGCATTTGGCGTTTCGAATGACGGGTCTCTTGAAGATGGCCGTTACTGTGTGTTTTGAAATATATAGAGACTGAAACCGAGGAGTTGCTCGCTTGTTGGTGAGATTTGCTGCGGAAAGAGGGTGGAATGATATGGACGAATTGATTGATTCTAGCATAGTTGGAAGAAGAAGAAGTTGCCGACGAGCAACGAGAGCTAATCTAGGAGCGCCAAGCAGAGCTCAACGTGACGCACATGACAGAGAGGATTGTTCAGGATAAGTTTGTGTGCCGATTTTCTGCAACTCACTGCTTCCAGAAACCTGCAGCATGCAAATCAAGCACTTCGGAGTTCACGGCTGACGTGTTGCTCGCCCAAGATCAGCATATCGCTTAGTTCGGACCATGGCCGGTGGCGGCAGAATGAACAGAGTTCTGCGCGAGCCTGGTGCCCACTTAGAGTAAATCCGGTTTGTGTTGGAGTTCATCAGGAGGATGTCCTGGTAACCAGTTGGTTTGACTGGCGTAGAAAATGTGAAGCGAAGACGTCCATGGTAAGATTTGGTTGCTGGTTGCGTGGAGATATGAGTTCTGTGTGGCAGTCTTAGGCTGTTGTTGGCGAGGTTGACGAAGCTGTTGTTTAATGGGATCTCGTACCCATGGAAGGTATAGTTGCTGTCACGTGGGATCTGTTACGATTGCCGTAACGTATGGTTCTAATTCCTTTGCTTCTTGTCTGAATAGTTTGCAGGCCCGGTTTAAACGTGTCTGGTCGACCACCCAATCACTTGGGAACCTTGCCTGAGCAGCTGCCTCAAAGTCCTATTTCGATCCGTGTTCCCTTGGTAACGGGTATGAACTCACAACCGTTTCGAGGAAGGTTCGTATTCCTTGCAGGAAGGGGCGTTCAGAGAAGGTGCTTTTCTGTGTTGTGTATTGATGCAGTTGATGGGCTAAATGTATTGTTGACGGTTCAAGGGGAGGTAGGCAAAGGTCTGGTAGGATGGAGTCTCGTTCAGTTGATGCCGCTGGCGTAGGGAAATCAAAGCCAAAGCTGCCAGGGAGTGGTTGTTTTGGTTGCTGCCGTAACGTTGGCATTGGTGGGCGTTTGCCCGGAGGGATGGTGAGCTGTTTCTTTGGTTGCGTCAATTAACCCACGGGTCAATTGATGCGTATGGTGTGTGGTGATACAGCTCAATGGTTGTCTTCAGCCAAAGCTACCATTTTGCAATGGATAGGAGCAGCTCAGCAGCTTCTTCTGCTCCATCCTTACTAGAATCAATCAAATTGCTCCTATCCATTGCAGTTGCATTGGTTGACGCATTGAAAGAAAGCGTGTAATGAGAGTGGTTTGTCGATTTGTCATGTCGACGCTTAATGAAGGTAGAGAATGGACGATCGCATCCGAGATCATGTTGGCGTTGTGCACCCATTGTGCCATCTGCATCAGCATTGATGTAGTTCGATAAAAGGTATGCATCGCGATGGTGCAGGCAAGCTCGCAATGAAAAGTGATACTGTCAGAGAGTTTCGCTTATCCTGCAGATACATGGCTCGAGGAGGACAAACTGTCTTGTGGATGACTTCTTGTCCGGGCGCCTGTGCTTCAGCGGTACGCCACAGGTGCTGGTCACCTAGACGAGGTTACCCTCCTTGTCGTAACGGAAGGTGATCGGTCGCTCATCATCCGCGAACACTGAGCACGTCTCATCCTTCAGACTCGGCTCTGAGTTGCATCCTCTTTCGGGCCAGCGTCGTTGCCAGCGCGCCACTCGCCTCGCCACCTTGTCAATCGGAGCAAGGCTGGCCGAGTGGTCTGTTCCTGCGAGGTGGAAGTGACGGAGGTTGGCATCGGAGATCTGCGTCGAGGGCTTTTGCATGGCAGCTGGAGGAGACAGGAATGGGGCCGTCCAAGTTGGATGGGTGGTTCAAGACTTCGGGAGATGCATCTTATCGCTTTTTCATGTCGTCTTGCTGGTCTTCATGGCGAGTCGTCAATAGTGGAAGGGTCTCGTCGTAGCCGAGGTTGGTTGTTATTGTCTTGAGATTCTTCCCGGACGACAGGCCAACGACAGGCGAAATCGGGTGGTTTCCCAACAACCAATGGTGCATGCCGCAGCATGACGAGAGAAAGGAGGTAAGGTGTCAAGGAGAAGGAGGCGGCGAAAGCGCGGCATCATCCCAGGCTGGGCTGGGCGAAGGCGGAACGGCCCATGTCGCTCCCTCCGGCTTGTTGATCTGCTGAAACGACTGGTACTCATCGTCCGTCAGGTTGACGTGCCACGTAGTGATATGCACACCGTCGGCGGTTTGATAGTCGACGGTGATGTGTTGTTCACCGTCGCCGTGCGGTGACTGATGTACCCCTTTCCTGATGATGGCCTTTTGTGCACCCCACGGCTTTTTCTTCGCCTTGACCAAGCTTTCATGCCAATCTTTCTTCTGACTTTGGGCTGAAAGCTCCCTTTCGTCTTTCCATCTGATGCAAAGATCTTGGTCAGAAGACCGTCTCTTTGACCATTTCGAAGAAGATTGTCCCCCTGCATCCGGCATGCAGTTGGGCGGCGGCGACCATGACCGGTTGCGGTAACCTCCTGATCTGGGGGATGATGACCGCTTCTTGTCTTTCCTCGTGACTATCTCGAAACCGTCGGCATCCATGTCGTCAGGATGCAAAAGAGATATATATAGATATGTGAGAATTGGTGGTATATGTTTCTGGCATTCAGAAGAACCCAGTAAGGAGAGCTCGCGGAGTCAGTTGAGATGGGAGAAGAGATATATATAAGGGACGGGTAAGTATGCTTGGAAGATTGCCGATATGCTGTTGAGCGAGAGCCAGAGTAGCTAACGGTGTGACAGTATATAGGTATCTTCGATGCACAAATGGGATTCTTGGGAATGCGGAAACATGAAGAACGGGAGAAATAGGGGAAAGAGCAGCCATTAAATAGGGCAGCATGATGGGGTAGGTGGATATCCATCGTGCCTTCTAAATGAACTCCACTTGTAAAGAGATTCCTAGCTTCGACCTGCAAACCAGAGATATGGAAGGAAAGAAAAGAGTTGAATGGCCAGTTTCTGTGACTGAGTTCCGTTGGGGGGATGGCGCATAGAAATACTAGGACCCTGTTGTTCACCGTGACAAGCTTCACCCAACAAGGCTGAACTTGCAGGGAAGGGAAGATACTAGAAGAGAAGAAGCGCGACTTGCCAGAGTGACATGTGGAGAGAAGCGCGTAACGGTCACTAGGGTCAGGTACGGCGTGGTTCAATTGGTCAGGAGTGGTGGGGACCTTGTATTGAAGATTCCTGACGGCAATTGAAGAGCATGGGTTTTCATGGTACTGGTGGGGATTCACGGTTGGGGGGTCATACGTCGCAAGGGACCTACCCAGGTTGGGAAGCGATGGAAACGGTTGGGGCGACGTTGAATTTCACTGCAGGCACGCGAATCTGTCGACTATGAAGGAGAAGCCTTTGCAAATAGTGTGATGATGTTGTGCATCGGTGTATGTATTCGTTTGTTGATAAGCACGGCTGAAGCTAGTCGACGAAATCGAGTCAGCAAGATGTAGAGACCAGATGCAAGTCACTGATAGCCATGTTTCTTGAAGCATGTGAAGAAGCAACGCACACACATCTTTGTCATAGTGGTTGCGCCAATATAGCTCACAGGATGGGTGTGGATCAACGTCTGTTTAGCGGACCAGAGTAATGAAGAGTATGGGGCTCCACAGCCATATCAGTCGAGGCCTTCAGGGAGGAAGACGGTACGGGAAACAGCTGTATTGACCGGTGCAAAGCTGTATCTCACGAAGATCATGTCTGAGATGGTTTCGTCGGTGGAAGTTGAGTTTACAGAATCAAATCGGATAACCAGAAGGCCATCCAACGGTTTTGTATACACATATGCTTGTTCCGGCTGGGTGGATCAGGGCGGGCGGGCGGGTGCGCGGAAATAGCGTGAATTTTGGTGGCCCTGAAAGGGCTTTTGGGCGTCTACATGAGCTCCCAGTTCTCCTCCTGAGCCAGTCTCACCAAGAACCACCTTTGCCTGCAAAGCCCGTACTCTCTTCAGCTTTCTTTTGTCCGCCGCCACCTCGTTGTGACTTCTGCTGGGCAGCCTCGTGCTTGCGAAGCTCTTCAGGCACCCTGGAAATGGCGGATTTCATCAACATCTGCTTCAAGTCGTACATGACATCGGTATCTTCGTTGCCCAAGAATGTGATTGCAACACCGCTCTTACCAGCACGACCTGTTCGTCCGACACGATGCGTATATGATTCGATGTTGGTGGCCATGTTGAAATTGACGACCAAGCTGACATCAGGTACATCGATACCTCTACCTGCAAGATCTGTGGCTACCAAAACGTCGGTGGAGCCATTTCTGACAGAGAGCAATGCTGCTTCCCTCTGCTCTTGGGTCTTGCTGCCATGTAACGTAACCGACGAGAAACCCATTTGCTTGATATCTCGCGCGACCGCGTCGCAGTTGCGCTTGATGTTGACGAAGACAATGATAGGAGGTCTAAATTCGCGGGATGCGAGTATTTCCGCAAGACGTTTCTTCCGCTTATCCTCTCCAGAGACGAATTCAACGCGCTGTTCCACCGTGTCGACAGCTTCTCCCACGTTCCCAATTGTGACAATGGCTGGCCTTCGTAGGTATTTTCTTGCGATTCGTTCCACTGCCGAGGGCATGGTAGCTGTGTACATCATTGTTTGTCTGTATCTATCCTTCCCACCAATGTGCTGTGACATGACCTTCGCATCTTCCGCGTCTTCTGTGTCCGGCTTTTCATTTGCGACAGGGAGAGCATCCAAGATCTTGTTGACCGGCTCCTCAAAGCCAAGGTCGATCATCCTATCTGCTTCATCCATGATCACATAGCAACATTGGCTAAGGACGATAATGCGTCGCTCGATACAGTCGACAAGCCGACCGGGTGTGGCAATGATGATTTCCGCACCGTTTCGTAGGTTGTATGCTTGCTCTTCGAGTGAATGTCCACCCACTATACTGACGACATTGAAATCAAGAGGCCCAGCAAACTTTCGGGCCTCAATCTCGATCTGCTGAGCCAACTCGCGAGTTGGAGCAAGAATAATCGCATATGGACCATCATTTCTTCTCCACTCGAATTCGTCCAATCGTGGTAGTTCAGAGATATAGACCAGAAGCGGAAGAAGAAATGCGGCCGTCTTTCCGGAACCAGTAACGGCGACACCGATCAAATCTCGTGACTGAAGAGCGATGGGAATAGCAGCGCGCTGCACAGGCGACGGATCAGTGTACCCGACCTCCTCGATGATGTCTAATAGGCGCTTCGGCAAGCCAGACTCTTTCCACGAGCGCATTGGGTTCGGTATGCCGCCACCTTTCGTGCTGATGTTGAAATCCTCCTTGAATATGCGCCAGTCTCTCTCCCGCATATGTTCAAGCTTCTTTTCACTCCAGTGCTTGTCGATGGCAGTCCTGCCGCCCTCCTCTCGTCTCTTTCTTTCCATTTCCAGAATCTCTTTGGCCCGTGCCGATCCGGCTTCATGGTCTCGGTCTTGTAATGCAGCAGCATATTTCTTTGCAACCTCATCTGCGGCCTCATCGCCGAAGCCAGCTAGACGACCGCGGCCAAAGAAGTTCGCCTCGGCTCTGTTCTTGTACAAGGGATTGTAATCAGGGCTCGTGTCCTCCTCGACATTCCACTCAAAATTGAACTTCTTCTCTGTGGTACGCCGTCGCTTCTTCTTGGCTGAGAACGTAGACGTGTTCTGTTCAGCTCCCATGTACCTTTGCTTGATCAATGCTGCTTGTGCCGCCGTCGTCTTTGCATCTTCGTCAAAGGCTCTCTTGTTCGATCGTGAATCCGACGCGCGAAACGCAATGGCCTTTGGTGCTTCAGGTGGAGCCATGTCATAGCCTTTATTCGCTTCTTTCGATCGCATTGCAGCCGGACCGGTCGGAACATCGCCCTGCCTCTGCGCTCTTGGGCCAGTGGGTATCGACGACTGGAAGGCTCTCTTCGTGCCATTCGAACTTTCCTGCAAAGGCCGCGCCAAACCATTGACTTGTTTAGCTTCATTCATAGCGATGGCTTTTGCCCTTTTTGCTTCTTCAACTTCTTTCGCCCTCTTCTCAAGGGCAAGCTTTTCTCGTTGAGCTTTGGATAGAAACTTGGGCTGTAGAATGCCAATGTAGTCAGTATGGGACGTTGTAAGGATTCTGCATTATCTTGCGTAAACATTTCGCAGCAACGTACGACAGGACAAGGACTTCACACGTACCTTAGAGGCAGCCTCCTCCGCTTCTCGCTTCTTCCGCAGAAGCTCTTCCACGCTCAAAGGCGCAGCCTTTGGTTTCGACCCCCATCCCGTCTTTTTCCTTATCTCAGGATTCGGCGACGGCGCGGGTGGCTCTGAAACCTCTTCGATGACTTCAGGCGGTGGAGGTGGAGGAGCAGTCTGATCTGGAGGTGGTGGTGGCTCAAAAGACTCTGGTGGAGGGGGAGGAGCGGACAAATCCGATGGTGGAGGAGGCGGTGGAGGGACCACTTCTGATGGTGGTTCTGAGGGAGGTGCAGGAGTATGGAGATTCTTATAGCCATTTACCATGAGGTCCTCCATGATTACTGTACTTGCGGAGCGTTATCAGGTATGACAGTCGAAGAGTACCTAATTCTCTACGTAGTAACTACTCCGTAAGGTCGCCCAAGGTTGTATGCCAAGCCTTAGATTCGTTGGATTCGGAGATGGCCACAACGGTCACAATGGTCACACGTGGGTGTGATGGTTTCATGAGGAGTCAGTACTAGAGTAATCGACTATTATCCTGATGCTCACGACTCTGAACTGCAAACCGCCTGCATGGTGGTGCAATGCGACCAAGTCTAGCTTGCTACAAGGTAGTAATATTAATGAGGCTGTCTGAGGCGCGGACTTCATGTATTCAACGTCTATGTACATGTAAGGTGCCTGCCGAGTATCTGCGCAAGGTCTTCTCGGTGGACTGGACGCCAGCAGAGCACCTAAAATCCTCTCTCGAGTTCTAAACGCAGAGGAAAACCAATAACAGAAGAACAACCAAGCTGAAGGGTGCTTTGACGGGTATGTCTATCGCACAAAAGGGGGCTAGATTCGACCGTCAGTACCCTTACAAATCACACACCAGCGACATGACTGACCTGTCCATTGCTCAGCAAAACATCTTTCCCCATGTCCACAGCTCTGGCCCTTGCCACATTCTGCACTGACGCAGGTCCGTTGATTTCTCGATCCAACATCATGTATTCCTTGGCAGCGTCTTTGGTTCCTCTTTCAAGGAGATACACCATATAGGTCGACAGTAGCTCCTGCATTGCAGCCGGTGGCAATTTGCTCTTCATCTGGATATCATCCGCAACGCGCTTGATATGCTGGTAATGACTCTGCTCTGTTTCAGCGCTTGTAGGCTGATCCAGCTCGAACTTAAGGTAGCTCGACCAGAAGGGCATGCTCTCAAGATACCAGTGCTGATTCTTTTCGTAGACCTGCCTGGCATCGTTTGGCGAGCCTTTAATCTTCCAAAGCAGTCTGGCCCATTCGGCAACCAGCGCTGCTTTGGCAGAGATGTCGCACGTCTGTGAGTCGATATGTGATTTGTATACCTCAATGGCAGCTTCGAGCCCACCATGCCTCCGTGACATATTGGCCAAAGAGACAATGGTTTCCACATGACCGGGCATGGCAACAAGGATGGCTTCGTGGATGTCCTTGGCCACGTCGACTCGACCAGACATCTCCTCGAAAAAGGCATATTGTAATCTCATCTGCGGCAGAGCGATGGGGACATAGAAACAAGACGCCCGTTGATAAATGTTGCGAACTTCTTCCTCTTTGCCTGGTTGGCCTAGCATCCAGCGGGCATAGCGAAGCCAGAATTCATCATATTGTGCACAAGCGACTAGACATCTTTCGTATAGGAATCCTGCCCGGGCATAGTCGCCTTCGGCTTCCTCAAAGTCTAGGTATTTGCGCCAGTTCGACAGTTGTGGCTCGTCGATTTCTGTAACGTGGAAATACGGTCGCTTGATCTCCGATTCATAAGTCCATCGTTTAGTAGTTTCCGCTTGCGTACGGTGGAAGATATCGAGATGGAAAGCGTCGATGCGGGACCGAAGATCTCGCTCAACTTCCACATCTGCTCTACCTGAGTTGTACCCCAGCCCTTCATTCTCCAAGTCCATCCGAAATTGCGTTAAAATGCTGGCGGGCACCAGATCTGTCAGCTGGCGGGACTGTGCCAATTGACGGTACTTTTCGAAGTAACGGGCATATTGGTGCATCGGAATGTTGATGATTCTCGCGAGAATGGTAAAGATCTTGTCTACCGCATCCATTCTCTCCTCAAACTCTAGATATTTGTCCCAGAAAGGATGGGCCAGAAAATCCAGTCCAACGCTGTTGGCACCTCTCTCGAATAGCCTGCAAACAACTTATCAGCATACTGGTCACTTCACGAGGGATGGGGGAGGAAGGAGAAGGGAGGAGGGCAAACATGGCACTTGAACGTATGTGGTGGTGTGTAATACAAGTCCAACAATTGTCATGAGCAGACACCGCCAATTTTTAGGGCAAATTCGGTGGAAGCTGACGAAGCAAAGAAAGCGCCTGAATTTCAAGTGTGAGAAACAGTCGAAGGAGGTATGGGTACTCGAGTGACGATCTCACCCAGCTTTCCACTCAGCCTGCTGTTTCAGGATACTGATCCAATCTTGTCTCGATGTTGTTCGTGTGCTGCGTTGGTACATGGTTTAGAGGAGGAAATTGACCCTGCACTACTTACTCTCGAATGACATCGGAGTCATGACTGGTATCGGTCTTGAAGGAGCAATAATTGGACCAGAGGTCGACGGAATTGGTGATGCTTGCAACGCCACGCTCGTATACCTATCTGTCGTTAGCTGGTGCTTCTGAGCTTAGAATATGACCACACATACCATTTCTGCAGCCTCTGTGCCTGCGATTGAAAATTCCAGATCTGCATATTTTTTCCAATACCCAAAGAAGAGTGGAAACTTCGCTAGAAACCGATCATAGATGTCTCTCATTGCTGTGATTGCTTGTGGGCTCGAGTTTCGATTTATGCCTCCATCGACCGACTCTACCGCGCGAACCAGCTTTTCCCAAGCCTCGTAATTATCGCCGTCCTCAAGCTAGAGGACAGGTCAGTGCAGTCGCCAATAGACAAAGACACGGGCGTTACATACTACTTCCGCGTTGAGCTTTTTAAGCTCTGCCGTTTCGTCGTCATTGCCGCCAAAGGCATAGTCGGCCATGTTGTAGGCGGCGATCTTTGACTATAAGCACGATTGTTGTGTTGTGATGTTCAGTCTTAGAATCGGCAAGGAGTTCTAGTCAAGATGCTGTGCAGATGTTTCTGAAGGGAGGAAGTTACGAAAGCATCTGTGAAGGAGGCTCGGAGGCTCTGAGGTATGAGGCTCCTGTACGAGGCTGTGAGGCTCCGTTGCGGAGAGAGAATACTACGTAGGGCAGTGTGCCGCTAAGCTCTTTCCGGAACAACATAGTACTACGTATAACATGAAGCTCTAAATCGATGACCCATATCAATCTTGATATCCTTCCATACTGGTCAACAGTGCACACAATGGAGACAATATCATCCAGTCTCTCTGCTTCTCAGCCGCTGCCACAACGGCTTATGAACTTTTTTGCTCGATATCCACCCAAACTATACTCTGCAAAATTAACCGGAGCGTTCATACCACTCACACGACCCCCTAAACGAGCATCGCAGCAGACCTCAAAAGCTGGATCACCAATTCCCAACACATCCACCACATCAAACACCTCCTCTTCAGGCACTAGCGCTCCTATGATAGAATCTACTTCCACACCACCCCCCGAGACCCCATCATTTCCAATTGCATCAATGGAAGAACTTCCCCCCAATCCATTCCTCCCCTGGCGCAACCCAGAAACCAATCGCTGGCGACCGCCGCAATACTCCCTACGCCGGCAAGCAGATCTGGTCAAGCTTGCGCAAAAGTACGGTGTTGAGCCCCTGTTACCACCAAGCCGCAAATCGTCGGCGTTCAAGGAAGCCAGGATATTAGAGAAGGGCCTGAGGGTGAGAGGGACGGGTGAAGGACAGAAAGTGAAGGGACATAAATGGGAGAGAAAGATGCCAGCGAAGCTTGAAGTGAGGAGGAAGGCTATGGAGGGTATGCCGGAGTTGATCAGACTTTGGAAGCAGGTAAGTTTGTCCGTGGCTTTGAGTGGAAAGGGGGTATTGTATGCTGACAGGATTGATAGATGGGTCATGGAAAAGGATGGAAGAAGTATCCAAGATAATCTTCACTATATCACTTATTACCCACATTCATGGCTTTTAATGCCACCTCTTCCATTCTTGCCTGAAAGAAAGTGCTCCATCAGGGGTAGCGTTCTAGGAACTCATGGACCTATGAACCACCTCACCAGGGTCATACTGTGGTTCATCTCACCTCTACACGATTTGCCTGATCAGCCTACCGAGCCCACAGTCAAAAGAACAAGCGCCATTCCGTCGTAGGCAAGACTCACTCTTATCATCACCTCTACCTGTATGCACAGCTCAAGGGAAGCCAGCTATGTCAAAAGGAACAAAAACGTGCAGCGACACTGCAATTCCCACAATAATACCACGTACCCAGCCCTCTACAATTGTTGTATAGGGAGTTTGCATCCCTCTTAACACTGACAGCGACAACAAAGCCTATTAACAGCTCTGAAACTGAGTCGTCGCCTGTGTTTCCGCAATGCTACACAGCACTCAGTGCAATATGTACTTCGTCTGACACAAACGTGTAATTCTCTTCTTCAGGCATGTTATGTCGCTGGGTCTTCCTATACAGGCAGTATTTCGCTACAATATCATTGGGAATCCAGGAGACAATACGCAAAGATGCAATTACTTACAGGATGCAACATCTATGTCTAGCTCTAACTCAGTCCGTGTCTGAGTCACTCCTCAATATCACATTACGCGCTCAAGGTTCATCATGACACAAAAACACACACGGAGAGAAAAACAGAGAAAAAAGAGAAGACGATAGGACATAGAGAAGAGACTTATGGCATCAGCCAGCTCGTCTTTATGCCGAGCTCACATGCAATAGATGTAACAAGAGTTACAGAATACAGTTTCCTAGCGAAGGAAAAAGGTGCGGAGCGATAGATTAGCAAAGGAGCATTGACCAAGATCATTCGAGACGGTAATGAGGCGCATAATAGCTCGCAGTGCCTTACCCACACTACTCTCGGGAACGGCTCTCTCATTCAACTTACCACCATCACTTGTGGCCAATTCTGATACTGAGGTGTTGGGCGACAAGCTATAAAAAGCGAAAGGACTGACAATTTGTGAAGAGTGGTAGAGAATATAAAGTTTTGAGATTTGGTGTATAATAGTCAAATATTCCCCAAACAACTTCCCCCTATTTAGAAAAGAAGAGAACCACGTTGCAATGTGCACATTTCCTAGAGATTGCACTCCTCTTGCAGCGCCACATGCCAAAATGCATTTCCATCATTTCAAGAATTTCTCATTCCAGTTCTGCATGAGGTAACTCTCGTGAGAGCTCTAATAGGGAGCCCCTGGCCCCCTCTGCATCTGCGCCGCCATCGAGTCACTCTGTCGTTGCATAGCCGGGCTGGTCAAGGGTGAAGCATAAGCGCCCGGAATTGGAACAGCTGCATAAGTCTGTTCGCCCGGTGCAGCAGCCACATGCTCGTTCTGCCTTTCTTGGGCGGGTGGGGGTGAATTGGTTGGTGTAGGGGCAGAATCGAATCCGTTTTGAGGTGCGCGTGGAGTTGCGTGATGCACTTTGATGGGAGGTGCTTGCAGTTTAAAAGGCGAGGACCCATGTGTGCTAGATGGCGATGGAGTGACGAATTGCGTCTTGGAGTAGTTTTCACCATTTTCGGCAGCTGAGTACTCGTCGCCTCCTCTCGTTGGGAAGGTGGGCGAACGCATGCTCTGTGCGAAGCCTGGAGTATTGGGGGCAGATTGAGAACGGAGTTGGGCGAGATAGAGATCCGATCGAGCCTTGTCACGCACATCCATACTCTTTCGAAGCCTGCGCTTGCTGTAGAATCGATAGAAGACAATGGCGTAAATGGCGATGGTGATGGTTTCAACGACAATCTCGATGATGCAGCAGACGAGCGCCCACTCCTGAAGGCGGCATACGAGAGCATAGCCAACGTCGTCTTTGAACAATTCCCTCCTCCTGTTGTCTTTACAGCTCCAACCCCATATATCTTGGCCGTTACCATTGTTTCTGCTGCTATTTAGGACGGCAGCGCCCACAGCCCACATAATAATACTGAATGCAAAGAAGAATACTGCAAAGACGGTGTAGTAAACAGCGGCTTTTTCGGCACGTTTATGGCCCCCTCGCCAGTAGGCGTAGAAGATTCCAAGAGCAAAAACCAGCGAAATACAAGCAATGACCAAGAGCATAATTTGTGGCCATGGCTTAGAACTAGCAGACCAGGCAGGTAGGTTGTTTCGGGGTGGAAGAGTTTTGGTGGCATTGAAGATCGTAAAGGTGGTTGCGACAAGGGCGAGGACTATCAAAGAGCAGGAGAAGTTGACGCCGCGGAGCATCATCTTAGCCGCCCGCACACGGGTCTTAATTTTCTACAAAGAAGTTAGCAATAGTTGCAAATTTGCAAGATTGACTTGAGAGGCTCACCAGATCCTTTGCTTGTTCCTTTTCTGTATCTTCCTCATGCTTCTCAAGGATTTGTTCTTCCCTGAACGTTGGGCTGAGCGGGTTTAGCATCCTTCCTGGAGTTCCTGGGGTCTTAAGAGCAGATTTCAAAGGTGGGTTTGCATTTGGATGTAAAGTTGCTTGTTGCTGAACAGGCTCATTTGAAATATATCCAAATCCGACGTCGGACGGTTGTGATTGTTGAGCAGCCATGTTGGGCGGGTCTGCGAATGGCGAGCGATGCTCGGTGGGACCAGAGACAGGCGAGTTGACAGAAGTTGCCTCTGCGAAACGCGCTGTTCGGGCAACTTTTTGGGAAGACGAGGAAGAGCTAGAACTGGTCCTGCTTGATCTTGTGGTTACCGAGGGAGCCGTCTTCTCGGACAAGTCTGCAAAGCCGACTGATTGTTGTGGTCTATTGCCGCTGACGATATCAACAGGGGAGACAGGATAGAAAGATTGATTTTGCTGACGAAGCGGCGTCGACATTGCGGTTCCAGCAATGCGGGTTGTTCGGGAGATTTGCTAATGATGTGGGGGCCAGCGAATTAGATGATAGAAGCCAAATAGCGACTCTACGAGTCCAGCTCTGGTCGTCAGTAGGTATGAAAGTGGAAGAGATGCAGAGAGCAGGTTGAGGATTGCGAAGCCAGCGCTGGAGGGAGAAAAGCACAGAGAGAAGAGAGGATTGTGTAGCAAGGTGAAACTTCGGAGGACGAAGATAGGTCAGAGAGGTCGATGCTGGATCGATAGCGGATGTCAATCTACTCCATTTTCGTTATGTTCGAGAGCGGGCGCTTGAAGAAAGCTTCCATATGGAGGTACCACATGTCCCATAAAGAGGCAGCGGTTCTGGTTTCGAGGCTGGGATGGTTGACAATTAGATTGGGCTCTTCCGGGCGGCACTGGACCATTAGGCAGGTGATGGACATGCATGATTGGAGCATGGCTGTCGAGTCGTCTCACACACTAAATCCTTCCGACTGCCAATCTCTCAGTTCCAGCGCCTATGAAAAACGGACACAAGGTTGTGGCTTGTGGTTGGTTGGGCGGGGACTGACGCTAAAACATGCCATGACCGTTTGAGTCTCGCTTCAATGCAGGCACAGGCATAGTTATACTTTGCATCCGTACGGAGTAGAGTAGCTTGAATCGTGTTCTATGAATTTGTGGTGTCGTTTTGTGCCAATGTTTGATTAGCAGATTGGCAATGCGTACTAGGAGAAGAACGAGTCACCGAACCCTGGCGCAGATGACAAAATTAGATGCGGCCTGAATCGCTTGAATTCGTTCGTCTTTAACGCATATCCTTGGAAGACCAGAGCGGCTGAAACTCAAGCGCTGTGGAGAGAGAAATGGAGAGGAAGGATGATCATGCCTGGGCCTTGCCACGGGTGGGAGCTAGGGCGGCTAGATTACTTGGGGTTTGCAAATGCGGAAGAACCTGCATGGACAAGCCCTGCAACACACTCTCGGCTTGCAGCATTCTCTCAAACTTGATTCATCAGATATCCTATCTGTACTGGGGCGGGCTAGCCAAGGGCTTACAAGTATGCAATGCAAATGTCAAGGGTAGGGCTAGAGGCGATAATGTTGGCTAATTATGGACCTGTCAACCGTGCATGGCGCTTCATCGTATTTGTTCTACAATTGAGGAAAGATCATCCTCTGAAAACATACTATGTATTACATCGGCGGAGAAAAACAAAAAACGAACAGTCCGAACGCCTACCGTCGACGTCCACGGAGAATAGAATCCGATTGCAGCTAGGTAGCACACCTTTACCCGCACACTCAGCTGCAAATTATCATGATCCAGCACTCGATTTGACTACGGCAACCTCAGCACGAACGGGAACATTTTTCTGTCTGCTGGCATCGGGAAACCCGCCAACTTCCACTCCATTCCTGAACAAGAGGCAATGTGTTGATCCACCGAAATGGAACATCCCAATCTGATCGCCCTTTTCAACGTGCTGACCCTCCTTGACCGTGATATCGCAGGTCGAGACCTCGGCCATGCCCACCCCCAGGAATGCCATCAGACCGATAGCAGGATTGTCCGCTTCGATGAAGATAATGGCACGTACGGCAGTGGCAGTGATGTAGCCTTGTCCAGTCACCTCTCCCCCTTCATCAGCTCCATGGGTGGCATCAAACTCTTCGAAAAGAGGCTCGGAGAAGTAAGTCCCGTCTTGTACATAAGCTTTGACAATTCGACCTGCCACGGGACTGTGCCAGCGGTGGTAGCTGAGGGCGTTCAAAAATGCTTGATAGACTGTTCCGCCTATAAATTGCTCGGTAAGCTCGTCGTGAGCTAACATATCGCTGACCGAGTACGGTTGTCCCTTGTTCCAGAATTTGTCACGAGCTTTGACCCCATATGCAACATTGAAGGGGGTGGACTCGCAAGCATTGACGATGACATCTGGGTTATCTGGAGCAGCAACAGGTCTGATGCCTTCCTTAAATTGGCGAGTGAAAAAGTCATCCCAGGATTTGAAGCCATGGTGCTTGGCTGAGGGATTGCAAATGAACATTTCCTCGAATGAATAGGACGTCTCTTCAATGTTGGCAGTCTTTGCCAGTTCTTTTACTCCAGTGTCACTGAACCAGCTACTAGGATTGCCTTCTTCGAGAACCTCAGCGGATGCGGGAGATGCAAGATATTCGGCCCAGGTATTCAGTACCTTTTTCAACATAGCATTTACCTTCGGATCCAAGAAAACAGCAAAGCCGCTTTTAGTTGCCATTGGCCAGTCGAAAAGAGCGTTGATGGGGAGACCGACCAGACCAACTCTTTCCGACTTGTTGCTCCATGATGGGGCAGTAGTCAAGAGATGGTTGAGGACGCGGAGCATATGGTCACAATCGTGGATCTGACGATGGCCGGTAGGATCGTTGTTGTATGGCTTCTTGTTTGGAATTTGTTCAAACATGGAGGAGAAGAGCAGATATATCCGCGTGTCTTCTTCGATCATGTCTCGAAACTCTTTGATCACAGGGTGGAGCTCTTTCGGATGATTGTCGACATAGTCAATGATATCACCGAGCCATTCCTTGTGGACGCGGTGATCCTGTGGCAGCCACTTGCCAGTTCTTCATGGTTAGATTGAGCTTGATGGGATAACGGGCGGTCTTACCTATTCACCCGATGCTCCTCTGGTACATGACTCTCAGAATCCATGCTCGGCCAAGTGCTTGAGTGCTTGGCTAATTGGGAGTTTCACGTAGGATTGCAAGTGATAATACCTTCTCGAGTTACTATGATTAACTGAAGAATTTTTTGTCGGAAGGACATGATCACACTTACGTCATTTGCTTAGTATCCTGGTTACTGCTAGTTAGGAGATGTAGTGGTAACTATCGTGAAATCTGTAGCATTTCTTCCATCCTCTCCATCCCTAACACACAACAAAGATCGATGTATTCGATCGAAATGCTTTGTAAGGTCGACTGCTTCAATTATCCTATGGCTGCCATCCAGCATAATGCTCAGAGTAACGGACTCTCACCGCCATGATGAGCCAAAGCCGCTTGGCGGCTCTGGGGCTACTTGATACAACAAATCTCGCTACCCAAATTTTCCTCCAGAAAAAGGCTTCTCCCCCTCTATACTGGTGACCGATAAACCTTGCACAAATGTTCACATTCCGCTCTAAATTATCAGAGGAGCATCTGTGATGGTCTAAGAATAGAAGCATGCCTGAAAGAGGTAAGTGTTTAGGACAACCCTCCAAACTCTTACGTATTACGAATGGACGGATGCAGGGAAGCTCCGCCGGCTTTCGTTGCTTCATATATTAGGATGAGCAGACGTCAAATAACTATTCTAAGAATGCTCCAACATGGATTGAGTTGTCTTAAACATGCTTGTAATAGTAAGTTATCAATCAAGAACCACATGACCAATTCCAGGACGTTGATGCTACCTGGAGAGCTCTGGCGGGTATTGGCGAGACCTGCAACTAGCGCCCGTGGAATGGAAGAATATGGCCGTGGCGCTGTGAAAGAATGATCCTTGTATGTGTAACTAATAAAACTGAAATATTACATGGAGATGGGCTAGCAGTGGCGTCCTCTCTGTGCCCTTGTTCTGGTTTGCTTGTTTTATCATCGTCATCCACTTTGCCAATCTTGATCTCTAGCTCTGCGTCGTACCTTTCTATTTTGCTTTAGCATATTCCAATTCCCTTTTGCACCACCCCATGGCCCGTTGAGAGTGTTTTGGAAGCCGTTTTGGCACACTTCCCTCGGACGGAGGAGTACCATGAGAACCCGTCGCCCACCAGAGGCCCCAGATACTTCCCCACAAGAGCCCTTGATAACTCGCGTACGAACGGTGAACACTTTCTTACTCGCTAGTGATGTACACTACCCACAGCACAGCGGGACCAGCAACTCAACAGCACCGTGGAGTCGTGAAGGGAGGAACATCCAACATTCTAGACATGTGCACGGTGTGCAGTCCACTCCGACACCGCATATCATGTACGACTGGGCTGTTTCCGGCTTGCATCGAACTCTGTGTCCTGGATATCTCTACTACTAGAGTTATTACATCGACCTCACCAACGATCTTAAGCGCGCTATCCTAGACCTCCATGCTGAAAAGAAACATAATCATCAATAACAGTGTAAGTAGGCGACTAGACACAATAGGCACAGTACCTGGGTTTAGGAAATCCGTAAGAAGGCAGAAGGCAGCGTCTCACTTCACCGGCATATTGTCCATGACTTATAGATAATTACTGCAGAGCCTATCATGTTTTAAATCATTGGGACTAATGTAGAATAATCTAGTTGATCATGGGGGACGCTGTGAAGTAGAAAGAACTTTTGATTCTGAATGTTAGGGGGCTTCTTCTGCCTTTCTCTGTAGTGTTTAGTGATGGAGTCGCTGATGGATGCGAATGTTCTTAATGATACTATAGAGCTTGTTTCTCAGGCATAGTATATACCATCCTCGGTAGCAGTCACGACCTCACTCGTAAAAGTGCAATGCTCAATCTCTCCTCAGAACAATTGCGCACGACGACCCACCGTACCCGTCCTAGCTCCGGTCCACATCATCTGGGCAGGGGTGGCAAGCCGTGCTGATGACCAAACTACAATTTTCCGTCGCTGGGACGTTTTGATCCATCTTCCGCAGCAAGAAAGCCAGTATGACGAGCAGAAGACCGATCCACGTGAGACCGAAGATGGATACGCTCAAGATGGAGTAGCTGCATGTGCATTCTGATTCTGAAGGTATAAGCTTTCCATTCACGTCACGAATCTCATGGCGGGAGAGGAAAAGTGACTGAGACAGCAGCCAGTACAAGATGCCATATACTGCGTATGGACCGTTTAGCTGTATCTCAGTCAGATACGGTAGCGGACAAGGCGAGTGGAGGTATATCCGTTGAGCCCTCTCCAGGTATGAATCGTGACTCTGTATGTCTGCTAGAAGCTGAACTAGATGAGAAGGTTGCTTTCCATTCAGTCGTTGTCACTTGGGATGCTTTAACATTGTCACTTCATTACCTGCAAGATTCCGTGCATTGGCATCTCTCCAAAGTACCTGGTGGGGGATTTCGCGCACACCGCAGATACTTCTCGTATCAGACATGTGTATATGACAAGAGATGTAGTGCTCCACCAGTATAAGGAGCGAAACCTGTGAGAATCCTCTCGTACTGGCTCTTCACATGGGTGCAAGTATCTCTGCAACACGAGACGTCTGCGTACAGGTGACTGCATTTGGATAGAAGACGACTTCTGCTCACAGAGCTTGATCTTTGGTAAGAATTGATCCATGGACCAAGGCACACACAGAGGCAACGTGCATAATCTTCCTGACCCAGCCATGCCCTGCCCCCATGCGCAGTAATGTGTGCAACATGACTTTCAAGTGAGGGGGAAATGGTCCCTTGAGATTGATAGAGGGGGCATCTCCTGCGTGACTTATGCAGAAAACTGTCAATACAGTGTGCCCAAGAAAGAGCCTTGCGATGTAGGAGCTGTTTCAAATCTTTGGTGATCCTTCCGAGGCATCGTATGCCTGTTCAACCTGAGTGGAGACATTTCTTTGAGTTGCGAAATACACTAACTGTGCTTCTGGGAGGATACTGGACGATGTATGAGAAATTACAACGATATTCTGCTGCGGCAGTGGTTGTGCAAGGGCTTGTCCATGTTACGTGCAAATAATCCGTCAATTGACTAGTGGCGGCTATTTGCTACATGAATGATATTGATCGGTTATAACCAGGTGATTTTAGGTTTCAAGGTGCATATTGTTCGGGTGTATAATGGCTAACAAGCAATTGACCAATTCTCTGAGGGTGGAGCAGATGAAAGCTGCCTACCTAGTTCGTAGTAGTAGATGGTGAAAGCTGAGATACAGAGCACCAAGCCTGATGATGCACGTGATATCTCTGCTCACAGAGGAAATGTCGAGATGGTGTTCTACCAAATGGAAAAGGTTCATGATGGTAAATGTGATACGATACTAAAATCATGGAAGCAACTGCAGTGCAACTAGCTAGGATAAGCATGCATGCTAGGAGATCCCCGCCCATGTGGCAGGCGAAGGGTGGCGTACGAGGTATGGCTGATCCTAGCTAGACGCCCATCATTTGCCACCCCACCACCGAGTGATACTACTGCTATCTTTAGCTCAACAGTACCTGATATCTGTATGCAAGGCACGAAGGATTGGCAGCACGAATTTCTGAAGCAAGCGCAATAGCACAAACTTGGCCTGATGCTGTAAGTGTACATGAAAGCTCTAAAACCGGAGTCTATCGCTTCGCAATGCGGACACGAAGCATGAAAATGATGTGTTTGTTTACACGGTCCAATGCAGGGTCTTCCGCTGACGTCATATTCGTCGCTCATGCCTTTTGCACCTTTGGTGTGCTTGAAATGTTGTCCATCTTGATGACAAGCACTCTTCGTGGCTTCGACTCCATCTTCTTCTTTCTGGCCTCCAGAAGCTTCTTCTCCTGCGCGAACTTGGCCATTCGCCCTTCGTTGCTCAACATAGCTACCTCCAAGTTTCGTGCGGCCGCGTTCAATCTTTCTTGAATGAAAGCTGTATGGGATAGAGTAGCGTCAACTCGCTCGAGCCCATTCTGACGCAGCGAAAGGATTGGCTGAGCCCACTCCTCATCTAGTGTTAGATGACAAGGCCAGTCGTGGAGCTCAAGATCTAGCCGTAACGTCTTAAGATCTGTCATCTTCTCACTGATTTGCTTGCATGTCGTTGACCATTTCTTATCGTCAATTATCTTGAACTTTCGGTGCTCCGTAAGTTTGGGCTCTCCTTGAGTCCTGTGAGATATTCCAAGTCCTCGTATTGCTTGAAGCGCTCTGAGAGGTGTGATCAAGAGGAATCGGTTGAGGGCCTTTGTTGAGTTGATGCGGAAGAATGTTTTCGCGTACATCACGCAAAGAGCTTCGTTGTAGATCTGACGGCTACTGAATAAGAGATTGAATGGAATGTCGTAGTGAGCTAGATTCCCACCTCCACTGGGTGTCAGGGACAAAACGTCGTGGGATATACGTGAAGGACCTTTTTTGTAGTGTTGGCGACGTCGCTGCTGAGGATTAGATGACTTCTGCGACACTGCACAGGATTGTTCTTGTATGGCCACGGTGGCTTGCTTCTGTGGCTTTGTATCGGCTTTCGAGCTGGGTTGGATGGTCTTGTTGCCTCGCTGCCGCTCCGCTCGTTGTGGAGCACCTGGCCGGCGCTTCTTGTCGTATTGATTGTAAGATTGTCTTTGATAGTGCACGAATGGCCGGTCAATAAGCTCGTCATGAAACTGTGGTTCATTGCTCATTCTCACACCAACCACACATTCTTCGAACACTAAGTCATAGATCTTATTTCTGATCTCACCAGGAAGATCAAGAAACCGAAATATGCCAGATTGTGCCGATTTTGCCTGAATGAGGTGCAACTTTGATGGGATGATCGTCCCAGGAGCATAGTAGGCCATTGTTTAGCTATGACCAGAAGACCACCCGCAGCGACCAATGATATCCTCCGGTGTCAGGGTTCTACCTAGAGTTTGTACATCCCCAGTGAGAGCAAGGTAAGAACAACAAAGGTGAAGCTGAGGAGTGTGGCCAGGTCGTAGAGGATGAGACTCTCACGCTGGACACTGTAGATGAAACTACACCCAAAGTTTGTGCTAGTGGTTTTGTTGTTGAAAGAAGTGGTAAGATGGTGTTGATAGTTGAAGAATGATTGACATCCAAATATGGAGCTGCCGCCTGAATCATGCAGGTGCAGTGAATGGAGCTTCGGACTATTTTGCTTAGCATAGCCCCACCATGACGGAAATGCAGCCTCTACCTCTAGTTATGTGCTACACTAGGATCGACTAGCTGCAGGCTGAATCACCCAAAACATGGAGAAGCGGAGCAGAGAAGGCCTGATTGCAGGTACTAGTACCACAAGCCAATCAATTATTCTGGGGCTGCTCGGACTTGAGCATTGCACCGTCTCCTAAGCTACTAGTTGCATCTGGCGTTGTGGGTACACAGATACTCACCTTTGTCTGATAATTTCATAAGAGAGGAAGCTCCTACGTAGCAAATTCTGCTGCCATTCATCCTATAAGCTGTGGTAGTACCATGGGACTTAGAGTCAACAATCGAGTGGGGTTTTGTAGTTCTTATCTTTTGACCGGCAACTGACCCTGATAACTACTCCGTCCGGGCCGGCGTCATTAAATTTTAGTGCTGGTAATTTAGTTGCCATGATTGACAGCCTGAGAGCCATCATTCCCACCTAGGCGTGGAAAACCTACCGCGCCTCGGTGCCTAGTTAGGGTGATGCCGCCCCAACTCATTCTGGTCTCATCCTGGACCGGAGGTGAGGCCACGGACCGCAGCCTTGATGGTCTTCGAGGCACACTCTTCGTGTTGTACAAAAGATCCTGAAAGCGCTAGTGCTCGAGTTGGTTTGGTACCTCCCCTCCTTTTCTAAGATCTTATATCGCATAATATGTGATCCTTGAAAAGGTCTTCTCCGGTAAGAGCTCGTTAAGATTTAAGAAGTTCACTACTCCTCAAACCTCCACATTGTCCCTTTACCTTTTCATCTACTTCACCCCTTTTTCTCTTTCTCTTCCTTCTGCCTACTGCGCCGCCGCCTTAACCTCGCAGCGCCAGGCGCTGAGGAAGTTCCCCCATTTAATCTTACCCTCCGCCTTGTGCCCTCATTAGACTACATTGCCTCGACCTGTTGATCCAATTGTTGGCCTGGCTGTGAACAGGGCCGCTGATGCGGAGTCAGCTCTACAAGACCCGGCGGCTGGCTATCCACAAGTCATAGTAGCCCCAATACTTATTTACGGAGAGCAGGTCTCAGGCCGATGACCGGCTCCCCAGCCCATGGACCCAGGCCCAGATCACTCGACGATCCGATATTTCTGATATCAAACGCTGAGTCATCTCGATTCTGTCCGGCTGTTGACAATTCTTCTATCAAGCAATGAAACTGCCGTCATCCAATGCAACCTCCAACCTATCAGTCTGAGTGTTGAACCAGAATACAGTGCAATCTCTTACACGTAGTTATGGCCTTATGATCACAAACCCTCTCTGACGTAAAAGAACACTTCCCAGGGTATCGGAAGTTTATAGATATTCGCGAGTGGAGCCAGCCTGAGGGTAACCCCTAATCTATACGAATTCCTATTTCAATTTCGGCGGAATTTACGTAGACCTCCGGGTATCGGGAATGGCGCATACAGCAGTAATGCTGGGGAGGTAGGAATGGCCCTGGATGCATCGGCGCCTTCGTGGATCGATGTTATATGCATCAACTAAGACAATATCGCTGAGAAAATATCTATTGTGAGGGATAGGGTATTACTCCCACGCTGCCTGGCGCTGAATTTAGCCCCTCTGAAGCCTGTGTGGGGACGAACTTTTTCCCCATCAGCTTCGATCGTCTTCTAAAGAAGTCCGTATAATATCTTTTCCACTCCTTACACTCTCTACCAGTCGAGTGTGGGGTCGTACGTAGTACTAGTGTACTCCGTAGGCTGGTTTTAAAGCGGCACGGTCTGAGTAAGCGCCCACCTGGGGTCAGGGCGGTTATTGCCCATTGCAAAAGTGTTGTAGTTCCTTGCCGCATAGTTCGGAGCTGTTGCTGCTTGGGTTGTCATACTGAATCTATATATCGTGCAGAATAATAAGAAATCTATATCATTCAGTAGCTATAGATCTGTTGACTTACAGTGAAGATATTTTGCTGTTTTAGAAGTCTACTCTTTACAGAATAAGTAGATGAAGTTTTGTGTGTAGGAGGATTATCAACTCAAATATGCTTCTTTTTGTAACTATATAATCTATATTAAAGGGATCAAAAGAAGCTTAATTACACATCAATATAAGTATTATGGACCCTAGATCATTATATGGCCTTCCGTAGCTCTTTGGAGCAAAATAGGGAAGCAGCAGCGGCTCTGAAGCATGTGCCAAGGAACTACAACACTTTGCAATGCCAGGGCATTATCACATTGCTTGAGTCACCAAGACCGCATATCTTCACCAGCTTGCATGAACCAATACTATAGCAACTCTTCCAAGGCTTTGCGTACTCAGTGATGCTTAAATCTACACGGTTACCCTCAGTCATCCGCTCAATACGTTCGAACCAGCATCAAGTGTGCAAGACTGCACATAACGTCAGCAGAGCATCCTCCAGTCTCCCATCGAGCAACGCTTCTACTCCTAAAACTCCTCCTCGAAATACCAACGGCCCGCAAGGAGCACCGCTGAGCTTTTTCCCTTTCCTCTTCATCTTCCTTGCCGGCTCTGCTGCGTACGCGTATATGGTCAAGGCTCGTGCCAGTCAATCTCAGCAACCTGTTTCAGGAGAAACCAGGAAAAACGGTCGATATCAGCGAAAGGTCTAGATTTTCTCTACAGTAATACCACCCTCCTCTTCAACAATGCCTGCCATTATTCCTTCTACTGGTCTCCCAGATCCCATTCTCCAACCTGATCCTCCGTTGACATCCTCAAACACTCCTCCTGTTTTCGATCCCGAAAAAGTCACAGTGGTATACATACTTGGAGGCCCAGGGTCAGGAAAAGGGACACAATCCGCCCATCTAGTCCAAGATTATGGCTTTGTCCATCTCAGCGCGGGCGATCTGCTGCGCGCAGAGCAGGATCGGAGTGGTAGCCAGTATGGCCAGTTGATCAAAGACTATATCAAGAATGGTCAAATCGTACCATTGGAAGTCACAGTGAAGCTTTTGGAGAATGCTATGCATGAAAAGATGTCCAATGACGGGACAGGAAGATTTCTCATCGATGGGTTCCCGCGAAAGATGGACCAGGCAGCATTCTTTGAGTCCTCCGTTTGCCACAGCAGATGCACGATATTTCTCGACTGCCCAGAAGACGTAATGAAGGAGAGGCTCTTGAATAGAGGCAAAACCAGCGGAAGGACTGATGACAACGAGGAATCTATAAAGAAGAGGTTCAGGACGTTTGTAGAGACCAGCATGCCAGTTGTGGAATACTTTGAGAAGCAGGGGCGGGTGGTCAAAGTATCTGCTGTGGGCACTGAGCAAGAAGTGTATGAGCATGTAGTGGAGGGACTGGCTGCTCAAGGCATTGCACCACAGAAATAGATTAAGAAAGTCCTGCCAATGGACCTACATGTAGAATAGAATGGCATAATACATAAGCGTTTTTATCTCTCCTTATAATGGGCGGTGATCTCTTCTACTACTCGCTGTAATGGCTGGTCTCGCCAGCATTGTTCGTACTGAATCAGACAGCTTCCACACTCACCAGCTCACTACATTGTGTAGTCCAAGGATTCAAAATTCGAAAGTAAAGACTGGATCAACCTCACGTACAAGCATCATGTTGATTGTGGCTGTGGAAAGTGGCGACGCCAGGGTTGAAAACGTCATCTTGGGCCAAGATTCCAGGCCATATTCCTTTACTGCTTCAGCCAAACTCATCTTTATTGAAGGGCAGTACAGTTGCGGCGGAACAATGTATCGTAATCCTCTTCTTCCCTGATGACTCACTATACACAATCACTTACCGTTGGAAACACTTCTTTCTTTTTTGCCCACCTTTCCGACGTACATAACTCATTCGCGCAAGATGCTACGGGCTTATGACGATGCAAACTCCCTGGCCTGAATTGCAATGTATGCGCCGCCAAAGCGTGAACGTCCAGCTGGACGTACCTTTTACACTACTGTCCTTGCAATATCTACAATCGCCGCTCTCTCCTTCATCAATCACCACCGTGGAAGTGCTGGACTTTCTCATCAACTCGAGGGCAGATCGCTGGGGTTCAGGCGGGATGAAGAGGTGCGAAAGAAGCAATTAGATCCAACTTCATCCTTGCTAACGTTAATTCAGTGTCGGCTTGTTTACAGATCTCCTGACAAGTGCGCCTTTGTGAAAGCCAATTGTCCTGACGAAGAAGCCGGCCTGATATCCTACCTGCAACTCTATTACTGCTCACACTCAAGCGCGCAACCTATCGCCTTCGGAATACTCGTAATATGGATCGGTCTCCTGTTCAGCACGATCGGTATTGCTGCCTCCGACTTCCTATGCATCAACCTGAGCACCATATCCAGCATCCTTGGTATGAGTGAAAGTCTGGCAGGAGTAACATTCCTTGCGTTTGGAAATGGAAGTCCGGATGTGTTCTCGACGTTTGCCGCCATGAGCAGTCATAGTGGCAGTCTAGCTGTGGGTGAGCTTATCGGAGCTGCCTCGTTCATTACCGCGGTGGTAGCAGGGAGCATGGCTCTGGTCAGACCGTTCAAGGTCACTCGAAAAAGCTTCGTTCGAGATGTTAGCTTCTTTGTGGTGGCGGCCTGCTTCAGCATGGTATTCTTAGCCGACGGTAGGCTGCACACGTGGGAGTGTGCCTGCATGGTCGGCTTCTATCTCTTCTACGTTATCTTTGTGGTTACTTGGCATTGGTGGCTTACGAGAAGGCAACGCCGGAGGCTGAGGGAAACAGCTGCCAGATTACACCTTAACATACCACGAACACAGGAGCTTGATGTTGCAGAAGTAGAAGAAGACGAGGAGGCCCCTGCTGGCGAGACCACTCGTCTGCTACGACCCGTTTCTGAGGTTGATTTCGCAGATTTGGAAGGCAATATCACCCCAGCGTGGAAGGAGCCGGATGACGATGACGATGAACAGCGAGACCGACATCTAGCCGAAATACAAAGCAACATGCGTGTGAGCAGACCTCCAAGAGGTGAGCGGAGGAATACAATCAATCCGATCAGGCCGTCACTCGTTGGAGCTCTGGAGTTCCGCTCGGTGCTTAACTCGCTCGGAAAACGAAGTATGCATGCACCTCATATTAATCTGCGGAGGTATTCAGATGATCCATCCGTTGTGCTCGGGCAAGGTAATGCGCAAGCATTGGAAGCTGCTCATGCTAGAAGTCATTCTCATCATCAAGGGGATCCAAGTGGTCTGCGAACTTCTCACAACAACAGTGGACGTGGCAGGGCAGTCTCAGCGAACGACGCAGCAGGGTTGAGGCTCCAGAAACCGGCCCTACGTGGCGGAGATGCTCTTTCTGAGTCAGGGATCAAAATATCGTCGCCTCTGCTAGAGAGCCAGTCCCAGGCCTCCTCGACACCTGGCCTTTCTCCTGTTCTAGGCTCTCCAATACTTTTTGTCTCTCCGCCAGCATCCTCGCAAGCGTCCAGAGATCATAGTCGCGAGCCTCCGCTGATTCGGTTACCAGACCGGCTTGCGCCTCCTGGCCCTTCTTTCCATCGCCCTGATTATTTTGATCAAGCCCACGACCCGAGTCCAGCTTCCAATCTGTGGCCCCACATGGGCAGCAAGCCAGATGTGCCCAAAATATCGATACCCCAACCACCTTCACCGACATCATCACCCTCATCAGCCTTTCCATTGTACACGGATACACCGACGCATTTGACGTCCGCAACGTCCAGGCCACCTAGCATCCGGCTTCCGGCGCCAGCTTTGTCACCCCAGTCAATTCATGAACTGCCGTACGCTGCAGAGGACTATGAGGATTATAACGAGTCGAAGCTGCGTGCATATAAATGGTGGCCTTACAAGTATTTGCCACCGCCTCAAGTGATAGCCCGCACTCTATTCCCAACAATTTATTCATGGCGTGGCAAGAGTATTTGGGACAAACTGCTTGGAATTGTCAGTGTACCCAGTGTTTTCCTTCTGACTATCACCCTTCCCGTTGTCGAGACAGAAAACAAGCGGGAACCTTTGGAAGCACCGTCTGGGCTTATAACGCCTAGAGAGAATCCACGGTTGAGAAGCGGATCCCTGGTTCAATTACCGCTCGACAGCCCAGAGCCTCCAGTGCAGCAATTCGAGGTGCCTACTCACCCCAGCAAACAGAATTCCTTGCAGGTCAATCACGGCCATCCCCTCAACCACCTCGACGACGACATGTCCAAGCCAAAGGAATGGAATCGCTGGCTCGTCTGCCTCCAACTCTTCACCGCACCCCTCTTCACCATCATGATCATCTGGGCGAACCTAGACGACGACCACGACGTTCCATCATTCATCCGTGCCATCCTCTGCTCCCTCCTCCTTTCCCTAGTTTGCCTTCTCATCCTCCTCGCAACCACAACACCCGAGCATCCGCCCCAATACCGCTCGCTCCTCTGTTTCCTGGGCTTCGCCGTAGCAATCGCCTGGATCTCTACCATCGCCAATGAAGTCGTCGGCGTCCTTAAAGCGTTTGGAATCATCCTCGGAATTAGCGATGCGATCCTTGGGCTCACTATCTTTGCGGTGGGGAACTCGCTCGGAGATCTGGTAGCTAATATCACGGTGGCAAAACTGGGGTACCCTGTAATGGCGCTGTCTGCATGCTTCGGTGGACCAATGCTCAACATCCTCCTGGGCATCGGCGTCTCGGGTCTCTACATCACGATCCGTCATGGCGCCAAGGCTCACCATAAACATCCTGATCGGCCGATCGAGTATCAACCATATGAGATTGCGGTGTCGAATACATTACTCATCTCGGGGATCACCTTGCTGGTGACACTGGTGGGGCTGCTGGTGGTGGTTCCTTTGAACGGGTGGATGATGGATCGCAAGGTTGGATTGGGATTGATTTGTCTATGGACCTTGAGCACGATTGGAAATGTGATTGTGGAGGTGATTGGATGGGGCGGGGATTTGGCTGTGTATTGATTGATGACGGCAATGAATGGGATCGGATGGACAGCATCTGCTTGGGCGTAGCATTTGGGCTTGGACGAGGCGTCAAGGAGCATTCAGCGGGTCTTTGGCGCATACCGTACAGTTTTGACTTGGGGCAGAGCTGCATTTGGGATTGGGACATATTCATGCTTGGTCTCTGGAGACGTTTTGGGATATCGTGCATTGCGCGGAGTGATTCTGCATATACGATTCTCCATACTGAATGCGTATCCTACAAGACTTCACAGAATACTCTATGACATGCTATCTGTACACTTTCTCTCATATTATCGTCAAGACTCACACCCACCAAACCCATTCATCACAACTTGGACCTAATACCCGGTTCTTCCAGCCCCATAGCTCCCTCGCCTTCCCTCCCATCCTCGTTCTCCTCTTCCTCCTAAGTTAGTTACAAGTTACAAGTTACAGCAAAAGGCGGAGAGATCTAATCTAATCTCATCTAATCTATAACGATCTAATCTAAGATCATGGACAATGCCAAGATTTCCGATTTCCACCGCACTGCTACTTAGCAAGTATAATATTGCGCTGCCAAAATTCCCCGGTTCTTGACAACCCTTACTTGATCCATCCTATTCGGCAGACAACACAATGCCGGCCCCTTCGAATACTCTGTTGATCGAAGGCTCATTCGCCGAGCTGGTCGACGAGCTTGCGCAATACATCGATACTGTATGCAAGTCCGAGGCAGGTTCCGGCGTCCAAAGTCAGATTGCGCCTACGCTGGGGGAAATTCGTGAGAAGGAGCAAGCAGAAGAGCCGGCCGATCCAGCATCCATACAGACTCAGAAGGATGAAGTGCTCAAGAAAGTTGTGGGCAAAGCTGCGGCGCTAAACACTGCACCAGAGAAGGGTGAGATGGCTCTACCATGATCCAAGGCCCATACTGACAAGATGGGCAGAATTCACGGCCGCCTATAATCTTCTCATACACCTCTCCAACCAGTCACCATCTCGTGATATGTTTCTCAATCGAATATGCTCTTACCTCTCCGAACAGCCCGTCGCGTCCTCCGCTCAATTTGGCCCATCCCTAGCATTGACCACTCTTACCACCATTTTCAATATCCTACCCAACAACTCGGAATCACGCTATCATGTCTTCATGGCAATCCTCAAAGTGATCCGCTCAACTTCGAACAATGCTGCCTTTGACGCCCTTACACCACAACTCAATACAAATGTACCCAAATGGGTGGTGGCATGGGATCTAGACGACGAAGATGCTCGTTCGTTACATGTCGCAATCGCCGATGTCGCAGCAGCCAGTGGGGATCATGACATGTCCTACAAATATCTGTTGCATGGTCTCGAGACGATACCATCTGATTCTGCCTCCGAAGCGGAAAGTCGCGATCTTGCAAAACGAACGCTAGTAGCAGCACTTACCAACCCAACCATAACCGACTTCAATCCTCTGATCGATCGCGAGGCTATTCAAGCACTTCGCGATTCAGACTCTGGTCTCTTTGACCTTCTCAACATATTCGCCTCCGATGATTATGCTGCATATACCGAATTCCTCGAGTCCAACCCGCTTACATCAATAGATTTGCCAGAATCAGCTGCTGAAATGCTAGAGACGAAGATTCGATTGCTGACGATTGCATCGCTAGCGGCAGGTGCTACAAACCGCAGCCTCCCCTATTCGACCATCTCAGATGCACTTCAGATTCCCAAGGAGGACGTGGAGATGTGGATGATCGACGCCATTCGTGCTGGTCTGGTAGAAGGGAAACTTTCGCAGCTGAAGCAGGAGTTCCTGGTCCAGCGAGCAACCTACAGAGTGTTCGGACCGAAACAGTGGAGTGAAATCCAAGGGCGGTTGATGGTCTGGCAACGAAGTTTGGAAGGAGTCTTGTCATTAGTGAAAAGCGAAAGGGAGAAGTTTGAAAGAGAAGGTGCGGGCGGAGATGACATGCAGCAAAATGGCGAGAGGAGATTTGGAGGATACAGGGGGCAGGGTGGCAGAGGAGGGAGGAATCAGAACCATCAACCGAGGGAAGTCGACTTTGTTGGCGGTGATTGATTGAATGACTGAAAGAAGCGACGTCAGCGATTGGAAAGGAGAACATGTGCGTTCGTGCATGGTATCCCAGGTCTCTTGAGACAGCCAACATGTCCTAGCATGTCCTCGGCAGGTTTGATGGATCAGTGGTGAGAGCATCACCATGCCTCCCAGCATTCGCCTTTTCCGACTATTATTCTGCGGGAAAAATATGAATGCTGCGCCCAGGGTGGGAGTCGTTCAGCACAAAGGCCGCCTCCTTGTCCGATATCGTCACATCTATCACGTCTTCTCTGTTGAGGGATTTAGCGATTCCTTCGTTACGCCTGAGTCGTCCGCTCCACAAATCAGGGCCAAGCTTCTTTGTCTCTTGTACTCAGAATTTCTTGGTCCCGCCTCTACCACTGACAACCTCTTTTATTGTTTCTTTGTGCTTTGACAGGGTTCTTGCTTCGTCTTTGTCCGCCTACACGCAATACGTATCTATGCCATGCTTCTTGAAATACAGAGTCATTCCCATGGTGGAGAAGCTTCGTGTCTCGCAACCGTTTTTTCGGCCGTTTCGAGCTTCCGGCATACCAACTATTTCCCCATTCGACTGTCCACCGCTTCAGAGCTCTACTCAAAGAACATTTCCTTCCACTTTAGGAAAGTGAAGCACTGATATAACTTTACGAAGATGTGTCGAACATTCACCTTCTACCACCTCTGCGGCCACATCCACCATAACCACACCATCTCCTGCCCCAGCCCCGTCCCTTTCACCTCCTCTCCACCTCCCTCTCACTCCCCTTCCCCGCCCCATCCAGACATCAGGATCCTCTCCCCCTCCCCTTCCTGTGCCATCGTAGTCAACGAACCCCACCACTACCCCACCCTCTGCAACTCCTGCAAAGCAGTCGGCATTATATCGGACTGGTTCGCCAAATCGCCGCACGCCCGGATCGAAGCCATCATGGAGTGGCGGAAGCGGGAGGATGGTAATTTGTCAAGAACGAGAGCGTCTTCTACACCGCCTGCCAACGCATTGCACGTGTTGGATCTTGGGGATGCAAGCAGAGGCCCCGTTGCTGATGATGGAGAGGAGCTGGAGGAGATGCCTCTCATAGAGCCGGAGGGTCTGTGTTCCAACTCCAACAGAGAAGGTGAAAGCGAAGGCGAAAAATGGATCCAATCCAACGCCGAAGGCTGGATCCGGAGCGCCAGCAGCGCCAGCAGCGCGAGGACCGTCCTCCGTGTTGACTCGTCCGTATCCGTCTCCTCCACCCTTTCCCTAGGTAGATCACAACCATCATCCTCATCGTCAGAAGAAGCACAGGACCGCTCCAAATGGCCGCAATGGCTGCTCGAGCAGTCCATTTCAACAATAACAGATCTGCAGAATGACGCCACCGCTCTAGCGGACTGGGCCTCATCTCAAACCTCAATCGGGCCATCGACTCGCGCGCCAGCAAGAGGAAGAGCACCACCAGCACCAGCACCAGCACCAGTACCAGTAGCGAGCGTGAGCACGAACCCCCGCAACGCAGCCACCACGCGCATATCTCACACGACAACGGACCTCAAGATGAACACGGACAAGAGCCAGGGGGCGCGATCACGCCTGCCCGTCCCGACGGCGCCGGCTGCGACGGTGGCGAAGGGGAAGGAGACGGAGAAGAGGAGATCTCTCCTCCCGGTGCCTCGAGCTGTTTCTCAGGTTGGGAAAAGGGGGGTTTGGTGATTGTGATTGCGGTTGCGGTTGGAATTTTGTTTGGGCGAGGTAGTTGGGTGGTGGTGGTGGTGCAGCTGGCAATCTAGAGGGTGTGGGATTTCGCTGGTTTTTCGCTTGTGTTTCAATCACGGTTCAGCCGTTTTGGTTCAATTTGGGGGAACTGGTCGAGGGTTGAGGTGGTGTGCTGGGACGCTATATAACTACTTCGTGCAGTACAACACGATACAGTACAATGTGATGCAGGAAAATCCGATTCGTGTGGGTTTTGTAGATACATAACGTGTTGGAGAAAAGATATGGAAGCTCACAATTGATCGATTTGGGGTATGCTTGTCGTGTGCATTTCCGTTGCAGCTCCTCTTCTTCTTCTTTTCCTTATCGAATCATACCAAGTACTGCATATGAACACAGATATGAAGATAGAAAGAGTTGCGGAACTTTTTTTTAGGATGACCGGAAAGATTATGCATATTATGATCTCATCTATAGTGATGTCGAAGTGATTATACCCGAGAATGCTTCGCCTTGATGACGGACGTCCTCGCATGCTAGATGCCGTATAGCAATATTTATACAGACGAGTCCCGATTTGCTTCCCGCCTCCCGAGCCATCCAATCTGCATTGCCGTGTATGTAGCCACGTAACCGCTATGCCCATATCACCATGGGAGGAAAGAAGAATGTGCCGGCTCTCTTCCATCCGGAAACGGAATGCATAATCTCAACTTCAAGCCTCTTACCAATAGTGCAAGCCTTCGAGCAGCTACCTCCACAGCAGTCACACCGATCAATAACCGTCCTTTCGTATTCGGCAGGCAAACCATCACTTACAATGGAGGCATCTCCCGACTTCTTCGATATCGGACGGGACATGCTGGACAAGACCCAACGAGACGTGTGCAGGAGTATTCACGATTCGTCTGCTTCTGAACATTTTGCAGCGCTGTACGACATATTTTGCTCGGGCAATTAAAGAACATGGAAAGACGAACTGCGAAGGCGGATAGTATAACGGCAGCAATATGCGCCCCTCAGATGCAGAGTGTCCGCGAACGTCATCTCTCTACAGTAAGATGGCTCCAACTTAAAGCGCCTGCGAAAGTCTCAAGATAGCAGGAGCAGGTAATGGAGTAGTGGTTGCTGTTCGTTTAGGCCCACATGGAATGCAACAGCCTTCTTTGCTGTATCGATCAACAACTGTACGTAAGCATGCCTTGTATAGGGACGGCTTGTAGTCTGACGCCTCCGAGGGGTGACTTAAATCGCAAGTACCCAGATCATTTAGGCGGACAGTCAACCCCATTACGTACACGTATCGTAGCCAGCGTAGCCATCGTAGGCAGCAAAGCTTTCAACGTACAAGCAGGAATAGGGGATCTTGAATCAGAGAACCAATCTCTTTCAGTAGTCACGAATAGCAGGGGTTCTTGCAGACCACCAATCGTTCACTAATGCATTCAACAACATCGGTGCTTGCAGGTGTGTACCAAGGGATTTTCTCCTTCCTTTAAGGTAGTTACGTCAAAGCCAATGATGTTGAAGCGTCGATTGCATAGCGAAATCACTGTCTTGGTCGACAAACTGTCTGGCTTATGAAAAGTCAGTTTTGGTAGATAATACGGAGTAATGGTTGTGGACTTACTTGGGCAAGACGGGGACTTAGAGATCGATGGGTAGTTACCTATATACGCCACTTCGTACACAATGGATACGGATAACCCTGTCGATCTTGTACGACTATTCCTTTGGTGCTGGGATCAAAAAACCCAAACTAATCCTGATTAGAGTATCTCTGGGCACCTTATCCTCGCTATGGCAAGGCGCTGATACCTGGCATTGTACCTTTACAAGGCCTTTCTAGCGCTATGCTAGAGATATTTATGCCTCTCCTTATAGTATGTGGTTAGCTTCGTATAAGTAGGTATTGACACTAATTACTCCGTACTCTTCAAGTGTTCTAACTACGTAGTAGTAATATTTGGTAGAAAGCCAATTAGCTATTAAGCAGTAGGCCTATGCAACAGGGAAAAGCTTCAGCTCTTGTTATACGGTCATTCGTCCCACGTCCCAACACCAACAGAGTACTACAGGGGATGCATAAGTATTCGTAGCACGGCGTTAGTCTTCGCCACTCCGACCACTCTCCCTAGCCCTGTCAATCTTGTACGGTCATCCCTGTTATGTTGGTCAATCAAGCAATCAGATTAGTCCCAGTTGGACTATTTCCGAGCACTTACGACATGTAGTAATTTTACATGGAGTTTCTAGCGCCGTGCTACGAATACTCATGCATCCCCTGTAGTAGGAAGCCTGTCGACCCTTATCACCACGAACGTTTTCAGAATCTCATTGCCTCAAAACCCCAATCCAACTGGCCTATTCACCCCTGTAGAGGATTCGCTTCGGCATTTAAAAAATGGGATTCTAATTTGAGTCATTCTATTCAGCGTGAAATCTGCCATTTTCCCGTGCATCTGTGTTCCTGCCGTCGCCCCCCAAAGTTACATCATAGCACCTGCCCCATGCAGATGGATGCATACTGTTTAGTAAGGCGCACTCCAATACTGCTGCCCAACTTATGCGGCGATAGATGAAAAGTTGCAGCCTCTTCTCTCAACTCATCCGTCGCCCAAATCCACTTGACGGTGCGGTCCTATCTCAATGGCTTACCTTTGCACTTTCTTGATCACGATTGCTGTGTTGTTGGTTCCATGGCAGCATGTCCTGGCCAACCCATTTCATGAGCAACCGACCCCGAGAGACGACTCGCAGAATTACCACCAAGACCAACTGGGAGCCGTTGCAAGTGAAAGCGACATATGCAGCCAGATTGGGATAGATCTGCTCAACGAAGGAGGCAACGCGGCGGACGCAGTAAGATGTTCAAGGTGACATCCTCCATCGTCATTGACCTGTCAATAGCTCGTTGGAACAGTCTTTTGCATCGGAGTGGTTGGCATGTACCACAGCGGAGTGGGAGGAGGTGGTTTCATGCTGGTTCGCGGCTCCAATGGCTCCTATGAATTCATTGATTTTCGTGAAACTGCGCCAGCAGCAGCATTTGAGGACATGTACAGAAACAACACCAGGGCCAGCCTTCTTGGTGGACTGGCAAGGTACGGAAGCAGCTAAGTGACCGGCTATGTTGATCTATTGACATGCCCTTGTAGTGGTGTTCCAGGAGAAGTTCGGGGGCTGGCACACTTGCATGAAAATCATGGAAACCTTGCGTGGAAGACAGTAATGCAGCCAGCTATCGATACTGCAAGAAATGGTTGGGCTGTCACGGCTGATCTTGTGAACTATATGAACGCAGCAACGGCAGGGCAAGCAGATTTCTTGTCTCAGGATCCAACCTGGGCACTTGACTTCGCACCAAATGGAACGCGTGTCGGCTTAGGAGATACAATCACCCGCAAAAGATATGCTGACACCCTGGAGACGATTGCCAACGAAGGTCCTGAAGCATTCTACACCGGCTACATAGCTGAGACCATGGTCAATGCGCTTCAACGTGCAAACGGAACCATGACATTGGGAGATTTGCAGAACTACACGGTAGCAATACGGCAACCAGCGCAGATCGATTACAGAGGGTATAAATTAACCAGCTGCAGCGCTCCTAGCTCCGGCGTGGTTGTTCTGAGCCCACTGAACACCGTGAACGGCTACTCGGATTTCTTCTATCCTGAGAACATCAACCTCAGTACTCACAGGCTGGACGAAGCCATTCGATTTGCTTTCGGACAGCGAGCAGAGCTTGGAGACCCGCTCTTCGTACCTGGACTCGATCGTTTTCAGGAAAGCATGCTATCTGAAAATACTTCCGCAGAGATCAGAAGCAAGATCTCGGACTATCAAACGCTCAACGTTTCTGCATACAATCCGGCTGGGCTCGAGTCGCTAGAAACTCCAGGCACGTCGCATGTCGTAGCTGCTGACCGGTCTGGAATGGCAATTTCCTTGACCACAACGATAAATCTGCTTTTTGGTTCGCAACTTATGGTCCCAGAGACTGGTATTATCATGAACAACGAGATGAATGACTTCTCTATTCCTGGTGAAAGCAATGCTTTTGGCTACATTCCCTCACCAGCAAACTATGTCAGACCAGGTAAACGGATGTTGTCCTCCATGTCTCCAACCATTGCCGAATTTCCCAATGGCACTCTTTACTACCTGATCGGCGCGGCGGGAGGGTCTCGCATCATTACCTCGAACATCCAAAATCTGATCCATGTGCTGGATCAGAACATGACAGTCCCCCAGGCACTGGCGGAACCACGGTTACACGACCAGCTCCAGCCTAATCAGGTCATCTTCGAGTACGCATACAACAATGAAACTGTCGCCTTTATGAGGTCCAGGGGACACAATGTTACTTGGATTGCCCCTCCTGGCCTGGCCACAGCTCAAGGTCTTCGAAGGCTAGGTAATGGTACATTTGAGGCAGCGGGAGAACCACGACTAAGGAATAGTGGCGGATTTGCGATTTAGATGGAGGAAGTAACATAGAGATCAGCACTTAGACTAACCTCATCCGAAGTGTTCAGGCAGAATACCATTTCAAAGATTGTCATCACTCAGTACCAGTTGTAACCTTGCCATCAAGCCAGTCAAGGCAGAATATCGTGATGCTCAAACCCTGCTTTTCTAGGCCTTCCAAATCCCTCTACAGTCTTCTAGGATGTTTCGAGTAATTATGCAAGGATTCTCATCAGCATTGTCAATGGCCCGGGGAAGAGCATAAGTTCGGTCACCACCAGATTGAAACAATAAATGCTATTGACTGGTCTAATGGTGACGTGAAGCGAGAACAGATACTATGACGACTGCGTGTCTGACAAGTCTTTCGCATATTGAGATAGTGTTCAGTCCTACTGCCCAGGCTAATCGGATACCCTATCACAGGCGCAGAGATGCCGAATTCACTTGTACTGTAGCAGATTCAGGGGCAAGGCCGGCTGCCAAGATGACTCCCTTCGACTTTCGCCAGCAATTCCAACCTTGGATCACCACTCCTCCAGCCTCTCGGATCTACAGCAACGATGACTCATTACCGATAATATCTACCGACGAACTTGGCATGATAGCTGATGATGAGCTCGATAATGATGCCTCGAGGCAAACAAACGCGCCTGCAAAGCGCAAAAGACCAAAGAAATACATCAGGGAGGAGCAGCGCAGACGTGTCTCCAAGCACTTCACTAATGAAGAATCAACCGTTGCAACTCCTCCTGCAACCCCTCGCAAGCCTCTCATTATTTCCGGCTTGAAAGTTGACGAGCTTTCGTCGGATTCATCCTTGACAGACGTCCCGAGTGACATTGGACCTGACCCTTTCGATTCTGATATAGAAGTACACTTGAAGCCCGCCAAGCTCAAACGTCCTACCAAATCGCCTTACTTTCCGAACAAGCCACGGCCAAACTTTCTATCATGCCTCCCATTCCCGCCTCTGTCTGCAGAAAAGTTCGGCTTGATGCAAGAACGCCTAGCGCATGATCCTTTCCGTCTGCTGATTGCTACCATATTTCTCAATCGTACAAGGGGCGAGCAGGCAATGCCTGTGTTTTTCCAGTTGATGCAACAATATCCAACCGCGGCTGATCTGGCTGCTGCGGAATTCGAAGATGTTGTCGCGATCATTCATCGTTTGGGTTTTCAGAACCAGAGAGCACAGAAATGTATTGAGATGGCTAGTACATGGTCTAAGCGGGCGCCAGTAAAGGGGAAGCGATGGCGCAAGCTACATTATCCAATGAAGGGCGATGGTAAAGATATTCAGACGGAAGAGGTTCTTGAAGACGAAGACAGTCGGGTCGCATGGGAGATTTCATACCTTCCGGGTCTTGGGCCTTATTCGCACGACAGTTGGAGAATCTTCTGCAGGGATAAACTACGAGGGCTTGCAGAATCGTGGAATGGTGAGGGCGCAACGGATGGTTTTGAGCCGGAGTGGAAGCGAGTATTGCCTACCGACAAAGAACTACGAGCATATCTTACTTGGATGTGGTTGAAAGAGGGCTGGATTTGGAATAAAGAGACCGGTCAACGGACGAAGGCAGACGAGGAACTCTTGGAACGTGCTCGAGGTGGAGGCATTGTTCAAGAGCAAAATGAGAAAAAACACCTAGTATTGACTTCTAATAGCCAGCTGGATGGTTCGAGACACGGCGCCCTTGAGAGACCTGCCGGCACATTCCTTCCTGGATAGTCTGGATGCGCTTCGAGAAGTGCCATGTATATATTGGATTTGGTGATTGGAAGAGGCCCGTTGATCTGTCTTCGTCGATTGGTTAACGGTTATGTTGGATAGCATCTAAACTCTTTGATTCCTTCGTTATTGGACTGGATGTGACTTGAGCGCCAGGGTTCGCACCTTTGTAGTCCGCAACTCTGTAGTCCGTATGGTTAAATATGGGCCAGTGTAAGCGTGCGGTGGTCAGAGTCGGGCAGTGATGCGGCGGCGCTACACCGTAAGTTAGTTAATTAAGCATAGCATCCATCCTAGCAATCCACATGCGCCCGCAACACCCCTGCCACCCAACCATCACGAAAGCCTCGTGTCAGAACCGCTCACTTCACATTTCCAACCACCTCGATTGTCATTGCCGTGCAGTGACCTGGGAGTCTGCCGGAGATATTCACTCTGGGCCAAGGCTTAACGAATCTGGTAGGCATCTAATTTTTTCCGCATCGTCCATCCATGCTGCCCAGCTAGAAAAGCGCCCCAGCTCTGACCCTTCCATTGCCGGGTATGCCCTCTCGACTTCGAGAGAGTGATCGGAGTCGAGGTAGTTCAAAAAGAGACATAGAAAAGGAAAATAAGTCCGACAGCAGAAGTGGTCGCAAGTCTTCTCACCGAAAGAGCTCAAGAAAGGACTCCGAAAAAACCTCCGAGGCTACATCCTTCTCTTCTCCCGATGGAAAGAGAAGGTCTTCCATGCCTAGCACTCTCGACACAGACCAGCCGGTGACTGGTGCTGGTTTGGAATCCAAGACGAGTTTACCCTACCCAACATTTTCGAAAGCTCACAGCAAAGAAGCTGTGGGTGCACGAGATGCCCTCAAACCCACCCTTAATATCTTCACACCTGATCCTACCGACCTGTCAACATCAAAGGACAAGCAAACTTCACGTGAAGCTGCGGTAGGCGGAGCGCCGCCGAGTCCTCCTTTGACATCCGTGGACCAGCATGGAGGCGGAAGCAGGAGTGGCAGCGTAAAGCGCACCGGGATAGAGACCATAGAAGAGGAGAAGAAGAGCCAGCTGGATAGGACAGTGAAGGTAAAGCTGCGACCAAAGTCTTCGAGGTCGAATGGACACCTCCAAAGTACATCTGAACTCGGGTCACCTACAAAGTCGCCCCTACGGTCGAAGCAGAGCACACCACTTAAGTCTAAAATGGAGGAGCAAACAAAACGATCGGTAAGTCAACCGACAAAAGCTGTGTCACCGCCGCCATCCTCCCTTGCAGATACAGAGCTCGAGACCACTCCAAGCTCTAATGCTACGTCCATCGCACCCAATCAGCCCAGGATTCAACGGCCAGGTTCACAACCACCACCGGTTACTGTCGAAGATGATATGATATCACAGGTAACATCAATACCAGATGGAGGTGTCTCCAGAGGTCCAACTCCGTTAGAAGCCTTTGTGGACGACAGGAGGACTCCTGCGTCCAGCTTGTCTACTCATCCACCGCCTCCTCCACCACCACCCCTAGCTCCCATCACTCAGCCAAAAGTCGATTATTTGCTACAGCATGGCGGCCTGAACCAAAGCGTGCCGAAGAATCTTCTCCTCGCCGGAAAGCACATGGCTATACAGCAATCAGCTCCTGCTCAGCCTGCGCAATTGGTGGCGAATCTTTTTGAACCGTACAACCGTCTCCTTGATGATTACAAGCATGTCGTCTCCAAGAACGGGTCATTGGCCGTAGCAACCGGCTACAGGTCTGTTGCACGAAGGCTCCTTGACAGGCTCGAGGCTGTTTTTGCCAGAGATATCTCCTCCGAAACTTGTCAGTGCTGCTTATGCGCCTCTGTTTTCGATGACACAGAAGACAGCGAAGGAGTAAGCTGGGGAGAGATTCTCGAACTCGTTGCGGGCCGGCGCGACTTGCCGTCATGGCCTCCGTTCTCACTCGCCAACACACCAAGGGGGCTTGGAATATCCCTTGAAGCACACACCCCAATGCAGAAACTTGACATTGACGTTCCAGAAGAATTTCGAGATCACTATATCCGACAGTCACGCAAAACCAAACAGAGCGTCGACAAATGGCTGTCTCGTCAGACAGACAGCCCTACAAATCCCCCAGAAGAAGTAGACGACGAGACACTTACCTTTGCTATTTTGACACATCTTGGCCCTGAGCAGCGACCCAGCTTTAGCAATCTACTGGGGATTGTTAACACACCCTTGGAGCCTCCAAAGAGAATGCCAAGTCCTCAACGAGGTCCAACACCACAGCCTGCTCCTACACCACAACCGCGATACCGTCCGCAACCGATCGTCACGGCGAGCCGAGCTGTTCAACGTCTTTACCGACTTGCATCGCCACCCCGAGATCCCGAGACGGCCATATATCTTCTTTATAACCCATCGATTCACAACGCGCTTGCGACCCTTGCCGCAGTTTCCGACGATGAGTGGGAAATACTGATCTCTGGCCGATTTGATGGGTTCCTGCGCAGTGGCGCAGACGATCCACTTGACATAGCTCAGCCGCCGGGCCGGCAGACACCTCTTAGGTCGGTCAATTCGCGAGGTCCAATACCACTACTACATGGGAATTCCCAAACCCGCCCGGGTACCTATATGTCTCGAGCGGCCACACCCGCATCAGGAGCGCATTATGGTGCACCTATAGCTTATGACGAGGAAACCGAGATTGCCACTCTAGCGGAAATTGAGCGTGATATCTATTCTGGTATGGAAGCGTTGGAGGATGCTTTCGAAGCGCTTCACGTCAAGGCGGAGATGGTGCGACAAGCTCTACGAGAGCGAGGGGCCGGACTGGCATCGATGCAGCAGCGTCGCAGAGGAGGACTGGGTGACGGTATTGAGGTACGTATGGGCACGCCGGCCAGCGGTATTGGCATAGATGGCCGGTGGGAGGCGGAAACCGACGATGGGTTGGGAGAGTGGGAAGGCATCAGCGAGCTGGCGCCAGACGATAGCGCAAGCAACATCAGCAGCAGCCGACGCAGAAGACCGAAGCGGCGGAACGAAAGGAGGACGCCGGCTTTGGTTGAGGAAGACGAGGACTTGGGGGAAAGTGAAGGCACGGCAAGTCCGCGAAAGAAGTGAGTTTGACGACTACTGTTACTAGTATGCTTCAGCGATGGGGATCTTTTTGCACGGTTGTCATGGCAAGCGGGCTAAGCTGTCGTAACTGCGATTGAGCATTTTCGGGTGTTGTCATCCCCCTGCTTTAAGGCTATATGTAACTGTTAGCATCAGCGAGTTCTGGGTCAAGTACTTGTGCTGGAGTCTTTCATGGCTGGTCGTTGTCTTCTTTTGTTTGCTTCCAGGGCTGAACCCCACTTCCTTATCAATAAGTCACACTTCAGGATCCATGGCCCAAGGGCTTTTCCTTGGCCTGCTGTTTGCTAAACCACCAGTCGGTGCCGCCGATAAGGGCGTCCTACTAGTAGTAGTAGTAGTAGTAGTAGTAGTAGTAGTAGTAGTGTGACAGATCCTTCCTTGTCCCCCTGTGTCACTGAATTGATACAAATTTCTAGCGCAAAATACTATGAAGAATTTCTACACTTTAAGAGAATATTAATGAATTTCAAAATGAAAGAATATTCCGATTTCAAGCGCTATTGATTGATGTTAATTTTAAAGATCCTTGGTCTGAGAATTAGAGTTGTGCAGCCAGAAAATGTCCAAAGGTGAAATTTATGATGTTCTTCTTGCCAAGACTGCAGCAAAATAATGCAGCAAAATTATAACGCTAAACAACTTAAGTAGGTGTACCAATTCAGTGACACACAGGATATAGCACACTACTACGATGTAGGCGTGCCAAGTTCCAATTGAAAATGGCTATGGAACAGAGTTCATCCTTTCATAATCTGGCCTTGTAGGTTTGGCTCAATTTTGACAGTGTATCCCATGTATCTTGTTAAGATATTTGGTAACTGATTTGAGTGTTGACGGTGAATGCATTAAGGCTCAGGAAGGACAACGCCCAGAGTCTAAACCTGTATAGGAAAGCACGCACTTCTCGGCGGCAGTAGAAACATTCGGCTATTGGACTAAAGAGGCGATAGTTGGCTGCTAGTACGGGAATGAAGCACTAGCGGCAATTACTACACTATTCCTGTTTCCACACTTGACACAGCGCCCTGTGTGAGTGGCCATACCCCCAAGCAGCTTAGCCTTTCCTTTCGACCGTTCGTTCTCAGGCCCCTGCAAGAAAGGGTGTCACAGCTTGTTCCAAGGGTGCACTGTTGGAGCTACGGGACCGAGTCCGGAACTGCTTTTGCGGTGCGTTACACTTCAATATGCGTCCCATTTTGTCTTAATGGTTGGTGCAGGCGATAAACTACTATATAGGTCGTAGGTCTGGCAGAGGTATCAAGGTGGGAGTGGCTCAATCAGAGGACGCAATCAGAGGACGCAATCAGAGGACGCAATCAGAGGACGCAATCGCATGTTTGGTCAATGATGTCATCACATTGCCTAGATTAAATCTTGTCCTTCATGTTCCTCTCCACTTAGTACGAGAGTGTCTTGGTTTGTAATTGATCTATGATAGGTTGAACTCTCTAGAGAGGTTGCGGCTCTGTCGGCTGGTTCACTTGAAACGTGGCTCTTGGGCATGCTGCAATTGGTTCAATTAGAATATGCCATTTTGCCATTTTGCATTGCGTTGTTTTGTGACTGGCTATTGAGCTGGAACCATTCATGCGACTTGGGAACCTGGAGGTGCTCAATGCGGGGTAGAAAGAGCTCTAAACTACCACTAGTACTAAGTAGTAGCTACCGAACGCTCATTCCCGCCGCTTGTCCCGTCTTGGCTTGGACTGATCGGCCCATCAGTCTCCTTGGCATGAGCACTATACTGCCAGTGGACGTCTTGCTGAGTTACATTTTTCCCTCAGATCGGGCTGTGAAGGCGTCAATTGAAGAATGACAAGAGCGTCTGGATGACTTCGACAGCCGGGTGAAGAAAGCAAAATAATGGTCAACTTGAATCCAAGCTTCTGTCGAAACAGCTTTATATTTCTCAATCTGCGGAAAAATGAGCCCTGTTGAGCAGTTTGATGTCCTTGCTGCTGATCGTGCCCTGCATTCTGTCAAAGACCAAAGCATCACATACTAATCTACAATCACTTCCATAGCAACACGCGGCGCCAAGTTACTCTGCTTCTATGGTCCAACAGTCAGCTTTTTCCGTTGCCGAGAACCCGAAGCAGGAACACAACAACAGCAGCGTGCCGCCTGGATTGGTGGATTAACTCTGTGACCTTTGTGGCTGAGTTTGTTCGATTTAGTGACAAGCTCCACGCCAACCTGTCGAGTGGCCCTCCCAGTCGTCATAGACTCCCCATCTCAACCCAGCTTCAAGATGCAGTCGAGCCTTTACCCTGCCTCGGAAAAGGCCCTACCGGTTCCTCTCTTCCCCTATCAGACTATGAAACCAGGAGACCAGGGAACTAGGAGACTAGGGAACTAGTAACGTGCAATCACCAAGGAGACAAGTGCATGTCACGCTTGGTCGGAACCAGTCAGACAACATTGGCATCGCGGCATGAAAAAACATGCCCAGTCCCCCGTAGCTAAGCAGAGCTCTTCTCAAATAGCTCAAATCCCCTCATCTACATTTTTTACCTTTGTCCCCTTCCTGTCCTAATCTTTGTCACTTCCTGTTATAAAGTCAAACTCATCTCATCTTCTATTCAGTCTCTATCTCAACCTTTGAACAGGATGCAGATCAAGAAGCTGCTTCCTTTGGCCTTGGCCACTGCTGCTTCGGCACAGGAGACGATGAATCTCACAGCTGCCTTGGCCTCGTCGCCTGAGCTATCGCAGTTGGGAATAACCCTCGGTCTCGTCCCTGAGCTTGTCGCTGCTCTGGCGGAGCTTTCCAACATCACTCTTCTTGCTCCCAGCAACGCCGCTTTCGAAGAGTTCACGAATAGCTCAAATGCTGCCGCTCTAAGCGACCCGGGTCTCATCCAGGCCGTCCTCCAATACCACGTTCTTAACGGCACCTACTATGCCCAAAATGTTACCGAGACTACATCTTTCATCCCAACTACGTTGATGAATACCTCCTATACCAATGTCACTGGTGGTCAGGTCGTTAAGGCAGTCTTGACGGGTGACAATGTCGTGTTCTCCTCTGGCTTGCTTACGAATTCGACCGTCACCCAAGCTGTGAGTTACTTTACCCTCTTCTACTAGCCTTTCCTTTCTGACTCCTGGCACAGGATGTTACTTTTGATAGCGGCGTTATTCATATCATTGACCGCCTTCTAACCGTACCGGCTAACGTATCTACAACTGCCGTTGCCGCAAACCTGACCTCCCTTGTTGGTGCTGTCACGACCGCCGAGTTGGCTGAAGCTGTCGACACCACCCCTAATGTTACCATCTTCGCACCAACCAATGAGGCCTTCCAATCCATCGGCTCCGCACTCGGAAGCATTTCGACCGAAGATCTTGCCAGCATCCTCACCTACCACGTTGTTAGCGGCACCGTTGGGTACAGTTCTATTCTAAGCAACACGACACTTACCACGCTCAACGATGCAGATGTCACCATCTCTATTGTCGATGGGGCAGTCTTCGTCAACTCCGCCAGAGTCGTCATGGCTGATGTCCTCGTTGCTAACGGCGTTGTTCATGTTATTGACAACGTCCTCAACCCGGCCAACGCAACTGCCACACCAGACGCAACAATGTCAACTCAGATGCCTGCCTTCTCCGGCGCGTCTTCCGCCAGTGAGGTTCCATACACCAGCAATGTTCCAACGCCAACGGGCCCTGCCGCAACTGGTGGTGCAGCAGGTGGAAGTGAAACCAGCAGCTCCGCAAGCGGTGCCGCTATGCCGATGAGGACTGGTGCCGTTGGTGCTGCCGCTCTGTTCGGTGGTGCCGCACTTGTGTACAACATGTAAATTCTCGAAGAATAGGCGAGAAGAGAATGATACCCGGAATGGATGGTAAAAGTTGGAGCGGAAAAAGGGTAATGGCAGGTGTAGGGAGGAAGAGTTCTATTCGGTTCATCTTAGCCATACACTACGGTTGTCAGTATCTTACGAATACAAAAATTCCCATCAATAATTCGATACCTGATTTATGCTTGAAAGTATGATTTTGTAAATCCCAATATATTTTCATAAGCTCTTCGCCAGGCTGTGACGGAACATCTTCCACCACTTACTTCTTTCCCAAGGTCAAGGTGGCTGCTTGCGGGCCACATGTTTTTGGGGAGCTGACGTGAGTGAGATTGGTTATTTCATGACTTTAATATTATCCCCTAATCTATAGCTGCTCTGTGCGATGTTGTTTCCGTCCAGAGAATTGCTCTGTCAAATAGTACCACTCACCAAGGCTTTCTGGGTCTTGTCAAGGAAGGCTGCCTGTAGAGTGTGGGTTTTTGGGTGAGGTTGATCGGATCAATACATTGCTCTTCAGCATGTTGGATGATCTGCACAGGGTGACTCGACAGGAGTCTTGAGCAGCGTGGGTATTTACTTTGTCCATTAAAGCAAGGTCCTCCGGTCCCACGTCAGCGACTCATACTTACTCGTTCCCTAGCTGAATTCGGAGAGCTGTTTTGGCTCGCTCGTCATGCTGGGGTTATTTATGGACAAGAGATTTGCCTGCCTGCAGGTTAAGACTGGCAACGGGCAACGTGGGCAGTAAGTTAGATAGGATAAATATAATACGTGCGTGCTTTTGGAGATTGACTCCCCTTCTCTCCCTCACTACCAACCAACACTACCCAATTCTAGCACCCAGCCTAGAAAAAGCTCCGGTGGGACTTGCAAGTTGAGTGGAGTGAGTGATTGGTTGGTAGTAGTGGGAACTAGATGTGGTGACCTGAGAGGGTGTATGTATATAGTCAAGCGATCAGAAAGACGGCCAATCCTATGCTATGCTCTGCTCTGCTCTGCTCTACTCTACTCTGTCCCTATGATAGCGTGCCAGGTACGGAGTAGCTGCAACGGGAACATAGTGGGTGAAAGGGGGCATAGTCACGAGACGCCTATTCTCTATGCCGTGCGGATAGATGCGTTTACTTTTCTGCCTTACTCCGAGCTGATGCGGAGGAAAGCACCATACCCTACTGTGTCTTCTCACGCTGTGCCGCTCTCCTCCTGTCCATTAGCTGACTTCTTATCCTACAATTTCTGATACTCCAACTTGCCCTCCAACTTCTTATTCTCCGCCACCTTCCGAACCGCCTTGTTGAAATCATCCTGGTTCACCGCGTCCCTCTCGTCTTTGATCGCCGACAGCCCCGCCTCGGTAACAACATTCCTTAGGTCTGCGCCATTCAATTGATCGCTCATCTTGACTACGCTTTCGAAGTCGATCTCCCCTTCCGTCACTACGCCACTGGCGTGGATTTTGAGGATTTCTAGCCGCCCGACTTCGTTGGGTAGGGGAATTTCGATCTTTCGGTCTAGACGGCCGGCGCGGAGGAGGGCTGGGTCGAGGGTGTCGGGTCTGTTGGTCGCCATTATGATCTTGGTCTTGCCCAAGTAGTCGAAACCGTCGAGTTGATTGAGTAGTTCCATCAGTGTTCTTTGGATCTCGCGGTCGGCGGAAGTGCCTTCGCTAAAGCGGCGACCGCCAATGGCATCGATCTCGTCCATGAAGATGATGCAGGGTTCGTGCTCTTTGGCGTAGCCGAACATTTCGCGGATTAGCCGCGCAGATTCGCCAATGTATTTGTCGACTATGGCGGACGAGACAACTGGGATATCATCAGTATGGAGGGAATATGAAAGAATGAGTAGAGCTGCTGACCTTTGAGAAAATTGGTTTCTAAGCTGCTGGCCACGGCACGAGCTAATAAAGTCTTGCCGGTACCAGGTGGTCCATAGAGTAACACTCCCTTCGGAGGTTTGATACCGACTCTTAGGAAGAGCTCAGGATTCTTCAAAGGTAATTCGATCACTTCTCTCAACTCACGGATCTGCTCGTTTAGTCCACCAATTCCGGCAAAGGAGATTTGTCCAGGATCCTCCAATGACATGTTGTAGACGAGAGGATCCACCTCTCGCGGAAGCATTCGCATTATTGTGAGTGTGGTCATATCGAGAGCGACGCGGGTTCCTTGTTTAAGCTTCGCTTTATCGACTTTCGATCGACATCCGACGACGTATCGAGGGCCTGAAGAGGCCTTGACGATAACTATAAAAACAAGTCAGCGCCGTCGGTTGACAAGACAGGCCTTGTAGGCGACTTGCATCTCTCTTCATCAAGCTGTTTGAGCACTTCTCCTATGATCTGTCCAACGCTCTGTAATGCCTTGATGTTGTCCTCTGTGGTCTCGAAATCCTTTTGCAAGCCTTTAATATCCATTCGTAAAGCTTTTAGCTTTGATTCCCATTCTCTTGATTCAAGAAGCTTGTTCTTATATTGTTCGAGGGCTTGCTGCCGCTCAGGATCTCCGCCACCGTCCATCTTGGATGCTTTATTTGGTTTATGGTTTATTCGAGCAAGCCGGGAGGCGATCCAACTATCAACTGGAGAGTTTAGGGGCCGAGCAGATACCAATGACGTGCGCGTAGAGGATCGAGAAAATGAGACGTGAAACGGGTTGAGGATGTTTCTCAAAGCTGCTAGTATTTGGTTGCTTTGTTTTTGCACCTCAGATCTTCCTTAAGGTACCTGCGGACTGACGAAGCTGTCTAGCCGTAACTATAGTAAGACCATTGACAGGGGGGCGGCACAAGGACCAAATGTGCATTTCTTACTTAAGCTCTGATCTGCGGTCCGGAGGTCCCAGCTTCGGGGGGGACGTTTGGTGGCCACAACCAACCACGGCTTCGGGCAACTGCCTTGTGGACCTAACTAAATAAGTATCAAATGTCAGCCAATGGCTCGACTTGCCCCACCAAATTCGTGAAGTAAGAAGCACAACTTTATCAACATTTTCAGACCCCTCTTCCATTTATCACATTTACTCTTCTCTCACACAACCTCAGTAGCCTACAAACTTGCTACCTCACTTTCAAAATCTGCCTCCTCCGCAAGGCGACTTACTAGATCAACTGACTACATACGGTGAGTCTGAATAGCTTCAAAACTACTCCACCTACCGCTCCACTGTCATCTGAGGTTGCTGTACTCCTCTCTTTCATGATCGTGTAGTTATCCTTTATGATGAGCTTGAGCTACCGAATCTTCCGCCATGGATCGTTCAATCTTCTGCCAAGATCTCCTTACAACCAAGCTCATGCTAATATGTCTCCAAGCTCATCATCATGCCTATCTCCAAAATCCATGCCCGTTCGGTGTATGACTCCCGAGGAAATCCCACAGTCGAGGTGGATGTCGTCACTGAAACCGGTCTCCATCGTGCTATCGTGCCATCGGGTGCTTCGACTGGTCAACACGAGGCCTGTGAGCTTCGAGATGGTGACAAGTCAAAATGGGGTGGTAAGGGTGTCGTGAAAGCTGTTGAGAACGTCAACTCAGTCATCGGACCTGCTTTGATCAAGGAAAACATCAAATGTGTAGATCAATCTGCAGTCGATGACTTTTTGATCAAGCTTGATGGTACTCAAAATAAAACGAAGCTCGGTGCAAATGCCATCCTTGGTGTTAGTCTGGCAGTGGCCAAGGCTGGAGCTGCAGAGAAGGGTGTTCCTCTCTATGCTCATGTTTCGGACCTGGCCGGCACCAAGAAGCCATATGTTCTTCCTGTTCCCTTCCAGAATGTCCTCAACGGTGGATCTCATGCTGGTGGTCGTCTCGCTTTTCAGGAATTCATGATTGTTCCTAGGCATGTATGTCTCGCCATGCAGGAATTACCAGCTAACAGAAACAGTACTGCACCTACCTTTTCCGAAGCCATGCGTCAAGGTTCAGAAGTCTACCAGCAGCTCAAGAGTCTTGCAAAGAAGAAGTATGGTCAATCCGCGGGTAACGTTGGTGATGAGGGTGGTGTAGCTCCAGACATCCAGTCGCCCGAAGAGGCTCTCGACCTGATCACTGACGCTATTGAGAAAGCTGGTTATACTGGCAAAATCAAGATTGCCATGGACGTTGCTTCGAGCGAATTCTATAAGGAGGATGCCAAGAAGTATGACCTGGACTTCAAAAATCCCGACAGCGATCAATCTAAATGGCTTACGTACGAGCAATTGGCCGACTTGTACAAATCCTTGGCGAGCAAGTACCCCATTGTCAGTATCGAGGATCCATTTGCGGAAGATGACTGGGAAGCCTGGAGCTACTTCTTCAAGACATCCGACTTCCAGATTGTTGGGCAAGTATTGACAACCTGGAACCCTGACTGATGCTGACCTCAGCCAGTGACGACTTAACCGTTACAAACCCTGTCCGCATCAAGAAAGCCATCGAGCTCAAGTCTTGCAACGCGCTTCTGCTCAAGGTCAACCAGATCGGCACGCTTACCGAATCCATCCAAGCCGCTAAAGATTCTTATGCCGCAGGTTGGGGTGTAATGGTGTCTCATCGTTCGGGAGAGACCGAAGATGTCACCATTGCCGATATTGTGGTTGGTCTTCGTGCTGGTGAGATCAAGACCGGTGCTCCTGCTCGATCTGAGCGCCTGGCCAAGCTCAATCAAATTCTGCGGATTGAGGAAGAGCTGGGCCAGAACGCGATCTACGCTGGGGAGAACTTCCGGAATGCTGTCAACTTGTGAGATAGAGTATGGGTAGCATTCCATACGAGTGCTCATTGTTATTGAAAAGCAGGCCAATTGAAAGGGAGACAGACAGGAAATAGTTTTAGCAGCACTAGAATCAACAAAAACCGCATATCTGCAAGGACAACGACGAGGCAAATAATTACTTACCCAACCACGACCCTCCCACATGTTCGGTTTAAAATTAGATTGGGCAGCCATTTTTGGGCGCTAATGTCTGGTGTGGATACAAATTGCTTTGTGCGTCACAGACTATCGTTCATCTCAACTTGTACCCCTTCATAGACTGTTCCCCACAGACACACCTGTGAGAACGAAATTGCAACAGTTCAGACTGTAAATTCTCTCGTCAGAAATCGCTCATACAGAATCGCGGAAATCAATCATCAATCATCAACATGCCGCCCAAAAAGACGTGGGGTACGTGAGGGGCGCAAGATCCGTCATTGCAAAACTATTGCCTAATTTTCTGTAGAAGACGAAGAGGAGACTTCCTCAGAAGAATCTGACTCTCCATCCCCACCTGCTGTTGCCGCTCGACGGAGGTTTGAAGACGAAGAAGACTCTGATGATGTATGCGACCCAATCCAGATGTACCGCTCGTAGGCGATGCTGACATTCTCTTTGCTAGGTAGCCGACAACTGGGAAGAAGCCGAGGACTCGGAAGTGGAACGAGAGAAGGCTAAGAAAGCAGCTGAAGCGAAAGCTAGAGCTGAAGCCGAAGCCGCTGCCAACAAGAAGTCCAAGTCGCAGCGAGTAGAAGAACACAGAGAGGCTGCGCGCCGAAGAAGAGCAGCAGAGGAGGAAGAGGAATCTTCCGAAGATGAAGACGAAGCAGAAAAACGAGTACGGTTACGACAAACCGAGCAGGAGGCTGATCTGAAGCACGCCCAAGACCTCTTCGACAATGTTGGTCTCGGACCGAAATCACGCACCACGCCCAACAAAGCCACCATAATAGAAGATAAATCAAATCCTGGCCAAGCCATTGATCTCTCCGCCCTTGCCATTTTCAAGCCAGCAACAAAATCGCAGTTCGAGGCCCTTACCACCACCCTCGTTCCTCTATTGACCGCCGCATCAAATAAACCACACTACTCTCTCTGGCTGGCTGATTTTGTCAAGAAAATCGCAGCTGATATGCCGAGCACTGAAATCAAGAAGGCTGCAAGTGTTCTGACGGCGTTGAGTAACGAGAAATTGAAAGAGGAGAAGGCAATGGAGAAGGGTGGCAAGAAGTCAAAGGCAGCCAAGAGTAAGATCAGTCTTGCTGCAGGAAGGGATGTAGGAAGAGGAGTGGCAGATACGACAAGTTACGAAGACGATCTGGCAGACGATGACTTTATGTGATTGCCCAAAAGTGCGGGATGAAGATACGAAAAGAGTGGTTTGCATAGTTCAGGGCGATGCTCCCTGCTTTTCTTGCATTGTTTTGCATGATGGGGAAGAAGTCAAGATATTACGGAGCTATCCACCTACTACATCTCAGCTACGAGTCAATCCTGCTAAGTGTCTCCGTATTTGGGTACTTGTGTTTCTGGCATTTGGCCATGCTGGCCATCCCTATCCGATGTAGGGATTGCAGAGGCAGCTATAGAGTACTAATTAGAAATTGCAGGCTACGAGTATCTCGCAACAAGGTTTGTACAGTTTTCCTACTGTCTGAATACATCGTGTCCGTCTCAATATCTCAGCGAAGTGAAGTATCCTCTACCCCCAACGCCCCGACAGTCCCACCTCTATCTCCTTTCCTTTAACGACAATCATTATGCAAAGATGCATCCGTTTCCAACGTCATCTATATATCGGCTGGTGTCCTTGCACATTATGTCTTTGTTTGGGTCTTGGTTTGATTTTCTTAAATCTGCGATATCGTCTGGTCTCGGGGAATTGCTCCTACACAACCACCCCTAGCCGCAAAATCGAGACCAATCTTATCCATGATTACCCAGGTCCATCCTTATGAGCCACCTCGAACTGTCTCACCAAAATAGCGTCTCTACGTCCACGAGCTGTCGCTGCCAAATTCACGGCACTTCTCCTTGGCTTGTGAGCACGTCTATCTGACTTCGCTATCACTTGCCACAATAGCTGCAAGTCACCAGAAATCGAAACGATATGCTAGTAGTAGTAGCAATATCCTTGCTACCACAAGTTACTCATCAGGAGCTGCGAACGATAAGTCCAGCATGAAGACCAGGAGACACCGCAAGAGTTACTAGTTAACACGGTTCGGATGTGTTGCAGTATGCAAAATGTGCCGTTTCTAAGGGGGTTGTGCAGAATATATGAACAGAATCTATCGGAGATTCTCAAAATCAATTAGATTCATGCGATGCAACACTATAGCCAGGGCTCCCAGTCCCACTAATTCTTAATAAATGTGCCAGAAATGACCACCTTGGAATCGGCAATGATCTATGGGCTGTCCAGACTCCCCCAACCTGAGGCGTGGTTATGTATGTGCTAATCTTGCACTTATAGCACAAATCGAATCTTCGAAGCCAGCGCAAATCCGTACAAGATGGTAGCCCCCATAGCAATTAGGTTCAGATGGATTGACATGGCGTGGTTTCGCGAAAAGTCGCGCTTGATGCGTTGCATATCTTCACTAGTGTTCTCCTCGTCGTTATACTTCCGACCATCGATCGTTTCTAAGGAGGTCAGATCCCAGACGTGGGAGAGAAGAGCTTGCGCGATCTATCAGCAGTTCCCACTAACCTTGGTGGCTCCTCTTTATCATCATATCCTGTGTCCGCGGTCCATATACTAGCCAATTGAGCGCCGCCATGCCGAAGTTTGTTCCCAGTGGCACCCAAAACAACCAGCCAGCACGCGCCAGCGACACTATACTCTTTGTCGGAAACGTGGCCGCTGTGAGCGCGATCAAGCCAACCTGGATGCGGAAGTATGCTGGAAACACTTTCTTCTGGAGAGTTGTGAATTGCGCCATTGGCAATGCTTGGTAGCAGATTTTGGTCATGACGAAGCTCTGCAATGGTACTGGTCAGCCTCTGGTCCAGCTGAAGTCCTTGTATGATGCAGAGCATTCAAAGATACGAACCTGGTACAGCTCGGTGCCGAGGAGGGTTCCATAGGCCATGACATGGTAAGGCGCGAGGTTGACAACGGCATTGAAAATGGCTGCCATGTGTGATCTGACCGATAGCAAAGTGGACGACCAATCTAGTAGACGCGAGTACCAAAGTTGAACAGAGATATTCAGGAGAGAAATCACTGAGAAGATTTATTTAGATAACTCAGGCAGCAACTTTCTGTACCTGGCCGCAGATTCCTTCCGAATTACGCTGGCCCACCCATCCTGTCATGGGCAAATGCACGGCTGTCTTTAATTAGATCGGAGAGTAGAGTCCGGCAAGCCGACAGCTTGAACATTTTGTTAACTCACCAGACACTGGCAGCAGGATGGATGAGATGAGCTGAGATGAGCTGACATTCAACTATCCCAGAATCCTTGTCCAAGGTTAGTCGTGCTAACCTCTTCTATATAACTGTGTCACTGTAAATAGCTTGTCTTATCAATTGCTTGCATCAGCTGAGTCAGGGCCCATAATTCTAATAGGTCCATGCTCCCTGCGTCAGGGCACTTACTCCACCTCGTACCCAAAATCTCTGCTCAATGATCTCTAGCCACGGGCATTTTGCCAGGGACAACCAAAATTGCGAATACGCAGGTGGATGGTGACATGTCGCAGATACTTATAAGTCAAGATTTGAATTGACCCCGGCTGCCGAGGACAAGACGGTGTTTTGGGTAGGGCATCATGACGAGAACTGATTTGCCCTGCCGCGCCCACCTGGGATACGCAGCTTTGAAGATGCTTCTTCAGAGGGAGTAAGTCTACATTTTCTGCCCTTTTTTCCATGGAGCGGACAATGCCTTCTTGGTTGCAAGCAGCAAACTTTCACCCTTGAGATATAATCAAGCTGTGAAGTAATATGCCTCGGAGAAGGTTTGTTAGTGAAAATGATGACAGCTACTCTCCATGCTATGCGGATCCGACGAATGTAGCAACATGCAAGAGCCGGACGGCGACGGCGGGAGCTTCGCAATACCTAACAGGCTTAGCTAGCGCGAATACGAGCGTGCGTATCGATGTATCATTGTTGGTCCGAATTCACATCGAGTGGTGGTTTCCACAAGCAAATGAACTTACACTGTTGAGGCAAGTGATCTTGTCTCGACGAAGCAATGACCACCACGAAGCCTATCGGTATACAGGTTATAGGTGTCTGTCAAATAGACTCCTTGTCTGAGTTGAGTTGTGCTGATCTCCGTAGGCCGGCCTTCCTCGAACCGCGACTTCCTCACTCCAGGCTGCCCTGCACCAGCTGGGATATCATCCATGCCAGCATATGGTATCAGACGTCCTCCGTGATATTGGAGGGCTGGGTCGTCAGTGGACGCAAGCGTTTCAGGCAAGGGACAAAGCAAGCCGTCATGCAATTCTCCGAGAGATATGTAAGGACTACCGTGCTATTGTCGATGCTCCGGGCTGCTTTTTCGTCGAGGACCTCATGGAAATATACCCTGAGGCAAAGGTATGCACCTTGATCATCGAAATGCCTTGGATTGCGTCTGATTGTTCTGCAAGGTGGTGTTGGGACTGAGGAAAAGCCCGGAGGCATGGCTCAAGTCGTACAAAGAGACCATAGGAACCGTCCGCTACAATTACACATGGTATTCCTTGGGCTTCCTCCTTCCTCCTGTAAGGTGGTTGTGGAACTTTACGCTATATTGGGAGAAGATGACCCGCGAGAAATTTCATACGTCAGTTCCTACTCTTGAGCATTATCATCGCCACAATGACTATATTCGCCGCGTGGTGCAAAAGGATCGATTGATAGAGTTTGAACCTTCTCAAGGCTGGGAGCCGCTCTGCAAGTTTCTTGAACAGCCTATTCCGGATTCTCCATACCCTCGTTTGAACGATACCAAACAAATGCAAACAGCTTTGCTTTACAGCCACTTCGTCGGAGCAGGGTTATGGGGTCTCACAGGTCTTGCACTATTCGGTGTATGGAAAGGCATCGATCTCGTTCTGCGATGAGGATACTATTCAGGACATATAGCCCTGGTACCTGAGCTTCAATGAAGTAAGCATTTTCGAATATGCATATTTCAAGCCTCAACATTTGGTGACAACTTCAGGATCAGTACTCCCAAAAACCGTAGGGATCTCACTAGGTAGTAGTTCGCTCCGTTGCTTCACATGATACAATTCGGCTATACTAATATCTGACAGTGCATCATGTGGAGTCTTGGTAGGATCGATGACACATCTGACTCAGCACCTTACCTAGTTAGGCACTGTCTATCTGTACAATTCTAAATTCTTGCAGCTGTTTGTTCTGCTAACTGATAGCTGGTGTTGAAAGCTCAAGATGTTCGAAAGATAGAGGAAATGGCTCAATTGCAAGATCTGAATCACCCTGGTCTCTTGCCAACCCGACGGGTAAGAATTTGTAGGTATTGCAAAAGCGACCGTTGGCGAAGTTCAGTGATCTCGGAAGATGACGCTGTATTCATGCTTATGCAGGGACACGTAGAATACTAAGTTAAGGTTGAAAGATGTGCGATGGCCCTGCGTGCTCTTTCCGTATATTGGCCGAGCAGTATCCTAGCAGAGATTTCGTTCGAGGTCAACTTGTTTGCAATGAGTAATGTTGGTACTTTATAAATAAATAATAAATGTGATGGGTTGCAAAGACTAAGTAAGCACTGACACTGCCGAGGCAGTTGAGGAGAAACACTCAACCACACTCGAGATTGAATCTTCTGCTGACCAACCTGACGTGGGAAAATGGCGTCGTCGCCGTACCATGTTAAACCCTTTCCCTTGATTATTTTCAGTGTCCGACTCTATAATTCTCGTAATACCTAGCAGCCGTTTCCGATCATGCCCGCATCGGAGCCTGTCCTTCTCCGGGACCGTCATATCAAATATTGGCTTCGATGTGCAAGGACATTTCTACCAGAGGCTTACACATCCACCGACTCCAATCGTATGACCCTGGCTTTCTTTATCGTGTCCGCCCTCGATCTGCTCGATCTGTTAGCATCTAAGATCGACGCAAACGAGCGTGATAGCTGGAGAAACTGGATCTTCAGCTGCCAGCTTGATAGTGGAGGCTTTCGGGGATTTACAGGGACCAAGATTGGCCACGATGTGCGCACTTTGCAGAATCAGCATTGGGACCCAGCCAATGTGCCTGCTACCTTCTTTGCCCTGGTGACACTCATCATCCTGGGAGATGACTTGTCGCGAGTCAGAAGAAGGGAATGTCTAACATGGCTGCCGAAAGTGCAACGTCAAGATGGCAGCTTCGGGGAAATCCTAGGCGAAAATGAGAGCATCGAAGGAGGTAGTGATCTGCGGTTCTGTTGTTGTGCTGCCGGAGTAAGACACATCTTACGTGGGCCTCAAGAAAAAGACGTGCAGGACTTTGACGTTGACCGTCTTGTCAGGTATATCACAGCCTGCCAGGTAAGTACATGAGCACACGCCCTCTTTGGTCCGCTAAACCTCTCTGCAGACCTATGATGGTGGCTTCTCCGAAGGACCAGGACACGAATCGCATTGTACGTGGTACCCAAGCCGATGAATTGTTTCGTTCATTTACTATTGCCTCAGCTGGACTCACATATTGTGCAATTGACGCCCTTGCATTGCTTGGCCGCAGCCCAGAGAAAGGTCTAGATACGCCCGATGCTAGACGTTCTTCTGGTACTCTCTCCTTGGATGATTGTACTCGCTGGGTCCTGAGCCGCCAAACCACGTACTTGGAGGAAGACGAACCCGAAGACGACGAGCAGGCTTCATCAATACCTCAGCCAGAAGCCGTTGCTTTGCCATCATCTCCGCTCGGCTCACCTCATGCCACCCACTTTCCGGTCACGCCTCTCTCACCTCCAAAAACCCCGTCTCCAGTAAGGATGCAGATCGTGGCAGCGCCCATCTTGAATTGCGCCAAGCAAAATCTTCTGTGGGCAGGCTTCAATGGTCGCACGAACAAGATCGCTGATACCTGCTACTGCTTCTGGAACACTGCAGCGTTGGCGGTAGTGGCCCTCAATCACTTCTGATGGCTACCCTGCTAATTGAACCAAAAGATGCTTGATCGACTCTATCTCATTGACAAACCCAGAATGCGAAGATATCTGCTCGAGAAAACACAGCATATCGTTGGCGGATTCGGTAAGGGTGTTCATGAACCTCCAGGTAAGTCCACAACTGGGGTGCGTCGTTGATAACTTATCATCTGCTCCGTCACAGATATAATGCACGCCTATTTTGGACTTGCCGCATTGGCTACAATAGGCGAAGACGAGCTTCCGACTTTCGATCCGCTGTTCTGCATCAGCCAGAAAGCTAGAGAGAACTTGAAGCGCGTCTCGTGGTGGGCCGAATGACGGGTAGCAGCTCCGACTTATGCTTCCTGCCGTACCGGCTGGTTGTTTGCGTCTTGAGGGAGAGTTTATCTCTCATCACTCAGAAAGCATGGCTAGTGGTCCAGCCCATCTCAGAGTTGTCCTTGTTTCAGCTGCCGCAACAAGACCGGCCATCGACGTCCCTGGATGCTCCTCGTGCTGGAGGTGGACAATCCTCCGTCCAGCGGTGGCGCCAGAACCCGGCCCAACACTACAATCTTCATCTTGAATGATCGGGAGCGGTTTAGACCAGCCATTTGGCCCAATAGGCATAGGAGTATGGCCCCCTTAATAACACTGCCGGATCACGTCAGAGCTGGTCAGTGTGATGATGATTTGACCGCTGCGCCCTGGACGATACTGCTGTCATCTGTGCGATTCAAGATACTATCCAATGGCCAAACCCAGTCTCCAAACAAGTAGAATGTTAGGCATTCCACGTAACTGGTCACTCCTCCGGAGTTTCGAACAAGTTCGTGATTTCCTGAGCGAACATTTGGTTGGTACGGCAATGAAAGTACGCAAGATCTCTCTCCTTAGGGCGGCTCAGACCGCATCGACAAGAAATCCGAGCGAGGATGAGTAAGTACGATCAGCTCTACTTGATTAACAGCTTGCTTTGGATCTTACTTACTGCCGATCCTCGCTCGAGATAGTCAAATAAATCCTCCATGAAGGATTGGGATCGTCAAAGAGCCAATCCATATTCAGCTCTGTAACCGATGTTTTTGAAATCGTGATCGATTAGGGACTTCAGTGAATCAAATTCGAGGCCTTCTTGGCCACCGATGACATTACAGGGCTTCTACCTATATTCCCTCTTTGTCTGGTTACACAAATAGAGCACTCTTTGATGTCACCCACACCACCTATACCTATACCGCCCGTCTCGTCGATGTCACATCGCTTCCAGCGAGACCACCCTCCCCAGATCCGCAACTGGCGTATCTATGCCTTCCTCTGCCTACAAGCACCTTTCATTCTTCAAGTAAACACTCGGCGGCCCCAATTACATACCGACAAAACCCTCCTCTGCCTCACCTGGGAAACCCCCAAACCGCCAGTCCCTCTCTCCTGAGCCACGACACTGACAGACAACCAGACAACCACCTCCAGCCTATCCACAACCGGACCATCAATCTCGCCCCGTAGCCAAAACGCAGCTGCCACCAACCCACCACCTGAGCCACGCCGACCGGGAAATAGAACTTGCTTCCCTACCTATGATCGCAACCATAGTATCCCCCTCCACACTACATCCCTTATCCAAGCCTCTCCACAACTCCACCTCCATCCCTTCCCACAGAAGCTGCCGAGCAGGTGTTTAGTAGCGGTGTTTAGCTTGATGTATCCGGTACGAAGCTTGCAAGCGAAATGAGGTGAAATGCGTAAGAAGGACAGCCTGCACCTAGTCCCTTGCCGCCCATAAATGGTTGAGCTTGAAGTCTTCATACTCGAGAGCGCTCACGTCGGCAAAGGATGGGTGTCCATGCTCTAGATTGTAGCCTTCTACTGAGGGTGATCTTGTGTGCTGGTTTCGGGAGGCAGGTTAACGAAAGGATAGCAAAGATGGAGTTTCCTTGCAATCCGCTTCCGAATACCGTGGAAATTAGGTGATCAAGCTTGACATGGGCGGTTAACGGAGCGCTGCTGAGATGCTAGGAACAAGGATGGCCGGAAAGACATATTGCAAAACCTGAAGAGAATGGTATGCTTGCGTCGAGTCCTCTTGATTTTAGCTGTAGCTTCGTCAGTAGGACGAATCAAGAGGACGACTGGTTCATCGAGCTGACGAGTAGGTAGTCCGGCCATGCTTCTCTTCTCTTCTCTTGTTCTTGTGCTCGATTCGAAGAAAACACTTCTGCCCTTAGCCGCGGCCCCATATTCAGCCTTTCTCCGGTGTTGAACTCCAAACCTTATGTGTTTTTAATTGATTGCAGTAGACCAATATCCTTTGGCACAGTGGTGTAGTGGTATAAAATCCCATTACCTTGCCACAAAATCGACAGTCCCTCCCAAAGGTCACGACAACTGTTACGCTGGCACATACCCCCCGAAGCCAGATACCAGCCCTCCTCTTCCCTCTCTAATACGAAAACCCTCGCTTCCTTCCTTCGCATACGAAAAAAATCCTCTTCATTGAGGGTTTCTCCTGATCCCGACCTGTCTGTTACAGACAGTTCGGGGTTAAGGTTTTGCTTTTTCGGAGGTTGATGAGGTCTTTGTTGGTTTCGCTAAAATTGCAAAATTCAATTGCCTCATAGTGCAATGTAAGTTAGTTGTATTATAAAAGTGAGCTATGAATTTGATGGGAATTGCACCTAGGTTGTCCGCCATTATCTCGAGTATTCATCGTGCCTGCATTGTCACATAAGAAGAGTAGCTACAAATAGAGGCAGGTTTTATGCCGGCGTGCACAAGGGGTGTAAAGCGATTTCACATGACTGATGCGAATCAATTTGCCAGAAGAAGGAAAGCATTCAAGTCCAATGAAACTTTGTTTCAGTGAAACTTAGTTAACTTAGTTGCAACGGGCGGGCCGCATAAGAAATTGGGAAGCATTCAGCAAGGACCGAATAAATTAGTACTCCGTCCTTGTGCATATTTGCGACAGGACAGCAGCAGGCACTTCGAGAATTCAGCATCGCTTGGGCAGCCATGCGTCAAAAGCTTTTCCAAGGCAAAATCTTTAGCTGCCCAGATCAGCCCTTCCATCATATGAAACAACCGGGATCAAGATACTTGATGAGGTTTTTTTTCTCCACCGAAAAGGATTGTAGCAACCAGGGTGGACACCGCAAATGCGCGTTTTTCCTGCTGATAGATAAGATGTAGCAGTTCACAGTGAACATGTATTGATTCTCGCGTAGCAAAAGTCAGAGAAGTGGACAGAGGCGGATTTTCTCGTTTGCTGGAGAAGTTAGTGATGATGGTGGTTGAACTACTAGAACTCAATTGCATGGTCGCGGGGCACGGGGGAAGTTTCGGCCGCTCATCGCAGTGAAGCCCGGATGGGAGGCGCACAATGGTAGATTGTGGTTCTAGGCCATCACCAATACCAATACCAATCCCACACCTGGTAGTTGCATCAGGTACATCTTAAGCTGACTGAGAAGGGTTTAGACTTGGGGCAGTGCACATTTAGATAGGAAGCCTTGGGAAGCCCCGTGTAATTCGTGGTATTGGTGGTGGTTATTATTATTATTATCGACTTGAGCCTCTCTCCCTGAGATCTCTTCGTCACCTCGAGCTACTTCTTTAACCTCCACGACGTTGAGGGTAGATAGTACAAGAGTCTTCAGCTGCCACCCGGGCCATGCCGGGGTCTGAAACGCTAAATGTGAGATCGTAACGGCATGACCAATAATACACGTGTGCTTGAAGACGACATAAGAGACACAAATGAATAATACAGCTGGCCAACGGTGTCGAAATATGAAGTGCAGTGGTTGATATTTTTGTACAGGGTGATGTAATTCAGAGCGAAAAAGTGACAAGTGACAAGTGCCGGACACATTCACGGTAGCATGTACGTAGTAGCTGCTGCGTACTAGTAGCTTCGATCGCCATTCGTGCATGAGGTGGATTCCGATGGTGTATGTGTGTCTGGAGATCGAAGGACGACAGCTTGTTTCATGGACACGTGTCTAAAGATAGGCTGCAGCGGATATGTGTGTTTGCCAAAGTCATGCGAGGCAGCAGCATGAAAGGCTGGAAGATCGATGAAGAAATCCCTGGACTCGGAAAGTGACCCATCCGATAAGCACTATGATGATGCCGGGTCACAAGCTGTCAGCTTCAATGGTAGCATTTGAGCATGACCGAGAGGATGGTGGATGTGAGACAAGCTAGCCCCATAAGCGCATGCACCGCATGAAAGAGAGCATCATGCTGAAACACGAATATTCTGGTCGCAGCGTGGTTAGGACAAACGGTGCTCGGTGTATGCCGATTGGTCGAATAGAAAAGCTTTGGTGTTGGCAAATGGGGCTGGATATGCAGGTATACGAATCAAGATCGGGTAGGCCAGAAGAAGGATGGTACGAGGCCAATATAGGTGTGGTAGCAGTGATCGCGGGGAAAAAGCAGCTTGGTCAGGATGTGATCGTTACACAAGCTGTGGTGATTGTCTCCGACGTAGGACGAGTAGGATGCCATATGGAGGATCGACGTTGCTTATGAGATCTGGTCGTCCGGAGAGGAAGCCAACACATTGTTTATCGAGGAGGTCGTGGAAGTGGCTTTGTAGGTGGGGGTCCTGGACACGGAGGAACGTGCACGCCGTGGTAGGAAGGCATCGTTGCAGACGAGGTGAGGCGGTTGTCTGGCTGGAAAGCCGTGACGAGTGAAGGGGGAGGCTGATAAGGGAGAATGGCGGTAGAAGTAGAAGGGGAGTTGTCTGGTTGACTGTGCCAACAGGTATGGTCTTCTGCCTGCTGGAGGGAGTGAGAAAGTCTTGCGACCAGCCTGAGGAGATGGTCAATATATCCGTTTTCTGTTCAGGCCATGGTTTTGGCCTGTTGCCAGAAATGGTGACGAAAGGTAATTCCGTCCTTACCCTTGACGTTAAACCAGGTGTTACGACGGCGTGTGGGTCTAAGGAGTGGCTTGATAGACTTTCTGCCCCTGTTGATCCCTTGGTGCCTTGCACACAACCCTCGGTACGAGACTATTCCTGGGGGCACCCAAGATACTGGATCCAGCTGTGAAAGGATCAGCAGCCATTTAAATAGTTAGCCCGCATTACGATGGAAAAGAAAAGGGAGGAAAGCGGGGCGGTGTAAGGAAATTAATCCGTAGCAGTGATAGTCATAATGCAAAGATTCCAATCGACTCGGCCGCTAAGGCCGACCAAATGATTAATGCGCATGACAGACCACTTTGGCAGAAGCAGAAGCAGAAAAGCCATCCTTTGCTCCGTGCTTGGAGCGTAGTATTGCCACAAGAGGAAGTTTCTGAACGTCATGGACGGCAACCAAACGACGAATGGACGAATGGACGAATTGACGAATTGACGAACAAAGAGCCGCCTGTGTCAGAACTCGATGCAATGGACGGGTGAGATACTACGTAACGCCATCAGCCGTTGAGCCAGTACCAATCGATTGAAGCAGCACCGCCATCCCGCATGACTCCTTGGGGGGAGCTTGGAACACGAAAACCTCAAGCATGCCAGGCGTCAGCTGACGTTCGAATTGACGGGTTGGGCAATCACGAATCTGAACAAAAGACGGAAGAGTAGCGGACAGGATAACCAGGCTGCAGCGAGCAGACACACCACCGTTTTCTTTTTTCGTTCCTGGCTATCCAGGAACGGCCGGCCGCTAGACTGGGCCATCCAGATTCTGATTCGCCAGCTGAATGGTATCAGGAACCACGATTCTGGCCCTTGATAACTACTACGTAGCTATGAGCGCCCCGTCAGAGAGGGTGTGCCCGGGAATGGACGATACGAGTACGTAGTATATCAATTAAGCGAACATACTTTGCGCCATGGAAGTCCCTACGTAGTGTCCCTACGTAGTAAGCGGGTTGCTCCAAAGGACATTCGGACCCAACGGCACACCAACACCATGCTACTTTGCTGATGTCTTCGAAAGCCAGCGCTTCGATCGAGAGATGACCACAGTAAGAAGTCTATCCTGGACCGGGTGTGTCACGGTGGGACGCTTGCTGACCAAAAAGTGGGGATCAAATGATCAACAGCCTACGTAGTAGAGAGGATTTACAAGGGGGCCAGTTTCCAACAAGCAGGAGGGAGATTGAAGTGGATAACTGAGCAGAATGGTGGTTGATGGTGGCTAGCGACAGTCCCACACGTCGAAACCGAGGCACCGAAAAATACGGTTGCATTTGGCTGCAAGCTGCTAGCTAGGAGGAGCTAGGTGCTGGGAGGAGCTAGGTGCTAGGACGAGCTAGGTGCTAGGCGGTAGGAGCTACGGAGATGGGGGCCGAGTGCTCATGTAGCAGGTAGCAGTACTCTGTACGTAGTCCCAAATTGAAGTGAAACAGTATCAGCACTAACGATCCCTGGCATGAAGGATGGATGGTACAAACGCGGGAAGTACGTGATTCTCACAGGGCCACGTTGCCGTTGCTTATTTCTGATTACTGGATCACTTGCTACTCAGTAGACAGCTGTCTATATGCCTCACTACAGTCCCTTTTGGCCTTGCGGGTGGGGTCAGGTACTCCGTGCTACTAATAGCAATGCCTGCATTGTCTCGAATGAGAAGACGGCTGACTCTCGATTGCCGATTGCCGTGTTGGGTCCCCCATTTGCTTCCTGATTTGGTCCGGCCCAGGCATCCGCTCACCACTGCAGTGCCTCTGCTCGCCTGATAAGTGCCATAACCACTCGAGAATGTGGCATGACAGCGTCACTGCTCTATTGATTGTATCTCCTCGGTGAACCTGATCGTGATGGTGCCAGGCCATCTGCCACTTCTTTTGCTGTGGCGTCAATCTGCAGGCGTTCTAGGCCACCTCCCCACATCCGATCTAGTAAACCCCAATCTTGGTTCTCTCATCTCCTACATTAGCTACCTTCGCGAATGTTCTTTTAGGGAATGTGGAGACGAGACCAAAACAAGCGTCGCTGTGGGTTGGCTGTGGGTTGGCTGTGGGCACGCTGAGCATGAACTAACGTAGTTGACATCTACGTACTAAGTTTGTCATGTCAGATATCCGTGTTTCGAATGCACTCCTACACGCTCCTGTTCTCGAAAGCTTAGTCGTGAGGGAAGCCATCAACCTGCGCAACACCATCATCAAGAGTTGTGAGTGGAGGGATATGTGCCCTCTGTGGTGCCACGTCAAGCGCTGTAGGCAGCACGTGTTTGGGGTATGGGTTTTGGTGCAGCTGAGACATGGATTGCTCGTGTCGAGTAGCAATATTTGTGCCTTCGACAGTCGCACAGCGCCTGATCTAGTAGAAAGGTTTCTGGCATGTTGCTAAGGACTTTCGGTGCCATCAGACCTTCGTGTCTATGGTTCAGATCTACGTAGTACAATCATTTGGTGCCATAAGCCTCTGCTTCCTTGACAAATAAGTGGCTTGCCTCTAATGGCGCACTGCGGAAGCCGGACAGCCTCTGCCAACTAGCAACATGTACTCCGTAATCTGCATCAGGATCTGCAAACCTTGCATGCCCAAGTGTGATGTAGGAGACCGTGCAGAGCTCCACTCTTGATGACAATACAGCATCGAATCTACGTAGTAGTTAAATATAGAATTTGGTCCCTTCGTCATCTCCCTAAATGATCAATGGTTGAATCACCATGTCCGCTTCCGACTTGTTCCATGCACCTGGATATTCTTCGAAGCACTAAAATTCCGTAAGAGCGAATATCATTATCGCTCGAATACCGGGCAGCAGATCGAGTCTTTTGTATGCTCATTCCCGTTGCCGGTCGGCGAACGGTGGTTTGAGACATCGATCGAATGTTGACAAGCAGATCCCTCATCTGCCTCAAGAGGACGTATCTCGGCGCGGGAGCGGTTTCATTCGATTGATATGATTATGAACGCGGAGCCGTGGAAGGCCTGGTGCTGAGTGACCACAACGATGAGAAAGACAATTATCACTGGTCGCGATGCAAGCCTCTTCCCATTTCATCGTTGTCGCCAGGTCTCGGTCCGAAAGGTCCGAAAGGTCCGAAAGTGGTTGTGCAATTTTCCAATTCCGCTAATGTAGGGAAAGGGAGGGAGGTTGTGCGCTATGGAAATCATTCCACGTGGCAAATGGTACGCTATGCAGATCTGCAAATGGCGTATGGAGCCTAAGATAGCTGCATATCCACCCCACAAACCAGGAGCACTGGACAAAAATAACGCAACGGAAATTGCGCTCAATTTCCTCCCCAGCTGAATGATCACGGACGAATTCTTAAGGTTTTGATGCGCTGATTACCAAAGGGAGAATGTCGCTCATGAGCCCAGTATGCCAGTTGTCCCATCACGAACGAGAGGATGCTATATCCTGGAAGACGTGTTGTCGAACAAATGCATGGCTGACTGTAGCTGGTCGCATACTATGATGTCCAAGAAGCCAGAGCTCAGATGCATAGCTTCTCACTTCGTGAACAGCAGATGTAGAGCGCACTGTGTTGCAGAACCACAGCTCAAACGTGCTAAGAGCTGCAAATCATGCTGTCTGCCATTGCATGCATACTCCTGAAAAATTAGGAGGGATCGTTTGGCGGTCCACCTGTGAGGTCCGCTTTCTCATGAAGTGTACTGCCACGAAATGTTCTGTTTTGCCTTGGCCGTGATTAGTACCAAACGAAAAGGGTCGGTCAATTTGTGGTGTCCGTCATTTAAGTCTTCATGAGCTGCCATCGTCATGCTGTGAGTGGCAGAGCAATGGTTGTGATACCCTCGTGTGTTTCCTGGATACCATCTTGTCAGACGAGCCACAAGCAAGAACATGCTCAGAGCATAATTAGATCACGCTCCACATCTTTTACTTCAGTTCAGCTGTCATCTTCATGTTGCTCTTGTGTCAAAGATATCCATTCCTCCATCAAAGCTTGGCCAGCAACGTTCTCTGTCCTTCTCTTGCTAGGACCACCCTTCCTCGCCACCAGCAGGCATAGCACCCATCCCCAGATACTGAAGCCTTCATACGTAGTCTTCAACCCCAGTTTCTTCTTGTCATCCACGCCTAATGCATCTTCTTCCTGCTGGATTCGGTCCATCGGCAAATGTGTATTATCATCATCGCTCTCTTCCCGAATCACAACAGGCTGTGTGTCAGAGCCCGTAAGCTTGGTTGCGTGTCCTGTGATTCTAGACTTGTTGAAAGTTTTACTTTTCGTCAGGAAGGAATGTCGAGTGCCGATTTGAGTGAGGAAAACGGATACTTCGAACTCATCTGCTCTGGGGGGTTAGCTGGTTTGGTTGCCATGATCTCAGGACGTTCCGATTGAAGGATTCTCCACCTTTGGTCACCACATCTTTGATCCGATTTTTCTTCTTTCCCTTCGCCTTTGCCCTTTCGGTCTCTTCTCGAAGTTTTGGAAGAACCAAAGGTCTGATGGCTTCAATGACACGTGGTAGAGCAGGATCTTCGGAGCTAAGCAGCCATCTTGGCCCATCAGCAGGGTTTTCAAGAAATATCCGGCATTCCAACACGGAGGTTTTACTGATACGAACGTAGCGACGTATAGGCGCCATGTCCAAGACAGATACTATAGACTGCGGTGATGTGGCGTCCTGTTGTTTGACAGTGAGCAAGAACCAATGCAACAGATCATGATTCTTAGATAAGATTAGATTAGATTTTGTCTGTCTACCATGTATCTCCAGCAGAGATCGGCATCTCTCTCTCTCTCTCCTCTATACACTTCAAGTTGCTTACGGCATTACACCAGAGTATATAATACATCATGGTCGTGGACTCCAGCATCCCGGCACGCGGTCTGTATCGCGACTCTTACCCATCCTCGTCCTTGCAGACCCTGTGCGACGTAAGGAGCCTGTTTTGGGGTTTCCCTCCCCTTTGATATCAGAATGAAATTCGAGATAATCTCACTACGTTCAACGTGTTTTGTGAAGTATGCAGCGGCCCATGCTTGCCTTGCAACTCGAACCCATTTCCTCTTTGTTTTTAAAATCGCCCTTGCCCAACAAGTCCATGTTGTTCCTGCTGTTAGTCTGTTTATCCCCCCCACGTCCTTTTGCCAAAGCAACCAATTTTGTTGTCCGTGAAGTTCGAGCAGCACATATCAATCCTGCCCAGTCAAGTTGACCTCTACATGCCAATTGTATCTCCCAACCCTGCCAAACCGTGAGTGGTCATGTACTAGTAGTGGAGGAGGCTGTTGAGCATTCGACTTCAAGTTTTAGTTTTCTATCATCCTAGTCTACGCTGTGATGGCAGAAGGCAGTGTGCGCACACCTACGAGGACACCTCATAGCCGAAGCAGATCCGTACTTGGAGAGATGTCTCTCACAACGTCTCGGCTCAATGTACCCTCACCTGTCCCAAGTGATAGATACAAAGCAACTGCTACAGCTGCAAATCGACTTGTAGACTTCAGCAGAGGCTCTCCTCGAAATTCGATTCACAGACGCAGCCTCTCTACAACATCCGGTCCACGATATAATCGACAGCTGTCCAAAGCTGCAGGATATCGGTTTCTCCAAAGAGCTGCTTCATCCGATGACGAGCCCACCAGCGATAGCGGCTCAGTGACCACCCCTTCTATCCGGCCTGATCTTGGCGATGCTGAACACCCCATTCTCCATTTTCGCCCCCAATTGTGGAGACATCTAGATAAGGCGAGGGACACATTGAATCTCGATCTATTTTGGCCGCTGAAACTTGAAGAATTGGTAGAGAACGACGACGACATCGACGAAGAAGAAGAAGAAGACGGCGAGGAGAATCAGGATGACAAAAACTCTTTCCCGTTGGAAGGGCTCTTACCGCTATGTGAGTTTCGAAACCTCCGCTCCATCCGACTCGGAGGCATGCTACAATCATATCAAATATGTATCTGGCGGGCCTGCTGGTTGAATCCTGGTCTAGAAGAGCTCATTCTCGAAATGGCATTGGAACCCACCATCAATCAAATGAACACTTCGTGTACTCCCATCGGAAGCTCATGGCGCCAGAAGACCATAAATGAAGCATGCACAGGTTATCTGTAAGCTTTTAGGAGGCATGTAATGAGACAATCTGCTGATGAGTTCCAGGGGCGAATTAGGAGATGGATCTCTTGATGCATCCATTGGCACAGGAGAATATCTAGACAAGAATGCCATGGCTGCTGCCCGGAACCTCGTCTCCTCTCAGGGCGTCAACCTACGCTACCTTCCAGTGGTCAAGCTGGTCCTTGCTGGATTTGTTGTTGATGCGGGACCCTTTTTTCGTTGGTTCAACCCCATGAGGCTTCGACTCGTCGAATTTAAGTATGGCTGTATCGATGCAGGTTTTGCGCTTCCGTCTCACATGAATAATTTGGTTACGGTGACCTGGCCCGGAAACTCGGATCTGAACAGCCAAACAGTGACCTTCTCGAAAGTTAAACCGCCAGACATAAAGAGGGTTTGCATCGGGAGGAGACCGTCGATAGCGCGGCAAATGAGTGGCCGCAAGCCAAAAATCAATTCAATCCTGACCAAGAACTGGTTCTCGTTTGGCAGAGCGCATAGTCTGAAAGCACGGAAATCCAACCGACAGCGTCTGCAGCATGCGAACCAGATGGGTGAGGCAAGTTCGTCAAGCGATCTGAGTTTGTTTCGGCAAACATCATGCTCAGGTACTTCTTTCACGAGTCAAGATTTTGTTACTCTGGAGAAAGATGAGCTGTAGCTCAAGGAGGATAGAGCGTCGATTTCAGTGATTTAGAACCTTGTGGTTTCCAGGGCATCAGAGTGTAATGAGCAAGGCGTTGGTGGAGTGTCAGGGAATGATGTTTTCTAGGTTATTTGACTGATATGTCTATTCTTCCACGCCTTCCACCAAGAAACAATGAGTCCCTTGTGTACGAATATTGCAGTGTATCCAATCAGAATTAAATATTCTTCTTTACACCGAGACTACAAGATTGCTCTGTCGTTATGTAATACTCTACCTTGTCGCATGCTCCTGATCCATCCAGCATGAGTGTCTCTGGTTGACAGAGACAGCCGAAGCTCAATTTCGAAGCCAAATCATAGGCCATGAGAAATGTTGGACATGCAGGTGACTTGATCCACCCACAGTAATCGACCTCCAAAGAAACTCGATTCGAAAGGATGGCAAGCCATTATATGTCCATAAGTGGTTGATCTGGTACGCCAATATGACCGACCAATCTAGCGCTGTCCCGTATGTCGAGCATACAAGAAAGATTTGGCGGTTGATTTAATGCGTTCCAATTATGAAGTGTGGAGGGAGGAAGAGTTTCGAGGCTGCTGGTGAAAGAAGTGCAAGAAAATCGTGAGTCACGTGAAGCCCATTGTCTTGGCAAACAGTATCCCCCGCCTTGGTGCCAAGAGTGCCCAAACCGGATCAAGTTAAATAAGCGGCGTCCAGCTGCAGTGTGCCATCTCGCCGCTTCAATCCTTAGCAGGGAGAGGCCCTCTGAAAGTTATCTCTAAGTTACCACCGTACTCTTAGGGCAATCTCAGCCTCACCAAAGTCCATTTTCCCCCTTTTGAGACCTGGGAATACGTGACTGTAACCTGAGCAATGAGTAAGTAATCCTGAGCCCCATCGTGAGCTGTGGCTGTGCCCCGATGAGCCATCCTATGCCCGCCCTGAGCCAGCCTGAAGGACCGAATCTGGGCTTACTACGGTTATTCTCCCGCAAGGATGGCCCAGATTTTGGGCCATACTTGAGAAGGGTGTCAAGAGCTTCACCTCCTGGCGTAGGGGGTAGACTTTCCCAGAAAGGTCCCTGGCTCAAGACAACGAAATAGGATGGGGAACCCCTTTTGGCGTCGTTTCGTCTATGCCCCAGAATGAAAAGATGCGCAACATCCATTTTTCGATTCTGTTTTCACTGTACAAGCTCAAGTTCCACCAGCACGCAGAGATCGACGGGGTTGTCCCCAAGGTTTAGCTCCAGTCCATCTCCATAAAGTCAAACGCCTCTTCCCACGTGAAGAAATATTCACATCCTTTGGGAAGGTGGATAAAGAGAAAGTCAGATTTTATGCCTTGCTTTCTGACCTCGGTTCGGGAGATGCTCAGCCTTAGGGAAGAACCACTCGATGTGACGAGGGTTACGATCATGCTTAACGCTTTTGGATCAAATGAGTGTCAGACACGCTTCGAAGCTGACCTTGTTGCTTGTTAGGCGTCTATGTAAAACATCGAGTACGAATATCGAAAGGAAGACAGCCTGGGCATTGCTCTGCAAAAAGCGATTCGCGTGCTTTTGAAACACCAAGTCGCTGTATTCGATCTCCTGGCCGGTAGTATATCGGAAATCGAAATCTCGTTCTTGAAATATGCCACAGAACATCAGCAGTGCAAAGTCGAAAACAACGCACACCTTGTCGGGTTGCCCATCTTCACGAGATGTGCTGACGCCACCCATTCGCCTGCGTGCTGACATTGCTGAGAAACCTAGCAAGATACGATTTGAAAATGGCCCTAAGATTTACCTTCCCCTTCTGTCTAATGCATTAGCATGTAGATTGAAACGCCTGTCGGACATCCCTGCCTCACTAAATGACCCAAATTCGCCACACAGAGACTGATAGTGACAGAACTTCCGCTCAGCGACCTTTTGGTCTCCCTCAGAGATGTTCCGAATGAGTTTTCCGAAGATGAGCGAGACGAAAAGTCCCTTCTCGGTGCTACAATAGTCGCTAACGACATGTCAACCTCGACCTCATCTTTAGTAGCAGTGGCACAAACCGGCGAGATGCAAGAAATGGGATCACAAAGACTCTTCATGCTTGGGCGTATGCTTGCATTTCAAGTTTCTAAGCAGACGAGAAAATGTTCATCGCGTGAAGATCTATACCGGACCCTTTTCGTGACTTTCGGGCCAAATACAAACAAAATCGGCAATAACAGCAGTCTTGATGCCACCAGCCAAGGAGCAGCCAACCATTCCCGATTATTGGCATGTCTAACCATCACGGACCAGCGATGTGAAGCGCATCTCATGAAGGTGAACGAGCATAGAAATATCACGATAAACTTAAAGACGCCGCTGAGAGACGACATCCAGCAATGCCACGTTCTTGGAGGATCGACAAATATGGAAACGGGTCGATATGAGACGGAGAGGATTTCCGTATGGCAGCGCCTTTTGCTTTCCTCGAGAGTGGTTGGGGGTAAATATTTCCCCATCACCCTTTTCATCCATGTACAAAATAGATACATGTAGCTCACTACTCATAGCAGCTTACGAGAGGTTTGTGGGTCTATCCCGTCATTAATGTCCAGCTCCGCAGGAAAAATCCCAAAATCTCATCCCTCACCATAATACCATTATCTCTAAGACATTCTCTCCTTCACCCTCCTGTAGTTGCCACAATATCCTGAATACGTCAAGCCCACTCCTTACCACCCCTTTAACGACCTCCCCACCTCTGCCCTCCGCCCTCCGAATTCAATGCCCTATCTACGGCTCGTTCTTCCTCCCAACCCTGACAACCTTCCCCTTTCCTATCTCTAACCTCCTCCCCCCCATCCCCCGCCCCCATCGACACACCCGGCCTTGCACTCACTGCCCCCCGCGGATGACATCTTGTCCGTTTGCGTCGAACGCAAACTCCATGTTTCGCCTATCGTTGTGAGCGACGACGGAGAAGATGTGGTAGGTCCACCTAAAGTAGACTTAGCCTCCTCTTTTACGGGACTGATGCCGGTGGTGGAGATGAAGGCTAGTAACATCTTATTTTTTCGGCTTCCCTTTCTTATAGATTTGTGAAGCAGATCTCTGCTTGCAGGTAGGAGAAGAGAATGGAGAAGAGACATGAGCTATGAATGGGAGAACGACTTCCAAATCAGGTAAATCGCTCGTTTTGGTTTTCGTGCTTCCCTTACTTCTTGTGGAGTTACTTGAATCGGTGCTTCGATCTTATGAACCTCATTCGCCTTTCATATCCATATATCCCCTCCGTGACCAATGTACCTATTAGCGTCCTTGGCATAAAATAAGGTTTTTGAGCCGCATTCGATCGTCAAAACAGTCCGCAGCTCGATTTTTGTATAAATTTCAGCCACCAACCATGCTACGACCACGGCGAAATACACAAATCCCTCTGAGATACAGAGATAACTCACCTCCGCAATCACTACAAAACAACAACCAGCGAAAACGACGCAGAATTGACCCAGAAAAGGTTGATCGAAATAACGTTGATCAAGCCTTGGCAGTGATTGCCCCTGCGCCAGAATGCGCAGATAAACCACCAACACTAATTTCAACAGAACTCCCTCATTTTGAGGCCAATTACGTTCAAAATCGAGATGGAGCTCCTCGATATACCGGTCTATCGGAACTGGGCTTTTTTCAGCTCTTTTTTAGCGATTTAGTGGTCGAAATCCTCTCTAAAGAGACCAATTCGTACGCCGAATATCACCTTCGACATCCTCCATTTCCTCCTCTTTCTCTCCCGTCTGACTGCCACTGGGTACCTACTACACCGGCAGAAATACGTGTATATCTGGGCATAAATCTCCATTTTGGCTTGTACCAATTGGCAGTACGATCGGACTACTGGAAAATGCATAATTTAGGTCAATTTATGAGCCGAGCTCGATTCGTTCTCATTCATCGCTTTTTTAGTACAAATAGCGCTCCTTCTTCGTCAAACGCACCCTGGTTTTATCGAATCCAACGCATATCTGACCTCATTCGAGCTGCCTGTCGAAATTCGCATTATCCCTCCTCTCATATCGCTATTGACGAAGCTATGGTCGCCTTCAAGGGCCGTTCAAAGCATACAATCAAGCTAAAGAACAAGCCTATTGATACAGGCTACAAACTGTGGTGTATTGGCGATCATGGCTATATTTGGAGCTGGCTATTTCACTCTGGAATAGAGGGCGTTGAAACGCTCGAAAAGGGTAAAAAAACGAGCTGGCCGCGCCTGCGCTCCGCAGGCCACGGGCACACAGAAAACGTCTCTTTAGCACCTACATTCGCGCTTGTTCTACGCCTTGCTCAACAACTCCCAAAACAGCTTGAATTCTGCATCTATTTAGATAACCTGTTTCTAAATGTACCTGTTGCGCAGTGCCTTTTGGCCATGGGGATCTATTGCATGGGTACAACGCGCAAAAAGGCCGACGGCTTTCCCCTCGATCTTCAAAGCTATTTTGATAACAATAATGAGTTGTTATGGGACTCTACTGTGGCAGAAGTAGTAGATGACAACGTTCTATGCTTCATTTGGCAAGACAATAAGGCTGTAGGCGTTATATTTCGACTGCTCATAGCCTCCACAGAGTCGAGGATAAAATTCAACGTCTGCGGAGATGCCCAAAACTGACCTCCGAAAATCAACGCATTTTACGCCCTGTTTTTAACGGTCAACCGTTCAAACAGCTCTTCATACCAACGGCTATTGACGCGTATAACCATCATATGAAGGGCGTGGACCAGGCGAATCAGCTACGCGCGGCTTTTACGTGTCATCGAAAGCAGAATTATCGAACGTGGTGGCCCTTGTTCTACTTCCTTATTGACGTTGCTCATACCAACGCCTATTTGCTATGGAAATGGAGCAATAACGTACAAAATCATGATAGCTATAGGGTCTTTATGAGCGCCCTATGCGATCAATTACTGCATTCGAATGATCCGAAGAAGGAGGAGCAGAAGGAGAAGGAGAAGGAACAATCCCATTCTCAACCCACAACAGTGTTTCGGCGCCACCATAAACACATACAACTCAAACAGCGTGGCCGGTGCGAGTGGGGGAAGCGTCATTCATCGGGCTGTTTGCGCAAACGGTCAAATAAACGCAAATTTGGAACCGATATTACAGAAATAGCTACCAACGGCGTCAACGAGGGTATTTTAGGAGGCTCTCTCACCCATCAAAGATGCAGCAAATGCCAGATTTGGCTCTGTACCAAAGGAGACTGCTGGCAACAGTATCACAGCTCAATTGAGGCCAATAGCTAGATAGAATAGCCTCAATTCGCCGAAAATAGACGTTTGTTGACGTTTTTGGACCCCTCATAATGATCGACACAGCGCTAATAGGTACAATCTACACCCCTGTCTGGTCACGGAGGGGATACACGTTGTACCAAAGCACACTTACCACAGACTACCTACCTACTCACCTACTCATCTCATTCCTTTTAATTAGCAACCATCGAAAAGAGCTAGCCCCCTTCTTTCTTCCACTTGTCCAGAACCCTTCATTGTATTCCCGACTATCCTTCGTAGCCGCGCATGCGCACAGTATTGTGTAACACGCCCTCCATAGTTACTACAAAGGGAATGAGTTGCCAATCATGTGCCTTGCCGATTTGGATTAGTTGATCGGAGCTGGAAGGGCCGAGCGTCCGATGCGGATTAACTAGTTAGGCCCCGGGTGGATTTTCTGTACAAAGGATCACTCCAGCTGGGGAGTAGCAAGTCGAGGATGTATCTTCGTAAGACCTCCTTTACAAAGGAGAGCGTATCTTATGGACTTCTACATTCCCCTTCTAATATCAATTTACCCGGCAATTTTCCGATGTCTGATCTGTCAGACAAAAGGCTGGTAGCGCCAGTTGTGGCCGCGGTCCTTTTGGTTCAACAGATTCGATAAGCTGCAGACTGAGTACCTCGACTTGGGGTCGAAGCTGTTCCTCACACCGCAGTGGGTGTGAGAGGGTACTGTCGCTCGATGAAAGCAGCCGAGATTGCCCCCTGGACTCTTTTGGGTCTGTCGTTTGTCCATACTTCGAGTGAAGGCTGAATATCATTTAGCCGGGGATACAGGTCTTGATCTGTTTCTAACATATGGAACTGTTTAGCACACATGTTATTGAGTGAAATCTCTGGACCAGCTGAGAAATCAATTCAAATCTGCCAAATTGCTGCGATACGTATGCCTTACTCTGTTCACCGTTGGCAATGGATAGTAGGCCGGTGGTGGAGATAGTTCTGGATCTCTCTGCTATCGGGCCCGACAAATCTGCAAGCTGGGCTGAACTGAGCAATGTTGGCAGACTTTGCTCCCGTTGTCAAGCAGTCAACTGGGAACCTGTCCAAATGTACCTCACTGTTGCTGATGGGTATACTAATTTCCCTAAGATTCCGCTCTACTCGACCTATCCGACCCTGGCTCAGTTACGCGCCGCTGCTCACGAGGGCTGCCATCTATGTACTCTAATAATCGCTTGTCTACTTTCTGCGAGATACGAAAGCTCAATATCAGAACGGATGTCAGTTCTAGGAGCTCCCGCTTCGTTTAGCGTCAACGACAAAACTGTTATTAGCATTGACGTGGAGGTTATGGCGCACTCCACGCCCGTATGGTTAACTGTGGGAATAGATCAATGCCCAAATGCGCTTTTGGGCATGCTCACTCGTTACATGCCCGTCAAAGCTGAAATAGTCAAGAGATCGTGCCCGATCCAATTTTCATCGCCGGCCGAGGACATCGCACGCTTTTGGCTTGAAGACTGCTGCGTAGCGCACGAGCGCTGCCAAAGCGAGACGCCCCTGTTGCCAAAGAGAGTGGTTGATGTGGTATCAGGTCTTGAGCCGTTTCTGTTTATAACCCAATGTCAGCGAGGAAGATACGCCGCGCTAAGTTATTGCTTCGGCAATGGTCCTGTTCTGACTACTACCGGGGAGACTCTACATGAACGACAAGCAAGCATAGCAATGAGTATTCTACCCCAGACCGTAAGAGATGCCATCGTCTGGACACGGCAACTCGGACTTCAATATCTCTGGATCGACAGTCTTTGCATTCTGCAGGACAGCTTGTCCGACTGGGAAGTTGAGCTGAGTACAATGGCAGACATCTACCGAGATGCAACCGTGACCATAGCCGCAACAGCTGCTTCACATGCCAGCAGCGGATGCGCCCCCGTTCGCAATAAGCTACAGCTTGCACCATTCACGCCTCTACCAGGAATTGTAATCGAAGCTAATTTCAAACGCGATGCATGGATATTTCGAAAAGGCCCTCTTGAAAAGCGAGGCTGGACATTCCAAGAAATACATCTTTCGCGGCGGGTGTTGCGCTGCGGCGGCGAAGAACTCGCTTGGCAGTGTCGAAGCCGCAGTTACTTAGAGAGCGACCCAGATCGACCAGTTAGCTCAATTACTAGTAACAGTGATAATTCACCACGAACACCCTTTGGAACAAGACCGCTGGACGATACACGGAACATGAATAGTTTCACTGCCTTTCAGAGATGGTATCAAATGGTCGGAGAATTCTCGACCCGCATTCTGACTTACCGGGAAGATAAAATGCCAGCTTTTTCGGGAATAGCACGTCATTTTGCCCAGCTGCTATGGCAAGACGAGAATCTCTCGCCAACAACAACGAAGTCGGAGGACAACACGACCGCAGCTCAGATCATAGCGGCACCTCCAGACAGTCAACCACCATTCCGTTATTTCTGTGGACTCTGGCACGATGATTTCCTCCAGGGCCTCCTCTGGCACTGTTACGAGCCCGGCAGCCCTATTGCCTATCGTGGCCCAACTTGGTCGTGGGTATCTTGTGAATCCACTATCATCTACAATACCCACCGATTGCGAACTGATGACTTCTGCGCTCATGTGTTAGACGTTAGCGTCACGGTTCCCGGTCTGAACCCCTATGGCCGGGTCTCATCAGGTAAGGTCACGATACTTGGGCCTGCGGCCCCTATACCTTCCAGTGCCTATAAAGATGACTCTGGAACGCAGTTTGAAATGCATTTCCCCAATAGCCTTTCGTGGGATCTTAAGGGAGCTCCGCAGCTAGGCTGTATTTTGTTCAAACTGCACGAACAGCACTATTTGATCTTAGCACCAGAAGCGAGGTATCATGCTGGGAGTTACAGACGAGTGGGCTTGCTTTCTCACGATCCCGCTAATCTTGCGGTAAAAATGCTTGATTGGCAGGAAGAAGTTGTTACGATCTTATAGAACTGGGGATGCGTACCAGCTATAGGGCATGCAGTCCGTAAGAGTGACTGCGATCGGAGTGGACTAATTCGCATCTGATTAGTGTTGTAACAGCTGGGTCTGTCTATTCTTCCAACAGGCACAAGACTTTGATGCGCCCTCTCAAAAGCCTTGGTTAAATTTTCCGTGGTCAGCACCGTACTGCCAGTCGCTGGTCTTGGGTATCGTACAGCGGAGCCTCAGGTAGTAGTAGCGGACACGTATCTTGCCGGCTTCATGGATCCAGTGGTTATATGCATTCGGGAGCTTTTCAGGGGCGGGGAGGAGGCGTGGACTTAGACCTGGGCCTGTACAATGAAAATCATCATACCTTGACTGCTGTTATTTCCCAAAGAAAAACAAGTGGAGAGCTTGAGCCTTACTAAGAAAAAACATTGTAAGATATTTTACATTCCATTAATTAATGTCGTGGGGGTATCTCGTTGGCCTGCAAAGAAAAAGAACTGACTGTCACGTGACTTGATTTCCTGTTGCCTTGGCATACGAATTAGTCATAGGCTTCAGAGAGATTCTCTTGCTTTTTTGCTGTGTTGACTAGCTACTCACTCACTCATTCACTCACTCAATCAGGTTACCTGTACGATTATCCAGCTGTGCTCTTGCTCTGTCTGCTCCTCTGCCCTCGCTGGCGCCACCCTCTGCCCTCCGTGACCCTGTTACTCCACCCATATCCGCGATAATGGTTCGTATTTGAATCTAATAAAGGTATAAAGGGTACTCAAAAGACGTCAGAGGGAGCCCGGATTGTGACTACTTTGAAACATGGATGTACAGATTCGGCGTAGTCTTCATAGACTGCCAACATAGCCATACTGGTGATCGCACAGCCTGCACCTGTGATACCACATATCTCTCCATTGATTGGTTTCGAGTACGTCCAATACTTGAAAGCTTGAACAGACTCGAATTCCGAAATGGCCAATGATCACAGCGCCAGGTCTCCTTCTCATTTTCGCTTGGGTCTGTACAAGCTCATGTGCTTTCTCATGCGACCGAATAGCCAATCAATATACTATGGAAACCCCCACATGTTGCAAGCATCTTGAACGCCATCTCCATGACCAAGACGCTTTTCTTACAGATCCTCGAGATCTTTGCAATCACGCAGTGGAATACTGAAATAGGTTTTTAGCAGAGCCGCGTCTACTCCACCCTGATGGGCCATTCAATGGCTCGGCAGGACTATTTTTATGACGGACACTCAACACCGGCGGCAAGTTGATCAGAGCAGTCATGGTCCCTGTCTTACGATATGTCATTCACGACCGTTGTCGACGTGCGGTTATGGCTCAGCATGACACTGGGGAGGGTCGATGTAGAACCGGGGTCTGCTTCTCTTGTTTCAGACCACCATTTTGGGCTCTTTAGTGATATGTACAAGATTTCTTGGCAAAGCAAACATACTGCTTCTTTCTGAAGGTTGAGCTTGCGAAAATACACCCGGGCTTGTTCCTGCCCCAACCTCCTGTTCAGACGAACTCTCCCTATTAAATCCAGAGCAACTCAAAAAGCAAGCAATATCTTCCACACACTTAATGCCCATTGGTCTGCTCCCCCTTTGCACACTCTATCACCCCCACATTTGTTCCTTCTGCCTTCCAGATCTTGATGAGTCGTAGACCCGATGAAGGCACTAACTCTTTAAACATCTTCTCTGTGCGTTCCTTAGCACCAAGTCCCAGCATACACAAGTCAGTCTGAGCATTCAAGGGTGATGGTGGATTTGACATGATCTGCTCACAGATGAGCACTCGAGAGTCGGAATCCATGGCTCTTGCGAGATGGGACAGTATGATGCGACAATTATCATCATGCCAGTCGTGGATGATACGCCGAATGAAGTACACTAGCGCTCCTGTGAGAGATGATTGTTAGCTGTTTCCTCCGCAGTCAATACCCAAGGGGGAAAAAATGCGCACCTTTGACAGGCTGCTCTTTGAAAAAGTCGTGTGGCATCTTCTTGACGTCCAGCAACATCTCGTCTTTGGTGTTTTCCGCTTCCTCGATCACAATCGGTCGATCTTGCATGACCAGTCTTGATGCAGGTATTTCTGCACATGATGCCATAATTCTCTTCAAAGCCTGTCCCTTGCCGCTACCGACATCAACAATCAGGGTCCTTGATGAATCTCCATTCTTGGCATGATCAGCGATCCAGCTGTAATCATACATTCCTGTGACTGGGAGCACTTCATCCAGCGTCGCCATGCTCAGGTTGAAAGCCTTCAAACGTTTTGGGTTGTCGTTCATCATCTCCCAGAAGTTCTTCTCTTCGCAACCCCAGGCAAAGGTGGTTGGAACATAGTTTGCCTCTCTGGGTTCTTTGAGACCGAACTTTTCGAAATAGTTTGGCCATTTGGTGTACGTGATCATGCCTTCGTCGAACCTAAGTTTGGCACAGGCGCATCAGATAAAGCGCACCCACAAGATGAAATGGGGAGGCATTACATGATCTGAAAGAACGCCCCTTGCGGATTTCCATCAACATAAGTCTTTGACAGACGGGTGTGGGCAACCTGATTTTCCCCAATCTGCTTCAGTAGACCCGTTGAGACAAGCATCCACAGAATGCGAGCTGAGAATATCAGTAAGTGCCTTGAGCGTCATTCTGGATGGTGCATATCTGCTCCCTGCTTACTAAGAAGAGACTCTTCAGCTCCAATACTTGCGGCCAAGTCGCCATAAGATATGCTTCCCTGCTGAGGAATTTTGTCGAAGATTTTGAGCTCCATCATCATACGCAGAGCACCCATTTCCGCCATCTACACGCCGTAAGCAGAAATACTCCGACAATGCTGGATTTGTCCAACCTGAACCGAGTACTCAAAGGGTGTTTCTCCTGGGTCTTTGATGGCATCAATGATCTGCTTCGCGTTGTTGCTCATCTTGCTACGAAGGAGGAGACTCTGCTGTCCAGATGCACCCCTGTAAGCTTTCGCGGCTTCCGCTAGGTTCGTGGCCCATTGTTCAAGAGAGTCTGCCAAATCGTCCTCGCCATTCATCGTGTGATTGTTTCCCATAATCGTACCATTCATCCCGGAATGATCTTCCGTAACCGTCCCATTCATTGCGAAATGATCTTTGGCAGCCGAACCGTTCATTGTAGGATGATCTTCAGTACTCGTACCGTTCATTGTCACCTGGCTGCCCAATGATAACCCGAAACTCTGGACTCTGCTTTGCAAACTGGAGGAAATAAGCAACAGAGGGTAATTACGTGAACTTGAATCACGGAGTCAGTAGTTAATCCTATTTATTTTTTTGCGCCGGCATGTGAGAAACACTTGTGCCTATTGCTTAGACCATCAGTGGTGGCGAACACTGTTGAATCAGGATAACATCTGACTGGACATCTGAAAAGACGGCCCATTGTAAGTTCATGACTCCGCCAGGATTGTGTTCACTGGGCCTCCGACCCACGCATTCCATCGTACCACACATCGAGAGCGTGACCCGTTAGGATGGACACTGGAGCTCAGGTTTACTGGTCCTACCGGCGATGCTAAAGGCGCGAGAGAGGCATTCCGGTTTGGCAGCGAAAAGTCATCCTATCAAAGCACTCAACAGAGCGGGGAATAAGATATGGTCTCCTGGACACCTTGCTAGGCATTGTATATCCCTGAATCCTTACCGCCTTTCAGCAGAGTTTAAATACGATGACGGCCAGGTCTGCTACTCGATCAATCGATAGGCACTAATGCAGCACTATACGACTAGATTGGGCAACTGCAGGAGAAATGCTAAACCCTGCCAGGAACAGTTTAGCCGCACTATCAGGCCAAGGGTCCAAGATCTTGTTTGCTATGTACTAGTACGGTAAGAGGCATAAGTATCGTTAGTCCGCCCTGGTAATACTGTTATCTAACGCCCTCTCTAGCAGATACCCTTACTGCCCTTGTACGAATGACGTACCCTATTCGACACCTTTAACGCGTTCAACGCGTTCAACGCGTTCAGCTTCTTCTATTCCGTACTACTATTCTATCTTGTAGAACTGCTCGAATCAATGCCAGCGAGATGTCAGGCAGTCATTGAAGCCAGGAGATGCATACTCGACTTTAGATACATATCAGGCTAGTCCTACTCGAGCGAGTTTTCTGTGTTCTATCTTGGCATTTACAAGTCGTTACTAACAGAGCTAACGATACTTACTACGGTAGGAGGCAGAAGTAGCCATAGCTCGGCACTAGTATCTTTACCCGGAGACGGCCTGCAAACGAGATCGCTATGCCCTAAATAGTTAAGCAGTTCTGTGATAGCCAATAAGTATGAGTACTTGTCAAGAAGCTTCTAGACATTAATGTGGCGCTGTATCTGAACTAGCTGTTACTAGCGCCGAGCTTGCCTCCTACCGTAGTATGCCTCCTACCGTAGTACCACTCTAGTACGTACAAATGAGGGGCAATTTGAACGGCCTCAGCCAAACCTTGCGCGGATGACTTTGCAGGGAAGCTGAGAAGGAGATCGATGATTGCAGATACCACGTAGAAAAGCAAAATCCTCCCGCATCGCGAGTTATTCTGCTGAAAGGGATGAGTCTTCCTGGTCTCCTCTATCTTATGTACCTGTACCTGTTGGTCTTGTACCACATTCCCAGAGCACGCGTCGGATCGCTCTACGTCATCAGCATGCTTACTCCTCTACGTAGGGAGCAAATCAGGCCACCATCTGTGTTGAGGCAATACATGCTCGTTGCTTGCGGGTTGTTCTGTACTCCGTACCACAACAGCAATCTATCGAGCCTCTTCGTGATGGCGAGAAACACCTCTAAGCACTCTGCTATCGAAAGTGGCTCGTCTGACTGGCGCCAGCGCTTTCCTGACAGGACTTGCTTTTCATTAGGCGCGAGCCATTGCTAGTCAAGTATGTTACTAGTTGACCAAGGGGATGACCCTTTGCCACAGCTTCCGAATCGTCTCGCATCGGAATATTTATGTGTTTGTGATTTTGACTCAGCACCCAGTTGCTCTTACACTATTTGCACTTATGCACGACCTGCAGCTTCTCTGCATTCCTGTACGGGGAATGGTCCGCACACCAGACAGTACTACTAGTAGCACACTGCACGCCACACCACTCTTTTTGCGAAAGCGCCACTGCAGTTGACAACTTGACTTCTGCAGGATGGTGACAAGGTTGCCAAGTGCATGTTTGCCGGTACCTTACACGAGCCACTGCAGATACTGTCATCTCGTGCAACGTGGACGTTCCCTCTTTCTCAGCTTACCTCGACTATTTAAGCCACAGCGGCATGCTGAGGAGTCGAACAACCGGAGCGGCTTACAGAGACCGTCCTTGAACCAGTACCTTGATAAAAGCGTCTTTGGCTGAAGCGCAATAAACATGGCCGAACAACACGACGACAATCAAGCGGAACAGCAAGGGCCCATTGAGCCAGATGCAAGTCTTTGTTCTTTACATCTGTTCCAGCTACTGACTTGGCGACCTTAGACACCTTTTGACGACGAAGGCTATGCCGAATCAAGGTATTGCTTTGGTCAGTAGTTGTCGTTGAAAGCAATCTAAGACTCTAGCCAGTACCTCAAGTTTTGTCACGTCTATTGCATCCGAGATCAAGAAAGGTACCGTCGAGAATGGAAGGGTGTATGCAGCTTATGGCAACCACGGTCAGTCTCCTCTTCAGGCTCCTGGCTCTTTCAGAAGTGTCTAATGCCGTTTTTAGAATATGGTCTTCCTGTGGATGATTATGAGCTTGACCGGCTTGATATGAATCATCAGAAATACACCCTGCTACAAGGAAACAGGCTCTTCCTGGCGCCAATAACACCTACTCCTCAGAAGATTCTGGATCTGGGAACAGGAACAGGTACCACCTGGTGCGCACTCGTACTTCTGACATGCTCATCTCTTGTCAAAGGTATCTTTGCAATAGACATTGCAGACATGTATCCTTCCGCCAAAGTATTTCGAGCTCCACTCCAAGCAGGAGGGAAATGAATGCTGATGCGCCTAGGTCATCGGTACCGACATTGCGCCTGTGCAACCACAATGGTATGCCAGTAGACGTTCCCAGAACGGAGTCAAACTAAACGAGTGAAGGGTCCCGACGAACTGCCAGTTTGAGATTGAAGACGCCGAAGACGAGTGGACTTTTCAGAAGAACGATTTCGACTATATCCATGGTCGAGACTTTTATCAATCCATACGTGATTGGCGGCGCTTGGTTCAGCAAAGCTACGAGTGAGTTTCGCTTTGCGCGAGGTTACCTTATGCTGTTCACATGGCTCAAATCTTTGGCAGTCACCTCAAACCAGGTGGGTATCTAGAACTCGCATGTGTCTATCCAGTGCCTCGATGTGATGACGAAACGCTTCCTCAAGATTGCGCATACGTCGAGGTCTGCCAGACCTTTCAAGAAATTGGGGCAAAGATGGAAGCTGATCCGGATGCTCCATTACATTTCCACGAACATATGCGCGAAGCCGGCTTTGCCAACGTTTCTCAGACGATTTTGAAGATTCCAACCTCACCTTGGCCAAAGGATCGACGATTGAAGAAGGTTGGTGCTCTGGAACTGATGAATCTGATGGAAGGCGCACAAGGGTTTCTGCTCCGAGGGTACACGAAAGAGTTTGGGAGGACGAGGGAGGAACTGGAGCTTCTTTTGATGCGAATGCGAAAGGAATTGACTACCCAGAAGTACCACAGCTACGTTTCTTTGTGAGTATCCAACTTGAGAGCTCAATACTATGACGCAACTGACCGGTCTCACTACAGCTATGTCGTGTATGGGCAAAAACCCGAGGACAAGAGTCAGTCAGCGGAGGATATTTGAGCGGAGGCACATTGTCGGCTCGATGTCTCGATGGGTTCTCCAGGTTTGACCCAGCCACGTGGAGCTAGAAGACGTACGTAGTAACCAAGCCCAAGAGACTTTTTGACAACCGGCCCGCCGGCAAGGCCGCTTCGTATTGATGCGGCATGCAACATGTGAACAGGTCTATTTTTATGCATATTATACCACGGTACGGAGTAGCATAAAACAGAACTTCCAGGTTTGCTGTGGGGGCGTTAGTCCATATGTTGAATCGCCTTTTCCATCCAATATATGCACTGATCGTCACTATCTGGCAATCCTGAACTATTACGGAGTATGCCATGATACACTCTCGAACATGTCACCTTTAATACTTTTAACGCCTGTGGCTTGCTGTACTATCTAATGTTTAGGCCCTCAGATCCTTTTCTGGGCATGGCTGTGGCGGACAAATCACTAACTCAGGGAAACTCAGTTACCATTGGCTAGGCGGGCCTACCTTAATCCTACTGTTACCCACCCATTGTTCTGGCTGAACCGAATTGGCTGCACTCTGTCACAATGGTCCATCACTGTTGCGCACTTCTTTCTCCTCCTTTCAATTAATCGGTCCTCTATATTGGTGTACCAGTCGCCGTCGCCGTTTCCTTTGCCGGGACTTCCATTCGCCTCTTCCTCGCATAATACTTTCTGGCGCTATCCAGGCTCTTGGAATTAATTATCGAGTATTCTAATTGCTAATTTACCAACTTAAAATTCTTCCTTACACTCTCCGCATGCAAGGTACCTCGCTTGACATCCTTGAACGGTGCCTGTCCAGGAGTTGATGATATGACCGCCTCGATGAGCAAACGTCAACTTGCTCGCAATGAGCGAGATTTGCAAGATCTTGTTGTTTCAGTGCCGGGCAATGATCGATGCGCCGACTGCCAGGCGCGCAATCCAGGTAGTCTTATCCTCTCTGGCTTGCTAGCTGAAGCTGACTCAAACAAAAGGATGGGCCAGCTGGAGCGTGAGTCCCAATTCCCTCAAAGTCGACCATCCTCCACCTTGATTGCTGAGAGCGAAGCAACGTGGTTGCGAAGAGGTACAGGAAGACAGCTGACACTGTATGGGTAACAGTTGGGTATATTCCTCTGTATGCGCTGTGCCGCGTTACACCGGAAGCTGGGTACGCACATCTCCAAGGTCAAATCTCTAAGCATGGACACATGGTCGACAGACCAAGTCGAGGTATTCACTCAAAGCACACCGCAGGTGTTCCGACGCTTACACAGTCCCGGCAGAATATGAGACAGAATGGCAATGCATCGGTCAACAAGACTTACAATCCCAAGAATACCAAACCCGGAATACCATTGGATGTTAACGAGGTGGACATGGCTATGGAAAGATTTATCCGGCAGAAGTATCAGGAAAGGAGTTTGGCAGATGGCAAACCACAACCCCCAAGCCGGGATGAGATCAGTGTACCAGCGAGATCACCGCAGCCATCCCCTACGCCTTCAATCCACATTCAACCTCAAAAGAGAGGCAAGATCTTTGGCTTCAAATTACGTGCCTCTTCCTCTGCATACCCGACCTCGAAACGTGATACAAGAAACCTACCACCCCTTGAACCGACGATTGAAAATGCATTTCGTAGCGAAGTGCACTCCAACAAGCCATCCAAACCAAGGGTCAGCGGTGACAGTGAGAAGGACAAAGCCACCGAGGACAAGCTTGCCGCTTTGCGTGAGATGGGATTCCCAGATGACAGGAGGAATGCTGCTGTCTTGAATCGTCTGAGTGGAGACTTGACTCGGACGGTTGAGTCCTTGGTCAGGTTAGGAGAAGGAGGACCTGATTCACGAAAAACCACTCCAGCTGGATCCAGAACTAACACGCCCTTAAGAGCCACATTTCCAGACAACGCACAAAGTCAAGTCTCAACTGAACCACGCACTTCAAACAATCCATTCGACCCGCCAGCTCGCGCGGATACACTGGCCGTGCCACAGGCGCAAGGACAACAAGCAGCATCCTACAATCCATTCGACGTGCAGAATGGACCGCGTAGCGCTTTCCAGCCAATGGACCAGGCTTTTCAAGCTATGCAAATATCTCAGCCCCTGTTCCCACACAGCACCGGAGGTTATCCCGTTCAGCAGCCTCCCACACAAGATCCGCGATTTCAGCACTCCATGACACCACCTGTCCCTCATGCGTCCCAGCAGTATGGATATACGTCGTCACCATCTACCATGTACAACACCAATCCGTTCCTGCAACCAATTCAGCAACAGAATACTGGCGTATATGATTCTTGCGTGCCCTCGCAGCAGAAGGGGCCATATTCGGCACCTGCCACGAATCCTTTTTTCAGCCAGCAATCTTCGTACGAGGCAGCTCCAACACCACCACCACCATCGGCTCCTTTACAACCACAAAGGAGTTTCTCTAACCCATTTGGCATTCCACCTTCCCCTCAGAATGCGCCTTTGCAACAGCAGCAATACCCCACCCCTGTTGACCACCAACAGACATTTCCTCCGTCTAATGCTATGCAACAACCTTTCTATCAGCAACAAAGTCCACAGTCTCATATCCAACCTCCTTCTCAAAACTCAATACCATCCCAGCAACCACAAGTGCCTTCCCAGTATTCACCTAATCCTTATCAGCCTCAGTTTCAATCTCCAATGTCGCCGCATTTCCATCAACAACCGTCTCCGTTGCGGCCACAACAGACTGGTCGCATTGATAAAAAGTCAATTCTCGCCTTATATGATTATCCTCATCTCGCACCCCAACCGATGCCCGCTACACCAGACAATACTACTCTGATGGCCGGGACAGTAGCTTTGAATCCGTTCTCAGTTACAGCTCCGCAAAATCCAAACCAAGAACCTTTCACCAAGAATGCCGCTACACCGGCAAGGAGAAGCGCAACCATGCCTACCTCCAGTACGTCCATGTCCCTCTCAACGGCGGGCGCAGGGAGCAACAACCCCTTTCTGAGCGGCAGTAACGACATCAGCCGGCAGAGCAGCGCTGTCCCTTCCCCAGCTATAGCACACGCCCCACCCGTGGCATCAAACAGTATCATGCACCGGCATGCAAGCCAAGAGAGCGTCAGCCTCGCCAATCTGGAGAGTGGCAGGCATTCACCGGACGCTTTCGCTAATCTGAGCGCGAGGTTCGTGAGGGGTTAATTAAAAGCACAACCAGAGGCAAAAGGGAGAGCATGTCCGTGGCTTCGGAAAAGGGTTCGGTCATATTGGTCGGGCAGGAGATTTTTTTCGAAAAGGAATGTGTATAGAAAGAGATGGTCAAATTCATGCCGCGCTGAATGTATGTCTGTCTGTCTGTTCCCATCATGTATACCCCCAGCGACCTGGAGCGTTATCTTTTCTATTCTAGTCTTGGGAATGAATGAAATCTTGGTCAGTTCACGAGGTAAAGCTGTCGTGTCATACAGAGAGAGAGAGAGAGAGAGAGAGAGAGAGATTCGTCATCGTGTTCTCATACTCATGGCTGGCGAGATGGCATGACTACTACTACTGCTACTACTACTATTACTACTACTACTAGTTTCAGCGCGCATATAAAGGAGTGACTGGGTGGTCGGTTTTTTCTTTTGGTAATGAACATGTTTTCCTGAAGAGAATGGCGCGCGCGCAAATGTCACACAGACTGGAGAGAGGTGGGGCAGCTGGAGATTTTTCAAAGTGTCAGTCATATATATGCGGTGTAACCGCCCTGTCAGCCCACGTGAAGCCTCTTGGACAAGTGAAATATGTGTCTGTATGCGCTGTGCTGTGCTGTGCTGGGCTTTGCTTTGTGGATTTTGGGTTGGGGTATAGTTGGTTAGGTAACAAGATAGAGTCAGGCAGGTCAAGCGATGTGGATCTGATCTGATCTGACCTGACCTGACCTGACCTGACCTGACCTGACATGCAGGTATCAGTCTTTGCTTGGGTATGAATGCATTAGGTGTTCCGCGGCTGTCTAATGGTCTGATGGGTTTGCGGGACTGGGGCTGTGATGGAATCTAGGTATCGCTTTCTTTCCTCGAAGCGACAGCGACGAGAGCTGAGTGGGGATGTAAACGTGCGCTTTCGGACGGGCGGAACCGGTTCTTTATACATGTGCGTGAGGCGGAATCATTCACGACCGCGCACTCTTTCTTTCCCTTGCTGCGGATCTCTTCGACCCAACCGACTGCCAGCCTGCATCCCACCATCCCCTCATCCTGGTAAACATGGAGTCTTTGTCTTTGCCTTTGCGCTTGGCCTCGGGTCTATCTACACCCTCCTCAACTGCCCACGGCCCCTTAACCCCAGTGAGGAGGCCACTACTCGTACCGTCCCTGCTGTGCATCTCTCGTCGCCAACGCAGCGAATCTGGCGCGGTTGCCCTGTTTCCCCTGTGCGTAGCCGAGTAGTCTCTTGACACTGTTGATCAACCCTACCATCCCATCCTTGTGATCCATCTTGATCCTTCTCTCGGGGAATAAACACCAGACCACTACATCCCCGCGCCTGCGAAGGTCATCGTGCCAATGACTGTTGAATCCACGCCAGCATTCGGAGTATCCACTCCCTTGCAATGCCGTATCCATGACCTGCTCTGCCGCGGAGAAGAAGATGAGGTAGTCGGGCCACGCTCGCTTTCCTTCACTGTTGCGTTCCGCCAGTCGGCGATGCAGGTTCTGCTTGTCTCTTGCCATGAAGATTCCAGAGCGGGGCGAAGGAGGCTGGCGGCTCATGTTCCTTCTAATCCAGAGTAGCGGATCCGAGTAGAAAGCGTCTGCTTCGTCCATGTAACTCGCCTTCTCTCCGGCTGAGAGATGTAGTGGTGGCTCGCACGTCAAGGCCCAGGCCGAGATGGCCGGGTGGATTAGATGGCTGCGCCAGGGGGTGGAGTGGCATGGCATTAGAAATGCGGCTGTGAGGTTTTTATTTGCAATAGTATTTGAATTTGGATCGCGGTTGGGGTTGTGGGTTTGGGAAGATAGGTAGAAGGTTTCATGTTGGTGGCGGAGGTAGGAGAGTACGTCTATGACGCCGCGGCCGTGAATGTTGGTGGTGTAGATGGCAATGGTGGCGTTCAGAAGGATGAGAAAACATAAGAGGAGGCGTTTAAGAAGGGCGGTGGATGGAATATGGCGGGATCGTGGAGCATGGATAAAGGAGGGGGCAAAAAATTGTATTAATGGGCCTGCAGCCAAGATGTGGAGAAGTGGTAGCAATGGATAGATAAAGCGAACTTCTTTGTGAGAGAGTAATGAGAGTGCGGTAGGGACGATGCACGAAATCGTGGCGAGCTGGGAAAGGATTGTGCGCGTTAATGTTGTTATTCTTGAATCCGTGCTGAGCAAGCCTTTGTACAACCCAACCAGCGTAAAAGGAAGGGCGGCTGTCAGCAGAAGTGGAAACCCCTGTGAAAGGTAGTAATGCCAGTCGTTTTTACCGTAAAAGACGGATAAAGATTGGACAAGATTGAAATATAAGAATTTCAATGGTGGAAAGGTCCAGAACCGATAGTAAAAGCGATCCACGAATACTGACAGTATTAGAATCGTAGAGCCACAGAGGAAAGATTCCCAAAGAAGTGTGCGCCGTTCTCGTGTAGTGGCACGGAGGAATGAGATAGATCTAGACGATGTTGACATGTCCGATCCTTTCCAGGGAGTTGTAGCAAACCCACCACACCACCATACGCTTGACATATTCAGGCATGTCATGGCAGCAACAGAAATCCATATCAGAAGGTTCGTCGGGCGTAGGATGGTCGCAAGAGCTGCAAGGAGAAGGCAGCGGCGCAACCTTGTGGTCTCATCCACGTCGTCGTGACCAATACCCTCACGCTTTCTCAAACCCCTGTCGTCGTATCTAGCATGACCTCTATCACCCAGTGACCACTGCCAAGGCCAATTGTATAGCGCCGCAACCGTCAAGGTCGTCTCCAAGCAATTGGACAAGGTTCGCGTCGAGCAGAACCATTGCCAAGGGCTAAGGACTGTCAAAGCAAGTGTTGCCCATGCCTGACGACTATGGTGACCAAATACCCTTTGTGCCAACTGCCAGGTGTAATAATCGCCCAGTGCTGCGAAGAATGCTTGCAAGATCTTTGGTGCGGCTAGCAAGAGTTCCGCGCGTGTTGCTGCGCTCAATCGGATGATGTCAACACCAAGATTGGTCAGGTAGTAGATCGTTGCAAAGATGGCAGGGTGTATGGCTGATCGAAGGGCATTCTTCCATTCCTGAGAGATGGTTAGCTGGTTGCATCTCAAGCATCTGTGGAGCGTACCCAAGTTATCCAGGCTCCACAGTTTTCTCCAAACGCCATCTGCCATGCCGGCTCTAGAGATTGGAAGTATTCATCTGGCTGGAAGAAGGTCCTGATGGTCAGGGCGTTGAGTATGCGAAAAGCGATAAGAAAAAGCAGGATGTCCTGTTGTGAAGTAGAATGGGCCACATTGCCGTGAGCTTCGCGCTGTCTCGACTGGCGCCCTTGGGAAGATTTAAGCTTGCCATGGGCGTTGGCAGAAGCCGCTGACAGATCTGATGAGGACGTCGACATGATCAGCGTCCATCATGGTGAAAGGGGGCGAAGCTGACGAGCATCAGGTTGATACTTAGTAGTATCCTCTTGCTCTATCTAGGCATTACCGGTTTACCGTACTCGAGTATTGGGTCTGCGTGGCTGAGAGCTTGGAAGTTTCGCCGGAGTCTTAACTAACCCGCTTTGTCTAAACAGCCACTTTCTCGGTTGGCGTCGGAGCAAACCCCCTGGAACCTTTGTGGAACCCCCGCCTCGCCCCCTCTGTTGATTTCTCCAACGCATCCCACACTAAGCAGGGCTTCTGCGCGTCAACCTTCTTATAGGGATATTCATCTCCTGCACCTGCGCTTAGGAGAACACGTACAATAATCAGTCTGCTCGTCGGATTCGGAATTTTCATAGTCATGTGGTCATATTCTGACTCACCTGGTGATATTTGAAGGCTTTGGAATCCAGACCAAAGTCCTCCCGCCTCCAGAAGAAACCATCCTTCGATCCCATAAATTGAAAACACTGCACATAATGGCCCCAATAGCTGTCTCAGAGGACACCAATTTCAATGGCCACACCAACGGCTCTACTCTCAAAGCGACAGCACCTTCATTCCACCCTACCAGCAAAACAGAACCGTCGAAATACCATGCCTCCTCTTCAGACGAAGCTATCCATGTCGAACACACTTATGCCGCCCACAACTACCACCCTCTGCCAATAGTGTTCGCTCGTGCTTCAGGCACCACAGTCTGGGATCCAGAGGGTCGTCAGTACCTCGACTTTCTGTCCGCCTACTCAGCTGTCAATCAAGGGCATTGCCATCCCGAGCTCGTAAAGGCATTGACAGAGCAAGCATCCACACTGACACTGAGCTCGAGAGCTTTCTACAATGATGTGTTCCCGCGATTTGCTGAATTTGTTACCAAATTCTTTGGGTTCGACAGGGTCCTACCCATGAACACTGGCGCAGAAGCAGTGGAGACAGCAATCAAGATATCAAGAAAATGGGGCTACAAGGTCAAGGGTATCCCAGAAAACGAGGCTGTTGTCTTGGGCGTGGCAGACAACTTTCACGGTCGGACGGTATGTTGTGTCTACGATGCTTCACCGCATTGATGACTTACACATCTCGAAATTGTAGTTCGCCGCCATTACCATGTCAACAGATTCGGAATCACGGGATAACTATGGCCCTTTCGTACCAAACATAGGATGTTATTGTCCCGTTACCAAGCAGCCAATCCCTTTCAACGATGTAGAGGCAGTTCGGACAGCCTTCAAAGCACACGGCCATAACATTGCTGGGTTTCTCGTGGAGCCCATCCAGGGGGAAGCCGGTATTGTGGTTCCGGATGACAACTATTTAGCAGAGATCAGGAAGTTGTGCGATGAACACAACGTCCTCATGATATGTGACGAGATTCAGACCGGTATTGCACGAACGGGGAAGCTACTCTGCCACGAATGGGCAGGCATCAAGCCGGACATGGTACTGCTGGGCAAAGCAATCTCTGGAGGGATGTATCCTGTATCCTGTGTTCTCGGCCGTAACGATGTCATGCTCACCGTTGAGCCCGGGACGCACGGCTCGACATATGGAGGTAATCCACTCGGCTGCGCCGTTGCCATCCGAGCACTCGAAATTGTACGAGACGAGAACATGGTTGAACGCGCACAAACACTAGGACAGAAATTCAGAGATGGATTGAAATCGTTGAAAAGTCCGATGATCAAGACCATCCGTGGCAAAGGACTGCTCAACGCGATTGTCATTGACGAAACACAAACAGGAGGTCACAGTGCATGGGATCTGTGCATGTTGATGAAGCAAAAGGGTCTTTTGGTTGGTCGAGCCCTGAAAATTGCTCATTTGAGGGACTCTGAAGAACAAGTTGCTGACGGAGCGAAGGCCAAACCAACTCATACGAACATCATCCGATTGGCACCACCGTTGGTGATCACGGAAGAGGAGATCAAGCAAGCCCTTAACATTATGAAGGAGTCCATTGAGGAACTCCCAACGCTCAAAGGCGAGAAGGAAGATAAAATCATCCCACCGGAAGAGAAGAACGTGCGCATTCAAGTGGACAATTAGGGGCCCGCTGAGCAGGACACAAACATATGTTATGGGTCAAGGTCGAGCCGTATTGCGTATGCATCCATTCGTGGCATGGGGTTATGAATCCAATATCTGTAATTGTGAGGGGAAAAGCCGGAAGGGTTTTTTGTTGATTCACAACAGACGAACAAGATAGTCGTATGGGCTTCAAAGATAGCTGACCAATGCGGGCAGGATTGAAGGAGAAACTGGTGAAGTAGTAGTGACCAGGTAGAGACTCTATCTTGGATGATGAGATCTCTTAACCTTGTTATCACATCGAGAACAGGATTCCCACTCCCGTCAGCGAATAAGACGCGATTCCTCGGTGAAAAAACTTCCCGTCTGGACCATGCTGAACATGTAGGCGTTTGAGAACTATTTTAACATGTTGAGATCAGGTGGACTGTGTCTTAAAGTGTGTAAGAATCAGCCTTCGCCTGATTCTTATGATATAGATTTAAGAGATATAAGACTGTTCGAAAAAAGTTTGATATTCTACATACAAAATAAGACAAAGCTTAATCTACTACAGAGAGACCCTAAAACTCAAGAGATCGGCTTAGACCGAGAAGCCCTTTTAGCCCACGGCTACTAAATAGTAATACATTTTGCTTGTATGAACGATCAGGGCAGTTGCTGCGCCAGCAATTCTCTATATGACGCCAAAGAATTTGCAACACCTTCGCAATGTACCGTAAACTCATGCTGATCTTAGCCGGACCGCCAGGAGAGCTCGAGCTGACGGAGTTCGCTCTTCTGCGGAGTTCCTCTGGGACCAGTGGTCAGACTGCGGTCTTCAGCAGAACACATGCTGCTAGAGCAGTCTCCTCTGTTTGAACAATCGGGCAACCTTATCACCTCGGCCTAGCTTGATCCAGAGATCTGGGAGCCAAGTCATGCTCGCAATGGTATCCCAGATTTCGCCTGCAGTCAGTGGCCGTTCAGCGTAGGTGACCCAATCGAGTATCTTTCTGGCCTCGATCTTCATCGTCGCGTCGTGTTTCGCCAGTTGCTCAATGATTTGTTTATAGTAGTCGATCCGCTCAAGGGGAAAGTCTTGAACCAGTTTCATAAGTTCTGCCTTGGTGCATTGACCTGTATCCCAACCCTTTAGATTTCGGATAACGATAAATATCCAGGAAAAGACCCCTTGAGCATGATCCGTGAGATAGTTCGTGCACCACTCAAAAATACCATTGTATGGTTTGCTAAAGAAGCGCAGTTCGGCGTCGACCATCTTCGCTATATCCTGTTTGTTCTCGTACTCGAGGACGAGTTTAAACGTGCCAGTCAGCGCTTTGGCGATCAAGTAGCTCGGCCGACTGGTGAAGGCAATCTTGATGGTACAAGCTGAAGCCCCACGATCGTCGTGAAACAGCGACAAAACATCCGCCAGTTGGCCTTCATCGGATGCATCAAGCGCATCAACGAGAAGATATATCCGAAAATGTTGATCACACGAAGTGGCCAGATTTATGAAAACATCTTTGAGATCCTCATAGGACCAGGTAACGTGGTTCTCTGATCCATTCCGAAGCTTTCGATAGGTCTCTTGAAACCAAGGGTACAATTGGCTTTCCTGGGCCAAGACCTCGTATAGAAGAGTCTGCAGCATGTGCCGACGACTTGTTTCTATCTCACCCTCCCGTGTGCTATAGAAAAAGCTTGCAATCACTGATTGATCCTTGACGACGGATGATTTCTTTATTGTCTGTCTTGAGCCTGAGGCCAAGTCGATCATATGGCTACTTGAACCTCTTGTGGAAGCCGGCCGTTCCACATCTTCAAAGCTCCGCTCTTTCGTGAGTTCTTGCAGCAAGCGTTGCATCAAGGCAGATTTTCCACTTCGTGGCTTGCCTTGTATCCACAGCATAGTCGAGTTTGTTTCTGACTTCCAATCAATGTATTGGGGATGTCTTAAGACCCAGTTACCGGTATTCTCTGCGGAATCAATCATCCGGCTTCTTCTCGTGTTAGAAGATCCAAACTTCAAAGACCTCAGACATTCTGCAAAAGGGTCAGAGCATATCCAAGCGAATAAAAGATTCATTACCTTTCTGCTCCTTTTCATAATCCAGGTATGGAAGGCCATCGAGTATCTCTTGAATTCTCCTGAGAGGGCGACTCATGATTAATATCCTCAACTTGAGGCTGGGGTCCTTGTGGGCGCACTTCCATAGATTTCGAAAATTCTTCAAAAGTCGTGACTGGTCGTCTGGTAGCAAAATATCTGCGCCGTCAATAACAATGTGTATCTCCTCATCCGTATAGGCATGAATCAATGATGCTAATATCTTGAACAAATCGTCTTCAGAGATCGAGCGCAAGGCAGAAGTGGCTTGCGAAAGCGACATTGCTATACGGGCCCTTTCGCCGATGTTTGGGACTGACTGGGCTGCTCGATCCTGAGCCAGGAGAGAGTAGATGTTTATCGTGGACTTGAATGCTTTGAGGAGCACTACGCGCTCCTTGTGGCTCAACCAGACCGCGTCATCGTGAATTGCGCTTTGAGCATACCGCGTGTGAAGTAATTGCGCAATAATCGAACAGGCGGCTAAAGCAGGTATAGAGGATAAGCCACTCCCTTCCTGGGGTAGTTGGAAAAAGAAGTGAGCAACATGTTCTGAGTGTATCCGTTCCCTGGACAGTTCAGATACCAAAGTCGCAGCTATCGAGCTTTTGCCAACCGAAGGCTTGCCAGTGCACCAAAGAAATTGACTGTTTTCACTAGTGCGCCAGCTCTGATATTCGGGGCTTTTCCAAAACCATGATGCCAAGTGGTCTGGTCCGGACTGTGAAGAGACAAAGTCTGCCCAGGTGTTCAGGCATATTTGTGATATTGTGAACAATTCACATGTTGGACGCCTTATTTCATCAAGCGCGTGTGCTAGTAAAACCAACGATCAATAATGCTCAACTGCATTTCGTTCGAGATCACACATACAGAAAGGTGTTTACAAACCTGCTGGTCCACATTGCATTTGTAGGGGTTGGGCTTCATCTTGCTCCACGCTTGGCCTCGTGGTTTGGGTTTCCTTCGAATGAAGTATCTCAGACAGGTACATTCGCAAACCGCCGCTGAAGGCTTTATAGCCTGGATCGTTAGCACCCTTGAACTTGCACATATTCTTGTGGTTTTCCGAAATAGAGATGTTTCTCTCAAGATCCCTACGATTGAACCACGAGGAGTGATCTGGTACAACCTGTCTTATTATCAGTATATTGGTCAAAGATCACGTGAAGCGAGTGGAGATGCCATACCTTTCCATCACGCAGTTTGCTAGCACTGATTCCCTTGCCCTCTTGGAAACTGTATATTTTGATTCTCTGATCCTTTGGGATTGGGGCGTTCAGGATCTCATTGAATTCCCGCGTCAAAGACTCCAGCTTCTCGCTATCTGGAGCTAGTTGCCGCAAGACCCCTTTGTAGGTGCTAAACCCAATTCCCAGCGCTTCAACAATATTACTCAGCAGCACGCCCCAGTCTGCAAGCCCGGACCCAAGGTGTGGCGTGCCAAAGAACATGATTGCATGACAACGTTGAAACACCATTCGTGCAACTGTCTGAGGACTATGTTTTCGAGCCTCGATGATGGCGTCCTTAACAAGAAGCCCACCAAGACTATGCGCGACGAAGATAAGTGGACGTTCGATACAGTCTTGCCGCTCGTCTATGAGCCTTTCAAGCAGTGTTCGACCGTGTTGTGATATGGTCACTTGGTTTACCGCATCCTTGCAGAAATGGCTCACATGAGAGTCGTAGCCATAGGTAACAACGCGTACATTTTTGAAGTCGCGAGATAGGAGGTCCATCGGCCAGAAGCAAGTTGAAACTAAGCTTTCTGGATGTTTGGCGATATCTTCCTTGTCCTTGGTACACTTGCTCCACAAAAGTTTTCTGAAGCTTCTCGACCTCGTTGGTTCGTCTTTGTCTAGTTTTTGGTTGGAAATCCTCCGTTCCTCTGACCCATACGTCCACGTGTCTTTTGGATGGCCTCCTAGACCGTGAACAAAGACTACATCGGCAACGATGTCGCCATTGTCGATGGGCCCAGAGAGCTGCGTGAAACCCTTTGTCTGGACCTGCACCTGAGTCAGGGTAGCATCGTGATGCTGCAAAAGAGCTTCGGCCATTGTTCAAGGCTTTTGGCGGACGCCCGACCTCGGATCCTTCTCAGCCAAAAGTAGACCAGCCGAGGACACTGGTGGATTAAGGAGGACAGCAAAACCGAAGGAAGTGTGCGCTGGTAACAATAATACTTTTGACTTCGAGCCTTCGAGTCTTTGCAGCTGCTGTCAAGTAAAGAAGAGATTGTCCTTGAGGAGACACAGAAACTGGAAAGAAATGGCCAGACGGGCTTTCAAGTAATTTCGAAGCCATGGCTGTAATCACCTGAAGCATCAATAGGCAAGCGGCTGCGAGATCACAACCTGGTAAGTGCACATGGACACATGCGCCAACACCTGGGTCAACACATAAGGGATGTATGAGCATAGGTGATGAGAGTCGAAGCTGAGAAGTTAATTTGGGCAGCCCTGTTGCTCCAAGGTCTCCGCGTGCAGGAACGATGTATGCGTGCCGCCGAAAATTGTGTGGGTTTCCAGAGTAGGAAAAGTCCTACTTTAGTTCTGTATATTGTGATATATTTACCCTAGCTTACTGTATGGTCCCTGCATCAGCGTATCTCAGCTTTTCACTTACATTCTATCATAGGCCAGGGCATATACATCCTGTACTACGATACAAGGCAGAAGTATTCATAGCTCGGCTCCAGTGGCAACTAACTAGTTCTAATGCAGCGCCACGTGGATGTCTAGAAGCTCTTAGCCAACCGTCCATGGTTATTGGCCACAACAATATCGCTCAATTGCTCTCGTTAGGCTTAACTGTCTCGTTGTAGCCCGTTTTCCTGCAAACATGCTATTCCTGAACTATGAATCCTTCTGTCTGGTACCGGAGTAAATAACCTAATGACGCTTCCAAAATTCCCACTAAGAGCATGTTCTCCTTGCCACTGTTGCGGTGAGGTGCGGTGCATCGCCTATCTTGGGCTCATGCCCCTGAACAGACCCGTGAAGAGTCCTTACTCAAGTCTCGAGCAACAGCCTTCAAGATTCGGGGTTGCAGTGACATCCGTTCCTTGTCCTGCATTCTCGTCTCTCTGCGCAAATATACCAATGCTGCTACCTAGCTATTTGCTATGCTGTAATAAGCCAAAGAAGGCCGCCAGCAAGCTAGAACTTCCCAGCGCCGCTGTCTGAGCTTGCCGCTAAGCTCATGCCATAATAGATGGGAGAGAGGTAGGTATGGACACCGATCACATGCGAGAGGCTTGAGGCCCATGTGAACAATGGACATGACAAAAAAACCCATGAGAAAGACAAGCAACAAGATGACTTACTATTGCTATCACATACAAGCTAATCTGTCAGAAGAGCTCATGCCAAGAGCGACACGAGTTCTTGACAAGGGCCACGGCTCCCTCACGTTGCAAGGAGGCAGTAGAGAATAGAGCATCAGAGGCTAAGAAGCCCGACAGGCAGGGAAAGGGGTGAAAAGGGGAGCTTTTTCCCGAATTGGAATTCAATATATTTCTAGAGCGCAAAGACCAGCAAGATGAGGATTGCGTACGCATGTGGTGCAAAAAATTGGCTGTAAAGGGCATGAAAATGACTTGGATACAGAACGATTAAGAGAGATCCGTAGAATGGGTTGTATAACACCAACAAGTACCCTCACCCAAGGTAAAGCTTGCAAGCTAAATAGGTATTCTGGTAAAGCTCAAGTATGCACATGAAAGAACATAGCTTGTCTCTATCTCCTGGCTCAACCAGCACAAAGGTGGGCGAAACTCTCTGACATACTCATATGTTCAAGGTGTATGCGCCCTGCTAAGCATGATTTGGCAGCCGCTGTGCCATTCGGCCGCAGAAATGCATTCGTGTGCCTAAGAAATGCATGACTCCACGCCTCCCCGTGCGCCAGCAACACCAAGCAATTATAAGCATACAGCAGAAAGAGGTCGACAACAGATGCCGACTGGAAGCGAAATTTCCGAGACTGCGCCAGCTGGCCTTGTGTCGGTGAACATGGTTAGTAGTATGCTGACATCAAACATTACCAATCTTTGCTGTGCTGTTCTCATCCTTGTACACTCCGCCGCCAACCCTCAAGCTAATACCAACGCCAATGCCAACCATCGCACCAACGATGACAAGCGCAATCAGCAGTTTTATCAGAAACTTCTGCCTCTTCGGCAGATTTGACATGCAATGACACCCCCGTTGCTTCGGTTTTGTCAGACATCGTGACTTTTCTCGACCGAATATGCCCGCGTTTGTTGTCCATGGCTTCAGGGCGCCTCCGTCAGCAGGACTTGGTCGAGGGTCATTCGTTTGAGAAGGTGTAAGGCCGTTTTGGGCTTCTAAATCTCGGACAGAGACATGAAGAGAGGTCTTCGACTTGAAGTTGTCCATTGAGCCTCGAGGTGTGTCGTGGTTGTAGAAAGGAGAGCAAGGGTTTGATGTCTGACACGGATCGAATTCGCCGTTCGGAGGGCACAGGCTCCCCTCTTTGCTGGCGAAATAGTTGTGGGCAGGCGACAGATGTACCCGAGGAAGGTTATCTGATGAGGAAGTAGTCGAATCGGCTGGAGGATGTACGGAGGTAGTAAGTGGTTTCTCGTCGAACGATGGCATCTTGGTAATAGGAGAGTGTGATGGCTGGTCAGATGGATGGCTTTGGGCAAAGTCGTCAATGTTGGAATCGAAGAAAGAGAAGGCGATTCGAAGCTGGCCCGGACGGTCCAACTAAGGTAGGGCTGTTCAACGAGGGCGTGAGGAAATGTAGGTCTCGAGCGAAATCATGAGCAAATGATAAGGCTTGTCGTGATCATTGACGAGGATATCTGAACGAGAGAATCCGTATGATGGTGTAGGATAATCACAGACAACCTGAATTAGGTGAGCACGCAAGATTTTCGCTTCGAGGTAAATGTGCGTCGATTATTGAAGTAGGAGCAGTAGAACAATAAGTTGAGGGCAGGTACGGTCTCAATTGCTCGAGAAGATCAAGGACAAACGAGCCGCAGTCTGGCAAACATGCGACACTCTCGTCCTCGTAATCGGAACCGAGATTTTGGTGTCGAACGACACCGAGTTGTTCAAAATTCTGGTGAGGTTGGAAGTAAGACAACTGAGTTCGATAAGCGAGGAAATTTTAGTACGTTGTACGTAGTATGAATTCGAATCTGGGTTTGATTGGGATTGCTGAAAAAGCTGGAGCAACTCCAGGGTCCACCAAGGCTTCTTTTGGGGCGGTTCAAGGTTGAGGCGTAGCCAAGCTTCGAATCAGGCAAGAGGGATGGCCCAAAGCATGAATTTTGCCAACTTTGAGGAAATTGAAGTCATCAAATTCAACCAAAGAAGCATTCAAGCTTCGAAACAATCGGCTTATGAGCAGAGACCACGACATAGGTGAGGGGAGGGATATGCAAGTTACTTACTGAATCTCTGGGCGATCCTTGCATTGGTCTGCCATGTGAGGTCTAGGCCACAAAGTGCAATGTTCCTGCAGCTTGTGACATCTTTTAGCTATCACAACCTTACAAGAAGGTGAAAGTGTGAAAGGCCATGCAGTGAGGGAGAATACTATTGGTGGTAGTTCCGACCACTAAGAGCTCGATGAGGTTAGTCGTCGAGGTGTGAACCTTGTTTCATTGGGCATCGGCGACGCTAGTGGCAAAGACCGGGCTACTCCAACCTTGGCTAGTGAGCTACTTAATTAGCTGAAATGATTGATAAATTAAAATAATGACCGAGTAAAGGCGAAGCCCAAAGCGGGTCTGGTTTGCATACGTAGTAAGTTAATAGTAATACGGAGTATTCCGTACTACGTAGTCAACTGTTCAGAAAAGTCGTGGCGCACAAGTGGCTTCTCAAGTTGTACTATTTGACCTTTCCTCATACTACGTAGATGTATCTAGCCATTGATACCATGACATATTCAAGTTCATGCGGTCTATTCAATATACGCCACAGGTGATCCTCAAACACAGCCGTCTATTCTTCGGCAAAAAAATCATCCCTTCTGATACCACTGCGATCACACATGCTTCTAAAAATGCCACCTCTCTCATACAATTTGATCGGCTCGTCCAGCTCGGCTATTTTCCCTGCATCCATCACACAAATGCGGTCATACTGAATGATCGTCTTTAACCGATGAGCGATGCACAGTAGCGTCTTGCCTTTGAATCCAGATGCCATCGTCTTCTGGATCTTTTGATCCGTCTCAAAGTCCACGGATGAGGTTGCTTCGTCGCACACGATGATTCGGCTGTCCCGAACCAGTGCTCGGGCTAACGCCATAAGTTGACGCTGACCAAGAGAAAAGTTTAGACCTTCTTCCTCCACGGTACTATCGAGATGGATACGACCAGTGTTCTTCCCATTTGCGTCGAGCCCTTGAGACGCTTCCTGTTCGTCACCAATCAAATTTGCCTTTCGTAGAGCTGCCCAAAGTTCCAAATCGCTATGCTCGTTGAATGGATCGAGATTGGATCGGATTGTGCCGCGGAATAGTGTTGGATCTTGCGGTATAATTGCAAGCCGTGATCGGAGATCTTGAAGACCCACAGTAGCAATGTCAATGTCGTCAATCTTGATAGAGCCGCCGGAAAGCTCGGTGAGCCGGAACAAAGCTGACATGATACTCGATTTTCCTGCCCCGGTCCGGCCCACGATCCCAATTCGTTCTCCACCATTGACTTTGAAGTCAAGTCCTTGCAGAACTAATGGTAGGCCAGCTCGATACCTCATCTGAACATTCTCAAAGACAATTTCGCCTGACTGTGGCCATGAATCTGGCACCTTCTTCAAGTATGCAGGGGCTTCTTCATCCAACTGCGTCCCGTAGTAATGCAACCGCTCCGTTGCGTTCATGTTGTTTTCCACCTCTGCCAGCTGTCTCACCGTGAATTGAATGATTTGTACGATCGCCAAGATATACGACAAAACCAGCCCTGCAATGCTGGGAGAGACATTAAATCGTGAGGTAACAACCAAGATGCCCGTTGTGAAAACAAGGAGATTACCAATACCGTCCAACCGTACCGCAAGCCAACGCTGATTGGCAAAGGTAAGAAAGTATGCTGAATCCATCGTATCAATGCTATCTCGAATACGCCCCGCGAAATAATCCTGCATCCCATATGCTCTGATAGATGCAGTGCCTGAAATCGCTTCGCTAAACCGTGCAAAAACAGATGATCGCAAAACAGATTCATGTCGCTTCATCTCTCGTGCTGATGCTCGATAATAGCTAGCTGCAAATAGAAATATGAGCAGTAGTGGCCCCAATGCAATCCCAAAAAATGGAAAAAATGCAATGATCAAGGCGAACACAGATATAATCATGGTCAGTGTTAGGAGGTACATTCGTATGGCGTCTGTCAGGCTGTTGTCCATTGAATCAATGTCTTTGGAAAAGCGATTGGTGATGCGGCCGAGAGGTGTGGTGTCGAAGAACGACATAGGTGCCCGAAGAACACGGGTCATGGCGCGCTGCAACATGACTTTGCTTGCATTGGTGCCTCCATTTGACAGCATTGTGGCAAAGGCGTACATGAGAAGTGCTTGAAGCACACCAAGACCGGCATAGATTCCAATGTAGGCACCTGATGGCAAACTGAAGCGGTTGCTCGTCCAGTAGCTGAGCCACAAACTCGTAGCAATATTGGCGCAATTTGCAAGCACAAGGAAGATGAGAATCAGAGGTCCTGTAAGAATGGAACCAGAAGCTTTGATATAGGCACCATATACTCCCCAGCTGATTGATCTAACAGCGCGCTCTTCTTGTTGCATCAGAACACCCGCTGCACGCTTTTTGGTCCTCTTCATGGTCTTCTTCTCATCTTCGACTTCGTCTTGGTCGTCGGGCTTCTCGTTCTCCTCAACGGCTTCTTCCTGAGCAGTGGTGGCCATCAGTTGCTGAAAGGCTTCGTTGGTACTCATCAAATTGTCGAAGGTGTCGATGGATTCTATGCAACCATCGTTCATCCAGATAATGCGATCGCATCGATTCAGCACGTGCAACTGGTGTGTTGCAAGAATACGACACTTGTCCTTCATGATACCACAAATAGCCTCATCCATGATGTGACGACCAACATGGGCGTCAACAGCCGAAAGGGGATCGTCCATCAATATGATATCCGCGTCGAAGTATATGGCACGGGCAATGTTCAATCGTTGTTTCTGACCTCCTGAGACTGTGATGCCTCGCTCACCAATCTCGGTCTGGTCTCCAGCAGGCAACATGTCCAGATCCGGACGAAGTGCACAAGCATCAACAACTTGGTTGTACCATTTTGACTTGTATGGCTTGCCAAAAAGAATGTTCTCCTTCAGAGTTGAGTTCTGGATCCAAGCGTATTGAGGACAAAATGCACGGTTGGTACCCATCTTCACCTTCCCACTTGTTTTCCGCATGTCACCAGCTAATGCTGCAAGCAGGGAGCTCTTACCTGAGCCAACTGTCCCAATGACAGCGAGAAGTTCGCCTCTACCTATGGCGAAATTCAGGTCGTGGAGTTTGAATGGTTCGAGCTGAGCGTTCTCGCTGGAGCTGTCGTCACTGATTGAATTTGTTTTGCCGTGCTTCTTTGATATTTTCTCCGCCTTCTTTTCTCGCTTGTGGGCGTTTTTGGCATCTTTGATCTGCTCTTCTGTCTGGAAATTGCCCACTTGTTCTTTATCATGGCTTGAATTTCTCTCCCATGTAAATGAAGCATTTTGCATCTCAATAGCTGCCAGCATGCTTCCGTCCCAGACAACCTCTTCTTTCTGCTCTTCTGAAAGCAGGAATTCTTGAATGCGTCCCAGTGAAGCATAAGCATCCGTAACCTGCCCGATGACCAAGGGCAGCAGATTCAGAGGCATGCGCAGTGAGTTGAATAATGCCAACGAGGAGAAGATTCGCGCTGGATCTAGCGTATGATCTGTCAATGAGTAGGTGATGAAAGCTAGCATAGACGCAAAAGTGGGTAGCGCCATCGACACCGCGTTGATGGCATTTCGAATTGCCAGCAAGACCTGAATGGCTCTGATCTCTCGTCTTCGCAATTCTTTGAGTCTCTCCAGAAAGCTACCCTCCCAGCCGAAGAACTTGACAAATCTCACGGCTGAGAGAATTTCCTGCGTCAAGGAGACTCTCTGGTCGGTAATTTTATTTATTTTTCCCCTCCGAACGAAGAGAGATTTGATCGACTTAGTAAGAAGTGGCATGCCAATCACGAGTAGTGCGTAGCCGGAGAGCGCGCTGTACCCGATATTGATGCAAAGTACGATGAGAGTTATGATGATCAGTACCGGAGAAGTCCATATCATGTGAAACATTCCTGAGGCCTGATCAACACGATAAGTGTCGACGCTCATCAAGTTGACGATCTTGCCATTGCTCCACCCCGTGCCGTCTCCTGCTACTCCTTCACCTACATTGTGTGTGTTTTTGGGCCTGCCCCCTCGCTTCGACACCATTCTCTCAAACAGATTTTTCTTCTCCACTTTTAGGACTTCCACATCGATGCCGTTGCTTGTCTGCTCATTTCCAATCGCTCTGCCCCCAGCCTTGGCTCTTCCCGAGATCTTCATCGCTTTGTCGAAGACTGCATTGATGAGAACGGCTCGAGCTTGACCACCCACCATCATGCCGTGGTAGATAAATTGATTTGTGCCGAAGCTTTGGCATACCTGCATGAACGTAATGCCGATGACGATTCCAACACCTTTCCCAATATTTGGTGCGGGAGTTCCCTGGCGCTGGGCGTTGTATGCTTCATTCGCAAATTGGATCAAATAGCGGGTAGCAAACGGTGACATTACCTGGAAAATACTTGATGCAAGGTTGCAGACACCGCCAAACCAGAATTCAGCTTTGAAAGTCTCATGCATGGCGAAAATAAGTGGATAACGTTCGCCTGCAGCGACCCGTCGTTTAAAGGAAGCCACCAGCTTTGGTGTCAACGCATCAGAGCTTCTGTCGGGATTGACCAGCCACACGTCTCCCAGTTCCAAAGGCCGCAGATAGCCCACGGTCATGACAGGATTCATCCATTGGAAAGTCATAAGACTTAGGAATGAAGCTCCATATTCCCTTGACACAGTTCTTTGCTCAGGTACGGGAGGCGCCTTCCGTCTTTTGAGCGGGTTTATCCTGTGGTGCCACGGCATCTTTGGTACGGCCTCCTCCTTGATGTCCGCATCGTCGCTACTGGACTCTGCCGTTGAGGTTGTCGTTGTTAATCGTCGTAAGACCTTTCTCTCCTCGGATCCTGGCCCCAGCTTCTCCACATCCCGTTCGGTAGCAACATACGCCAATGACTCACCATCTGTCGATTCATGGCGGTCATTCAGCTCGACTTCGGCATTTCGGTCCTGGCTCAAGGCTCTTTGTAGATCCTTCTCGTCATAATGCTCTGGCATTCTCACGAAGAAGATATCTGACGAATGTTTACAGAACGAAAGGGAGCTTTCGTGGCAAAAGAATGCATCTCGAGGAAAGAGGAATCGAAGTGGCGGACAAGGTGGGTGAAATATGCATTACTCGATGACTTAACCAGACTTGATGAACAATCACCCTTCGGCCTTCCGCCAGCCTAGATCAGCACTAAAATCCCGGGCCCGGGCAATTGGTCCGGACGGACCATGATTCTGTAGAAGCACAACGCTTGGATTCTTCACTTACCAGTTTTGGCAGATAACGGCGATGCAGCCTTCCTCCACTGGATAGCCATAATCCATCTTATCTCTGCCGTGTTCAGCATACATTTAGCGGTCAGGATATAAGTCAAATCTCAACAAGCTACACTTAGTGGTGGCCTGCCATGCCATGAGAAGATCAGGTAAGCGGTGGACATTAGGGAATATTATCAATCACAATTGAATGTGAAGTGCGGAAGCGGCGTGCCGGCTAGGCAGCAAAAATGCTGTTCGGCACGGAGGGAAATGCTGCCGATCTCCGACGCAGTCCCAGCTAAGACTGCGGGGTATTTGAAGAGTTTCCCGACATCAGGAATACTACGTAACGTAGTAATGATGGCAGAAAATATGCTGGATCAAGTGCTTTCCCAACACCAATCAGACATCTCTTAAAGTCCGACCAAGGGGCAACACCCCTTGTTGTTCCTCGAGTGTATATGTACAAGAAGGCTACTCGAGCTTACAAAGCAACTCTATCAGCGGGTCAAGATTGCATCTGTCCCTGGGGCCCTCTTGCAGGACTGCCTTGAGCCATCACACCGCTGCTGCTACCACGTTGATCTCTCGGGGTTGCACTTCGGCTGAGCTGACCTTGAGCGGTGTGGTTGCTAACAGGTCTCGCCATGTTGAGCACTGGTGAACCTGTGAAACCTGCCATACCTCCCAAACCGCCCATATTACCGTTCACGTTCATCCCGAAACCAGCGCTCAGACTAGCATTACCATAGCCTCCGTTGGCTCTTTGAGCTGCTTGCTGGTGTCGAAGCTGGGCATTGTATGCCTGCACATGTTCATTCGTCATCATTCCTTGCCGGCTATATGTGCTTGCATTGGCGGCATGGGCACTTGCGTTGGCAGCGCCGGCTGCGGCGTTTAGAGCTGCCTGGTTCATCGATTTCTGGGACGCATTTTGAGCTGCATGTTGTCGATACGCATTGAGTTGCGATGTGGCAAGGCGCTGGACATCTTCAGCCGCCATTTCAGGGTTCTGACGTTGAATACCCGCGGCAAGCTGAGAGATTGCAGGCATCACACCGGAAGAAAGAGGGTGCCCGTTTGCAAGTCGCGGAGACCCGGCGTTCCCAACACCATTAGCGTGGCTACCTGGCATTGAGGGTGAAGGAACACCGTTGCTGGCAACCATGGTGGCCAGGAATGCTGGACTGTTCGGATTGCCATTCGCACCGGCAATCCCCGCATTCGACATGTTCGGCGATGAGCGTTGGCCTGTTGAACCATTTGACCCTTGTTGCTGATGTTGGCGCGTAGCGAGCATCATCTGCTGTTGCTGTTGAAGCCGAGTGGCTTCATACAAGACGCGCATATGCTCAGGAGAATTTCCCAGACTACGTCCGGACGCCAACCCAGCTTGCATTTGACCTTGAGTAAGACCCTTGGGACCCAGCATATTGGCTGGGAAAGTACCATTTGAAGGGCCGCCATTGGGCAGGCCTTGCAGACCAGGCTGTGGTCTAGGCTGGTGGGAAGAGCCAATCGCACTAGGGAGTCCGCTCGACATACCAGAATTTGATGGACCAGCTAGCCCGCCATTTGCCAGACCAGAGCTGGAACGAGCACTACCATTTGGCAGACCGTTGGCTTGATTCATTTGGGCTGTGCGCTGTTGCATGGCAGCCTGATACGTGGCATAAGCATCAGAAGTTACAGCTTGGGAGAAGCTTTTGTACCTTTTGCTGGGCAAGAACCTGCAATCGATAGATTTCTTGCCTTTCTGCCAACTTGACCTCGCGCTCATGTTTTAGACGGGAGAACTCAGCAGGAGTAGAATAGGGAGGACGTGGTCGATCCGCTTCATTAGCCTTTCGCATGGCAGCCAGATCTGCAGCTGTGAACCGTTAGCAAAGGAGCCTGGGGGAAGTACGAACGGGTGATAATGCAAATAACTTAAAGGTGGCGGGTCGCCCGATGTCTTACCATGCTGTTGCTTCTGAAGCGCGGTCTCCCTCTTCTTTGCCAGCTTCCTCATTGCGTCTAACATTGCTAGGTGTCTCTGATTCTTCTTGCGCTCTACCCTAATGGGCTGTGTAGTCCGCTTTCTGGCCGTCAAAGCTGGGTTCCCACCAATCTGACGTTGTGCAGCCTCCTGCTGAGCAATAACATGCCTGCCCGCAGCTTCGATACGAGAATGATAGGCTCGGAAATATGGTGTCTTTGACATGTCTGCTGGTAACCCTTCCAGATTGATCCATCTCTCAAAGCACTCCCACGGTGTTCGTCGATCCGCCCCTGAATGGAAGGGTAATCTCGTAGATAGACAGCTGGAGATGAGGGACCAATTATAGGAGTAGTCTTTGACGAGTTTCCGAAGCTCATCGTCTTCAATTTGTGTCCATTGAGAAGAGGCCCTCGATTCAAAGAAAGCTTGTGCAGGCATTTGGTATTCGGAAGGAGGTCTGAAAGAATGTCCAGGATGTATCCGATCGCGGATATGCTTATTCTCTGGCATAAACAAGGCAACATTCGTCTGTTCTGGAGGCAGTGGCTGTGAGTCTCTGGACGCGTATTCCTCTTCTTCGTAGTCATAACGGCTGCGTTTTGACGGAGCTTTGGGGGGGCGATAGCGGATCTTCTCTGTGGCAAATCTTGAAATGGGAATGATATCCGTCTTCCATTTGGCATCAGAGCGTTCAGCAAGGTCCGATTGCGATAAGTCGAGCCCAATTCGAGCCGGCTCATAGAATGGTAATTCGCTAAGGAGCTTATCCGTAGCCGGGGTCTGGCTCATTGGGAAAATGAAATCGGAAGCGCCTAAGGAAAAAATAGCTGCGGGTGCCGAAGAAAGTCTCAGATCCATTATATCGTCCACGTACCCATCAGAAATTGAGTCATTCTCTGCCGATGGAACAAGATCCGGAGTTTGCAGCACTGGAGAGGCTGAAGCCTCAAAGTGGTCTTCCATCTGAACATTGAAGTCTTTCTCGAGGTTTGACAGGGAGTGATGTGGTCGCACTCTGATCTGTAGTTGCTGTCGTCTTCGTGGACTGCTTCCTACCCATTCTGCACACCATTCTGCAACGCCCCGTGCTGCAGCGATTTTCCATTTCCTCTCCTCCTTGAAGTCTGTCCGCATCCACTTTGCATGGTCCAACAGGAAGTCCCAGTGAGAGGTTGGTCTAACAGGCTCCGGAGCACGCTCCATCTGGCGGAGCGGCCATCGGTTGGCGCTTTGCAACTGATAGATACGCTTCAAGGTTCGACAATTCATCTGCTCTTGATAATCAATAAGATAATCTGCCGTTGATAACGTCTTATGTGCTGATTGCAACAACGTGTTTAGTGACTGACCACGCGGCGGCGAATACGCTTTTGACTCGAACAAAGTATGCAGGTAGTCCCGTTCTTCCTGGGCATATGGTGTAATCTCGCCAGATACCTTGCGCAAGAGTTCAGTAGAGGGGGCAGACTCGAGAGCATGCTGCTGCTTGGCAAAGACAACTGTTGACAGTTTGCTGCGATCCTTTTCTCGCTCTTTACGATCTGTTAGACGGCTTTGAAGTGTCGAGGCTTCGAAAGCTTCCCGCACAGATGCAGAACCTGGGTTGTGGTTGGAGGGTTTGTCAGCAGCTGGCGACGGTGGTTTCGGTCTCTCCCCAAGAATCTCTGATACCGATCTATGTCGTATCGTTCCAGATGATATACGAGTGATTCTACCAGGTGGTGATTGGCCACCGGAGGCTGAGGCTGAGCTAGGAACTCTTCGCGGCGTGAAAGCATTATTCAAGGACATGGGACTTTCGTTCGATTGGTTAATGTCTCTGGGTCGATTATGGGATGAGGCAACATTCTGAGTATCAATCCGCATACTAGGCTTGCCAGTGGCTGTGGCTGCTATGCCAGGTGTACCTTGACCTCCAAGCACGGAATTCGGCCTCGGTCGGAATATTGAATCATGGCTAACGTCAGTTGGGGGTTGCATAGGTTTGGCATTATGCGGCAGCTCTGCATCTAGGTGTGCTGAGGGTTTCTTGTCTGTTGACTTGCTTGCGTCTAACGCGTCCCCTCTCAATGGGTCATGATCAAGATTCCTCAGCTCCTCTGGGCCGTGTTCGTCACCAGGACGGGTAGTCGGCGAGCCTGCCGCAACATCGGGTGCGTTAGAAGACCCGGCACCATTAGTCGAGGCTGGAGAGGATTGTGGGTCGGCATTCGTAGAGATAGGTGCAAGGACAAGCGGACTTGGCTGTCTTCCGGTTTCCTCACGAATGACCTGCTGAAACGACGGGCCCGGACGCAGCTCACCACCTGGCTCTACCTCGGGCGGGCCAGTCGTGGTTTCTGAAGTGTCCTCAGCATGTTGTAGTCCTTGACCGCCTTGCTGCTGTGAAGAGCCGGCAGGGCCAATTGTTTTCTGATTTTGCTGTTCCAGCTCGTAAGGTGTGGATTTGACCTCGCTGCTCCTCCCGCTTACTGTGACATCTGATGGCGCCTCCTTTGTGCCAGCGTCCTCACCATCCGCCTCGACATCCTTGCTTTCCTGGACATGGACGGGCGGGGCTAATGGAACTGCTGGACTGGGAACCCTTTTCGGCGAAGGTGCACCGCTGGATGGATGTGGCGCAGAACTTGAACTGTACGAATGGGTAGCCTGGATATTATGAGGAATTTGGGATGTTTGGAGGATGGTTTCTGACAAAGGTGGTCGAAAATGACGAGGTCGTGGTGGTAGGGTTGAGACGTCAAAGAAGCGGCCTCTGCACATTCAGTAGTCAGCGAAACGCCCTCTCGAATGCATAGCCATATAATTGCTGAAAGGCCCTGTAGAACAGAGGTAGTGGTAACCATACTTTTGAATGTCATTTGCATCAAGGAACAGTCTTTCCTTCTCTTGGTATTGTGGATTGTGGACAGTCGTTTCGAGATCCCCCCAACTCACGGTCGCATAGTATAGCTCGGACAACTTTCGCTTCCGCGACAACAACAGACGTCTAAAACTCATGAGATTTTGTCAGCTGGTCAAAGCCATCACTGTGAGCAATTTGAGTCGCTCAGACAGAATTATTTCGTACGAGAGCTCATCTTTTTTCTCTCGAAGCATCGCTAGCCTTGGCCAGATTCATCGAAGGAGCCCGACCAGCGATTGACGCGCCTAAAAATCGAGATATATAAGCTTGTGATATGCAAAGATGATTGAGTCGCTGCATGTGAATTATGAGATGGTGGGTGGTTGAATAATGGGCACTGGAATCTGCCCTGTGGAATTTGGGCAACACGGTCGCTACAGTGCTCTATCCGCACTTCGCTGGAGTTGGAGAGGAGGAGTTTACTTGCACCTCCTGCACCACACCCAATTCTGAACAGTAATTCTCCGGCGCAGCTTTTAGCTAGCGCGCCCCGGGAACATCTCCCTTACACCCTATTACAAAAATGTGAACCAGATATGGAACTCTTTTTGTCGGTGATGAGAAAATGGTCTATTGACACTGCAGAGCAGACTGGGGTTTATTTGCTAATCATTTTCATGAGGTAGCAGTGAGGAGCTGTCTGTGCTGATAGGCGAGGTTTGTACTCAAAGCCTCGTATCTGCAAAGAGCAAAGAGGTGCAGCCCTGAATCCACTTCAAGCAGCTCCACGGAATGGCCAAGCGCAAGAGGGAGACGGAGGAGATTGTCTCTGCTGATGGAGCAAACGAGTATAAGAGAATTGAGCCTGCAGGAGACCCCAGTATCTCACTTCAGATCATCACTGGATCTTATGAACGAGTTCTGCATGGAATCACAGCCACCATTTCTGATAGCCCGTCACAGGGCTCGACTTCCCCTTCGGTACAATTTGCAGACACCTTCTTGTTTAATGCACATGCTTCCGCCATCCGCTGTCTGGCGCTCTCTTCTATTTCACAACCATCGTCAACCCAAACTCCAAGCATTCTCCTGGCTAGTGGTGGCACAGATGAGCGTGTCAATGTCTATAGCCTATCGGCAGTTCCACCGCATGAGGACGAGAAGATGGCTCCTATGCCGTCTCTAGGCGGCAACAAGATCTCAGAGAATCCACGGAATCGAGAATTAGGATCGTTGATGCATCACTCTTCAAGCATCACATCTCTACACTTCCCAACCCGATCAAAATTGTTGTCCGCTGCAGAAGACAACACCATCACGATTTCGAGAATCAACGACTTATCAGTCATCTCAACCATCAAAGCGCCCCACCCGAAGGTACAGGGTAGACCAAGTGGTGACACTGCTCCCCCCGGTGCTGCTCCAGTGGGTGTTAACGACTTTGCCATCCATTCTAGCATGAAGCTTATGCTGAGCGTGGGCAAAGGCGAGAGATGCATGAGGCTGTGGAACCTGATCACAGGGAAGAAAGCTGGAGTCCTCAACTTTGCCCGAGAAACGCTGCAGAGCGTACAAGAAGGGAAGTATAGCAGTGGAGAAGGAAGGAGGATAGCGTGGAACCCCCATGGGGAAGAGTTTGCTGTTGCTTTCGAAAGAGGAGTAGTCGTGTTTGGGGCAGACTCGAAACCTAAGAGCAGGATACTCCCGCGGCCGTTGACGAAGCTACACCAGATGCGATATCTGACCATTGCAGACAACGAAGGCTGTGAGACGGTGGTTCTCGTCGTCTCTACGGAAAGTGGGAAGTTACTATTCTATTCTACTGACCAAACGAGCAAGGAAGAGAAGGGTGCGCCAGGGGTGTCTCCTTTGCCGGACAGTCTCTGTCTTGCACAATTAGATGGCAGAAATCATGGTTTCTCCGGACGCATCAAAGATTTTGAGATTTTATCTATGCCATTGTCAGCCGGCACATGGTCCGGGCTTCTGGCCGTGACAGCCGGGAGCGATGGATCCATTCGGATATGGATGATGCGCTCCAGAAACTTCTTCTCGGCGAAAGAGAAGGCCAAGGATGTGACCACAGCTATCCCTGTTGGAAATCTCATTGGCACCTATGAGACCGGCAGCCGCATCACTTGCCTGAAGGCTTTCGTAATGGTCAACCGAGAAGACGATGAAGGACTGTCTGAATTTGAGGGTTTGACAGATGCAGCAAGCGTCGATGACTCTAGTGACGATGATAGCCGGCAATAACAATAATGGCCTTGTTCTTTGTGTGGCCCCTGGTAGACGGACTGTGTTCTAGGTGGTGTCCTTTGGTGCTCGCATAACATAATTTTACTCCTACACCACCTAGGTCGCGGTTAACCTAGGTCGCGGTTATCCTCGGCATGACCACAAAAGTCTCTAACTTACAGTACCCGGTCAAAAGTCTCCGTTGATCTCGTGTTTTACGCGTAAAGTGGTTTCTTTGAAATATCTATTTCTTGACCAAAACAGCTCATGACTACTTGAAATTTTATATCTAGGTAGAAATTTGATAGATAAAACTTTTTCTTATATATTATTTAATTATTAATCTACTTAGTCAAGAGTTAGTTAATGATCAAGTTATTATATTTTATTTTTAATAAAATTTGTATGACAACCCCACCAAAAAATTTCTCTAAAATTTTTGGATCTACTTTATCTCCTATCTCTCTCTTCTACATGGTATCCAGATAAAAAGTTTTTATATATAATTTATTTTTTACTATTTTAGAACAACCTAATAATATTTTTTAAATAGTTTATTACCTAGGAAAAATAGTTAGTTTGAGTTGAAAAGTATGTCTTTTGATGCAAAAGTGGGGTTGAACGGAGACTTTTGACCTAGTACTGTAGAACGAATGGGCCTGGTCACCCTCCGCTGTCCTCCGCAAGTCGGCACACCACCAAGACCCACTGCTAGCTCCTGTAAAGCTATGTAGGTTGGCAGAATGAAACACCGCTGAGTTTCACATCTACACAGATTTCAGCCATACACGACTTTCCAATGGCTTCATTCAGCGCCTATCCCCCCTTCGTTCACCACCCATCCGCGCCGCAACCTCTCGACGTTACCACCGCCCATACCATGCTAAGCACCTTCCTTCAACTCGCCAACCTCGACCCGGCCTACCGCCCTGACAGCATCCTCTCCGAACGTGGCCCGGAATCAAACTCGTCTGCTGGAAACCCGAATCTAACCCTCCATCACCTAAACCGCATCAAGCTCGGCCTTGAGGGCGTCAACCTTGGCGTTGAGGATCTAGAAGCCGGCGGCTTCGGCAATCGAAGGGCCACCGGGGATAGAGATAGCGGGGCGAAGAAGCGCAAATGGCAGAATCGAGATTCAGACGTTCCGCCGCCAGTCAGGGCCGGCAGTGCAAAAGTTGTCTCCACTGCCGATGAAGACGTCGACGCTGTTCTGACGGCGCAGCACGCGGATGCGGAACAGGCGCAGGCGGCTGCTGCTGCGACCGGCCAGGGCTGGCAGGACCGCGAGGATTTCGAACTGGCGCAGGATGATGGGGATGTGGACTTGAATAATGCGCAGAGGGATCCTGCAGCGGGGAGCGCGGATGTCGAAGGGAAGGGGGAGGAGATTATGGACTGGGACACTGGGCAGATGGTTACGATGCCAGATGAGCTAGAGGACGGAGGTAGCGCGGTGGAGGTCACAAGGCCAGGCGCGATGGTCGATGCACATCCAGAAAACCAGGAGAGGAACCAGCCCCCGATGGTGCGAGATCGACCGTTAACTGAGATGGAGAAAGAGGAGAGGAAAAGGCTCAAGAAGATCAGATCGGACAACGAGAAGAAGACAGCAACTACAAGAAAGCCGAAGGAGCGGTCGAAACTGACGTCGAAATTGGGGAATGGCAATGACAAAGCCATAGAGGCATCATTCCGTCGCAAGAAGGCGAAATAGAAGTCTCAGGCCGAGGGACAACCATGATATTAGGGCGAAATCACTGGAGGATCTCGTCACCAAATATCAGCAGCGCAGGCTCAGTCTACTCCCAATCACTTATGCCGTAACCTGCTGTGCACCGTGATGGCCTCCAGACGGCACATCGAGCATCGAAGAATACGAAACTGGAAGATACTAGACCCAATATCCACTCATATTGCTCCTCTATAAACATCTAGATGCCCAGAATCACGCTTTTAGATCTACCTACAACTCCCGATCCGCAGTCTTCAACGGCTTCTGCTCATCCACCGACTTGCTCACACTTCCCTTCTTCGCGCTCGCCCAGCCCAATGCACCCAGCCTTTCCGACAAAATCGGGTGAGAGTAGTGATAGCTTGCATACATCCAATCGGCATCCATGGTGCTCAAATTTTGGATCTGGAGCTTGATCAGCGACTTGGCGAGCTCGGTGGTGTAGCCCAGCTTCATGGCGAATTCGTCTATCGATCAGAGTGTGTCAGCCTGGTGTCTTGAAGCAGATAACTGAGGACGCTTACCAGCCTCGAATTCGAACTTGCGGCTCAAGATGTTCATCAGCAGTTTTACCACTGTGTCCATTGGTGCGAGGGCGTCGGAGAAGAGGATGAAACCAATGATGATGGGGTGTTCTTTGTGGAAACCAAAGGCTTGGTACAGGGAACGATTGTCAATGAAGATCGAGAAGAGCGCGAAGATATAGAACATGTGGAACTGTACTGGAGCGTCAGCCAAGGAAAGCGGTAAAATGGTCAGCTGCGTACCTGGGCGATGCCGAAGAGCTTTGTTGTGTGGCTTAGACTCCAATGACCCAGCTCATGACCAAGAACAGCTACTACCTCTTGCGTCTCACTTTTCTCGATCAATGTGTCATAGATGACAATGTGCTTCTTCCATGGCAAGCCGTAGAAGTACGCGTTCGAATGCGCACTCCTTTTGCTTCCGTCGATTACATACATTTCTTTGAGTGGAAAATTTAACTTCTGAGCCAGAGCCTCCACCCCAGTCTTAAGCTCACCCGGTTGCAGCGGCGAAAGCTTGTTGAAGAGAGGTAAGATGAAGATGGGATAGATGGTGATGGCGAAGAGCTGGACCGCTATGCCAAAGAGCCACAGGTAGTAGAAGAACTTGGTCCCGGTCGATTGGATGATCTTCAAAAACGCAGATAGAAGCGGCGAGCCCAGAACAACCATCAGAGCTTGTGATTTCAGCATATCCGTCACCCATAGCTTGACGGTGGACTTGTTAAAGCCGAACTTCTCCTCGAGAACAAACGTGCTATAGTAGGAGGTAGGCAGGTTCACAATGGTCGTGATGAGGTTAAACGTGAAGAAGAAGATCAGCGTATGGGAGATCTCGCCGGAGAACCGCGCTGGCGCAAAGCGACCAAGCCATAACCCAGTGACACCCCATAATCTCGGTAGGAAGTCGTAGTAGATGATTGCCGTGTTCTCCACCAAGGAGATGAAATTGGAGACAGCTCCGAACTTTGCTTTGGCACGCCCATACGCCTGGCTCTTGTCGAAGACATCTTGTGTCACTTCATCTTCAAGCGCTCGCGGCGGTTTCTTGTGTTGGAGCACTTGGTACTGGCGCAGCGACAAGAACCCTTCGAATGCGAATTGGGCGAAGGAGAAGCCGAGAATGAACCCTTTCCATGGGAAGCCTGGTCTGTCGAGGAAAGTTGCCAGGCGCTGCCTTGGGATTAGCAAGGTGTTCTGACGATACTCGTACGAGGATTGTTGCTTACTCTTGGGAAGTCCGACAGACTCTGCAAAAGGGAAGCCATGACTTCGCACAGAGGTTCTGATATGTTTTGCGAGTTGAGAGGAATAGACCTGGATTGTAGGAAAAGGACACCTACTTAATGTATGCAGGGTCTGGGGTCAGAGAGCAGAAGTATTGACCTCTCCAGCCGGCACAATACATGTTCATTACGGCCATCACTTATGAATTTCTACCACCAGCAGCTGGGTGCACGTAAACAGGCCAAACAAGCCAAGCCGTGCCCAAACTATGGCCTCCAAGTCCATCAAGTTTCGAATGACCGACCAGGCACTTCACTCCATCATCGACGATTGACGATTGCATTCAAGCATTTGGTTTTTGTGTCATTCAACTGCGCGAGCGCCTAACAGCCCAAATCGACCTCGGAAGGAAGATAAACGACTCCATTGATCTACAACACCATGTGTCGTATCTGCGGGCGCATGATCCGATGCATTTTCGACACCATGCCCTCTCGAACCCTGACTCGACCTTCGCAACGGTACTTCTACTGCCCCCCTTGTTCTCTCGACCGACCAAATCTAATCTATCTTCTTACCCACAGACTGGCCTCGAGTCCGCGCCATCTGCTCCCCTCTCTACCCCAGCGCAACCTCTCAACCACAACCACAACCACAACGTCCATTCCACTCTCGCGAACCCCGTCCTCGCCCCTCCACACCCCCCTCTCACAGCTCTTCCCGACCTCCCCACTTCTCTCGACTCGTCTAACTCTCCCCCTCTCAAATCCTGCTGCAACAGGATCAAACACAATACGCGCCTTCTCGACCTCAACCCCCTTAGCCGCGCCACGAAATACATACAACCCCTCACGCAGAGTGCAGAAACGGAGACACGGGTACTTAGCCAGATTAAAGTCGAAATCTGGGAGGAAGATACTGGCGAGGAGGAGGCTGAAGGGGAGGGCGTTTTTGAGTTGGTAAGCTGATGAAGGATGGGATTTGTGGTGGTGGAGCAGCAGCAGAGAGGAGCGTGAGGAGGATGGGGATTAGAGGAGGGATGGGTAGGCGGTATATGACTTGTTGCCGGCGTAACAATATCAGGACTCGCGGTAGCATGTATGGGTTTGCTGCTCTGATGGCCTGGATGGAGCAGAACAAGATGCCAGGGCTCTTTGCTACTTCCCCCGGCATACCTAGCTAGGCTGAGAGGCGGCCACGAGTTTTACACTCCACCTTGAACGGAAGCGTGCACAGAAGCTACTATTCCTAACGAAGTTATATATCCACAGATCACATCGCTCCACATCCGGGCAAGCTCCAGATCTCACAGGTTGCGCTGCATACACGGACTCAAATAATGTAAATTGGTTCTCTGATCCACGTTTTTGTATCTATCGCCTGCCATGCAACATGTTCCCAGACTTTCCCTAGGGAGCTCAAGGACATCAATCCTATCTCAGCCGAGTGGAGCAGCTCGAAGCCTCTCTCTCTCTCTCTCAGTCAAATCCCCATCCTTCATCCGACTCTTCTTCCACATCGCCATCATCCATTTCTTCATCACTCCGCTCCGCCAACAAGCTCTGATCAATATCATCCAGACCAGGAGCCGCCCGAGTCACCGTCCCGACAGCACCACCAGGAAGTCGAGACGTACCATTTTCTTCCACCACCTCAGTACCATCCATATCTACATCCTCTCGTTCTTCTCCGCCCTCGTCATCATCGTCATCGCCACCATGCTCCCATCTCCTCTGCAGTCCCTTCCTCCTGATAACCTGCCCCTTCCTCCCTTTGATCCCTACATCCCCACCCCACCTCTCCAACCTCTTCTTCACCCTCGCCACCACACTCATCCACATCTCCGCCTCCTCCCCAAAATCATCCTCTTCGCCATCATCCGGATTCGGTCCCAATCCACCCATGCCCCAACTGCTATTCTCATCCTCACTATCATATCCCATCGGTAGATTCTCAATGCGTGCCGCAGCCCTAAGCACGAAATTCGAGCGCTCCCGCTTCTCACGCAGCGCCGTGAAGACCTCTTTCTTCTTCATGACGAGCAGGGTTTCGGTGAGGTGGCGACGGTTCGCTTCGACGGCTAGTTGGTGTTGGGTGAGTGGCCGCGGGCGCCGGTGGCTGCCACCACTTGTTGTCGCTGCTATAGTGGTGGTGATTGTGGTGGCAGGGTTGCCGGCGGTTGGACCGGAGGCGGCTTCGCCGCGAGATGCAGCACCCTCGATGCCGTGGCTGTATTGGTGGAGTATCGGATGGGCGGAGCCCGGGGGTTGGGCTTGCATCGAGTCTGGGGTGCCGGGGTCATAAGGACCTTGGTTTTGGGCTTTGCTGGTTTTCATGAGGATTCGGCCGGAGGAAGAGGTGGTCAAGGCTGGACCAGGCACTGAATCACGGTCTTTCTTGATGCGCTTGTAGCGGCCACGGCCTGGGTGAGGGTTGACGGGCTCCCAGTCGTCTTCCAGAGAATCTGCTTGGCCGCCTAGTCGAGATGTGGCAGGGTCGGCGTTGTGCGCTGGATTGAGCACAGCAAAGCCAAGTGAGTCTCTCATGGCTGGTGAGGTGGCTCGTGGCAGAGATGCACGAGGCTCGCTATCGGACACAAGTTCATCGACAATGGTGGATTTCTTCACACGCTTCAGCATCTTGTTGTCTGGTTCGTCGTTTTCCAGAATCCGTTTCCGCTCCTGCTGCTTTTCTTCGCCAAATACAATCTCATCAGGAGGGTCCGCATTTTCCGCAGCCCCCTCTTCTTCAGTCAGCTCTTCCAATTCAGGTACCTTGATTGACATTGTGTCCTTTGGTCCCCGGATTCCAGGGCCGAATGGGTTGTTGAGGGCAGCCTCCTCCGAAAAATTGCTCTGTAAATACCACCACATCAGCCACAGGAATGCCTGGGCACGACTCTTGCTTGAAATTGTGGGCTTCATGACAAGATCGAAAAAGTCCCGTGGTGGGAAGAAGTGGAGTTCGGAGATCTTGGGTGCATACTGTGACAGAACGAAGATGAGGTTGACAGGATTGGTTCGTGGTATGGAGTGTGCTTTGATGGCTTCGATGGTCCTTGGCTCTTCGGTATCTTCAGAAGCACCTTTTAGGATCGACTTCAGTCGCGGCGCGTCTTGTAATTGCTTGTATGCGTTCTGGTCTCGGTGTGCTTGTAATGAAGGAATAGAGTGATATGTACGTAGTTGGGCTCTCATTTCGGGAAAGAAGTTGAGCGTGGTGTTCATCCTTCCAACATTGACAAGCAAGCATATCATCGCCATATTCTGCGCCGCTGTCCGATCACTAATGAGCTTGTCTTTCAGTACTTTGCTGGTCTTGCTGCTTCGTGCCATGGCATCAATGTAGATATCAGCAAAGTTGCAACCTTCTTGGCCGTCGCTCAATCGGGTGAAATATGGTGACCTGTCCTCGAAAACCAAGCGCAGAAATTCATACTGGATATCAGTCCTCCACAACGGGACACCGTCATCCTTTTTGAGATGTCGTATCTTGTTACCAGAATAGACCGAGCCAATAGTTCCATCTCCCTTCCGTCTGGTGCCTACTGTTGTAGCTTGGGTGCTTTGACGTGTTCCTGGACTGCCTGACTTCTTCTGTTTCCATCCAGGTCTTCTGTTGTAGGCTTCTGTGATCACACTGTCTTCTTCATCCTCCTCCGTGTTTACATCCTCTGGTCCCTCATGAATCCAAGCAAATGATCCTTTAGGTGGACCTCCCTTGCCTTTTCGCATCATTTTCGGTTTTCTGTTGCCTTTCTCGGTAGCGTTTGAGTCGCCGTCGTGGTCGTGGTCATGGTCATGGTCAAGGCGAGAGATGGGGCTGCTTTGGCCATTTAGCGAAGAGACTTCACGAATGCGCGACTGGTCTTCTTCACTGTCTGCGAGGTCAGGGTCTTCGATGGTTGATCCACCTGGTGAAGAGGGTGGGGCGGACGATGATGCTGCCGGTAGAGCGGCCATTGCGGGTACCTATGAAGCAATGCCAATACATACGTATTAGGTTGCGGGCCGTCCTTGAATCTTCAATGTCTGTACCGTACTATGAAAGAGTATTTTATTTCTGCACAATACCAGCCATACTACAAAGCCGGCTTAACCTCGGGTATCACGCTTACACTCAACTGTGCTTGTGAGAACACCATCCTCGAATATTGAAAGTAGCATGAGTCTTGATAGCTTTGACTTGCTTGTACCTGGAGTAGCCTGGAGTAACCTGGAGTAACCTGGAAAATCTGGAGCTTTTACTGCCTAACGGCGTTATTAGTTTCAGCCTGTTCCGAGCTTCAATGCAGCTCAAGGCAAGTAGATGCCAAGACTTGGATCTGTTTGACCATAAAGCTTATTACTACTAGTAGTACTAGTAGGGTGCAAAACATCGATCATTTCAGAAGCTCAGCATTCAGTTTTGCAAACGCTCGACCAAGTGACCCTCAAAGTGGCGCAGCACAACGCCTCACTCGGTGCCGCTAAAAAGTGTCCTTGGCGGACCCGAATAAGTAGAGGACGGCTCCGGTCAGCCAAACCTCAAGGTCGAAATTCAGACCAATTCAGCAGCATTGGCAGAATTCCTCCACACTCCTACATCCAAACTTATAGTTGCCTAAAACAACACCTTTGCCTTCTCAAAATGGCGCTCAGCAATGAATACATTGGCCGATCCCACCTAGGCACCACAAACGAAGTCATCGCTATCTGCCGTGAAAAAGGAAGGTAATTGCAACGGCTTCCCATACCCATCCAAGGGAAACCCGATCGCTTACATCAAATACGGCTACACGTCCACCGTAGGTGAGATGCGGACGCAGCGCTACATGCACGATGCATTTGGATAGATGATGAATGCCTCTAATTTCGGCGTGAAGCCCCCGAAATCTATTATGCATTCCAATGCAAAGGCCAGCCCTATATTGTTATGGAATATGTCGATGGAGAAACTGTCGGCTCATGGTTGGTTACGAGGCTCCTCGGTGGAGGAGAAGAATTGAATCTACTACCAATTAGCCAAGGCGATCATGCAACTTTTCCACGTACCTGTTCCCAGTGATTCACGTCCTGACCGAGTTGGAGGTGGATGCATTCAACATCACTTGTTTCGAGACAACGTCGCACCCAAGGACTACGATGCTATTGACGAGTTGCAGCGCCATATCAATAAGGTATCATACTCAACCGGCTCTGCTTGCCTATGCGCAGCCTCATCACTGTACTTGCGAGTTTCATAAGCTAGATGCTCCAGTTGGGAAGATCAAAAACCGAAGTTGATTTCTCTAACGAGCAACTGTGCCTTTATGACTCAGATATCACGACGGACAACTTTCTGATCACCAAGAGGGTCGGATATATATCATCGACTTCGAAGACGCAGCTTTTCTGCCGACAAGTTTCATGAGTTTTGTTCTCAACGGAAGCATGAAACCTCTAGCTCAATGAGTATCAGATAATGTGTCGCTCCCAAGACGGCCAACCAAGCTGCGATAGACCTGGTCTTTTACTTCTCTTCATATCTCCTCGAACGGTCCCACCAGCTACCGCTCACTAGTGGTAGTGCAAATCAGAGGTTGTTAGCGTACGCAGTTTTGACAGGATTGTGATGTACCGATTAACCAAGCAGCATTCAGGGACCATGGCATAAGGAACTCGAGAAATATCGGCTTTGTCCTTCCCTTGGCTACCTGAAGCCGACACTGAAAAGCCATAGCTGCGGCAGCACGAAGAGACGTGATGGAAGTTCTGTGACAAGAAAACCTACCGTGTATATCCGGGTGATAGGGGTGTGCCTCGTCTTCTTGCGATGCGATTACAACGAGCCCTGTGCCACTAGCTTCGAATATGTCTTAACGCCACCACTTAAAGTTCCTTGCGACCCTCAATGTAAGTACCATTTGGCAAGAATGCAACAACATTACAAGGGATGCTCTACAGTGGGCGACTCGCCCTGTTGTTGTTCCTTGCTACAGGCGTAGTGCCGTATGCCGAAGAAGTGATCAGACAAATTGACGGTAAGGAATGGGAAGATTATCCGCAACTGTAGCGCATTAAAGAAGACCGGGTTGTTACTAAGTTAGTATTCCTGGTGGTTTATAGATGTGAGGCCTGGCAAATGCCACAGAACAAAAGCAGTAAGTGATGTAGGAAAGGGATAAACCTGATCCGGCTGCTAAAACCCCTTTTCGTCCTAATTAGGATCAAGGGGTAGTATCCTCATGATACTAGTAACTTTCTCCCAACCAGGGACATATACTACGGGTACAGGCCTAATTTTTGTACCCCCCCCTGCTGAAAAGGTTAGTATCCGTACATAACATACTACATACAATTAGGTATAGTCGTCCACATTATGGCCTAAATAAGATTAGTCTCTAAAATCAAGTTTTTACATTCTATTAACACCTCTAACTGCTTGACATCTTGTCTGTATCTACTGAAGCAGCTTTTGTAAGATATTTAGAAGACATAATATACCATGAAGCAGTGCTTATAGCTCATCTTATCATCAAGCTCATTAGTATCTATGCAGAATTAGTAGAATGCGTACAGAGTGAGATGAGTAGCATTTGCAGGATGAGCAAAATTCGTGCAAAATAGTGACGCAATGCTGACAGGGATGCTGGCAGGTGGGTTGTGTAAAAAACATGTTTGTAAGATATTTTGACCAGGGGGGGGGTACAAAAATTAGGCCTGTACCCGTAGTATGGTGCTATTCCACATGATTAGTATTGCTCAATGGCTAATGCAAAAACAAATCCAGCATGCTAACTCAAGAACATTGTGCAAAACTGCGCACTGATTGGACACCCTGATGTTGGAATGGTGACAGCTGTTCTCAATCTTGACAAGTGACAGTTCTAAGTCCCTTGAACGGTAAAGCACGCTTGGACTAGTAGGCTGCTACTCGAATATGCTCATCAAGCACACCGTAAAGTTCGACTTGCACCCATGTCACAATCTTAATCTAGCTCTATGGTCTATTAGGGATATCTTTGCGACAGAGATGAGAAGCCCAAACGCCGCATGCGACATACGACTCTGTCAAGGTGATATAGCCTTGTTTGTAGAGCTCCTTGAACGCCAGTACCGCTGAGAAGAAATCGATACGAAGCCCACACACCTCAATCGTCGCTGACCTTGAAGCTGATCCTGTCCTCCGGCGTGGACTCAAATGGCACACCGAGCTCAAAAAGCTTAACAATGACATCGGAAAACTCCTTGAAGAAGACCTGGCTATCCTTGGCATACCTCTCAACATGTTTCTTGAATTCTTTATCCTTGATCAGTGCCATATCGGTTGGCAGCATCATCAGACTCTTCGTCGACTGATCCTCATATTGAGCCGGACCATTCCACTTCTTCCATCCCCATTTCTCATCCATCAGCAATCGGAAATATTCGTTTGTCATCACCGTAGGACTGAAGGCCCATGGACCATCATACCCAGACCTGTCAGTGTGACATCGACCTAGCGAGTGGGCCCCGGAAAGTGCGACCATTTCGCGATCATCAAAACCCATGCGGCCGAAGATGGCGCGAATGTGATTTTGATCCTTGGAGGCGTCCGGAAGTCGGCCGTCAGGTGTACAGAAGGCCACATCACGATCTTGACGGCCAGGTCGCCAAGGAATGATGGGTCCCTGCATTTCTTGTATAGCGCAAACACCAGCGAGGGTCCAAAGGTCAGAGTAGGATATCCAGGGAAATTTCGCTGCATTGTCGTTAGCATTATCGTAGGTAGTCAGCATGAGTGTGCTAACCTTTGACAGGCTCTAAAAAGTCCCGCGCGTGCTTTAAACCGGCATTGGCACCATGGTCTCCTTCCGGGGCGAATCGCATGGTTGCACCATTGCTCCCTCCAGTCTTGGTGGCAGCATCGTACGTTCCGCTGGCATGCCACGCCAGTCTAACAAGAACCGGTCCATAGCTTCCATCATCGTAGTCATCTTTGTCCACCAACAGCCTCGCGATCTCATCGTACACCTTCTGGTAGTCATCCTTAGTGGCCTTGAAAATTCCCTGAGTTTCGCCAGAGGACCCCTTAATCATGTGAACATCTTTCTTGTTGTAAAAGTAGAAGCCTGTGGCACCGGCTGCGGCGATGGCACCAGCACCAAGCAGTATATTGAGGTTCGACCTCCCTGAACCGGGTTCTGAAGCATATCCGCGGCGAGAGGACCGTGTGAATGAATTGCCCGCAGCAAGACGGAAGGATGAGCTTGATGGTCTCGTGCGTGAGACGGCGCGTGTGAAGGTTCGAGCTGCTGAAGCCATGTCTCTAGTGAGCGGACTTGTATGTACAGGGACAAAGAAAAGAGAGCAGGATGGACTGTTTCCAGACGTGCAGTGAAGAGCCACCGATATTAACTGAGTGATTGCCCGATGCCGATCCTTGCAAGGGATCATCGAAGATGCCAGAGATTTCCGCTAGTGGCATACTAAATTTAGCTTGAGATAAAAGTTGGTCCAATGAGAAAAATTGATTTCAACAAGGCTGACTAAGGGTAGGATCCGAGGCTCTGCAAGCCGCATTTCCGTCACCTGGGTCTCTGCAGATATTCCCTTGTCATACCATCACATGGACGGTGGAGATTTTCTTTGAGGTAATGCATACTACAGCTTGTCACCATGATTTCGAAAATGCAATACGTAGGAAATTCAGCATGACTAAGACAGGGGTTACAAATTCGTGCCTGCACAAGTTCTTGCAATGTCTCTACGAAAAAAACCGGCACTCAAACAGTGTGGCCATGATTAAGATACTATTGGACCTTAACTAACCATGGCCCAAGGCGCCACCTACCCACAGTTTGTTCAAGCTTGCTACTAGTAATAGTTCTTACTATCAACAGAACACATAATGGCCTGTATGTATGGTACAGCTTAAGGAGAGGCATGAAAGGTCAATTCTCTGGTAGAGAAACTCGTTATATTCAGTCCCCTAATGTGTATGAGCAAAGCATAAGTCAGTGGCAAGATATTGAAGCTTGTAGCTCTCCATTTACTACTAAGTACTATGTATGTACTAACTAGGGTGGAGAATTTGTGCCACGAGTTTCACCAAAGTTTCTGGCCCGGGCCTCGGCTTCGACCAGCCAAGAATGGGCTGACTCATATTCCTAGGGGAAAACGCCTCCACTGGAAGTACTTGAGAGAATCCAATATGTGTACCTGTCCGTTTCCGTCCCCGGAATACTTCAGAGGGGTGAACACGTTACTATCGAACGGGTTTCGATCTGCAGGACATACGGTGCCCATTTCCGGTAGTGCTCCCGAACTAAAGTATTGCCGGATGACCTCCAATGTGCAATTGGAAGGGCGATTGAAGAGTGAGCAATGTCCCACAGAATCCGCCTGGAGAACCACGGACCCAGGGAAATTTTTGGCCATCTTATGTGCATTGCGAATTGGTGTGACTGGGTCTGCAGTGTTTCCGATCCAAAGGATTGGTTTCGAGGTATTCCCGCCAAATGGACCCGTATATCGCCATTTCGATCGAACCTGCCATCCTGTGCAAATCAGCCTGAAGCTAGCCCATATTGCACCTCCTGTAGAGCTCTGAGCCTCGAGGAGTCTCAAATATTCCTTGAAATCTGGCAATGTTTGATTCGACATGTCGTCTCCATCTCCGCACATTATCGCTCTGGGAGCCTCGTTCTCGGCCAACAGCTGGGATGCAGCAGTACTATTGTCTCGGGGGCAATGGACGTCTGTCTGCAGAGCCATGAGTCTTAGTGCTTGGTCGTATTCTCCATTCCGCAATTGATCCAGCAAGAACGCTAAACCAGGAAAGTTGCGGACAGGGCTGTAAAGACTCATGAAGATGAAACGTCTGATATCGCTGTACGTGAGGATATCTGGGGTAAGAGATCCAGAGCTGTCCACAGCCACTATGGGATTCTCTTGCACCATTTGAAGGAATCCACTCAAGCTGCTTTTGATTGCTTCAGGTCCGGCTCTATCATACAGAGGGCACAGGGATCCTGCTTCAAAGCAGTATTTGTAAAACGCATCCATGACTTTGTCAGTATCCTGCAGATTTGTAGACCAACCTTGAGCCATGTAATCCGGAGCATCGACTACGCCGTCAAGAACCATTCTCTTCACTCGGTCTGGAAACATGCTTGCGAAAGTGTTTCCAAGGAATGTTCCGTAGGAGAAGCCAAGGTATTGAAGCATAGGAGTCCCGATATCGTCACGTTCTTTGCCCACCAATGGCGACTGGGCTGGGACGCTTTCCGAGGCCAATCCCGTTTCAGCCGCTGAAATTGTTTTGTGATGATGCTCATGAATTCGCTCGACAATCTCCAGGATGTCCCGGGCAACGGATGCACTGCCCATATAATCTCCTATCTCCGCGTCGGCGCACATTTTTCCGAATGCTTTGGCTCTGGCCCACTGTAAGCCTATGGCTCGATTTCCACTGTCCAAGTTTCCTTCTTCATGGATTTTAATGTTCCACAAATCGCGGGTGAGGGGACTGGGAAAGCAGCTTGCGTCTGGTCCAGAATGTAGGACACCTCTAGGGTCAAAAGAGACAATGTCAAAGTGCTTCGAGTCACTGTCGACTGCCCACTGCAAGGAGGTCCCAGCGCTCAGTAGGTGTTCAATGCCGGAACCCCCTGGGCCACCGGGATTTGTGATGACTGCTCCGCCATATGTGGTATTCAAGGTTGAAACTCTGGCAGGAAGTTTGATGATTGCTAGAGCAACAGTTTGATTGTACCTTGATGCTTCAGGAGCTTGCCAGTCCAACGGTACCAGAAGTCGGGCACACCGAAAACTTTCAAAGCAGGTGTGGTAGGTCAACTCTTTCGATGGCTCGACGTCAGACCATCTAAAGGTTGAACGTCCCGCCACTGAGTTATAAAAATGGTCTGGAAGAGGCAAGATGGCAAAGCACGTTGGTATCACAAGTAGTATGACCGCGAAAATTTGCTCGATCGGAGCCATGTTCTAGGGCACGAAATTCAATGGGAAATGGACACTGGTTGATCAATGTGATAGGACACTGTCCTTATAGTCAACAAGGACACATCCTTCTAGTGTGACGGTATTGGAGCCTTTTATATGTGGGGAGGCTTTTGGGGATCTCGGCAACTGTTTTGTCTTTTAGAAACAAGTGAAATACTGTCTTGTAATTTTTGCCCTAAGTACTGCCCATTGCAAAAGTGTTGCAAATCCTTGGCGCATGCTACGGAATTGCTGCTAGAGCTGTTCATAGGGAGTACTGAATTTGTGGATATCAAGTAGAATGATAAGAAATCTATAACATTCAGTAGCTATAGATCTATTGATTATAGGTAAATATCTGAATCAAGGTCAACCCGAGTATATGATGCCGATTGGTACCTCGCTGCTATTAACTAACCCATGTTTAACGATACCTATGCCCACTCATGCAGGATATCTTGAGCTTCAGATCGACAACTACATGCGCCGCTGGAACATGAGTCCGACCATTGACTTATAACAAGGGAATTAAAAAGCATAAACTGCCACGAGACATATGATTCGCGAAGAAGCTGAGCATTCCCTGCCACCCACACCCTACACAGTGTGATTGGTGACATCGGCGAGCAATCAAGCAGACTGGTTGGATATGGAACTCATCTCTCAGCAGCTCGAGTACCCATTATTGGACTGCTTCTGCGCGTTATACTAGCTCCAAGTTCTGATGGACGCATCTCGAAGGAACAAGAAGAGAGAGAAGAACGACCGAAGAATGGACGTACGCAATGTGCAGAGCCTTCTCACGTCCCGCCAAGAAAAATTATCAGGTCTTCAGTCTTGGGATCATCCACTTTCATATCAATCATAACCTACCAGAGAGAATAGCTCCTCTCGTAACTGGCCCTCTCGTCTCCATTTCTTTCATCCAAATAGCATCAACTACATCAACATGACAGAGCTACCGCTCAAAGGGCTGCACCTTGACAGGTTGGGCATATGAGTACCGAAGGTCATCAGCGCTGCCGTGATCATGATGGTGATGTGGGAAAAGCTCAAAAATAATATCAGATCTGTTGGGTAGTAGGTAGAACAGGGTCCAGCATCACGGCTTGTTGGAGGGCACCACGGCTCCAGAACCGTCAATGCTGTGGTAGTTGTAATACTGTAACTAATTATCTAAACACGAAGTTCAGATGGTATGGTTTTGGAGGCGTCATGTCCCAACAGTGTTTTGCCACTTGGAAATAGGTTTCACGGAGCTGTCTTACCTACACGTGGTGTTATTCACCTCCCATGTGATTCTTCCGCGAGTCTTCCCACATAAAATCGTTGATCAAATTAGAGAGAAATAAGGTCTAGCCTGACTACTACTAGTAAACGGCAAATTCTACTCACTCTAGAGTTGATACCCATATGTCACCGCTGTGTCCCCCAGTTCAGTCCGCTCATAATCTGTCAAACCCATATCAATCGATCTGGCTCTTTGTTTGTTCTGAACCCAAACCGAGATGAAGTATACCGTACAGCTAGCCGCGGATAGACAGATGAAGCCAATACAGATAGCATATCCAGGCCTGTATAACGGCGCATCCCTCTGCAGGAAAGCGAATGTTGCGATGATGCCGCCAATGTTGCCAAATCCAATCTGCCACGCACTGCCGACGGACCTTCTGTGGTGACCTCCGATGTTTAAATTGAACCAACAAACTATCACAGGCATGGCGGAGTAAACACCAGATGTCACAAGGAATAGTGCCGCATATCTCAAGTCGAGGTTTCGGGACCCTGTCAGCAGTATCGCAAACCCGGCAATGCCAATGGCAATAGGAACCAAAGTGAAGAGAAACCGATGTCTCATCCTGTCTGAAGCCCAGGCAACCAACATTGAGAATCCGAAGGCAGCGGCCCACGGTGGCACAGAGTGGAGCTGTGTTTGTATCGGAGAATATCCGTAGGTTCGGATAATGCTTGGTGCAAAGTACGCATATCCGTATGCCTTTAGTAAAACGTTAGCAGTGACCGAAGTCTGTCGGATTGAAACCATACCGGAACAATCAAACCAAAATACATGAAGCCACCCACAATGATCTTGTAATCCTTGAAGACATTGACAACATCTTTAAAGGTAATGGCACGATCGAGCCCGGACTTGCCCTGATCAACTTCCAATCTAGCTTTCACATATGCCCTTTCGTCTTCTTTCAGCCATTTCGCATCTTCTGGGAAATCTGGCAGTAGAAACCAGAAGAAAATGGCAGTGACACAAGTTAGAAGGCCTTCAAGAATGAAGATCCATCTCCAGCCACGATAGCCGCGCAGTCCGTCCATATTCCCAATTGCACTGGCAAGGAGTCCCCCAAAAGCCCCAGCAAGGGATGTGGAGCTGAAGAAGAAGGAATACCGTTTTTGTGCTTCAGCTCGCTTGTACCACATTCCTATAAGGTAGAAACAACCTGCGACCAACGTTAGCATCCATGTCTCCGTCTCGTCTGACTGCATTGAAGCACGCTCCCGCCCAGTCTTGGCAGGAGGTGAAGAGAGATCGAACCAACCTGGAAACATTCCGGTTTCGGTAAGTCCCAAGAAGAACCGCGTGGCAAGCAGACCACTGTAATTTTGAACCAAGCCTTGACAGGTGGTAACGAGGCCAAAACCAAACATGCAGATGGACACTAATTAAGTTAGTGTTAGCAAACCAGTAATAGAGTTGTGCGCCACAAACGAGACGTCTCATCACGCATGGATTTGGGCATCCAACTAACACCACACGTGCGGCTTGAGCTTCTTCAAGATGATATTGGAAGGTATCTCAAACAGAATATATGGCACAAAGAAGATGGTTAAAGCTGTGTTGTATTGCGTTGAGCCAGGGGCGATGCCTAGGTCTTCTCGAAGACCGAAGATGATGGCATTTGCGATGTTTGTCCTGCCAATCAATTTTGCATCAGCAATGTTGTTTTGAAGATATATAGCCCTTGTCCCCGGGATCTCGGGGATCTCACCGGTCCAAGAATGCAAAGAAGTACAGGATGCTCAGACAAGGTATCAATCGTAGATCGATCTTGGTCATTAGGCGTCTCTCAGTGGTGTGGCTTGGTACGATGAGCTGCTCATCTTCATACTCGTGGGACCGAAGGGGGTCTCGAGTGTAGAAATTGCCATCCGGATGGCCGCGCCCGCTGCCAGAATCAGGGCTCGATGAATTGTGCCTTTTCTTATCTATTAAATGGTTACGGCGGAGTTGGTTGAAGGCAGCCATTTGAACTTACGCTCGGGTAAAAAGCGCATCTTGTCGGAGAATAAACGAATGGCCTGTAGCTGAGGACCTCCGGACTATCTAATCCTTCAGTTCTGACCTATGGGTATAAGTGCTGCCGTTATAGATGAGAGGATAGTGGTTGCAAGAAAGAGAACAGCGACACGAGCAATCCCGAAAAGAATATTTGCAGAATTTGGGTGAATGTGACCCTGATTAGTCGCATCTACCTATGCATTGTGGTTGACATGCAGCTACAACTCATGCAGGAGCTTAGCATCATCTCTGCACGCCAGGTATTGTGATTAGAAATTGGGTTCGTATTAATGACCAGGACCCCGGAACAGGACCCGGAGCAGGACTCGGAACAGGACTCGGAATAGGACCAGGGCAGAAGAGTACCAACAGGGTAAGAGACGGATGGCGTTAGCCGGGCCGAAGGGCCGGGGATGACTTGCACAGTACTAGTAACTACTACGGAGTAGTAGTGAGTACTACCTAGTATTAGTACTTGGTATCCAATGTCCTAACCAGCCTTGTATTAGAAGTTGAGCTTGTCCAGAAAAGTCGTAACTTAACGTAACTTACCTGTACAGTACTACGTAGTTGGTATCAAAGTTCAGATGTCACCCTGACACCCATCATCTTCTCGGAGTTTTTCATTTTCACTTTTGCCTTCGCAACATTCCACCATTGGCGGCAACTAGACAAAGGCTCAACTACCAGAAATCTGACTGTCGTATTTGCCCTACAACCAGTTTCATCCTGAAGTGAACCTGTTCGTCACTGCTCTGGGAGTAGTCCAGGACAACTCATCTGAGAACATTGACGGCGCTCTTTTATCAAAGGCAGTTAATGCAGATGCAAGGATGGAGATAATCACCATGGCTGAGCTTCTATAACCACATTGATCCCGCCTACCCCGTCTCATAACTTGTAATTCTTGCCAGCTGTGCCTCTTGAGTAACGCACTTCTTCCAAAGCACACTTATCAGAGCATCCTCCACTTTGCCTGTAGCACATTGCACATATCTTCCTTGACAACTCCTCTCCACCGGACTGTGGGTCTTCCGAAAGAGCAAGCCTGAATATTATACGGGGCGCGCACTTGCTGCAACCTTGATCCTGGCCCACGGTGGCGTACATCGAACGGACAAGAAAGGAAGTGTTCCGCTCCTATTACAGCAGCAAGAGGATGGATTCTTCGTCTCATCAGCCTTTTTCAGCGGCAAAGACCCCTGTCGTCTCTAATGATCTAACAAGCGCATTCAGCTATCGGTTCGACGAAGACGGCCAACCAAAGGTCTATTTCCGTAAGGAGCCCGACCTCACCAGCGATCCGAATCAAACATGGGTGGCATTCGACACCTGCAAGACCAAATTCGTTAATTACACTCCGGAGAAGATGTCCGACGTCCTCGAGACCACATCGCCTCAAGAGGAGAATGACGATGAAGCCGATCTCCCAAGCGCAAAGCGGCAGAAGAGACAACCGACAGCCCAAGGCAAAGCTGGAAAGGTCTCCTCGATGTCGATTGGATTCCGCGTGGATAAGCCAGTGCAAACCAAGCTTTCTGATCACGAGTGGATGATGATCTTCGAAGAGTGTCATCCATCGGTGCTGTTGATCATCAGAACCCTGAATCACCGCTTCCATAAATTGCTTGAAGGGAAAACCATCTGGCGACGGGCTCGAATAAAACTTCATGGCAAGGACATGCCAGACCCACCAGGAGATATGACCGAACAGAGATATGCACATCTCCTCTATGGTCAAGGCTGCGATTTCCGAAAGTCTAAGTGCGGGAGCACCATAACCAAGAAGGTATACTGGCCATTTTTGTTGCGGATGTGTGATGCCTGCTTCCGGCGGAAGACCGAAAAGGTTCGTTGTGCTTGCGCAGCTCCTCATTCTTGTGTGCAGAGCTGACGTTCACTTCTCTAGGACAAAGACATACGAAAATCCATGTTCCTACCGACAGGAGACAACAGCCTCGGCGATCTGATACCTGCGGGAATGACAAGCTCCGGAAAGTATATGCGTACTCGTCGTTCTAACGGTGCCTACTGGGAAGATTCTACGCGGGCAGTGTATCTCAGATCAGATGTAGAAGCGCTCTTGTCTGAGCGTCAAGATATGGCCCAAGCCGGTATCCTCAGCACCGAGTACCTCGACTGGAAGGCCGAGAAGGTTGTACAGGCTCAGGCATTGATGGCTCAGTGCACACGTATTGAAGATTTTCAGAAGCAATTTTTAGCAGATCAACCACGATACCGGGAGGCTCGTGCAGATTTTTTTATTGCTCAGGCTTCCAGTCTCGAACCACCAATGAGCAAGGATGTAATGGAGAAGATGATGGCTTTCAAGATGTCGCTGGATTCCAATCATGAGCCGACATTAAGATCCTGGAACGATCTGAAGAATAAACTTCTACCCCATCGTGCGGCCGCCAAAGAACTGCTTGACCGTGTGCATCAAAATGAAGAATTCCGCCGACATGGCGTAAGGTCATCAGCCATTCAAAACTTCAGTCAACTACACACCTTGAGATCCCGTTCATCCTCCCCAAAAGTGTTCCAATCAGAGCAGACTTTCGTGATCAGCCTCGGCCAAAAGGAACTTAGCGGCTGTAAAGACCGAGCAGTCACAGATGCTGACCTGGTGTTACTGGTCTTGAAGGGCGTGTTTGACGCATACCAACGACTGCCGGCAGCGGAAAGACCTCGAGGCACAAACATCGATTTATCGCAAGGAACATACACATTGACCCTGGATGATGCAAGAATGATAGTCCAGGAGGTTATTGAGCCGGAGGTTCAAAGCTGGAACAATAGTGTACGCTCGCGTGAGACTCTGCAAAGATTTAAATGTTTTGGCTGTGTGCGGAAAGACTGCACCACTCGCTACAATTTTGATGGACTTTTTCGGCATATTCATGAAAAGCATGCAATACTAGTTGCAGACGGGGAAGACTTCCATAAGCTATACCGACCTTTCGATAATACACTTCACGATATTCAATTTCCATGGTACACCGTGGAATGGCCAAAGAACCTACCGATTGCTGCTTCCCATCAGGAAGTCAGCAAAGAGAAGAAGTGGCTGGCTGATGCGGACGTGGACTATGTAACAGCGGCACTTCCAGAGACAGTACCTGCATTCGCCAACCGTGAACCATTCGACAACCCGAAGATCAACCCGTTCGACCTTACAGGCAATCTGGCCTACGCAGCGACCAAACTTCAACCCACAATTCTGCCCGTCAATTGCCAAATGCGGATAACTCTGCAATACGCTCTGGACCGTTACACCGTCTCTCCTGACACTCCGAAGCCAACTCTAGCAGACTTCATCGCGTGCCTCCCAACCCTCCAAACCGCAAACGAAGAATTCAACCTCTTCTTCTGCTGCGGCGTCTGCAAACACCACCCAGACATACCCCAATCCGCCATCCACACCCGGCCCGACCCGTTATTCAAACTACAAGAGCACTTCCAAAAGACACACAGCACCACCCACGAGTGGACGACGTCGTTCATGGACCTCCCCTCTGACACAGAGCTTGCGCGCCACCTGCAGGAGGCAGACGAACAATTGAGGAAGGAGAAACGTGCCGCGGAGGAGAGGGAGGCGAGTCTGGTCAAGAATCCGAGGAAGAAGAAGGACCCGATGGTCAGGGCGGTGTTGCAGAGGCCCGAGGCGGGGAGGGTTTTTGCCGAGCTGTTTCCTAGAGTGGGAGAGTTGACAGGGTGAGAGAGGGAGGAATTGCTGTTTTTGTGGATCTTGGCTTTTTTTTCGGGGATTGGTAGCATGAATACGGCTTTATAGTCACGCAGTCAGGATATCACCCGCTTTGCGTCCTGAAGACCCGGAGGCCGGTGCCGCCATCGATGGCTTGTTTGCGGGCGTGATGTTGGACGTTGTAGGTACCCTGTTCACCTTCTTAGCAGGTGCTCCCCTGCACTTTTTGCTTCTTGCTTGGAGATGGGTTATTGTCGCTCTCGCTCGCTTCGGCCGAGGTGTCGGATGGGGCGGTGACGATGACGCGTTGGCCTTTGCCGGTGGATGGTGGTGATGGGGCCGCATAGGTGAGAGCCAGCTGCTTTGGTGTGGCAACTTTCTTCGAAGCTTCGGGCTCGGACCTTCTTGCGCTTGGGTATGGTCTTGTTACCCAGAAGGGCACTTCGTACTCCTACTAATAATCCAATCAGGAATACATAACGTTGCATCCTGTACTCACAGCGGCCATCAGGTTCCAGAATGTCATCTCACATGAGAAAACTTCTTTTCAGTGCTTTCAATCATGCGGATACGCAACCGGCGTGCTCTCCATTGCATTTGATACTCATCTTGGAATCTAGTCTGACTCTTCCCTCTTCCTGTGCTCAGAAGTGTTAGAATACTGGAGTGTACATGGGTAGTATCTAGTTTTTAGGCTTTAAATATGAGTCGATGTCTGCTCTTTTCACTTCTATAAAGTTGTTGTTGGTTAGAGCGACCTTTAATGGTGTTATATCTCTAAAGTATAGGGGATCTATTTTAGTGTCTCCTCTTCTTACTTCTTAAGTAGTCTAAGTGCTAGAGATTAGCTAATTGATCGAGCTTGGTGGTGCTTTTATTAGCGAGATGATAAATGCTGTATGACTACCAGTAGCCAGAATAGCTGGCACAAGGATCTTACGCGAAATGTCGCTCAGTGATGCAAAACGCGTAGTAAATGATACCAAACAGCCTTTCACAAAGTCTAACAACTCCATTTAGTACGAAAAGGGAATGAAAGTTTGTTCTTGTAAGAGAAGAGTTTACTCCTGACCGAACTACTAGTCATGTGTAACCCTCACAGTTTGGGCCCAAGCAGCGATTGTTTGATGTAGACAGATGGGGGCCACAAATGGTGCCCAAGACGATCGCTAGAAAAGCATGATTGAATAAAGCAGCATAGGGCCAATATAATGTCAATCGGGTTATGAGTAGAAAAGACTCCCGTGTCGCCGTGTGGAAAATAGCCATCTGTCTCTTCTTATGTGTAATCATCAAGATGTCCTCTTCTATCCATAGCCGCAATGGTGAGCCCAGTGAGCATCTTGACCCTAATTCCGCTTCAGGTGATGGACTCACCTCCTCTGTCGACTCGATCTGGAATGTCGCCCCTCTTGACAAGATTAGATTTGCTGCGCTTGCCACCTATCTTTACCATGCTGACCGACAAAAAGTCGTCGAGACTCAGGAGCCGCCCGAAGGAGTAGAACCAGACATAGACAATACTCCTAGCTCCCTCAAGAAGCGATTCCTGGATCGTCTGGCCATGTTGCTTGCTAACCAGAAGCGCGCGATCGATCCACCGCGTGAGCATAGCATCGAGCGTCCCACGTATGCTAATGTTACCGCCACGGCTTTGGCAGAGTCTGACAATAAGATCACGGTGTGGATTGCGAAGAACGATGGATTGGACAAACGAGACATAGAGTTTGTTGACAAACTTTCGAGTTGGCTGAACAAACTTGCTGATCTTGAGAGATGCGAGATCCACAAAATATCCCTCATGCCAACAAGTGATACTTTTTGGCATCATGTGGTCGACTTCTCTAGATCGAGAATAGATTTTGAAATTGCTGGCATTCGGAAAGAATTGAAAAATTGGGAGAAATGTGAAAAGACTTTGCGTGAAAAGCTAAAGACAGGCGACAAAGCGCTGGAAAGCCTCCTCAGCCGAATTGGAAAGCTGGTTCACGATTGTGCATGCGAGAGTGCATTCAAATACTCGAAACCAATTCTCGAACGAGCACATTACATCCGCTCCGATAGGAATGTCACCAGACTACTAGCTTGCCTCAAGCCCCGACCATCTCAGACCGACGCAAGGGACAGGTCCGTCGGGGCCACAGCACATCAACAGACGAAAGCAGGAGCAACGCTTGAAAAGGTCTGGAGATACATCGGCTTTCTTGGCCGATATCTTTCCTCCTGGAAATCATTCATCCATTTTGTTCTCAAATTCCCGAATCACCGTTTTCATCTCGAAAGGATCCAACCTCTGGATCTCAAATCCTTCAGATCAGATCTCACAAAGCAGGTCCTTCTCAAGGAAATCAAGACTTTAACAAAGAATGAGAAAATTCAAAATAAGTTAGAAAATATACTCGAGGACGATATGCCCGACAGGTTCGCCGTTCACTGCGAAATGCAACTGCTGATATATTTCGACATGCACCCTGAGCACAATTGCTTCCGTTACCTCGGCTGCAGTAAGAAACCCTGCTGGATGTGCTCCGTAATCCTCGAAAGCCATGGACGATTTTGCACTAAGTCAAGTCATGGTCAGAGAGTGGGATTCTGGGGCCTTGATGGTCCTCAAAAACTCTCTAGCCTCGTGTCAGCTGTGCGGAAATTGCAGGAGAAAATGGAGGCCCGAGTGGAGCAACTCAGTAAAGGTCCCACAAATCGGCAGCAGAATCGACGGAATCAAATGTCAACAATAGATTTGTCGACGCCAGAAGAACGCAGGATGGGGGAGGAGCAAATACGTAAAATGAGTGAGGGGTGGGGGATCGTTTGGTTTTTTGAGTATTATCTCAATCTTCTCAAACAAAAACTCTCCGAGTCACCCGATATTCTGAGACTGGCCCTCGTTGGTTTCCGGCACTTGGGACTGGCGAAGAGGTGGAGGTTGACACTGCATATGAATATTGGGAGGCCGGTGGAGTGTTTTGGGACGAGGTGGGGACCTATCAACATGAGCACTCATTACGGAGAGCGTCTTGTCACCAAGATAGTGTTCGAGGCCGGCACTTTTGGAAATCAGGTTGAGCTTCTCAAAGATTGGGGCTGGCATGAAGAGGATCTTCTCTATCGAGGCTGGGCTGGCGAGAGAAGTTTCGAAGATGGTCCAGTGCTGGTGCGGAGTTATAAGATTTACTGGAGAACGTGCGTGAGCTAACTGCCCCTTTTAAGAAGCAACTCACGATCTTTCCATCTAGAGTTTGTAAGATAGGCTCGTAAATATCATACAACGCCAATCAGTCTGTAATACTTGTCACGACGACAAGAGTCAGGTGACATGAAGTCCAACCGTAGAACTATCAGCCTCACGAATGTGGCCCCGTTCCTTTAGATATGTTCTCTTTCCCCCGACTTGCCCCTCGGCTATATTACATCTCCCTTTATTACCCCCCCCCGGTCATTAGTCCGCTCCCCGCCCCTGCCAGGGCCACCACTTTCTTTTCCCCCCAACCTTCTGAGCCTCAAGTCCCTTGCCCAATCCATAATCTGTAAGCTGCTTTATCTCTTCCCGTGAACTTACATGTGTCTCAATACTAGTAAGTATTTACAGCATCAATTGCAATCTCACAAGGGAATACACTCCCCAAGATCCGCTTTCTGGTCTCCAAAAGACGAAGATGCAATCAACTTTGAACCGGTAGATCCACTCTAAGCATTCGCCTTAGTACTACTAATAACTCATGCAAGCCTCGAAACTACTAGTATTGGCAAAACCTTTTATCGTACCGGCAATGTTAAAAGGAATGGTTATTAAAGGAAGCTAGGGGGTATGATCCAATCGGGGAAGAAGTGGGGGTACGGTTTTAGGACCTCATTTTGATAAGGATTACTAGTACTACTAGTAGTATCAAGACGGAGGTGTCTGAAAAAGAGGAGCGGTTGGCCCTTGAAGGGAAGAAACTTGAAAGGAATACGGAGTACATTACAACAAGTGTACCACTTTTGGTGAGCGAGGGTGCTAAGATAAGGCCCCAAACTCTCTCTGCCTCATCTAAACGCGCTCTCGGTTGGGTTGGCGATTGCTGCATAACGTGTGTGTGCTCTTCTCGGCCTCAAAGCCTTTGACTACAGCCGCATCTCGACAATCCACTCTCGCGAACATGCAGTCTGCCCTAGGATTGAAGATGGCCGTATAATAGGGAGGTCCTGGCAGCATCTCTCACTGTGAATGGAGCCATGGGACCTCGGTTCAAGTTGGTTACACTCACAACCCTCATAGATGCAGTGACCAAGTCCCATACGCCTCCTAACGTGTCGCGCGTTGGTACCAGATGCCTCTAGCTCGTAAGAACATCGGACTTCACTTTCACATAGACTGCCATCGATACCGAATGTACCAATACTATCTCGCCCTCAGCTGCAAGCCCCATCCAGCATGTTCGTCGTCGTCGTTGGCGCTGGCCTGAGTGGCCTTCAGGCTGCTCAAATAATCTATGCCGCCAGTGTCTCCTGTATTGGCGTCGAAGTTAGTACCAGCTGAGTTGGAGGCATGAACCCCGGTGTCCAGTCTAGAGCCAAAGGCTCTGGAATCAGCGGTCTCAGCGGCGTCTGAATCAATGACACAATCCAAAGCAAACATGTAAGCTATTCAGCCGGTTCGGGTTGCATAGTGAACTTCAACGAGTCACAGGAAAGAGCGTACAGCAATTATCGGATGGAAACAGCAGTGATGTTCCCAGATGACCATTCCCGAATGAATCAGGCCGGCGATGATCGTGATGGGTGAAGAAAGCTGACCGCTATGCGGACACAGAGCCGAACGGTTCACCAAAGTTGACGAGGGACTGATTCCGGACGCACATCGACCACTTTGGAAAGTAGATTTCAGCGTGCTCTCTAACGGAAAAGACAGCCAAATAACTTTCATGTCCGCCAAGGCGAGTAAACATGTACTTCCGCCGAGCGCCTCGTTGACCTTCAAGTTCCCAAGGGCCGCAGAACTAAAGCCCGGCTCAATCCTACTATCCAGTCCAGTAATGTCTATCGAGCACCTTTCCTCTTGCGACATATATCTAGAGCATTACTCTCCCTATTAGTACTAGTAGTACTACTAGTACTATCTTTCACCGTAGGAAGAAGGTTGTGTCCGTTCTCACAAAACAGTACTTCACAATTCAGTTCGACCCGCCTCTGCCAGATCCAAAGCGATTTCTTTCCGAAAGGGTAAGTACTAAGCATAGGATAGTATTTACTACTAGTACTGCAAGATGATGCATGATTTCGACTAGCCTGGAGACGTGACAACAACGTCTCGGGCGCATTGACTTCATGCTCTGCCAGAGGGTTAGCCCATTTTCATTCTCTCAAGCTATGTATGGAAGCAGATGGCCAGTGGTCTATCGGCTGTTCTACCATTGGCGAACCTGGAAGAGAATGGTCAAAGCTATCAAAGACGGACAGGTACGATCAGGCATGGAAGCAGTTCTTGAATGTGTTCTAATACTAGTACACTGTTGAATCCATGTTGCATTCTGTCAATGTGATCGGAACGGAATAGGCTAGGGTGTACCGCACCCTCTAAGTACTTACTACTACTAGTAGTATCCCTTCCATATATCTGGCCTCTCAGCTCCCTACAAACTGCCTGTTTCGGAACAGAGTCTTTAAATCTCATAACCCCGGCGGCATAGTTGGGCAGAGACCTCTCCAGGAATACTGCTCCTCAGCCAAAGAGGGGCGTCGAAGGAGTTAATGCCTTGAGTGGAAAAATTACATAGACACAAGCAGGCAGTGGTTTCTTGGAGTCATTGCTTGCAACCCTTGTAGCGCAACTCCCAGGATAGTCCTGAACACATTTTCAATTCTCATTTTTCCGCGAAAACGCGATCAGGCCATGCAAAGATTGATACCGTGCTCCTTCATCCTAAGGTATAAACCATACGGACCGAATGCGTGCTTATCGTTGCTGTCCCAAAGCAAGTGATCCAAAGAAGACCCGATGGTGTGCACGATCAATTTGTCAAAAACGAACGAAGGCCAGACACTCTTGATTAAGATGGTCTCTGAGGCTGTCCAACAACAATCATTTCCAACACCCCTCTCTTTGTTCCTGGGCCTCCTCGTATGCATCTCGTTTGTGAGCAACTATGCACCTAACAGCCTCCTTTAGTGCGGGTGCAGAGTGCGGGTGCAGAGTGCGCCAAAAGCAGTGGTAGAGGACGCCGGACATGGCAGCCTTCGTACCAGGTGTACAGGCTATTCCGATATTACTGACAAGGTGTAAGTAGAGTGCATTGAAGTGAACAATTTTCTGGTGGTCGGAAAAGGAAGAGTTCCAAAAAAACAAAACAAAAGAAGAGATTTCCGAAGGGTGTGAAGTTGATAAAATTAGTCTGGATGACCAAAAAAATGGTGATATATCATATGACATGTGGTGTAGTAGACGCCAAAAGCGGCGGCAAAGGCTGCCTAAACAGCGTCCTGTGTCCCGGAATCTAGCGTTGAGGAGTAGTCGGAGACCAACATGTCATCCAAGCAGGATAAGATTCCTAGACCACACAGATTCGACTCGATTCCTACTCACTTACTTCTGAACCATTATTACGAGCTCCGCACACCCCTCAGTCCTCCCTACCACTACCACTACCACCATTCAATCCAACCAAACCAACCACCTCAATGCCCTCCAGATCCCGCCCAAAACACCCACTACAACCCTCACCAAACTAACCACCCCCCAAATCCCCCACAACAGCCCCACAACCAACCACTCCACGATCGCATATCCCAACCGCCTCAACCGCCTCACCGGACTCTTCCGTCTCCGCCTCATCGCCCCTTCGATCACGTCATTGAGCGCCTTGATTGCAAGCGTAGAGGTGGTGGTGAGCTTCGTGCTTAGCTCGCCGCTCTCATCCGCTGCGGCGCGGACACGGGGTGTGAGGGTGTTTTCGACGAGGTCGTCGAGGGCTTGGAGCGAGGTGTGAAGTGAGGGCGAGGTGGTAGAAGTGAAATGCTCGAGCGAGGTGCGGAAATTGTTGGATTGGGTGGCTAGTGTTGAGATGAGGCTGCGTGCTGCGAGGACGGGTTCGTCTTTGCGGGGCACGAGGAGGGATTGTAGTGCTTCAGGTGATTGTGGTTGAGGTTCGACAATGTCGAGGAGGATTCGTGGGGGACGAGAAGGGATTGAGTGAGCGCGGAGGGAGATCTGGCGAGCTTTGGCGCCGGAAGAGAGGAGAAGAGCACGTGCGCGTGCTATGTCTTTCTTCGTTATGATGATGGATGCAGGCTTGATGGACGGGTCTCGGACTGAGGGATCCCAGTTCCCGGCAAGATCCCCACCGGATCTGGAAGCTTTAAGACTGGTAAGACCGGTGACGGGGGGGTGAACCAAGGGTTTGCTGAAATCATAGCCGTCTCGACGGCGGTCAGGCGATCCGGCAGGAGAGTTAGTCCGAGAAATATTGAGCTTGGGTGGAGCAAGTCGTTCCAACCGCAGAGACTTAGAGACAGATCGAAATTGCGGAGCGGCATTCGAGATGTGATCTGAATCCTTTGTCGGCGATGACTCAGGTACCAGAAGTGCTGCACGATCCCGCTCCTCCTGTACTTCTCGGTCCTTCTGGAATGGGGAGGTGAAGCTCGGCAAATTATTCATGAACAATGCGGGTTTCTCCCCAACTTTGGGGCCGGATCGAGCTTGACCAGACGTGGCAATCTTGCCAGTCCCTTCAGCTGATGCGGAAGAGCGCCCGGAATGTGGTTGAGGTAGCCTTTTCGATACACGACCGTTCGCAAGTACTTCTTCCTCGGCATCTGAGCCTGGCTGAGATTTGAGACTTGATGCGGATGACGACGTACGGGTCGCCGAAGGTGGCTCTCGCTTCCAGATGAAGTCTCCAACCCGTGAAACCTCGTTGCCCACCAATTCAGCAATTCTTCCACCTTTGAACATTCCACGGATGCGAGACGTAGCGTCTGGACTATTTGGAATTTTGGCAGATGTCTTGGAAGCCGTGCTATAGGTCCTTTGGGGGTCGACACTGGGGACGCTCGGTACTGAAGTACGTCTTGCACTTTTGGTCATCGGGCTCGTGTCTCTAGAGCTGTCATTGGGAAGTATCAAATTTTTTTCCAACTGGATACTTTCCTTCTGAAACGGTGGCGGAGGGGTTCCATCTGCAAAGTCAGCAGCATCGATGCCATTCCGTTGCTTACTTTCGGTTCGATCATGGAATGGGTTCATACGAGAATGTAGTGCTCTCTTTGGTGGAGAGGGTGATCTGCTAGGAGGTGGTGATAGATCGATCGCTATGCTGGGGAACTGATGAATCGACGGAGAGCTGGGAGCTGTAGTGTCACCATCCAAAGATGCCCGTGCTGGTCTTTCAATGTCGAGACTTGGGCGAGACTGGCGCCTCCTGTCTAAACTATTTCGCACGGCCTCTCGTAGGTGATCAGTCTTCAGGCGGTTTTTGGAAGCTGCTCGCTCTCTGCTAGATGCCATCTGGGACTCGGGCAAAGCAGAGTCCCGCGCTCGCTCTACAGACGATTGGGAGCGACGTATGGTATCGCGATCCAGCATCTTCCGCATGTAGTGATCGAGTTTACCACTCTCGGCTGCAATTCTCTCGTTCTCCCTGTTTCGATCCTTCACTGGCGATTGGGAGCTCTTCTCATCGTCAGAGTCTGAGGAGCTAGACTTACTCCGGGGTCGCATTAGAGTCCTGCGTAGTCGCTTGCTTTTCTTTCGCGACTCGCTATCACTGTTTTCCGAATCTGAATCCACCCCTCGCTTCACGTCGCGCCGCCTTCCCCTCCTTCTGTGTTTACCTTTCCGACCTGTCGAGGTGAAAGATGGGAGCTCTGGTGGAGTAAGAGGAACAGACGGTTGTGGCTTATTGTTCTCCGCTGATTCAGGCGGATGTGAAGACTGCTGCGACCCTTGTCCGTGGGCTGGGTTCCTGTTCCGCCAGTCTGTAAACTTGAGTTTCGCATTCCGCGGGTAAATCTTGTTCCCATCTCTGTCTTCTATCTTGGTCTTGTTCGATCCTTGTTCGAGCCAGTATATATCGGCCAACACATCTCCTGGTGATACGATCCAATCTGATCGGAGCCTGTAATGCTTTCCAGGTGGATTAGCATCACGTTTATGTGACATCGAGCTTGGTGAGGCTACCTCCTTGGGATTCATGCCCTCCTCAGGCCTTTCGGTATGAAGATGATGCATTTCAGGTAGGCGAATGCACTCATCAGGATCGTGGCGACGCTCGTTGTGGCCTTCGATTATGGCATCAACCCAAGCCCGGACTTGTTGAACATCATGCCATCCTTCTGCATCGCTTTCAATTGACTTTCTTTCGGGGAATCGAACTTTACGATTCCGTACATATTGAAGAGGATTATATGCTCTGCCTTCACTGTCCGATTTTCTGGGGCTTTGGGTTGGTGGACGAAGGGGCGGTAGATGAGATAGTAAGCGGCGGTGCTCGTACAAGAGCTCAAAATGGTTCTTTGCTTTCTGCACTCGGGCGATAGTAGCGTCAGAAACATCGTACAGGTCATCATGGAGATCATAATCCGTGTGATCGGTTATTGGAGGTTGAAGATAGCTCCCAGGAATCCTTGACTTCCTTTGTGCATTTATGGATACTGGTTGTCCATGTCCCTGGGCCCGAGGGGAGATATTTCGTGAGAACTGCCTGTCCGAATGGAGGTACTGTCCAATATTGCTTTGCGGGCGAGCAACAAGTAGATTGCTTCTTTGACTCGTCGAGATCGAGCGCCTGATCTCAGAATTGCCAGAGACGACTCGCATACCAGATGCCTGTCTTCGTCTTCCTTCACTAAGGGATAACGCTAGGTTCACGATCTGCATGGGATCTGTATCATAGCCGACTGGATTTGTCTCTAGTGTTGAACCTGTTGTCTGCGATTCATCTTGCGGCGTAGGGCTATCCTTGACATTACTCCCAGAACCCACAGACCGCCGGAGGTCTGAAGCAACCCAAGCAGGACTGCCTGAACACACATCTGCATCATCCTCCAGCGTCGAGACCTTGGTCGCAAGAGGGGAACTTCCAATAGATGATCTATGCGAATGCCGGTTCCTTCTCTTAGAGATCAGCAACCCTGAGCCTTCTCTCTTCTCCTTCCCCTTGATGTTTGATGTTTCGTTCTTTGAACGCGACAGGAATGCCAAGCGGGAGGGAGCGCTCTTAGGTTCGAGCAGGAACCCACCAGAAGTCCGAGGCTTTTTGGATACGTGGATTTCGGGTCCCGCAAGGTCATCTTTGTGACTTCTCGAGGCTTGGTGCAGGCTCGGTGTTCGTGGCAGCACGGTTTCAAGGTTAGAGTCGTATCGAGGACCGCTGCTTCCACCGCGCTTTTCACCTGATGTACTCGATTCTGCTTGGACATAGTCTTCTGACACTTCTCGGGACCGAGTGAATGCAAGGAGTGAGTGGTCAGAACTCCCGGATGGACTGGGCGAGTTCCAAGACATTAATGTGCTGCTATCATGACAGCGACGTTGTTGGATCCGGAGGACGCATTGGGGGCGAAGTAGTTACGAGTAAGACCTATCTCCAGATCAGATGACACAATGGTCCATATATCTATTGGGTACTCGTAGTATGTACTCCGTACAAGAAAGTCAACCGAAAGCGTGCATCTTGACAGCTCTTGGCGCAGTCATGGTGCATGGAGATCCCACCAACGGGATGGCAATCCTCCTTTCCACCAGGAGGATTTGAGTCGTCGCAGCTGTAAAACTTATGGCATTCGGACCCAGCAGTACAGCCCGGAAGAGCAATATCCAAATAGGAGCACGAATGTATGGGAGTACATTGGGAGAGGACAATACGCCATGCCACGACAGAGATCGGAAATCTATCTCAAGTCGAGATAAAATCTCCTTGGGACACCATGCTGGTATTGTTCCGCAACTAGGTAATAGTATACATTCATGCTTCGCGAGCGTATGTTAGCTAGCGATCTAATTTTGGGTTGCTGTGCGCGATAGCTGTGCTGATCACTCGACAAGATATATATGTACAGAGCTGGTGAAAAGATTGCCGTATGCCATCGCAGCAAGAATAACTCCTTCATTCCACTCTCAAGCATTGCAATCTTGCCTCGGTCTCGATCACCTGTGACACCTGTCAGTGGAAAGACGCTCTCAGGATAGAGGAGCATATCTTACATCAAGAGCTTGTCTAACTTCAAGCACTTTACGACAATCCTGCAACCAGTCCTTGCTAAGGACGCCCGCCCAGCCCTGAAGTGTATTCATTTCTCGTGCAGCTCCGTCCAAGTCTCCTTCTTCAAGATGCGTCTCTGTCTTGGCCAGAACGCTTTCCACGTCGTCGCCAGTTGGTACACCCTGCTTCCTGAACATTACCTTGCTCAAAAGAACGCTTGCGGCATGAGAAGCGACACCAGCATTCTCGGGCAGAAGAGAGGCTTTCCTCACTTCGGAGGAGAGACGGCGAAAGCGATCGATAAGTTGCGCAGGGGAGGGTACCCCTTGTTGGTAAGCAGTAGGGTTGATGGATGCTATCGCAGCATCAACAACAGGATCTCCGTTTGCCACCTCCTTTAAAGCAGCCAGTTCAGTAAGAAACGGCTTGGGCATGCCTTCACTCACGGCAGCTCGGGAGATTGCCGACCGCACAGCGTCGACTGCAACCTGAAGTTGCTGAGTCGCGAGATTCGAATCGATAACGCCATTCCAGTCACTGGTCAACTTTTGCAGATCATCGACATTTCTGCTTAATTCCGAGATCTTCGAAAGCCGCCCATCTCTTTCCTGCTCCACAAGTGATTTGATGTCAGCTACGAACCTGCGCTTCAACTCGATAGCCTGTTCTGTCAGTTCATTCTTCAGTCGCTGCTCAGACACTTGTTGTGCTCGATCGACCACAGTCTTGAGCTTATCCTCATAACTACGACTCAGCTTCTCCCTTTCCGCTTCGAATTCCTCTCGGTAGCGGGCAACCTCTTCGCCCCGGGCGGCATCAATTCTTCTAGCCAGCTCTTTGGTGCTCTCGTCAAATTGACGGTGAGCTTCCTTGATCTTTTCCTCTGCTGCCTTTCGTTCCTCTTCTTTCAGAGCAGTAATCTTCGCCGCTGTTCCTACAAGAGATTCTTTGGCCTTGGCGATTGGGGCAGAATATTTGTTGGAAGCATCTGGGGAATCGGCGTTGATCACTGTAATAAGATCATTCACGATTTTCGTCAATTCCTGTACAACTGGTTCGTCCGCGTTGGGTACTTCCAATGGCGCTAGATGAGCAACTGGAGAAATTGCTGGTGGTCTGGGATCCGACTTTGGACTCGGGGTTGCAGGAGATGCGGTAGGCGTCATTTCCGGTTTCTTCTCGGTTTTCGCCTCCGGGACAGAAGTAGACACCGGAGCCGGAACCGCAGGCGGAGCAGCCTTTGGTGTAGTCGAAGTTTTCTTTGCAGCTCCCACTGCATCTGACATCTCCTTTTGACTTGCTTGATTTGGAGCTTGTTGCGCGTTTTTGACTTCGACCTTGGTTGGCATGTTGGCGTCCAACGCACTCATATGTCTTCCCTTTTGTGATAAATCACTTCCACCGGTGTCACCCTCATCAGATACTTTCCACGAGATGCCAGATTTGGACGGAATGGTGACTCTATTCCCAACTCTCTGTGCCGAAGAAGGGACTCGACTCTGGTTGATGCGAGCATTGGGAAATCTCTTGTGAAAGGATCGTTCTTCGAAATATAGTACAGCTTCCTCTCCAAAGGGCACGTATTCGGTGAAGAAGTCATGAAAGTTGTCACTTTTGAGCGCGTAGAAGACTGCCGCTCCATAGCCCAGACCAGTAAATACAGTAAGGTAAAGCAAGAATCTAAGCCCGCGACGTTTCTGTTTTGGAGGAGTAGCAGAAGAAGATGGTGGTGGTGGTGAAGAAGAAGGAGGAGGGGAAAGAGGAGGTGATTGCGGTGGAGACTTGGAAGGAGGTGGTACCGACGTTGGCGGCGCGACCTGGACTTTGGTGGGTGGCGGTGGTGGTGTCAATGGCACATTTTCAGGAGATATCGTCGAGGAGGATGTTGGCGTTGCTGGTGTCGGCGCACTAAGTGGCGTAGGATTGACGGGGCCAGGAGGCGGTGGAACTTTTATAGGAGCGGCAGAGCTTTGCGATCCTGGTAGGAACGCAGGATCAGAGGTCGAGGTCGAGGTGTCTTTTGAGTTGAAGGATCCTTTCCTAACGTCTGCGAATGACCGCTATGATCGTAACTCGTGTCAGTGCGACAGGTCAATCATGTAGCGAAATTACTTTACCTGATCAATTAATCTCGAGAGCCGTTGAGCACGCGGACGGGGTCGACATGATCCAAGAAGCAGCCGATGACCCGGAGCTGCACCCATACACAGCATGGCGGGCTGCGTAGCCAGAAACAGCTTTGTAAAGCTGCAAACAGTTGTTGCACTCTATGGGAAATGAGATTGGGGGAGCTCCGAAGTTCTGGTGGAGCTTCAGAGTAAAGTTCTGCCCGGGCAGATTCCTGCCAAGACCTTTAAAAGCGCTTTAAAGGGATTCAGTCACGCAGCGACGCAGCCCGAAGACGCGGTCGCTCTTAAGAATATGGACGTTCAACTGTCTGATCGCTCTACTATGTGTAGCATTGCAGGCAAAGGTGTCAGGCTAATTGACGGGCACGGGGCGCTGAGAACATATCAGAAGGTATGAGAATTATTATGTAGCATGCTATCGAAACACCCAGGCGCCCACTGATAAGATCGCTCAACCAGGTTGTGACCTTGCAATGAAAACAGACTCCAAGCACCATCTAGTCATTGAAGATCCTGACAACTGCTCCATGAACGGTTTCCCTCAGCCGATCGTCTGTCCAGGAATGGTTATGGAGGAAAGGAGACGACGCCAGACACAGAAAATCAACAACTACAGGGGCCTGCTCCTTGTGTGTTGCTAGTCTCTGGCCTCAGATCAACACCTGGCCTAAGATTTTGTCTCATTCGTGGACCAGCTTGGTCTAATGGCAACTTTCGAGCGATTGCGGTGAAGAGCTCCTTGACGTTGGTCGATGTCTTCGCCGAGGTTTCAAAGAAGAGCAAGCCAGCCTCTCGAGCATAAGCCTCTGCGTCGGCGGTTTCAATAGCTCGCTTGTCAGGACTATCGGCGACCATGTCGGATTTGTTCCCTGCTAAAGCAATAATAATATTCTCGTTCGCCTGTCTTTGCAATTCTTTGACCCATGATTTGGCCTTGTCCAGTGATGACTGAGGAAATGTCAACGTCTGCACTGTAGAGCTAGGTGAAAACTGCTTACAGCCTGAGTGATATCGTATACAACAACGGCGCAATTTGCATTTCTGTAGTACATTGGCGCAAGGGACTTGTACCGTTCCTGACCAGCAGTATCCCATATTTCAAACTTCACTGTCGTGTTTTCATCCAATGATATTGTCTGTGTCAGAAATGCTGCACCGATGGTGGATTCGCGGTAGTCATCAAACTGGTCTTTGACAAAACGCAGAACGAGAGAGCTCTACTTTGTGTTAGAGCAGATCGTAGACAATGTGGTGACGGAGCATTCGCAACCAACCTTTCCTACTGCGGATTCTCCTTTCAACTTGTCAGCAGATACAAGTGTCTTGAGTGCAGTCAGCCTTTACCTAAAAGAACAAGTTTGAACTGTGCAAAACGCCCGCCAGGTCGACCGACAGCTCCAGGTCTTGAAGCCATGATTTCGCTGCCGGAATCGAAGTGGCTCGAGGTTGTTGAACTCAAGATACTACGATTCTCAATGGTTATAGGTTGGTCGTCTAGCTATTGATGTGGATGTGGAATGGATGGGTTAATTCACTGTTATTGCCTTGCAGTTGACAAGTTTAAAGTTTCAGTTGGGCGGATGACGACGCCAGAAACAATCGTCCGCAGTGGAACGAAGGAGATCAGCAACTTGGATCTGCACAACACCCTTGTCTGAAAATACAGGACCTTGCCAAAAACTGTTGCAGAGATCGTTGTTGACCAGGTGGAATTGAGCATGCAGTACGATTAGGGCGGGTAGCAGAATCATACAATGTCGCTCCAACCATTCCGAGACGTCAATGTTCATGCGTCCACTTCACATTATGCCTTCACCTCACCTTCGACGCCAAACGCGCCAACATTGGTGATTGATAGACCTTCAGGAGATATTCGACTTAACGATGGATCTCTACTTGGTGCGAAACGAGTATCCAGCATCGCAGGCATTCTGGGCATTATCAAGCTCAAACTTGGTAAGCTGAGCCTACACTACAAATTGGATAGGAACTGATATCCTCCTGTCAAGACAAGTATGTCATTGTCATCACTAAAGCGCAACCCATGGGTAGGTTGCAAGGGCATATGGTGTATAGAGTCGTCGCAACCGAATTCCTCCCTCTTCGAGAACGCAGCCTTCATGACCCGAATGAGGACAAATTGTTGACTCTTTTGAAGCAATTTGTTAGAAATGGACCCATGTACTTCTCTTACTCGATAGACATCACCAATACCTTTCAAAGGCAGGCTGAATCCGACTTATCACGCCCATTATGGCAGCGAGCAGACGACCGCTTCTTTTGGAATCGATTCATTCAGACTGATCTAATTGATTTCCGGACCGGTAGTGGCAGGGGCGGTCAACAACCAGGTGCCGATCCTTATATTTTGCCAGTCATGTTTGGCATGCTGCGCATTGCCGCGACAAAGATTGGATCAGCTCCCTTCACGTTTGCGTTACTGACAAGGAGGTCAAGATATCGAGGAGGAACACGTTATTTTTCCCGGGGTATGGATGAACAAGGCCACGTTTCGAACTACAACGAAACTGAGCAGGTCGTTATTCTGAATGACCATACTGGGGGCCCAGGAGGTTTTATGGGAGGTTCCGGTATGCAGAGTGGAAAGTCTGGTGGTTTAGCTGGGAACGAGCTTCAGATCATGTCGTATGTCCAGACAAGGGGTAGCGTGCCAGTGTATTGGGCAGAAGTGAATACCCTAAAGTACATTCCAAAGTTGCAGATCCGTGGTGTGGACACAGCAGTCGAGGCAGCACGAAGACATTTTGACGAGCAGATAACACTATACGGCGAGAATTATCTGGTTAATTTGGTCAACCAGAAGGGCAGGGAGGAGAGGGTCAAGAAAGCATATGAGCAGATGGTGCGGACGCTGATCTCTTCACCGAGTGAGACTTCTGAGTCGGACCGTTTCTCGAACGAGAAGACTACCTCGATATCTACCCGAGAGCAGCATCAACGGATGGACCGCTTGCACTATATTTATTTCGACTTCCACAATGAAACCAAGGGTCTCAAATGGCATCGTGCTCAATTATTGCTCGATCAACTTTCTGAAGGGTTGATGAAGGGCTCTTACTTCCGCGGATTGGAAATGCCAGGAGACTCCACTGGTGCTCTTGAGGTGCGATCACAACAAACCGCTGTTGTCCGGACAAATTGCATGGACTGTCTTGACCGGACCAATGTTGTACAGAGCATGCTAGGTCGTTGGATCCTGACACGCCAACTGATCGATGCAGGGATTCTACAACCAGGACAAAGTTGTAGTGATGATCCGGTGTTTGAGGATCTCTTCCGGAATATGTGGGCAGACAATGCAGACGTCGTGTCAAATTCCTATTCAGGGACTGGTGCTTTGAAAACAGATTTTACACGCACTGGAAACCGTACCCGAGCAGGCATGGTACAGGACTTCCGAAACTCGGCAACGCGTTATGTGAAGAACAACTTCCTAGATGGTCCACGTCAGGACGCCTTCGATCTTTTCCTTGGAGCATACCTACCTCCAACCTCCGTAGTCGGTAGTTCAGTCTATGCCGACTCCCGACCTGTCCTCATTCAGAGCATACCGTATGTCCTTGCTGCCAGTCTCTTCATCATCATTCTCTCCCTTTTCACAAGACGTGCTCCAGACTCTGCCGTATGGCCTATACGGCTCTTTATCGGCCTATGTTTCGCGATCGCCGCCTGGTCTTTGCAGTTCATCATCGCCCACGGTATGCTCTATGTGAACTGGCCCAAGCTTCGCACGCCACCTTTTGCCGTCGAAGGCTATCAAGAGGCATTGACGCGTGCTCACAAAGATATGATTGTAGGTCCTCTAATCACTGCTGCGAGTAGCAGGGAAAAGAAGACAAGGCATTCAAGCATAACCAGGATGGGCTACATGGAGGAGGGTAAGAAGAGAATAGAATGATGCTGCCCTCATCTTTGCTACTGCAGGTGAGCGTTACGACCTTGTCTTAGGAGAAAGATAGAATCAGACATTATTCGCGAGAGCCTCCTCGATTTTCCTCCCAGTGTGTAATATGGTACTCCGAACACGATTTTGCGCCTCTTCATCAATCCCAATGCTGGTCAAGTACCTTTCAATACCGCCAAACCGTTCTTGAACATGCTTCGTCAATTCGGGTACAAAGTCCTGCGGACAACCAGCAAAGTCTTCATCCAGCCCGATTTTCCTGAGTTCTCGTAGCCTCTCTTCCTGCTCTACCAACAGCTCCTTTTCTGACCTCCCATAATCGTCTCTCATGGCATCCTGTGCCACCCCACAGAGCATCAAAACCAGCAGGACTATCAAGCCCGTCCTGTCTTTGCCTTGTGTGCAATGCACCAGGATAGGGTATTTGCTCGTATCAGAGAGGTGGGTGAAAACATCTCTGATCTCGCTCGTGCTACAGGCGAGTGTATCCATACCCAGTCCGATCAGACCACGTGGTAGCATTACCTCTCGGCCAAGGATACCTATCGCGTCCTCTCGATATCCACAGGCCATCAGCCATAGGAGGCGGATGAGACTGGTGTAACTCAATTTCCAAAGAAGCGCACGCTCGAACGCCCCTCCATTCAAATTGATCTCTACGTAACAGATGTCTGGAATATGGAGAGATGAGCCAGGATGTTGGTTGCTTTGGGGAACGATTGCAGAGTCACGGGTAGGTTGACCGTCGGATGAGGCATATTTGTTGGTAGCGTTGATGTGCTCGATCTTTGAGCGGAGATCGATGATGGTCTTGATGCCTAGAGTTTCCGTGAGATATGCGCGGTCTGCTCCAGATGCATCATCAGGTCGGGCACTGCGGTAGAGTACACCAACCTTCAGCACTGATGCCTTGGTGTATAAATTGATCGTGCTGCCGACATCACGGAAGTTGAGAAGCTGATCAAAGCGGTAATTTGGCATTTCGTTCTCTATCACGAATAATGATTTGATTAGCCGAGAAGCAAACCACAGGTATCATACAGCTTGAAGCTCTTCTTCACATTAAGACAACACCTGGGATGGACTGCAGCATCAGTTTCACATACGCACGCCTAGTTGGTATTTCTGGTGGGTTGCTACATCTGGGACGCAGTAGAGAACAATATCTCCCCATCCGGACGAATGTGCCGTCCACAACTCATCCCGTGGGGTATCAACCTACCAGAAGCTGATAGCATCGTTAGGGCTGTCGCCGAAACATTGAACATATCATTCGAACGGCGGATCCCAAAAAGTCCAGAGATCATGGGACCCAGGCCTGTTGAGTATTCAAGCAATCAGAGTTGTACTACTCCGTACTTGTATTGTAATTGTGGTCCAGCTGTGGGTTTCGCTTCTGCAGCTGATCGACGATCTCGAGCGTTGTGTAGCTTGCTGCAAGAAACCCGGCTAGCAGACGGTTGGTTGTGATGCAAGGGTGCGTCAAGGTTCGCTTGGGCTACGTCACTGACACCACCTTTCGCTCCCGTCATATCCAATGCCTTGCATCTCCTCCCGCTCGAAACTGCTTGTCCACCTCAGGTCCACTCATACGAATGCCTCGTTTGCTCAAGAGTCATCTTGTGGGATAGCGAAAACATGACCGCTGCCGCTGCAAAGAATCAAGGCGGGCCTTCCCAGCATACGCCTAGTAGCAAGCTCGAAGACCAAGGTACGGCCACCCCGAACAGGCCGCCGCCATATCAACCCAACTGACACACATTGGCTTCAGCCGCGACTGCTGCCCTTTACGTGACAAAAGGGAAAGGCAAGAGCGTCCATCCACTTTTAGATGACGATGGAAAACTCTCATCAGCTGGTGTGAACCTCAATATTCCCAGTTCATGTCTGCCAGCGCTGATGCTAGATAGGCGCTGCAACTTCGCTGAAATACGCCAAAGCCCAAGACCTCCCTTCATTCCCTTCTCCTGGGCTACAGATTGCTTCTGCCGGCGCAGCTGCAAGTCTCGCGGACACACATAAGAAAACTGTCGAGCTCTGGAAGCCTGCATCTATACCCGCTGCAGAGAAAGCTGCTTTGCTGGCGAAAGATTATGAGGCTGATCCACTGTGGCACCCTGAATTGAGCACAGCTGGCTCCAAGGCTGCACTACTTGCTTCCGACAAAGGCGCGCATGTCAATATCTGGAAGCCACACGAGACAGATGATGGTCATTCCGCTGCCGAGCAAGCTGTTCGCAAAAAGGTCCCACCTCCCATCGACCCCCGCGCAATACCTGCGGACGCCAGCCGAAAAGCCTTGATGGCTGCAACTGGCGCAATGGCAAGTAGTCGCAGACGAGCAGATTCTGCCCCAATCGCGCCAATCAATTCGCCAGGTTCACCAAGCAATGCTCAGTGGGCGTTGAAGGCTGCCAATCAATCCCAGCGAGGACAGCGATCTGGCCTGTCAGCAGGGAGCGGCGACCCGGCCCTGGATGCTGCTCGAGTACAGAACATGGCCCAGACCAATGTGTCACGACAAATGTATACGTCACATCCACCCGTATCCATCGAAGTAGAGGAGAAGAAGAGGCAAGATACAATTCGTGCCTCAGCTGTAGCAATGGCTCAAAAAATGTATGCCATCCAGCAGAAAGCTATCGAAGAAGCAAAGGCCGACATCAGCCGTGCAGACAGTCGGTATGCCGCAACACACGTACACAACCGCCGCACGTCGGACGCCTCAAGTATTGCCGGCACACCGGACCCGTTGATCTCGCCCATGCATGGTAACAGTTTGCAGGAAGCGGCACAACGACTAGCCCAAGAGCGACTTGCCAAATTGAGAGATGAGCATGAGGAATACAAGAACTACTATGGGCAAAAGTCACCAACTACGAGATCGCGACTTTCAATACACAGCAAGCTGAGGAGACGGGCCTCAAGTGACGGTGCTGTGGATGACATGGACGAGGAGCAGTCGCGGAAGATCAGGACTCAGATGTCGATATTTCAGAGCAACCTGACAACGGTGGACGAGAAAAGGCGCCAGAAAGATCGAGATGCTCTCCTGGCAGCGGCGCAAAGGAACGTGAGAGCCAGCATGCATACCATGGATGAGGAGGTTTTTCAGGAGACGGGTAAGAGTAGTCCGGCACAACGCGAAGAATGGGCATCAAAAGCAAAGGAGAAAGCGCAAGCGGATAGCAACACCCGGATGGAGAGTTATGGCAAGGTACACATAGGAGGAGGCAAATACCTTGACCAAGCAGATGTCGATGCAGTTGCGAGGTCGAGAATACAGCCTACACTAGATGATATCAATGAAAAAGCTGACGTTCAGCACGCACGTGAAACGGAGGTCAAACTTGAACAAGAAGAGCAGCAACGATTGGCCGAGCTGGAGAAACAGCGTGCAGCAGAACTCAAAGCCGAACAAAAGAGGGCTCGAGGTATGATTCTGTTTGTCACGTGGAAACAAATGGTGCTAACATTTTCGTAGAAGAGGAAAAGCGAGAGGAGAAGGCAAAGAAGGCCGACGAGAAGAGAGCCCATAAGGAGGAAATGGCACTTTTGAAGGAAAAGGAACGGATTGAAAAGGAAGAGCTCAAAACGAAAGCGAAGATGGAGAAGGAGAGGCACCGACTGGAAGAAGAAGAGAAGCGAAAATCAAAGGAAAAGGGCAAAGCTGCTGAAGCGACCCTTGTTGTTCGCACTGAAGTGGCTACAGCAGCAGTGACTAGCGACACGGATCGTCCAACTTCTTCTGGGGGACAAGTTCCCGCAATGACAGCCCGAAGAGCCTCCACCAGCTCGCAATCTCTGAATGATTCTAGCGACGACGAAGAGCGACCAAGGACTGGTAAGCCTACTGACGATCGTGAGATTGTGTCTCCCACGTCACCCTCAAAGAGACAGTCTAAGGTCAAATCATGGTTCGCAGGGAGGTTTCGTTCCACTAGCAAACCTGCTAAAGATGGAGAAAGTGGTGATACCACTAAAGCTGGATTCATTGGTGGTGCGAGCCTTACTGGGGCTGGCTCAACGGATGGTGGTGAAGATATGCCTAGGGATAACTCAATACGAGATGTTGCCTTGGCTGGCAAGATCCATCCAGTCCACCCAGTCGTCACCAAGACTCCCACTGATCGATCCGTCTCTCCTGTCAGTGAGACTCGAGCAAAGAAGGACAGCGACAGCACGTCGATCAGTACACTGTCCGATAGCGGCGAGGATCCTCCTAACAAGAAAGGTAAACAACGCAGAGGCCGACTAGGATTCAAGGACAGGCTGTTGGGAAAGACGAACACCAAGTCATCAAACGAGACGGATCATGACGAGTTCGAGGAAGCCCGCGACACGTTTGAAGAAGAGAAGCTTGCCCCTCCGCCAAAGCTTACAGCTACGACTCTAGCGACCAAGGCCAGTGCGAGTCCGGTGAGGGACAGTAAGTTTAGCGAAATTCTATGAATGGGGAAGAACTGAGCTGCAATGACAGGCTAAGTTTCGTACCATAGTTTAGCAGATCTTTAATCATGCACGATAAAATGGTCTATGAATTGAGCAAAATTCCATACCTAAGATGTATGCAAACCCGTTCAAAGACTGACTCCTTTGTTTGGTGCCACCTAAATATCATTCAAAACTACCGGAATATTTACCACAGGTGTTTGAGCACATGCAATCCACCAAGGCCCTTTGTCCCATGTCACGAACCTGGCACGTATGTAGCAATCTACTTCTCCAGGACTCTTTAAGTTGTTCCCGGAAAATGCCCAAGTATTTACGAACGCCCCGAAACTTGTCTCCCTGAACATGGCAAAACCCACAGCAGAGACTCCCGATGGGGTCTTCTCCCTCCTTGATACTGACCTCTACAAACTCACCATGCAATGTGCCGTCCTCAAATACTTTCCAGATACTGGTGAACACGCTCGGTCCATTCCAGTTTATCAACAGGACACTGACAGTATGAATTTCAGAAGTCGAATATGCTTTCACGAACCGCACACCGCATATGAAATTTACCAGGGACGCCTTTTCGTGGTTGCAGGAACAGGTCGAAAGTATGATATAGTCGCTGACGAGTCGTGTTTGGTTCTACATAAGTGATGGCTAACGACCTGACCAGAACTTGGCAGTATCTCTATAACAACCGAAGAGCTCGGGTATCTACGACGGCAATGCCCTTACTTTGGGGAGGCGTACCTTAGGTACCTGAGCTCGTTTCGGATGAAACCAGAGGAGCATGTCAAGCTATCATTCACGCCTTCAAAAGAGGACCCAGAATGCGGAGATTTGCATATCGCCAGTAAGGGGCTCTGGACCGAGACGATTGTTTATGAGATCCCACTGCTTGCTTTGACTAGTGAGGCCTATTTCAAATTCTGCAATAAGGATTGGGATCATGATGGTCAGGAGGAAAAGGCATATAGGAAAGGCCTGACGCTGCTTGAGCATGGTTGTTTGGTCTCGGAATTTGGGTCGAGGAGAAGGAGGGATTACAAGACTCAGGATCTGGTAATGAAGGGGCTTTGTAGAGCTTCGAAGCAGGCCGAGGCGGCAGGACTCAATGGGAAGCTGACCGGGACAAGTAATGTTCATTTTGCCATGAAATATGGGATTCCTCCAGTCGGAACTGTGGCTCATGAGTGGTATATGGGAATCGCTGCGATCACCAATAATTATGAGAACGCGAACGAGCTGGCATTAAGGTACTGGCTGGGAACGTTCGGAGAAGGAGTAAGACCCTGCTAGGAATTTGATCGTACTGACAATCACTAACACTTCGACAGGTCCTGGCCATCGCTCTGACAGACACTTTCGGAACTCCAGCATTCTTCGAAGCCTTCAAACGGCCGATACCAACCACGGCTACAGCCGCACGCGGGGCGGCAGCTACCTCAGCTTCTGCGGCTTCAAGCACGAAGACTGCAGGAGTTGGCAGCCTCACAAACATCAAACCGCCAGTCTCAGCCAACTCTGAGACTGATCATAACGTTCCCGGAGAGCGCTCATATGCAGAAGTCTTCATAGGAGTCCGTCAAGATTCTGGAGATCCAGCAGAATATGTGAAGATGACTCGGGACTTCTATGATTCCATTGGAATCAAAGGTCGTAAGACCATCGTTTTCTCGGACTCCTTAGACGTCGAGCTTTGCCTCGAGTACAAGCACGTTGCGGAAGAGTTTGGATTTCAGCCTTCGTTTGGAGTTGGAACATTTTTCACGAATGACTTCGTTCACAAAACCGATGGAAAGAAGTCAGTACCGCTCAACATCGTCATCAAGCTGTCTCATGCAAGCGGAAGGCCAGCGATTAAGATCAGTGATAACATTGGAAAAAATACTGGGGACGAGAAGACGGTGCGCGAGGTCAAAGGTCGATTGGGATATGTTGAGCATGAGTGGAAAAATGGGGATGAAGCAGGACGGTGGGGGAAGAAGGAGGCTGAGACGGGAAAATAGGTCACAGTATGATTTTGATGATTGATTTGCAAAGCCGTGGTTCGTGTGAGTGCGTTTGATAAACCACTTCAGGCGCGCATATGTCTTACTCAGTGTTTACGAAAATGGAGGCTGAGGATGATGTGGAGGCGGGCGACGTAGGATCCGCCTCATAATGTTCGTCTTCGACACGTAATATGCAGTGATAGATCAACGTCGTAACGGAAGTTCATTCCTTCGGTAACATTGCAAGAGTCAAATGAGATTTCCTTCAAGATTTTCGTTACTTTGTTGGTTTTGAACCTGCGTGGAGATTGGCTTTCAGGAGGTGGTGGAAGAAACAGGGCAAAACAAGAAGCTAGCGTTCCGGAGCGTGGCACTGCACGCTTTGGATCCTTTACTAGCTTGCGTCGCTTACCCCATCCCAATTTGCTGCTCGCGGCTTCAGGCTTTAATCTTTACATTTTCAGCAGCATTCATCTTCAGCTTGCTTTTCATTCTCAGAGATAAGTAATATTTCAGGCAACAAGCAGATTTTTAGTGTACCTTCAATTTCACCTGTTCCGAAAAGCTGTGAACCTTGCTCCTGCAGCTAGAATTGAACTCCGCAGCTGCGATGAATGTATGTATAAGCCTAGCCGTCGTGCCCTTCAGTCTCCTCGCCTTTCTGCCCGAATGCAGGAGGACTCGACAACCTCTCGAGCATAGCTCTCCCGTATTCAAATCATTGTTAACTCTTTTTCAGAATCAAGGAGGCGGTCGCTACGGTCAACCCAACCCATATGCCCAACAGGATGACCAGTATGAACCAGTTGGTGGTTACGGTCAGCAACCAAGCTATGGTGGACAACAGCAGGCTGGGTACGGACAGCAAAACCCATACGATCAGCAGCAACCTGCGTATGGGCAACAGGGAGCATACGGACAACAGGGTGGTTATGGTCAGCAGCAGCCCAGCTATGGACAACCGCAAGCATATGGTCAACAACAGACCGGGACTGTTGGACGTCCGGAGCCCCAGGCGTACCCAAGTAGCAACTACGGCGATGTCCAGGGCAACAATGCATACGGTAAGCAATGTATCATGGCTGGATGATGTGTTGTTGATCCGAGGCTTAGAAATGGGATCGATGAACGGTCAAACATCCGCGCAGAAAGATCCGAAGGCAATTTTGAATGCTTGCAGGGAAATTGACCGTGGGGTCGACTCCGTTGAAGACAAACTTAGTGAATTCACAAGGTTACTGGCAAAGGCGGAAGGCGCAACTGGTGATGAGTCGAATATCCACAGAGAGATCAACAGTCTTACAGCAGAAACGATGACAGCTTACAAAGCCTTGGGCGATCGGATAAAAAAGATCAAGTCGGATCCTGAGTCTGGTAACCCACGAAATGCCCCTCAAGTTGGCAAGTTGCAGAGGAGACTGCAAGGTGCGATTAGGCAATTTCAGCAGATTGAAATGGATTATCGCAACCAAATGAGGGCTCAAAACGAACGTGATATCCGGATTGCCAGACCAGACTTGACAGAAGCTGAGGTCAAAGAGGCAGCCGAGGATCCTGATGCGAGACAAATCTATACGACTGCTGTAAGCACTCCCTGGCTATGTGATCCTTCAGATGGACTTGCTGATTTTCGAAGCTCATGGACCGTACTCGACGCAATCAAGCGCAAACAGCCTTGGGAGCTAATAGAAAGAGACACGAAGGCATTCAAGAAATCGAAAAGCAGTTAATGATATTGGCTCAGCTTTTCCAGGACCTCGATGCAATGGTTATCCAACAAGAAGCAGCCGTAGAAAACATCGACCAACGAGGTGAAGATATCCAAGAGAACGTGGAGCAAGCCAACGTCCAGCTTGATGGAGCCATCAAAAGCGCTAGTGCGGCGAGAAGGAAGAAGTTTTGGTGCTTGGGTATCGCAAGTAAGTCCTCTGCGCTGCAACTTTCTGTTCTTGGACTCACATCATCACACAGCCCTTATCATCATTATCATAGTAGTCATCGTGGTTGTTGTTGTCCTAGTCCTTCGCAGGTAGTTTTTCGATTGGAATTTCCTTGTTACATATTGACCTTCAACTAGCCGAGATAGCAATTCTTCTACACCGGCACCTGCAGCGACGCCTGCACCGAGTACTGCAGCAAGGGTTAGAATGGTTCGAGGTCGAGATGCTGAGCATTTCAGACCTTGATGCTGCTTGGACTATCTTTGTCAGTTTTGGGTACATGGTTCTGTCTCTGGTTGTTTGTCAGACATGTTGTTCTATTGTCCGCTTGAACAGCTATCCCACCGCTACCGGTGGCGCCAAAAGCATGTCTCGGGCACTGCTTATCTTTGCTTCCCTTTCGTATCTTACTGCTCCTGAGCCCGCTGTTTTCATGTACAATTGGCGAAACGAGCATCAAGAGTTCTTTGCCGCTAGAGCGAAATGCTTGTCAAAAGTAATTACGTTCGCACAGTCCCATATTAATGCATATCGCTTTCCATAGCTTTTTGAGCTGGTACGGGTAAATACCTGACCATCCCCCAGAGCTTAGCCCTGCAGGTTTTCGATTTCATCAGGAGTCTTGGTCCTCAGCTGTAACGCATGTATGCCACCTTCTCGATCGAGTTCCTCACGGAGAATTGCATAAACCATACGATGACGGGCGGGTTGTGTTTTCGATTTAAACATGTCGGAGATGACATTGAGTCTGACCGAAGCAAACACTAAGCATCCATACATAGCAAGTAGCCTGAAACCCTACCTGAAATGCGTCTCCCTCGAATTGATTCCTGCCATAGCTTGGTGGTGCGAATGCGCCGCAGAGTCATTAAAGATTTCAAGGGTGGTAGGTTTGAGTTCTTTAGTGATCTATGGGTGTTAGCAAGCTCTACCTTGGTTGTCCGAGTTAAGTCACCTTTGATCGAATAAGATCTTCTACTGGCGTCTTTGAGGTACTCGCCATGGCTGTGAAACTTCGCCGAAACAACAAAAACTGTCTGATTCTCAGCATCGACAAAGACCAAGTCTCAATGCAACCGACTCTACTCGGAAACGCCATCTGCGCTGAGGTGAGATGCGGAGTTCGGCTTCGGAAATGTATTCAGCGACCGGAAATCGTTCCGCCCTCCGAAAAAGACAGCTTCAATGGAACAATCATCCATTCGACGTCCGGCACCACGCAGCTTTCAGGCGGATGAGCGGCTCGGACATTTGTCGAAGCTGTGAATAGACGCCGGCTGATGAGAATGGAGGGTTACCACCATGTTGGTACCGATTGCCGTTCGCGCAGTTTGCAGATGGCTTTCTCCCTCCTTACTCCCACCATCGTTTCGTCCTGACATTCGGCCACTATCTTATCGAATGGCATCCACACTGCCAAACCTTCCGATATTCCAAGCCATTACCAAGCACAAGCCAACTTCCACCGCCATCATTCACAGTGATTCCAACCGGACCTTTTCTTACGCGACCTTGCTGCGAGATGTTGTTGCTGCTAAGAAGCAAATATCACAGATTGTGCCAGAATCCCCCCTTTGTGGGGAGAGAATTGCATTCCTGGCAGAGAATGGCTACAATTACGTTGGTACGTCGCAGCTTCATGCTGAGTGTGCCACACTAAAATACTCCGAGTAACCTTCCTTGCTATCCTCGCTCACGAAGCTGTGGCCCTCCCCCTCGCCCACTCGTTCCCACCAACCGAGCTTCGATATTCACTGGATAACAGTCAAGCAAAACTTCTACTGTCGACTTCAACTCTAGAGACCAAAGCGAAAGAAGTCCTAAAGGAAGGGCTGCAACGTGAGCCTGTTCTTGGTGTCATCAATGCTGCAGAGCAAGACTCAATATCGAGCAATGACAAATTCGAGCTCGAGGGGGTCTCCTCAGGACTTGGTGGCTGCATGTTATACACCTCTGGAACGACAAGCAGCCCGGTAAGAAGTCGTGTTCCTTCACAAAGGGGGTTTCTATGCTGAACTTCTAGCAGAAAGGCGTGCTGCTCTCTACATCAGTGATCACAGCTCAGGCCAGATCATTGATAGAGGCATGGAGATATACAAATGCCGATCTTCTGTTACATCTGCTACCGCTCCATCATATTCATGGCACCGTCAATGCGCTTTTTGCCCCACTTTTGGCCGGATCTGCCGTTGAATTTCTCTTTCCGTTCAATGCCGGTGCTACATGGGAACGACTTGCAGCTCCATTTTTGCCGCAGTCCGCTTCAGATTCTAGACGGCCAGTTACATTCCTGACCGCCGTACCGACGATTTACAACCGTTTGCTATCAACTCACGCTACTCTCAATCATGACTTACAAGAAGCTGCGCAAACAGCCATATCTCCGATTAACTTGCGGCTTAATATATCTGGCTCAGCTGCCCTGCCAGCATCAACAAAGTCGGCTTGGACCAATTTGAGCCGCGGAAACGTGCTATTGGAGCGCTATGGAATGACAGAGGTCGGAATGGCCTTATCCTGTGGCTTGGATTATGCCGATAGGGTTGATGGAAGTGTAGGCTGGCCTTTACCATCCGTGGAGGTGCGTCTGGTAGATTTTGAGACGAACAAGGTGATTCCCGAGAGCAGCAGGCAAGAGGGAGAAATTCAACTGCGTGGCCCAACAACTTTTAATGGATATTGGCAGAATCCGGAAGCAACTGCAGCAGAATTTGTGAATGGCGAAGACGAACGCGGCAAATGGTTCAAGACTGGGGACATCGCAATACGACGTACTGTTGATGGAACCGGGAAGAGTTGGCAAAAGTGGGCTAGAGGTCCGATGTACTTCATCCAAGGAAGAAAGAGTGTTGACATAATCAAAACCGGTGGAGAAAAAGTCTCAGCCTTAGAAATTGAGAGGGAGCTCCTGTCGTTGCCTCAGGTTTCCGAAGCAGCGGTTGTTGGCATACCCAGCGAGCAGTGGGGCCAGAAAGTTGCGGCGGTCATAGTTCTGGAAGCAACACAAGCCAATTCAGGCAAGGGAGGCAAGAAGTGGGGTGCGATGGACATGAGAAGGGCGTTGAAAGCGAGGCTGGCAAATTATAAAATACCCCAAGAGCTTAGGATTGTGGAGAGCATTCCAAGGAATGCAATGGGAAAAAGTAAGTGGTACCTTTCAAGCACCAAGCATCTCTCACCATGGTACAGTCAACAAGAAAATCCTTATTCAAGAGATTTTCGGCGAATCACACTCAAGCTGAAGACATAGCCTATCACAAAATCTCTACGGGTATAATTTTTAATTCCTGGAATATGCACAGTGCCACATAAGCCACAGCTTTTGCTTCGCTGCTCAAATGGCCCCAAGCAACTATCCTGAACCTTGCACTTATCATTTTCTGCATCCTTGTCCCACTTGGGAATTATAGTCGAACATCTGCAAAGTCAGTACTCGCGATGATGTCGGGATAGGAGAGCGACCCGATGAGCCGCACCCCGATCCAATTTTCGGCATCATACCCTTAGGTTTCGGGGCTGCGCCAACTATGGCGTTCTTGTCTTAGTCTTTGTGAAATATCCTGCAAACACCTTTTCCAACTCTGATCCGTAATGCAGTATCCGAACAGTTTTCATGTCTGGGGGCTGGTAAACCACCCAGTGAACAGCTTCCCGCAAAACCACAACGATGTCGGCCACTAATCAACCTAACCTGTACTCATCCACGGCCCAAGAGTTGCAGAAGCTGCACGACATGACCAAAGAGGCAAAGCTGTACTATGAAGCGCTCCAACGCGTGTTGTCGAGACCCGGAGACAAGGAAGTTGGCGCTCAAGAGAGAGAGCTCATCTTGAGGCATCGTACCTTATAGGAACTTTTGCAGGCACTCAATCAGAAAAGGGAGGAAAATCGAACGTTTCGAACAAAGCATTCAAGCCTGCTTTGGAGTTCTAGCAAAGCAGCCGTGGATACCCTTGCGCGATTTGAAAAGGCCACCTCAAGCATGGCCCAAGCAAGTTTGTGATCATTCATTCTCCACAATCAAATGCTGACGAAGCCGCAGAATCCGAAGTCACCATGCTAATTTGGGGCCCAATTCAATTCCTGGTAATTGTATGGTCCTCCCTTCTCTGACCCATCCTGGTCGATAGGTTGCCAGAGATATCTTTGATACACTTGATCGTTTGAACGATATCGGCGAGCGTTTGGAGACCTGCCTCGCTAGATTTCAATACCACACGGCTGAGGGTGACTTACTTGGCCCACTACGAGGTTTGCTCGTGAAGTTTTATGAGCACATCCTTCAGTTTGTGATCACAGCTTCACAGACCTACCGAAGATCGGGATCAAGTACGATTCACTCGTTCTAGGTCCGCAGAAACACTGAGTCTCTATAGAAACAGCGGGTCATGTGTTCCGAAAGTCCATTAAAGTGCCGTTCGAGCAGTTTCTTGAAAGACTGGATTACCTGTCGGAAGAGATTCATAAGACTAATACTGCGAGAAGCCTCCACTACATTAGAGAAGGTTCGAACCTCAAATATTGTCCAGGAATATGATCTGACTATATCTCCCTATAGCTCAACGTCAAAATGTTCAACTAACGCCCCGTAAGCCGCGACATGACCCAAAAGCGGGAACAATCTTGCTGATGCTCCAGTATTCAAGCTCCCTCTCTACAGCCCGATAATCCACCCCTACTGAATCTTCGGATCATCCCAGATCTTTTGAGCAATGGTTTCGTTGGCCGTGAGGACATCATACGTTCTGTTGGCTGCTCCATGGCCTCGATATCTGATAAGCGAACATCAAGAGTCGCCCTGTGGGGTATTCCTGGTATCGGGAAAACCCAAATTGCTCTTCGTTTTGCAGAACGATGGCGAAATCAATACGCGCACATTTTCTTTGTCAATGCTGTAAGCTCAGCGACCATCACTAGCAATTACCGTATGTTCGCCCGAAGACTCAGACTGCTGAGAGCAAGTCAGGATCGGCCCAAGGAATCTGAGGTCGTCGACCTAGTAAAGACGTGGTTATCAGAACATACGAGGTGGCTCATGGTTTTTGACAATGCGCTTGAACCAGGAGTAGTTCGTCACTATACACCTGTGGAGGGTTCTGGCCATATTCTTTTCACGACACGCAGTCAGATAGCTGCTGAAGCCCTTGCAGAGAGGGCCAATGTGCTTGCCGTACCAGCCATGACGTCCACTGAAGCAGTTGGGCTTGCCTTGAAGTTGCAGAATATAGACAGCACTAACGTCTTTGAGAGGCAAGCAGCAGAGCATTTGGCACGGCTAACAGGTGGCCTCCCGATCGCGATTGAACAAACCGTTTCGCTGGCATGTCTGCGGAAAGTGTCATTGTCCACCGTCCTGCCGGATGTGGAAAAGAGGCACGTATTGCTGAAACAGTCTCATCCACTTTCTATGCATGAGGACGGATGCGCGACGGGTGCCATTCTCTCATTGACACTAGATGCTCTCAAGGTGCAATCTCCTCAAGCTGCTGCGTTGTTCCAGCTTTTATTTTATTTTGATTCTTCTGCAATACCGAAAGAGCTCATCACCCGGAGCTCTCTGGAACTGATACATCACTTTGCTCGATTAGAAACGTACGATCGAGGGTTCGAGCGTCCGGCAGCGGAGCTTAGGAAAATGCGGACCAAGGCGTTGCGGGCCCGGGAACCGTGGTACTATCGCGAACTGCCCACAGCTGACTTCTTGATGTCGCGGATTCCCTTTCCAAAAAGATTGCCAGCAAACACGCTCCCAAGGGTGGATAGCCAAGCAGACAAAAACCTCGAACGACATCTCAGGGATGATAGCGCTCTCAAGGAAGTCTTAGAAAAGCCGGTTCGGACCGATAATGCATTCCTTGACTTGGGACAAGCCGGCCTAATCCGGAATCTCGACGTCAAGACTGTTTGGATACATGGTTTGTTTGCTCAATTGACTATAGCACTTGTGGAGGGGGAGTCTCAAGCTACCCACCAAGTCACAGCACACACGGTATTACTCATGATTTATTTAGTGTTCCCGCTTCCTGATCACGACAAGAAGATGGCAGTTTGCTTTAGATATCTTCCTCGTGCTGTCTCCATCCTTCAACACTGCAGACCGTTCTATAATGACCTGACTGTAGGGCCAGAACTTGCACACATGGCAGCATCAGCTTTCAGCTTGAAATTCTCGGAATTCTCGAACACGAAAGACCAGAACGCTGTAGAGAACGCAGTTGTCTACTACAAGCTTGCCTTTTGTGGCTACCATCATGCTGGGAAACGCCTTCTAGACCATCCGCTCGTTACAGAGAAGGAAACAGTACGTCGCGCAAGAGTCGAATATGCCGATGAATACGGCAAAGAGATGCAGAACTTGTTTCGTCTCCACCATGTAAGTAACCAACGCTTTGGTTGCTCAGCTACCGTGAGAGCCCTACAAACATGCCTAAAACTTGGCGCTCGGGTATATGGGGTCATTGGCCAACTCGATGAAGCTGTCAAATGGACGGAAATGGGCGTTAAAGGTTTCCAGAGCCTATATGGAGAGGACCACAACGAGACCTATGAGTCCAGAGCCGTCTTGCTTCATTTGTACAGGCATGGGCAGCTGTGGGTAAGAGGTTCGGTGCTTGGGCGGGTTATGGGGCAATCTCTCCTCAGACATCCCGATACTTGGGGAGTTCTTCCCCTTGCCTGTGCCATGGGTGATTGTAAATTGGGACTGATGATGCCAGAGAGCGCCATGAGCTATTACGCCGTCGCCCTGCAGGTCTTGACTGAAATGTACGGCGAGGATGACCAAAGCCACATAATGGTCCTACTCAAGCTTACAACGGTAGAGGGCTTACAGCACTCCCATGGTAAGAGTTTGCTGCTTGCTCAAAAGGGTCTCGAAATCTATAAAGACATCTGCCGAAATCAGCCACAATGGAATCACCCGACTTCCGATCGATTGATTGACCTCGAGGTGGCCATTGCACGGCAGCAATTCGAGCTGGGAAACTTTGAAGAGGCCAAACAAGGATGTGAGAGAGCTCTTCGGATATGTAACTGGGAACCCAAAATACGATCAAGCAGACTATGCTGAGTACAGGTCCGTGTGGGGACTCTGGACTCGAAGCTGTCTGGGCATGGGCATGTATTGAGTTTGCTGGGGCTACTCTGCCCGAAGAGTGGGAGATTCCATATCTCTCAACGTCACCAGAGATACTGCTAGTCAGGCGCTCAAGAAGTATAGACGCTTGAGGAAGCCGTGCTGTTGGCAAGGAACATGGCAATGAGGGTTGGAATCCCGGCTACGGCGTTGCTGCGCAATGCCAAAATATGTTGGCGGCGTTGGGACGAGCTAGATCAGGGCTCAGCCCCAGGCGTGATTGTTTGATAGAAGGATGGAATCCATGGTTCGTGACAGCCAAGATCGATCAAATCTACTCCATTCTGCATAATCACCATTCCCAATCTCCTATTCGACCTTCAGCGACCTAGTAATTAATCTACTTGCTCAAATCTCCTGCCAAGACATGGTGATATGAACTCATCCTGAGTATACATCCAGGATCTAAATCTTCGCACTGATACTGATAGTGAGTGTTGTAATGATGTAGACATACACCTCTCAACCACAATCTACTGAATGTGACTTTGGGATAAATTAATGCCAAATATTCAATGGCAGACACCCTGATCAAGGTCCTACTCAGCACGACCTAATGAGCATTCTGAGATTGGAGCGCTGACTATGTAGGGCTTTCCCATGCACAGATGGCCAGTCTTGAATAGCTTCCCTTGATCTCTTTGAGACGACCATTTAGAGCTCCTCTCATCGCATAGCATACCCTCCTGAATCACTCACCGCTACCCTGGATGGCCAGTGAAGATGCAACGCCCACCCTCACAGTGGAGACCACGATCCCCATTCCCGGCCTTGGAGCACACCATCTTGGTCGTAGTAGCAGTCTCGCTCGCAAATACAGTCGTAAGGGGGGTGACCATCTGGGATTTCAAGTCAGCCGTTGTTGTCCGTCTCCGTCTCCGAATCAAAGCTTGGGAGGCGGGGGGTGGGACTTGACAAGACTTACGATGAATATGTGCCCTCCAATCGTGGACAAGGAGTCACATCCGCCGCAGTCGACGCTCTTGGTCACGGTGAAGGTGCTCGGATAGACGGTGGATGTTGGACCGGCCATGATGGAGGGCTCGATGAAGATGGTTGAAGTGCATGGTGCAGCGGCGGTTACGGCCTCAGCGCAGACGCTGGGGCTGAGTGAAGGGGAGAAGTTGAAGGTTAGCTGACGTATGTACCAAAAGGATGGTGAGGATGACGGGGGCAGTAAACCGCGTACCAGGTGAGAACGACGCCGACGACAAGCGCAAGCAGAGCGTGCTTGTAAACAGTGGAAAGCGCCATCTTGTCTTGGATTTGAGGTAAATGTATGTGATGAAGTGATGAGATTGAGCTGAAGAACAGGTATGGGGGATGTAAATAGCTGTGGAAGTGTTCGAGGAGTCTCGGGAATCATGTGGAACAAACGAAAGGAATATTGAATATGGGGAGGGCACAGTGACACCCATGATATCATGGAAGCGAAGTGAAGGTTTTCATGAATGGTTCGCCGAAGAACCTGTGAAGTGCAAATACCATTTTGATTGGAAGTCTCCAATATAGAATAACTGAAAGCAAGTTTTAGTGAATCCAGACATACACATAACGCATAGAGAGTGCGACATGCTCTGAGGTGCATGCTCCTCCATACCAATAAGCTCCTAGTATGAGCAATGGTGCGAGCAGAAAAGCTCTGATTGATGTCCTCCATCAATGAAAATCCTCCTGCAAAATTCACCTCCACCAATTCTGATCTCGATCATCGCTCTGCCATACCACCTTCACGCCTCTAGTTTCAAGGAACTCCAACTGCGCGAGAAGTACAGTTCTCGAGCTGTACAGGTTACGACTCGTGGAGAGCTCGTCAGCCGTGCAGATAAGGCTTCTTCAGCTAGTTTTAGTAGAGGGTCAAGCTCATACCCCGATCTGTAGCTTGGTAGGTCACATTTGGTCGCTTTGGACTGAGATGCCTTTCGTGGCATGCTATACGTGGTGGGCAACTAGGGAACGTATAGTCTTCCGCGCCCGCGCAGGGAACCTCTATCAACACCCCTGGGGGATCCGCGGTAGAAACCTCGTGAAGGACCCGATGGTGCAAACCCACCACGATGAAACGATGCACGATGCTGGAATCCAGCATGTATATTGCCATCACTGAGCACCAACCGTTGACCATTTGCTCGCCCAAAACTGCCGCGATCAAACGAATCCGGATCAATTTCCTCCGTAGGTACTTCGGGCTTGACTTGCTCAGCACGGTTCGGATGGCTGTTGGCCATGCGAGGAGAATAACGATGGCTAGAAGAAGGACGAGCCGCGGCGAGAGATGAACCACGCATAACGGGGCTGCTCGAGGCAGATTTCGTAGACAGATTTCCAGAGCCACGGCCTCGAGGTTTGAACACTACCTGTTCCTCATCACTGTCCTCCTCATACCTAAACATAGCTTTGGGTTCGGTATCATGGGTTTCGAGCGCGGTTGGTGGTGGCGGTGGTGGTGGAGAAGGATGCTTCTGGAGATATTTGGATTGGTTCTTGAGTTCCTGGTCCTCAAGCCCAATTGCTTGGCGAAGTTGATGAACATTCTTAGTGTTGACTCCAAAGCTGCGCATCAAGGACGCGGCATCAGCAGAATTGGAGACAAAGTATAATTCGGGCATTGGTCTGTTAGCGTTTGCATTTTCAATATTATTTGCCTGCCAAACCACCGCGTTGACCAGAGGTTGGAGGGAGTGAGGAACGACGACGTTCTCCTGTATTGGCTCAGCTGCTGTCATCTCCGGACTGCTTCTGGCACTTCGTTCGTTAGAAGAGCTTGGGGAAGTTGGCGGTGTGATATCAGCTTCTTTCGCAAAGTTCAATTTGCTGAGGAGCATCTGAGAAAGCACATTGGTCGCACCAGGCGCCTGTTGTCCCTCGCCTCCACCGGGAGGGACATCGTCCGAAGAAGCTTGAGCCACCGCAGATGTATTTTTGTCCGCCTTCTCTTCGTTCTCCTCCGCAATAATATGTTTTTCTACATCAGACCATTTCTGGTACTGTTCTGTAGGGCCTTGAAGTGAGATTGCATTGACTGGAAGACCGTCCTTGCCTTCGGTGATTCTGTCTAGGAATTCGACGGTTTGACGGGCATTGATGCCAATCTGAGAAGCGTCTTGTTTCAGCAACGCAAGTCGTTCAAGGGCTTTGACCGTCAGTAGAGTCTGTGATCTTGAAGACAGGTGACATACTGTAGACCGGAATGATGAGCGTAACGGATCCATTCAGAATCCACTTCTTTACTTCGCTGATATTGGTAATCAATACTGTATCGTCAACAACACATCGAAACACTTTGCGCGGCGTCATTGTGTATGTAGTGTCGGATCAAAAAAGTTTCATTTGCGGAAGTCGTAGGAGCTGTAATAGCCACCTGCTATCGCTGTGATGGAATCAAAGTCAGCGGAGATTCTGAATTGCAATGCGCAGGAGGGTCGGTGGTTGGTAGAGTGAGGGTGAAACACACGGAGAAAGCGGAATGTCCGAATATTGTATGAGAGATTGATGAGCATTTTCGCGAAAGTGTTTGCTTGTGACAGCAAGCATCCAAGGTGCTCATGAAGTGCACCGGTTGTTTGCGATAGTTCACAAAGCGGTAGTGGGAAGAATGACTGGTTGGTGGATGAGGTGGAGGTTGAATTCAAGGCCAACTCCAAACTCAGACTTCGTGACTGCAGCCGGGTCCTCAATCGTCCGATGTTTCGGCACTGCCCCACACCATTCTTTTCCAACTGCGGAGTGCAGTGCATGGGAATGGTCTTGGGTTTCATCGCTTTTAACTTCTATGTTCATGGTCATCATGCCTAGGATAATACTGGTTCAATAAGTCCACCACTTCAACGCCGTGCGTGCATCGCAGGTTCTCCACAACAACCTAAGAAAATGACATTTCCCACTGCAACCCGATCTGAGTGACTTCTTGCTACAAATCGCGCATCGTGCCATCCCTGATCATTGTCTTGCCTTCGCTGTCCGCACCAATCCGCTGGACTCGGAAACCCGAGCTGCCCATTCGCTTGAAGGATATTAGCATAAGATGGTGGAAGGAGAAGAAGACACTCACGTCCAGCTCCCATCATACAATCTGCGGTCATCTGGTTTCCCGAAATTTGCTTGCTGCAGGGCCGCCTCAACAACAGCAGCCGTGACACCTGTTCCACAACTGACTATGATTGGCTTTGTCGGGTCAAGTTGTTTAGAGAGGAAGATCTGCTTCAGTTCTTTCGATGGGAGCAATGCTTTCGTTTCAGGATGGAGAAGATCCTGGAAGGGCATAGATGTAGAGCCCGGCATATGGCCAGAACGTAAGCCTGGTCGAGGTTCTGGCTCCGTTCCTTCCCACCTGCCCTTGGATCTAGCGTCCAGAATTTGTATTTCTTCTGCCCCCTCCTTACCATAATCATACCCGATGGTCTTCATCTCTGCGAACTTTACCACCATATCCGTCTGGTAGCTCGGCACTGGATATTTCGAAGGCTCCGGGATTTCAGGCTCGCCTGATTCTGTGCTGAGACCCTCCTGGCACCAGAGTCGGAAGTTGTTCAAGACGTGAACATTGGGATGTCCATAGACTCGTAGCGTCCAGCCCACTCGAGGTGCAGAGAACAATCCCAGCTCTTCCGTGTCATAAACCACCAATGCGTCGTCTCTCCTGATCCCCATCTTCTCCATCGCCTGCGCAAAAGTTTCGCATGTTGGGAGCATGTGAGGGTATGGAGAGTCGTGATCCTTGACTTCATCGATGTCGAAGAATCGTGCCATAGGAATCCTCTTATTCTTGAAGCATTCGATCCCGGTACGTCCTTGCAGATCATTGGGCATGAACCAAGCTGCACATATTGGAATTGTTCTTGGAGCTGTGGATATCTTAGATCGAGCATTCTTCTTTAAAGCTTCATTCAACTCCTTGGGAGTGACCATGTAGGACGAAAACGTGAAGTATCGTCGAGGTACGTCATGTCGAAGGGCTTGAGCGGCACGCAGGCGAGTTGGGCGCAAGGCTGCAAAAGCCATTGGCAGGAGATACTACTTTCTGAGCATTTTGAGATTTAATCAAGCTGCAGTACAAGACTGAAGCAGGATTGTCAAAAGGTGGTTGTTCGAAGGGGCTGGTGCTGTTGTTGCGGAGAAGCTTGATAAGGAGGGGAGCGAGGAGCTTGCATCTCCGCATTTTCATGTTTACTCCGTACAAGGGCGGCAAACAGGCAACATAAAAAAAATACTTATTAAAGTCACAATGTCATGACGCTTCTTGCACACTTCTGTAAAGGACGTTATTCTTCACTCAATACTTACAAGGAAGCTTAGCACTACCTCACTTTTAACGTGCGCCATGAAGGTCAAAATAAAAAAATGGCATGCAGTGGCTACGTGGAGATGGGACATGCCAGAAGATGAAGTATGTGGAATCTGTCGAGTACAGTTTGATGGAACCTGTCCGACATGCAAGTACCCAGGAGATGACTGTCCACTGCGTGAGTATTGCATGACTCCGTTATTGGAAGTTCGCTGATCTCAGTAGTGATTGGCAAATGTGCTCACTCTTTTCACATGGTAGATATCCCGAGCTTTGATGTACATCCTGGCTCTAATATATGTGGCATCAGCATTGTCTCATGACCTGGATTCAACAAGACACTTCCAAGGGTCTTTGTCCGATGTGTAGACAAAGTAAGTGGTCTACCTATGTACAATCGAAAGCTTCTAATCGAACATAGAGTTCGAATGGAAGCATGGGGATGGATGAAGGGTTGCATAGATATTGCTGTAGCTGGAAGCCCCATGGACTGGCGTTTTTGTTTCCCTAGATACCCAATCAGACAGACCGAGCTTGGGACGACCAGGAGTCAAGCTTTGTAAACAGCATGCGTTCACGTGACATATGCCATAAGGCTGAGGGACATATGTATCAAAACTTGCTATTTCCTTGTAATCAGAGCAAAATGTAGTCCAAGTACCTCTGGCGATGTCCCATCTGCAAGAAACTACATCACATACAGTTTTCCCGTCTAAATCATCGCTGAAGCATACGCCCTCCCGCAGCGTGTCATCACCGCGTCTTGACGGAACCCACAGGCCCTCCCCCAATGAGGTGGCTATCGAAGAGTCGGCCACCCTCTTTCATCCCTTCTTTACCTTGATCGAGAATCCCTCAACCTCCGAACATCACCACCCTACTGTACACTATATCTTTGCAGATGATGAGGCCGAGATCATTACCGAAGCAGCCTGTCGTGCTCTAGCCCAAGACGATGCTCAACATAAGCATCAAGAAGAAGAAGAAGCTAAGCTACCAGCTACGGTTGAGGATGTCCGCGAGCACTATATTCTCCTTGATGTGCAGCCTAGTGAAGGGAATGGCTACGAGGTTATTAAAGCACATAGTTTGAGCTCTGACTGGCAGGTGATGAAGGCAAGCATATCTAATGCCCCCACCATCGACGGCAATGACGCGGAATCTGGCGAAGGTTTGATGCTCAAGGTTGAGGGAATTGGTGCGATTTCTCAGACTGATTCAGAAGAGGCAAGCAAGAGACAGAAGGAGAGCCTGCAACAGATGGTGGAGAGGTTTGAAAGAGGGTTAGCAGGAATCAGGATGATGATTGATGGAGGGTGAGAATTGGAAGCAGAGTCACTGAAAGGATTGACTTACGTGTAAGTGTTTGGACACAACATCAACCGAACTGTACCAAACGGTATCGGCTATGGCTGGACCTACAGATGACAGAAGTGGCCGTGGTCGCGTTGGCAACAGTGCGACATTTGGAAGATCAGTTTCGTTCGGGATCATTCCTTCCGCACATCCTTTGTCACTCATTTGTGTCTCTCCACTTCACTCATATTGCTCCTCACCAGTGTTGTTCAATCAATTACTTTGTCAAAATCAGTCATCCTCGCCTGCTCTCGGAGACTGCCAACCCCCATCTTCCGCAGAGCGGCGTGTAAATTTCCTCAATCGCCAAGCATTTTCAACGTACCTCCATTGGACTACCAAGCCTGCAGGTTTGTCAGGGGTAATCTAGACTATCTATGTCATCGCTCGTTACTAGTGAGGCTCCTGCGATGCTTTGTTTGTTCTTGGAGCTGCTGATATGGCCCAGCTTCCCATATGGTGGTTTCCATGCTCAGCGTGCATTGGAGTTTGGGAATTCAAAGCCGGAGATGTATGTCTCGGCGAAGGAATCGGAAACGAGAATAGAGCAAGATCATGGACTTTCCAAAAAGAGAATGGACATGGATATTGATTGTGCTTACGTCTGGTTGGAGCTGCACAGGAAAGGCGTCGAGGATTAACAAGGTTTTGCAAGCGAAGTCAGCATAAGTTTCGGACACGGCAAGCAGCGATGGACTCTCTACGGCTCTTCCGACAGCTTCGTCCATCTGCTATCATATTGTCTGTACGCTTTCACTCGTACTTCAACGATGTCCCAGAAATTTCCTTTACCCATGATCTGCGTGGTACCAGGAATCTCCATTTCCCTTTCCCTCCTGTTTTCTGATATAGCCTTGCATGGTGAGTAAGGCTGAGAACCGCGTCAATACATCCAAGCCTTGCCATGCTCAAGCCTGAAGGCGCCCATGTCAATAGCAACTACCTTACATGTGCTGAAGGCTCCTCGCGGACTCGCTCATACCACGATGATTACCCTGCCATACACAACAAGTTGGAAGACCAGATTGCCAAACGCTCTCCAAGTTCGTAGAAATTTCGGCCAAGCTTTCCAACGGCAAGTGCCTCCCTTACGGTGTCTGGCAATCTCCCACTGCAACTAAATGACGCTGCTCCTGCTCAAACCATTTGCGCTAGAAATAGCATTGAGTCCGCAAGCCTTTCCCTCGGGCCCTCATCACTTTTCAGTGGGAGGTGTTGCTGTGGCCGTTCATGAGCGCACGGTAATCCAAGACACCATCCATCTATAGAAGATCCTATGATGCTGATCTTTATTGCACTTCTGTCTCGCTGGCTCTTGAATCCCGTCCCCAAAGTCAGACGAAACTACCTCCGTCTGATTTACCTAACTAGGCCTGAGCGAACCTCCATCTCCCTTGTTTTACCTTATTTAAAGAGAAAACGTTTGAAAGGTGCTAGCTTGACGGTTGCAAGTACTAGTATTCTACCTAGATCATCTCATAAAGATCCGCGATCCCTACCTCAAAGGTCTGAATGGTATTACTAGTGAAAAGCATAAGGTGTGACAATCATCCCATTCTGACAAGCTGATGGGTGGCAATTGGCGAAGCTGGTGGTAAAGGATATACCTCCAACAACGCACAAAAAGTGTCCCAGACTTTGCGCGTATCGTTTGCTGCATCCATATAAGTTTGTCAAACGTGCAAAGTCAATGTCGGCGATGCTGTATAAAGAAGGCCATCCCAACGGATCGTGCAGATTCCAGTTCTTGAAATATATTGCTTGCAAGAGGCTCGCAGCACAAATGCTTACGAAGCGACTACTTGCTCTTCAGTACCCGATCCTACTACAGCAGGAAAGGGAACAGCGCCACATCATAGAGCACAAAAGACATATGATCACCCTCAGGACTTCAGTAGAGTTATGCGACCTGAAAACTATACTACGTGGCGGCAGCAATGACAGAAAACTGGGTCGCCCGAAAGCTTCTCAGCATCTCGTATACGGGGAGAGCAGTTACTCTCCATGCTTGCTGACATTGCTCCTGGTCCTACAGAAGAGAGACACGCCAACCACGCCACCAAATGGCCAGCCCCAATGGATTCCAACACCACACTTGGTTTATGTATCCCCGCTGATGCCTACGTTCCAGATATGCTAAAGCCTCAACCCGACCACCAAAATATGGCTGTGCATTTCATAAAGAGGGACACACACAATAAAAACAAGGGCGAAGATAAATTTGGTTTCAAGAAGCTAGTATCAGCCACGCGATGCATTGTAAGGGCTTAAGCTTGAAAGACTACTATGTCGATATGGTGTGTGTGTGGCGGGTTTGTTTTTCCACAGCTTGCAGACCGCCGCGCGGTCGTCGTCTAAGCCAAATAGCACAGCTGAGAACTGAGGCAAGACTGTTAAGGATTCTTATCTCACAAGACGAGTCCGCCAAGACTTTTATCTTTTCATTAAAATTGAATTTGAACACTGAATACTATTTTAGAGTGAAAGATATTTCTGCTAAGACCTCCATTTGACGAATTTGTCAGAGTATTGGTTTGATTCGATCAAAGTACGGATTTCGTTTTATTGGACTCAATTTGATTCAAATGAACACACTGGACTATCATTTGCCAGGCTTGTGAATCCACCAACAGCTTGTACTCTAAACACGGTTCTCGAGCTCGGTTTTTGACACACCAAGTCTTATTTGAAGGCTACCATCATACTTCGTGGATATGGGGTCTACCAAGTCTTCTTTTGTATTTCGTCTTGTGATCGCGTCCAGCTTTTGCAAGAGGCCTCCACCGCACTCCGCGGATATGGAATCCGCAACTCTATTCCTGTCCCCGTCATGAATTTACTCAACTTCCCGATCCTCCTTCGAACGCTTTATCGTAGTATGCCCTGCGGACATGGACTCTACAACTTCTCTCTCATCTTGATGATGGCTTAAATTGACTGTTGTACCGTCATTAGACGGCTTCCACCATGATCCTCAATATGGACTCCACAAGATTACATTGTATGCTTGTTTCTGCAATCTGCCACCATACTCTGCCGATAAGGCCGTCTTAGAAAAACTTCACTCGCATCCCTTTCATCTATTCTTCATCACAGCTCATTCATAAAGACCTTTACTCAGTGGATAGAGAATGCGCACTCTTCTTCATCATGGCCTTCACGAAGGTGGCTACCCTACTTTACGAATAAGGAGTTCACACTACACTTGCACTTAAAGTATGAGCCGCATGTTGAGACTAATAAGCAATAGTCATTCCGAGTACAACGTAGGATTGGTATCATTTGACTACTTATGGGGCACGACTCCATGCAACTTTCCTTGATATGCTCAGCGCCACACCGCAGTTATGGAATTTTCCTTACATAAGTATTCCAAGCTTCATATATAGTGATCAATCCCGCAGTTCAAGATCTTCGACAATGATGAGGTCTCCAATCCACTCACTGTCACCAAAAGGAGCATTGGGTGATGACTTGAGAAATGAGATGACAAAGGAGGTGGATGCCTGGTTGATCATGTTGGGAGATTGGCCCCTACTACTTTTGTGCTTATTGAAAATTTCATGAATCACCAGTTTTCACGCAATTCTAGTCATTCGAGGTCATGCAAGAACATGGAATGCCTTTGCTTGTACTTGAATTACGATACACTCTGCTTATAGGGCTTACCCATGTATTCTATGTACCTTTCATTGACGTGAAGACACAATTGAGAAGGACAGGAGGATGGCAGGAGGACAGCATAAGGAACTGAACGGCAAATTTGTACAAGCGAATTACTACTATATTGACCACGATCGACTGCGCAGAAAGGGACGGATGGGGGGAAGAATCATAACAGCGACAGTCTAACTGCTGTAATGCATTTAACATGGATTCTTAATCCGCTATGGAAAGATGTTTTCCCGCTGCTTATGCTTGACTTTTGTTACGCTCAAGAGTCCCTCCTTTTAATGACGCGTCTGGAGTTGTCCACGTGAAAGTACATGACTTGACCTATAATGAAATCCAATGTTTTACTGTGTGTCTTGTGCACTGCTACTCTATACATAATTCCCCTTCGTGAAATCGCCGATTCCATCTGATACACATCAATCATCATTACATTTACAGCCACTGCAATGTCCTTGCAAGTTCTGCAAGACTGGCCGAGGGAAGGCCTAGACTTGGGTCAAGGCTGGACACAAGATACTACTTTCTTTTGTTTTTTTGGGTGAAGAACTCCAGGGGCTTTGTCACAATACTGCTGCCGAGCTTAGCATCTTGGGAGTACTCCGTGTCAAGAAAGAACAGCTTCGGGTCGAGAAGCAGAACCTGCAGGCGGCCGCCAGAAGACTAGATGAGTTCTAAGTCGTACACGTCGCTCATGGTACGACTCGCTACCGCGGAATCCAAGGTAAGCGATGCTCGAGATCAGAGCCGGCAAGAGAGTGCGCAAGAGTATGAGCTTCTCCAACAAGAAACCAGGCTACAAGCCTCCTGGGTTGCGGAAATGGAGCGAGAATTGATTAAGGCGAAGGTTGCGGCGGACATTGACGTTGCAGTAACTGGTCTTCTATAATAATGGAGAGGATTGAAGAAGTTGCTGGGGAGAGCGCAAGTAGGGTACGAAATACGTAAGGTCAGTAAGACTATAAGGAGTGTATTGACCTTATCAATGGTAGGGCTGAAGAGCCTGCTCAGTGTATAGCCTCTCTCTGCATCGGGCCTGACCGTAAGCGCCAGAATGAAATTGGTCAGGCGACGATGTGGAGAGAAATGCCGCCAAGGTCAGAGTTGTCCAGGTTGATCCAGCTCCTCTGCCCACTTCCGTGCAGCGCGAGAATGATTCAATTCTTCAGCGAAGAGTACAGTACTGATGGATATAGTCACTCCTGCAAGGGCATCTGAGACAGATCGTGCTAATGACCTGCAGGGTGAAGCGTCCAGTACTGGCAATACGCCGGAAGGGGAAGGCCAAAGACCAGAACAAGATGTGTTTGCTGATCTGTGTCACTTGATCCGGGCTCCTTACTGAGTTTGCAGGTATACTACATCCCTCTTCGCTACTATGTAGGTGCGGAACTTATACACATTCTCAGAATCCACGCACTCTCGCTCAGATAAGTACCAACCATGTTCTTGCAAATTCCTCGCGAGTTGCGTGATCAAATCTATGTCTGTCTCTTCGCCTCAACCAGAATTACTTTCGGCGAAAAGTACATTAGCCGGATCACCACAAAGACAATGAAGCCTGCGCCCAATTCTCTAGCCATTCTTCGGACCTGCCGTCAGATCAATCAAGAAGCCGGAGCCTTTTGGCTCGGCCACGTCTTGTTCAACTTCGAACATCCAGAGGATCTGCTCGACAAGCTTTCTAAATTGCCTCCAACCACCCTTTCGCAGATCCGTCATCTCCGCACTAGTGGACGTCCCTTGATGCTTCAGCCAATTGGATACGGTGATGATGTGTTTTATAGGCTGGTATGGGCACTGAAGCTGCTGCCAGGATTGCGCCTGCATAGACTCACCGTTCTCGGAGGGTCTAGCGGTGAAATTGGCTATGATACCCTTGACGGATTGATCAAGTATGGGAATGGATGGAGAGAGTTGCGATTCATCACACTTGACTCTGCAATGCACCAGTTCACCGAGATGGATTTCCTGGGAAACCTTGACTGGGACAAGCCTCAACCAAGTACTTGGGAAGAAATTCTACGTCAGCGCGACGGTGCAGATTCTGGAGCTTCGATCACCATTTATCGCTCCATCCAATCTGATGCGCCTGGTGCGGTCATGAACCCCTACAGACGTCAAATTCTTGAAGGTGCCCTTCCCAGAGAACCCGGAAAGCTTGGCGTAACAGATACAGAAAACATGGAGTTGAGGGCAAAGGAAGAGGGGAAAGAGGTTCTTTTCGTCGTGAAGCGTGGTCATGCTGCTGAAATTGCGGAACAAGACGGACCTCCTTACACATTGGAGGATGATATTCGCCAATGGGCGCATGGCATGACCTGGAACGAGATCCGTCGCCAGTGCATCGACTTCCATGTGGATGAAGACATGGATGTGGATGACTTCTTCCACACGGAAAAGGATGATGAAGTTGAGGTCAACAATTACAAAGATGTCGACGAGTATGAATGGGATCCTGTCAACTGATGAGAATTTCTACGATTACAGGCGCCATGGGATTCAGCTGAGTAGAGATATTCTGGTCCGGAGCACCCCTCTTCGGGTGAACTGTGGCGGGGAAACAACTACTCTGCGAGAGACTCCGCTCGGGATAATACGGCAGCTGCTCGGTATACCTTTTAGCACCCTTGCATTGAGAGATGCGCGATAGCGATGCAGGTGTTTTCCAGATTGAACCCAGGGGTTTTCTATCATCCTTTGTTCCTTTGATGCTCGTCTGACACAGGCCTGAAAGGAATGATGGAATCAGAGTATCAAGGGGTCATCATCACCTTAGTAGAGGTATTTATACATGTTCAATACTCCGTACTCCGTACAGTGTTAACAATCAAGCGAACAAATCACACCAGGCCCTTAGTTCGACCTGATTGGTCGACCTATGCCTCAATTTGATTTAATTGGGCAGCGGTTTGATTTGGTTGGTTCACTTGATCAGGTAATTACTTAATACAGAAATTCTTAGTGGTGAATTGCCTCAGTCCCTCAGACGAGAAAGGAGGAGCGAAACGACTAACCCATCAGAGCGCTAATAGTAGCAATCGAACCCAATTCGTTTTGATCCCCTCACTGACCGTGCTTGTGGCTTAGCTGCTTACCAAGTAAAAGTGCGCCCAGCACGTCTGAGATCAAGATACAAAATTACGGCTTGATGGTTATTCTTGCCCCACAGATGTATGAGGCTATACTCTTTCGGACGAAGATTACATGTGTCAACTTGTACTAGTAACTCGTAATTTCACGTAAAGTCAATAGAATCGACTTGCACAGAATCCGTAAAGAAGTCACAACTAAGTATTTTCACACAGAATTTGCCAACTACTAGTATTTCTGTACAGTATCCACGCAAAATCCACACAGAATTTGTCAACTATTTATCTGTACAGAATTTTACACAGAATCCAAGTTCTGGACCACCTCTGTATTCCCAAAGACAGGCCCCATCCTCTCATCCGAAAATGCTGTCCGCGTGAAATTGCCCATAATCTCAAGAGGACACTTTTTGGGTCCGTAGCGGTTGGACAGTGGGGAAGGCAAAGCAACATGGGCGGGCAGAAGGTGGAAAAGAGGGATGTGACCGAGCTCATCAGGAAAAGCTGCCTGAACCGTGGCGGTGCAGCGTGATTGAGGCTGAACCCAAGCTGAGCCGGGCCCTGATTTGGCCCTACGTAAAGCGACGTGGGAGCCCACCAGAAGGGGCCGTCGAGGTCTGACGAGGTCCGTCAGTTTTGTTTGAGTTATAGCCAAGACATTTCGTGCTCTTTTCTCTCTGCTGGGCATGATATAGGTGAACGATCACGAGGGTATGGCGAGGGTGTTGTTCCCAACTACTACTAGACTTGTAGGAGTCAAGAGGTGAGTTTCGGTATACCGCTATCTGAATGCGGTTGTTGCGAAAGTGTGGATGTCGGTTGGGGTGGCTGGCTGGCTGATGGGGCTGAGGACTCTGTTTCCTCTGAAGGGCATTGCAGCTGGGTTTGCTTGATGTGACTATCTGGAAGGGTGTGGGAGGACGGGTTAGGGACGGTGAGGAAACCGATTTCTAGTGTGGGAGCAGGGATCAGGGTGGGTAAAGGGGTAGAATACAGGGGAGAGTGGCTGCTTGGTTGCTGATATGGAAGGAATGGACCAGTCCTGATATCTTTTGAACACAGCGTGCAAAGAGTGTGCGTAGCGAGAGTCGAGGAACAATTGTGATGTTGTGAGAAAGCAGTCCCTTTGGACGGATTCGAGACAATATATGGTATTTAGAGGAAGTTTCACAGGACCGGTCCGTTGTGGGTATACACGCTGGCACAGGGCAGAAATGCATGGCTTGAAACAGCATGTAAACTTTTCTCTCTATTTCTCGAATTTGAGTTCGTGCTTGGCGGACTTTCCATCCACAGCAAAATTGCATGTTGGCTCAAAGATGACCAACTACGATACGCCAGCGTACTGCATCTCGATTTGGGGGAAACAGATGCCAAAGTGTTAGCAATAGCAGTGGTGGCGGAGAACCAGGTTGCATAACTTGGTCTTAGAGTTGGTACTATGCAACACTACACTCATCATCACGTCGTGCAAGGAGCATCCTTCTGCACTCCCAAGAGGACATCTATCAAGCCTCCACAATCTTCTTGATAACCTCTACCATATCCTCCTTCGGCAAACCAAGCACCTCGTTACTTGTTCCCCTCGTGGCCTCAAAATCGCCGCCGAGTCCCTCTTTCATAACAGCCCCGTACAGCAGATTAATCATACCACTAAAATCCCCTTTCGCCACCTTCTCGTTACCCTCATCAATCCATGCCTGTGCACTAGCTTTCTTGACAGTCCAATCAGAATCCGTGGTATTGGTGGCTTTTTGAACGGCCTCGAGGATTTCGCGTTGCGTGGTGTGGAAGGAGGAGATGTAGATGAACTTGTTAGCATATTTGGAGAGGCTGGGGCCGGAAGTTGCTTCGATGGGGAGACTCAGCAGGCGGGCGACGGCGAGGCCGACGGTGCCGATGAGAGTAGTGTTGAAGCGAGTGGTCCCTTCATCGTAGAACGTAGCGGCTTTGTTCTTGAAGTCGATGCCAAAGAAGCCTCCTTTGAGACTCTGGAGTATGTAAGCAAGTTGGCAAAGTACCGGAACAAGGAGCACATACATATTCAAACCATGGATTATTTACAACACCGATCCAGCTAAGTCCCGGATGGGTCTTGGCCGCCTCCTCGATACGTTTTCTCGGTTCGGTCCTCATAGCATTAATGGGCACCATATCAACAAGTCCCTGATTGGCACTGTCGGCGCCAAACTCTGTGGGAAGAATCCATTTAACACCGGCATCGGCTGCCGCGTCGATGATCTGCAACTGGACCTGACCCATTGCTTCAAAATTAAGCATTAGGATTAAAGCTTCATTGTCTTTGAGGGCAGAGACAATAGAGTCATGCGAGTCGTAGTTGGCACTCTTGACGGTAATTGATGAGTCTGAGGGGAACTTAGTGGAGGACGATTCACGGGTCACCACGGTGATGTTGAACCGCTTGGTGTCTAGAAGAGCTTGGAGGGTGGGCTTTCCGACTTGCCCACCAGCCTATATACCATGTGAGATGAGTTGGAAGGGTTTATGGGGAAGACGACCCACGCCAACTATGGCAACGTTCTGAAGCTTTTGAGAAGACATTGTGATAGAGTGGCGTGATGGTCTGTATCAAAGGATTGATAGATGAGGATTGGATCAGGAGAAGAGAACTCGAATCATTGTTTGATGGCTCCTGAGCATGCTGGATGGGTCAACTTTATATTTCAAGCCATTAGTTCCCTCATGTTTTGATTAATCAGATGCATTATCATTTCGGAGACCCTTCTATGCATTCCTGCGCCTTAAAAACTGCCCGCAATGGCATCAGCCGATGTGTTAGTGGATCGTGGCTTGCGGCAGAGCAGCAGGTCGTTCGGACCATCTGTCAAAATTGATCCGTCCCCGCGCTCATTTGTGAAGACGGCGGTTGGCCACTGAAGTCACGATGAAGATTGGGAATTGCTCAGGTCAGCCTCTTCTCAATCGGAAATGACCATCTCGGCAAAGTGGATCAGAACACTTTTCCTGTTCGAGTGACTGTAAAACTGAATGAATAAAGTTGGCAGCCATCATGCTGCCAGTGCTCTATGAAAGCAGTCCCAGCGTGTTCTCTACTTAGGCTCTTGTAGAAGACCCCCGGACTGAGGCAACAAGCTAATGTGAGCTAGAGATTCAGCGATATGCGCGTGCCCTGCTTCAGCCTTTCGAGGCGACGAAAGTGCATAACCATGAACGAGCCAGGCCTTGGTGTTCGCGGATTGTTGATACCAGATAATCCATGTTCTGGCTCTCTGATGCTCATTCATTGAGTACCATAGCTGATTTGGTAACAGATATACATAGTGATAGGATGTTTTCTCAACGGCCGCAGCCTGTTAGTATTGTGTTATGGGCATAGGTTACAGATGAAGTAATTAAGCCTCCAAATGCTTGTTTGGAGTCTGTAACCACTGAGCACGTTGGGAACCGGATAGCGGGGAATTGGGAAGCTAATGCAAGTTAACGATGTGAGCAATCAGATTAAGCACTAACCATGCCCACATGATTTGAGCATTCTAGCCATCATAGTTTGAGTGACCTATCGGCATTCATTCTCGGTTTTGTCGATTTGATGTAAGGAAGTGTTGCGTACTATCCAACACTGGGCACCTTGACCACTCTCTTTTGCTTCCAGTAGCAAGACCATAGGTGTGCACTCCACCTCACCCCTTAGATCGATCGATACTCCTCAGAATCCAATAAACCGTTTTTCTCTAGCTACAATGGCGCAAGGCACCGTGAAGACCAAAACTTCCAAACCCTCCAAACCTTCACGCACCTCCAAGAACAGTATCACGAAAAAGGGTGCTCGCACCATCGCGCCAAAGAAAACCTTCCTTATGAAACAGCAAAAGATGACCAAAAGGTTCTCAGCCGGTCTGACAGCCAAGACGGAGAAGATGCTGGGCGAGAAAGTGGGACACTTGGAAATGCTGGGAGTGGAAAAGAAGAAGCGGAATAATGAGAATGACAAGGCAGGGAAGGGACAGAGCAAGAAGAAGGGCTGAATGATCGACGGATGAATTACAGAACTTGCGCTATACTCCGTACTTTTCATGTGTATTCAGCCCGGAGGTTCGATGGAAACTCGAGTCATCCCTACCGATACGCAGCGACGTTGATGATGCAGCTTGGGTACCATGGGCAGACCATTGAAGATCAAGGTACACTGCAAAACTGAGGGAGAAGCTGGTAACCCGTGGGACATCCGGAAGCTAAGGGGTCAATGTGCATGGAGATGATGGGAAGAAGGTGTCAGAAAGATCTGGGTTGTGGCAGAAGTCTGCGACAGATATAAAAATGTAGAAAACGAGAGCAGGAGCGCATTATTTGGCTGCTCCAGACCAATCGTCGCTGTGTTGTGAGAAAGAGAGAACGCCGGACATACCACGACCTCATGAGTATGTATCTCCCTTTCGGCAGCGTGCTAGTCCCATGCGAATCTGTACCCTATAGCACCATCCAAAGCAATCACATCCCACCAATAGCTCTAGCAGCTTCTCCACCACCACCCTCGAGGGTTTCTCCGGCTCCCTTATCCGCCTTCATCTTTCCCTTTCTCACACCGCCTTCCCCAACACCCATCCTTCTTGCCACATATCTCTGGGCCACAATCCCCACAGCAAGTGACAGGGTCTCTTCAATCCATTCTGCCACCCATTCCCTTGGGTCAACACCACCACTTTCAATTATCTCGGCGATTGATTCTGGAAGAACGCCATCTGCCGGGCTGGACGCATCAAGCCAGTCAATCCACTGACCAGGAACACACTGTGAGAGAGCGTGGAATACAATCCCATGGATTGGGTCGTGCAAGTATATTGCGAAGATGATTTCGTCGGTGCTTTTTGTTTCTTCGGCCTCCTGGACCGCACTGGACCCCTCCTCCGACGGAGGTCCAGCCGCAAATAAGTCCTTTGGCACTGGCTGATTGATGGCTTGTATCGCCAGGAATATGTCGCTGTTCCGTGTTGGATTGCTCTCTGACAATGTCTCTGTAGCTTGCTTGGCCGCTTCTTCCACTCCACCCCTCGACGCAAAATGCTCGGCGGAATATGATTCTGCGCTTGCTCTTGCCAGCTTACTGCCTTCCACAACACCTCTGACTGCGTTGATACTTCTTTTATCGGTGGACCGCCACCATGGTCCATCATTCCAACCACCTACAGGCTTGCCGGAGATTCCATGTTCACTCTCGCGGCGCGGCGACGCCTCCTTGCCTTTCTGTACTACCATCAGATCACCTCCTTCGACTTGTGACATGACACGGCTGAAAACAGAGTAGATGAGAGGATCTAGGGTCGGATATCCCGAGAGATCGTGGGTAATGTGGATTTGTAGTCGTTCGTGTGAGGAGATCGGAGGAGCGATTGTTTGAAGGATGTTTTGAAAGGTCGGCAACGCTAAAGAGCGTAAATCTCCTCCTGCAAAAGTCAGCTGTATTGTAGCCTGTTGGGACAATAAATGACCTACCCAACCCCTTTAAAGCTCCCACATTGCCTTTCATCTGCTCAGCCCATCTTTGAGCCTCTTCGTTCTTCTGTATCTCCTTGACGGCAGCTTGTGCCTGACTAACTGCTGCAGTAGCAGTGGACAGAAGGCCTCCCCACCATCCTCCCCCAATTGACGCCGCCGGCGCTGGCTTAGATTCTGGCTCGGGGGACTCCTCAGTTGTAGCGGGTGTGAAACTTTGATGAAACGATCGTGTGCTTTCCCCAGACTTCCGAGGCTGAGCACCTGAGGCGGACCTCTCTTCGCTCGGTCTTCCTCCTGGCGTCGGGGTTGGGATAGCTGATCGTTTAGGCGATCTGGCGCCTGTACCAGCTGCGGTTGTGGACTTAAGGGAGGGTGTTGAGGGGCGACTAGAAGGTCTTTGGGTAGCAAGATTTCCAAGTTCTGCAAGGAGGTCCTGCTCTGATTGCGCTGTTGCTGATGTATGCTTTCCGGAAGCTTTAGATGTGGATGTTTTGGTCAATTTGGGAGCAGGGCCTTCGGTCCCTAGATCTTCGAATTGAGCCAGGAGCTCTTCATCAGTAGGAGCTGTTTTAGACTTTTTAGAAGCCATGCCTTTCAATGTATATATAAATGTTCGTACGGTAGTCTGAAATCAAACCAAAAGCTTCTTGTCATTGCAATGGCGAGGTGCATAGAGACCCTGCCAAGAATGCATAAGGGATGACTTCAAGTTGGGTGCAGTCACGCCCGTACCCCACCGGGATAGATGGACAGGCATGACAATGTTACGGGAAGCTTGTTACGGGAAGCTTGTTACGGGAGGCTTATTACGGTACCAGGCCTAATTTTCGTACCCCCCCCTCTGTTGAAAACATTAGTATCTGTACAGCACGTACTATGCAGAATTAAGTATAGACCCTGCCAAATGACCTAAATATGATTAGGCTCTCAAATCAAGTTTTTACTTTCCATTGACATCCATAATTACTTGCTATCTCGCCTGCATTAACTAAAGCAGCTTTTTAAGATAGTCAGAAGACACAGCATCTCATGCAGCATTAATAACCGCTTATAGTTCATTATACTTGTATAGGGTACCTTCATAGTGCTCTTGTATCTAATTCTTCATCTAATCTAGAAATTGCAGGATGAGCAAAATTCATGGAAATTAACGACAAGGATTCTGACAGGGATTTGTATGTAAAAAAGGCGTTTGTAAGATATTTTGGCCGGGGGGGGTGGGAAGGGGTTACAAAAATTAGGCCTGGTACCGTAGTAATAGAGACCTAAATATATCTTACAGGATGTAATTACAATATTACACAGAGCTGGCGTGAAAATAACTGTCATGATCTACTCTCATTTGGGAGAGCAATAGGGTGCATGATCCCTACCACGCAGTCCAATTCACAATTCACAATTCACATCGGAACACATGTTAGTGGGCATCAGTCGTCCGAAATTCTGCGTAATACACCAGCAATATATTGCTTGGACCCCCCCTTCTTCACCCCCTGCCCGCTGGAGAAAACAAATACCATTTCCAATCATCCTCCTCGCGATCGTTTCCTGCCGCCTCCTTGGGATCCAGGCCTTATCGTGCACACAGGCAAGAGTCCTCATCTGTCATATCAAGCCTAGCTTCCTTCAGTCCATCTTTGCATCTACGACTTACATGCTAAGAGTGCTCCACCACTCAATCTACCCTATTCAAATCGTCCAGTAAAGACTTTGACTGATTCACCACGTGCAAATGCTCGAATCCTGCCGCAAAACGTATTTCCCATCCCCACCTGATGCAGTAATAGGCTGGAAACGGTCTCTTCTGTCGCTTGTACTGCTTGGGGGGTTCTGATGGACGAGGGGAGAGAAAACGAGGATGGCATTATTGTTTGGAACTGCATGACTAGTTCCAGCTATGTCTTTGCAGCAAGAGGGTCAGGGGACATGCTCACTGAATCAGTTATTCCAAAGATTAAGTTTCTTGCCCAAGTACTTACTAAGTAGCTGCTTCTTATATAAAGGAGAACCCCGTTCACCTATAAATCGTCCAGTGTGGTGAAATCTTGTCAGAATTGTGAAGATGTGGTCACCCTAAGTAACCGATCGTAAAAGTTTTATATAGAGAAGAACCAACACCACACGGTGAGCATATTCGGAGTTTAGTAATTCCGGATCTTCCTGACGTGATCATTTCTTGAGATCTGGACAGCTCGAAAAAAATAGTTGTGTCTGCCGATCCGAAATTCTTCTGACGAATGATGTAAAGGGTGCATTCAAGCAATGGTGGCCCTCTGCAACGAATCTTAAACGGTCCAGGTTGTTTCGTCGTTACTCTAAAACAGATCTGTCACCGCACCATGACTTGCATCGCCCACCAGATATGTATACTTCCCCAGTACACCTCGTGTGGCTGGCCTTCTTGGTGGTGTCCATACCGTCAACCTCTCCTGGATCTTCTCGTCGGTAATGTTCAAGCTCAGCTCGTTAGTCTCAGCGCTGATGGTTATGATGTCTCCATCTCTGACAATTGCTATAGGCCCTCCAACAGCAGCTTCGGGACATATATGGCCTACAATGAAACCGTGGCTTGCACCAGAATATCGTCCATCGGTGATAAGAGCGATGTTGGTTAGCTTTGCACCCATAATTGCTGCCGATGCTTTGAGTTGTTCTGGCATACCCGGGCCGCCTTTCGGGCCCTCATATCGGACAACCAGAACAAGATTCTCACCTCGAGGTATTCTGCTTTCGTTGAGGGCCGTGTTTAATTCGTGTTCTTTATTGAAAACCATAGCCTTGCCGGTGAAGCTAAGGCCTTCTTTTCCCGTGATTTTGGCCACAGCTCCCATTGGGGCAAGATTTCCTTTCAGAATCTGGATATGTCCTGTACCCTTTATTGGATTGCTTAAAGGACGGATGATGACTTGATCTTGCTGCAATGAGGGGAATGAAGCAACGTTTTCAGCCAGCGTTCTGCCAGTGACAGTCGGGATATCACCATCTAGCAGACCTGCCGCAATAAGGAGTTTCTGCACGGCGGGTACACCTCCCACCTCGTACAAGTCCGCCATGTAGTATTTTCCCGAGGGATGGAGATCAGCAATAAACGGTATTTTGTTACTGACTCGCTGGAAATCATCCAATGTCAGATCGACGTGCGCGGTGACCGCCATGGCAAGGAAGTGAAGGACTGCATTCGTACTCCCACCCAGCGCCATGGTGATGACCATGGCGTTTTCAAAAGATCGTCTTGTCAACAGCTGCAAAGGCTTTATGTTTCTTTCCATGCATAATCTGATCGTGTCGGCTGCTTTCATACATTCACGCATCTTGGCTGGAGACGTTGCAGGTGTTGACGAGGACCCTGGAAGTGTAAGACCCATAGTCTCAATGGCAGAAGCCATGGTATTGGCGGTATACATCCCGCCACAGGCCCCAGCACCAGGACAAGCATGGCGTACAATGTCATCCATGATCTCGTCCTTGTTCTTGCTCGTATCTCCTCCATCCTGAGGCTGCTTGAGAGTATCATATGTGTAGGCACCAAATGCTTCGTAGCAGGTTGCAACGTTGATTGGCTTCCGGAGAAGGGTTGAATAGCCTTTGTCAATAGAGCCGCCATAGATCATCAGCGAAGGTCGATTATGTCTTGCCATGGCCATAACACAGCCTGGCATGTTCTTGTCACAGCCTGGAATGGTGATGCAGGCGTCATGGAATTGAGCACAGGTCACAGTTTCTATGCTGTCGGCGATGATTTCACGAGTTTGGAGAGAGAATCTCATGCCTAGTGTTGATCAGCAGCGAGCTTTTTTCTTTCGTCTTGCTTCAGCATGGTTCACCTTCCCCTCCCATGGTAATGGCATCCGATACACCAATAGTATTATACTGCCAGCCAAGCATCCCCTGGTTAACTATGGCCTTCTTCACTTCCCTTCCCAGGTCGAGCAGGTGCATGTTGCAGGGATTTCCTTCCCACCATACCGATGCAATTCCAATATGAGGAGCCGTCTCCATCGTCTGCTTGTCTGGCACACCTGCAGCATATAACATTGCCTGCTATACGTTAGCTTCCTCCAGACATGGAAAGGGGATCAAGGACCTGAGCACCAGGGAAATCATGTCCTTTGGTAAGGGTAGTCGAGTACTTGTTCAGTGCGGGTTTGCCGTCCCTTGAGGCATCTTCCGGCAAATGTGGAAAGCTCAGGAAGCGAGGCTCTTCTTGGGCGTACTTGTCGTCCATAGCGTAGAGATGATAAGATGTGGCTTCGCTCCGAACAAGATATTGGATTTGGGGGCAGGAACGGGCAAGTGGTATCGTCTTAAGCGTGACACCTGCGGAGCCAAATGATGCAGCAGCCAATGCCGCAATTGGGAGTGAGTCACGAGAGGAGGGACTGGGTTAGGGCGCCATGGCATCTTCATCAAGACTGGGCTGGAGAAGGAGTTCTCCCCGCATCGGCTGATCATTGTGTGGGCCCAGCGAGAACTGCTACCGCGTTCACCGCGTTCAAAGTTTGTGACCGCGCTCTTCCCAAGCCATGACAGTTATAGGCTTTGGCATGCGATGTTAACAATGTTGCTGTTGCTGGTAGTGAAGACAACGGACTGGCGCTGGCAACCTCAACAACCTCAAGTGCAAGCATGAGGTGCATGAGGTTGTGGAGAAAGATGGACGACATGGGTTTCTGGAGTTGGCCCGAAGCGCCGATCTCTCCAAGATCTAATCTAATCTTGGTTGTCATCCCAAGACAAGTCACCAACCACAGAGTACTTAACTGGAGAAGGGCTCCGAAAATGACGTGCTATTACCTGAGCAAATTGATCGATGCTTTGTCATTACCCATGTCGTCAAAGGGCGATCGGGTGAACATAATCTGATCGTCATATGGCCATAAATTTGGAAAAGATGTGCAAAATGACACCATTTATTAGATTATGATTAGGCATCAACAATGCACAACAAGTACTACGTAGTACGTACTGTAGCCATAGAGTTATTGCCCGTTGCAAAAGTGTTGCAATTCCTTAGCGCATACTTCAGAGCTGCTGCTCCTGCTCCGGTTTGCTCAAACAGCTACAGAAAGCCATATAAGGATCTAGATACTATAATAATTATATTAATATGTAACAGAGCTTCTTCTGATTATTTAAATATCAATTTTATTTGTAGAAAATCTTCTTGAATTAAGTACACTTTTTATATATGAAACTTTGACTACTTAGTCTTTTAAATTTAGACTTCAAACCAGAAAAATGAGCTGAATTGTAAGTCAGCAGATCTTTAGCTAATGAATACAGATTTGCTGTTATTCTCCTTGATATTTATAGATTCAGTATGAACAGCTCAAGCAGCACCAGCTCCGAAGCATGTGCCAAGGAATTGCATCACTTTTGCGCAATATTGTTTGTCATTTGCCAACTGAAGATGATTTTGATGCCAAGCCATGAGCTGCAGCTTGAATGTCGGTCCAACGTCTGTGCATGTAGTATCTCGACTCAATCCATTCACATCATTAGACCACGTGCTCATCTACCCGCAGTTCAGGTTCAGCAGAAAGTACGTCCTCCAACCAGCGTCGGGCGGTGAAAGGAACGCCGTACGGAGTACATGCAAATCCTATGCAAGCTGCTGCATGGTTCCACCAGCTTCACTGAAACTCTGCCCGCGGAAAGCTCTGCATGAATCATTCCCGCGGAACATGGTAAGGCAGCTCAATGAGGCTGTCTACCACAATGGCCAAAGAAGATAGATGAGCTCATCGGGTCGAATCAGCGAAAATATGTTGCAGTTCCGCATTGTGTAGCGTTCAACCGAGCCTTTAGTACCCCGACTAGCTGGAGCGAATGTTCGAATGTCTGCTGTATAAGTTGCCACCCTGACTTTGTTATGGACAGCAGCTTCCAGCCTAGAGACAGCTGGCTGCAAATCATGAATTTTAGAGGCCAACACCCTTGGGCACTAGGAGGTACGGCCCTGCTTGCTGTTGCCATATTTGCCTACCGTTGGACCCACCCCAAACTCATCAGCAACACCTCAGACCTACCAAAGAAGAGTCTAGATAGATTCCTCAGGCTTCGTGGTACATCAGCTGCAGAGAGTCACGACCCTCCTCTGCTCCAAAAGCATTCCACCTTTGAGTCCTACACCACTTCATATGCCACCTATCCTTCTGTACGGACCTTCTATCATCCTCATCCACAAGCGGAGAAGCTTCCTCAAGACTCTCAACCACTTCCATTACTCGTCTTCCTACACGGTCTAGGAGGATCTTTGGCGCAATTTGCCCCAATTCTAGGAAGCTTGGTCAACATCGCACCATGTCTAGGCATCGATCTTCCGGGTAGCGGTCTCTCCAAGTTTGATCCACAATCATGGGATGCTTATTCTGTGGAAGCGATGGCTACACTTGTAGCCCGTGTCATTGACAAGTACAGGGTTGAATATGGGCACAAGGATGTGGTCCTGATTGGACATAGCATGGGTTGCTCAGTTGGCGCTCTTCTTGCCTCTACCACATCGCCAGTTAAACCTAGACCGCAAGATATTGTAGGATTAGTTGCAATATGTCCAAAAGGGACGCCGCCCAGCAGGAAAGAAACGTGGTATTTCAGAAAGGTACTGGGCACGCCTGAGCTCCTACTCAATCTTGTCCGTTGGTTCGATAAGCGCGGTGGGATCAATAGTCGAAGCGTGACCCGTTTCGTTGGAGAAGCTGCGGGACCAGATCTACGGAGGCTTCAGCTGCGATACAACTCCTCTTTCCCAACCCCAGTCTGGAGACGCATGGCTTGGGGATTGCTTCCGGTCTACGACGAGCTGGACCACGCCCAGGGTGGAATGCCTGGCCGTTCGGTATGGGCGGGGATCAAGGTTCCCCTTTTTCTAGCAGCAGGACAATCTGACACCGTCACAAAGCCGGAAGAAATTTCAAGTATTGTTTCCTTCCTCAAAGATGCCTCGACCAATGACCTTTCCACAAGTTCAGTCAGCAATGCTCTACCGGTAGAGGCTGATGCGGGTGGCAGTAATGCTGAAGAGAACGACGATCCCCACGCAGACGACTCTGGGTTTGGCGTTCAGCCATGTACGACAGAGTTGAAGAGTCAGCATTGCACTGTGATCAAAACAGCCATCCTCCCGGCGCCTGCCTCACATGCTCTCCTGTATGATCATGCCACTTACCGGACGTTGGCAGGGCTTATAGAAGATTTCCTCTCTCACCATGTTTCGCATCGTCTGAACTTGGGCTGGCAGTTGCAACAGTTGACGACCTCTGGGAAGTGGGATGTGAAGAACTTGAAGAAATGGCAAGGTGTAGAACCAATTTCGAAACCTATCGCAGAGGGCATTCTGCGAGGGATGAAAACATTAAGAGATCAGGACGAAGAACACACCCCTGCTATTTTTGCAAAGAGATGGAGGGGGAAAATCTTTGCTATCGTTGATATCAGTCACGACAGTCCGGTATATGATCCGAGAGTGCTCGAGCAAAATGGCATCCAGTACCACAAATTCCCAACCGTCAGCAAAATTCCTCCGACCGTTGAAGAAGTGCGAGACTTCATTTCTCTGGTTGACAGACTCCGCTCTGAAATACACCAGAAATATCCCCAATTGAAGGAGGGTCCTCTTGCAATTGCGGTTCATTGTCATTATGGATACAATAGGACCGGGTTTTTTATCGTTTCTTACCTGATCGAGAAAGAGGGTTATCGTGTCCAAGACGCAATAGACGAATTCGAGAGAAAACGTCCTCCGGGAATCAAACATGAACATTTCATTGACACTTTGTTTGTCCGATATTGTGTAGGCCTCAAGAGAGCGCCCACGATTAATGGTACAGAGTGAGGGACTTCCTGCCGGGCATTGCAAGATTAACGACCTATTACTATGACGTTTTAGCATTGGCGGCCCTTGACTACTCCCGTCAAAGTACCAGCGGAAAAGCGAGTCTAGAATCCTAAGACGCTTGGGAGCATGCACATCACGGCTGCACGAAGTCGAGCTACCAATTCCTACTCTGGAATACAATGAGTCAACTGTCAATAACTTAGCTCTTCATATGCAACGTTAGACATGGATGTAAACAGTCTGAGTCATGCATTGGTTCCACGCTGATCTGAGATTGTGCTAGAAAGAGAGTCGCGGAACGAACAGTATTCCCCAACATGGGCCGCTTCGCCAGTATCTTTCCATCTCAGCGATTTCTCAGTCCCACCCAGTATTGTTCTTCCTACCCTGGCGTTTGGTTTTCAGCCTTGCCCAGTTACACCCAGCTATTACGCTCTTCCAAGGAAGGCGGATCTTATCCTCTGGGTCCAGCAGCTCATGGACAATCGGAACCAACGAGTGGCAGCTCACAGAAGCCTCTTGCGAAAAGGCAAGATCACAGTCAAGCAAACTATTTTGCAAGACTTCTCAAGTACAATGTTCTAGCCTGCGAAAATGGCAACTACTTCCGTCTGGTTGGCCTGGTTTCCAAATTTTCCACCTCATCGCATAGCAGGAAGAAATTCCGAGTTAAGAGCTCGCACATTATCGCATTCTTGAACGGCCTGCGAGGTATTGCACCTTTGCTGGTCTTCAATCAACACTTTCCATCAAACTACTCTCAGAAATTTCTCGAAGGCTAGAACGGAGAGAGACGCAGCCAGTGGCTTATTCAGCAAATGATAACCAGAATACTCTGGGCCGGAGGCGTGTTGTAACCCATCTTCTTCGTCGTAGCCGCATATAATTTCCTACAAGCCATTGCAACTGGTGCACAGCAACCAGGACCAAATGCTCAATACCATCAATTCTGCGAATGTGCGACAAGGTATGTTGTCATACCTGCCAACGTTATCGCCACGTGTATCGCCACGTTTAAGAGCATGTTACTCGTCCCAGCGGGGCCATTCGAACCAGGCCACAAAGCCTACCAAAATGGATGGTGAAGGAAGTACCGGCTTATCGCTTGGTTACCTTCCCAGATTAATTCTGGCATTGGTGGAGAACGATGCTGGACATGGTGTATTCATGGACTAGGAAGGACAGCTGGCAGAATTATGATCCCCCTCTGTGAAATCATCTCAACAGAATTTCGGTGTTCAATGGTTACTCTTCTCGATACAGTCTAGCGTGGCTATTCATCCGTCTGGTATTCGAGAGAAACCCGTTGTAGGTTTCATGCATTTCTACTCCACTTTTACTAGTGAAAACCCACTAGCCCTGTTTGCCGCCCCGGTATGCTCGTGACGCAGCTCCAGATCTTACCGGCACGGGTAATCATCATGCCTGATAACAATAGGATGAGCCTGGAGGTCGTTCTGGTTTGCCATTCCTTCTGCGAACATCCAGCCTTCATTCACCAGTTCGTTCGCACAATAGTTGGGGAGAGATATCCTATGCTCTGTGCATCGTTCACGGTGATATCCTCCGTATTGTTTGTGTGGGACCTTGCCAGCGATCCGGAAGATATGTAGTGTCAGCGAGGGATTCAGCTTTCATTCATGCTGGCGCGGTTAATCAGTGTATTTTTTTTGCCGGTTATATTCTGGGTGGCTGATCGATTCTGAAGGTTTGTAGATATCCCTCGTCTCAGGTTCCCAGGTGTGTAGAACGGAGGGTTCCGCAGGAAGAGAATGAATAGGTTTAGAACAATAGACGTGCTAATTCCGATCTTTATTGGTTGCTTCATGTACCCACCTAGAGGTGCTCAGACTCGTGGAATTCGGATACAGAATCAGTGTACGATGAGATAGCTTGTACGAGATAACGTACTGTGGTAACAACTGGTGACTAACAACATCTACTTACTATATTGATTACTAATTAGTCTAACTCTTTGACAAGATTTGAGCTAAGCAGAATCTCTACTTTTTGACCCCTGGTATCCTTATTCAGTACCATTAGTATAGTCGCAACGGCACCGATGATATGGTTGCGTTGGTTTGATACACCGAGACAAGCGTATTGCGTAAGTCCCTTACCTGCTGTTGGTACGGTTGTGCTATTTGCGAACATTGATACAATCCTCTTGACCTGTCTGACGAATACTCAACATCCCTGCGGTCACCAAGAGCACAGGTTGCCCGGTCCCATCCTGGATTGAGTGACTCTTCTTACACCAAGCTGATTTGCTTTTGGACCAAGTCCTTTATCTGCATCGCCTCGCCCTCCATGATTCCGTGGATGTAGCATTTTCCTACCAGCTGAAAAGACCCTTTGACGTCTGGGGAGGAACGGAGAACAAATGGAACGCAGCTACCGTTGATGATACATACCGCATCGCCAGTTTGTGCGCCAGGAGGACCTAGTCCCAGGTAGCCATTTTTGGTGCGGCAGAGTCTCACATCAGTCATGTTGAGCAAAGCGTTGATATAGCCAATGGTTTTTTCCTTGTTCTTTGCGGCATCAAACAAAGCAATCAACCGCTGCTGTGGCTTTCGAGTATGTTCAAAATTCTGGCGAAAATTTTTATACTGTCGAACATAGTCATCTTCGAGATATGTATAGCTTAAGCCCGGGTTCCAAGCTCGGTTGCCCACCAACAGCCTGATCTTCACGTCCTCTAACTCTTCACCGGTGGGATACGTGGACAGTTTGTGAACGAAGTGATCGGATTCCTGGATGTACGCTAGACAGCGTTGGACGTGATTATCCTCCTGGTCAACCTCTTCCCAGTGGCTGTCTCCAAGCACCGTGAGGTAGCTGAAGATGCTACCAGTGACGATGACCACATTGTCTGTTTTGCCGATTCGCATGCTTGGTGGTGTTGAGAGAGCGGCAGAATAAAATCTTTTGGCAGGTGTAAGAAAACGACATGCTATGTGACAGCTTCTTCCGGGCTCTTCCTCGTCTAGTATCCAGTTTGGTATCCAAGATGGAAAGCGATCATCATTGGAGATGCCACGAGCAGAGTATAGTAGACGAATTGGATCTTTGTCGAATTCCACAAAAAACCGAGCATAGCGGTATATGACAACTTCTAAATTCGACGTGTAGTCTGGACTGAGTAGCGTATTATAAGGTACATTTGCCAGGCCAAGAAGAGCGAACAGATGATCTCTTGCTTTACTTGCTTTATGTCCACGATAATTCCACAAAAGTTCCAGTAGGTCTGCTTTATGCCTGGTATGGGCACCTACCAAGTTTCTGGAAGCTATCTTTCGGATGAGCCCTATGCTGTTGAGCATGTATTTCCAAGCTTCCTGTTCCGCTGAGTTCCCTCTTAGAGATGGACTGACTGTATGAGGTATCTCGCTGACAAGGCCTGCTAGTGCTTGGACAGATACTGATTCAGTGCCGCAGCGAAAAGAGAGCTTTCGAGCTACGAGGGCCTCCTGGATGATCCACAACCGTGAAAACCAGCTACTGCAAAGCACACTGAACAATCCATGCCATACAGAGTCCTGGTCCTTTGTCCGAGCCCAATCGAGAAAGTCAGTCAGGCATGGACCGGAACCGCTTCCAGTAACCGCACGATCTTCTGCATTCAGCGATGCCAACTTTGTAGCACCACTGAGTTTACAGCGCTCATTGCCGAGAAACGCTACGACCTCGGAGGCCATAGCATAGATATCGCGCATCAGGCCGACCTGTTGGGCTTTCTCAGCATTGTCATCCTGATTGATGCATAAAGCGTCCACCCATAGGAGTATTTCGCTGTCCAGGCTTCGTAGATGCCGCAACGCACATTCAAGGTTGAAGGTGATGCATTTTGAGGCGTTGGGGAGTATTCGAGCTGGAACATGTGATATTGCGTTTCCCCATACGTAAGAAAGTGCTGTATAACTCGGGACCCCTGCATCGACCGAATGATGTGTCAGCCGGCCTACCAGGGGATCATCCAAACTACCCAATGACAGATTGAAAAGTCGGATCTCTCCATTCCGCAAGGGTCGGTAGACATAGGAAGTCATGAATGGTGGACGGTGGTCTTGCAGAGCGACTCCTGAAACTCTCAGTGGAGGAAATGCTCAATAGCAATGATGAGTATGCGTGGATGAAACCCTGCAAAGCTTCTGCGTTGATGATCCTCAGCAGCCTGGTTATACTCCCTTATGAAGTTGTCCCCGTCGAGTCTGTACCCTACAAGCACTAGATAGCACTGTTTCCCACTAACAATCTGCCATTCGGGATGGTCGATACCATTGGGACGCTACCAGAGCCGAAGAAGGCTCGAATTGTAAATCACAGTGATAATGTAAGCTTGCGGACGAGATGCTGGGTAGATTGTAGCCAAAGACATAGCCCTTGTCTGTCGTCGCAGCTCATTGACATTTTGCGGACTTTTTTAGACTAACCCTGAACTACGTAAGGTGGCCGTAAGTCGGTTACGTTAGAAGCGGTCGCGGTAGTGGTGCTCGATTGTGCTGTGCTGTGCTTCGAATTCAAAGACATTGTCATCACGGAGATCGTGTATAGGATAGAGCCTCCAAGTCAATTCACAGGACATCCATTTGGGGCAGTAATCAGACTTCAAAACAGTGCATCCCGGCATTTTGTGAACAAAAGTCAATGGTGTGGAACGATAGCAAGATCTCAAGTGTCGATTTGGCTTGTTTCAGGCTTTAGGGCAACTTTTCACGCTAGTAAATTCAGCCAATGGCTGCTCTTCCACAACCTGTTCGAGCGACCACACAATTCCTGACCAGAAATTCTGCCTGCGACGTACACCCACAGAAGTCCGTCCTGAACTCTTTATCTGCTCATATTGCAAGACTGAAGTTGCAATCATGGGTGGTGTCACGGTTCGCGATGTGGATGTGAGTATCCTTCAAGCATTCTACCCAGCGTTCCGCCCTCAAAGCCGTTTGCGAGTATCGAAACAACTGCCTAAAAGACATTTGGCTGCTCTCGAAGCAAAACAGAATTCCGGACTTGGAAACTCTAGCTGACCTTTCACTGAACTGCAGGCTCAGAAGTTCATCGAAGCTTACTCCGCGTTTTTGAAGAGACAGGGTAAACTACAAATACCAGGTGCGTCTAGGTTTCGGTACAAGACCCCCTCCAAACCTAGCTTCTAATCAGACGATTCCGCACTGCAGGCTGGGTTGACACGGTCAAAACTTCACACTCCAACGAACTCCCACCCCAATCGCCGGACTGGTTCTACATCCGAGCCGCCGCCATCGCCCGACATGTCTACCTCCGCAAATCCGTTGGAGTAGGCCGCTTACGAAAAGTGCACGGGAGCACTAAGAATCGAGGATCGAGACCGTCACACCACGTCCATGCTTCTGGTAGTGTAGACAGGAAGGTGCTACAGGCCTTGGAGAAACTGGGGATTGTGGAGCAGGTGGATGAGGAGGCCGAGGGTGGTGGACGAGGTGGAAGGAGAATCACACAGGCGGGGATGAGAGATTTGGATCGGATTGCAGCTACCACGGCAGAGGACGATGATGAGGACGAGGAATAAGGAGACAATAGAGACCGCATCGGAAGTAGACATCGAAGGCTACCCAAGAGTTGGGGCTTATAGCGTCTGCAGCAAAGCGGTTGTCAAAGAACAGCGATATTAATTGAAAGATCGAGTCACGACTTTGCTCATACAGTATTTGTCGGTGATCCTGCTCCTAGAGAATCATAGAGATGTGCGAAATGCTTAACCCCGGCATGAAAATCCAAGGAAGATGAGGCATCACAGAGCCACGTACAACGCTCAATGGGTATCATGCAAGGCTCGCAGAGGGCGACCCACAGAAAAACTCACGACCTATATCAGGTTCAGCTCCAAGCCCATACCGGCTATGCAAGTATATATATCCCCAACCCAATGCACCACCAATCACCATGCTCGTCCCAGGTCATTTATTCGTCTTCGCCGCCCAACACCTCTCCAGGATGAATTTCTCTAATATGCTATCATCCAATCCCTCATACAGTCCAAACACTCTCCAGTACTAATCGTGATTGTATCACCATTATCCTCTTTCATGCCCAACAACCATATCAACCCCTAGGCATCACGACATCACGAGTCGTACGTATGAAGAGGATGACCTACATCCCTGATGACTTTCACTCATAGTCTATGTCGTGCGGAATGTTTCTCCTCCTGGCAAGGCTGGGTTGATGCATCGCATGGAAGAGCCCCCGGACTTCGCACTGCTGGTAGCCTCCTGGGCGACTCCGCTATCCCAGTTCTAGCTGCTGTTGAACATGTCTGCAAGCTCCAAAAGATCTTCATCATTCACGCCGTACAAATCGTAGCAGCTGTTCTGCGTGCTGTCTGGAGAATCTCCCACTTTCGAGCGCAGGGGACTTGCTTGCTTGGCCAGTTTTGGCAGAGTAGACCGGTGAACACCAAGTACTTCAGCGCTCCTTTTCTTTGACACGATTTGAGAGTCATCCTTTTTGAGGCCCAAAACCTGTGATGACAGCCTTAGCAGGTTCTCATCAAAATCGTCGCCAAAGACGTTATCGAAGTACTCATCGGAACCATGACCATTATCGAAGACCTTGTCATCTTCCCGAGAACGCAATGCTGACTGCTGGGGCGGTGACCTTTTCTTGACCGGAGGCTTTGCGGTTGATGGACATGGCCGCTGAGGCTTTGCAGGGGCTAACTTGTTGGACTTGGTTTGGACGGTGCTGTTCGTGATCTTAAAATCGGTAGGACATGGGGCGAGGTTCTCCTTATCGCTATGTGCACCATTGTCCTCAAAGTCTTGTGACCAGAACATAGCCTCAACTTGGGAAGCCGTCGGGATGTCGTCGAGGCCACTTACTACAGGAAGGTGGACGCCAGGTTGGGTAAGAGAAGAACCCGAAGACGTGCAGAATTGTTCTGCTGCACGGTTGTTGAGCGTCAACGGTGACCTCTGAGCAGATATCGCACGAGTAGCTTTGGTAGAAGAAGCTGTGGCTGGGGATGGGTCCTCCGTTTTGCGCTTCTTCGAAGGGCGGCCCGTTTGGAGGGCTGCAGTTCTCTTCAATGTGTGACTTGACGGATCACGCACTATTTTCGGTGGTGAGGATTGGCCGTTCAGCTCCGCCTCGAGAGCTTTATCATCTGCGAACTCGGAAAGCATCTGCGAGCCTGAAATGGAGAATTGCGTATCCGGCTGTCCTTGGTCCACAGGCGCCGCATGGAGAGCGCTCCGCTCATATGTGTGCTTCGGTTGGGTCGTGTGCTGCTGTCCGCATGCCTCTGAGGCGGACACTTTCTGCAGCGCTGGCAAACAAGAAGCTTTCTGCGACTTTAGAGCTGGCGGGGCTGAAGATTGTATCTGTCCTGAACCTTGTGAGTTCTCGGCAGAATGCTCAACCGATCTGGCTCTTGCGTCGCTTTTCCGATTTTGAACGTCGAGACTGGCTTTGCTGAACTGTGCCTCTACCTTGCCATCTCGAGGGACGCCAAAGAAGGTGTGCAGTCGGGGCTGGCTTGCTCGGACCTTGCCCCACAAGCTCTCTTCTGGCAGCTTACCGAGCTGTACTAGCTTTCTCTGCTCTTCTCTTTGCTTTGCTTCTTGCTCCTCTCTCTTCTTCTTTGCTTCCCGTGCACGCTTCTGCTTTGCCAAAATGTCCTTGGCTCGCTTGTCCGCTTCAACCGCTCGCTCGGCAGCACGGATCTGTGCTGCACTCAATTTTGGAACACGACCAGCTTTCAGGTAAGCGCGACGAGCCTCTCGAAGGGTCTGCGGTCGGTCCCAGGTGGGAGGGTGTGCTCCACGGGGCATTGCGTAACGGAGGAGGGAGGGATTGTCGTTGGTCTTGATGCAGGTACAAAGCCAGATTGAATTAACTTAGTGGGGCCAATGCTCAACTGCGGGGCGCTTTCCGGATGTAGGAAGGGCAGGATTATTTATCATAAATCTGGCTGATGCTGAGTAGCGAATGTAAATCTATCTACCTTGGCCTGAATGAAAAGGCTAAACAGTGTGAAGGGCAAGCCGATGAAAGACAGCAAAAGACGGCGATGTTTTATACCGTGGTAGTTTGACATCATTGGTCACTGATTGATTGTGGCCTGCTTCAAAATGACCGTTACGTGTTTTCAGGAACAAGCAATCAACACAGGTTGTGCCAATTGAACAACATGATTTGTTTGGCATCATTAAAGAGGAAGACAGAACTTCATGGTGGATCATTCCCATTCACTACAGCTACCTGCTCCTCTTCCGGATCACCTAGATCGACAATTGGATAAGTCAGAATGGCAGCGATTCCCCCCAAGCCCTCCAATCTCTTCCCGCTCTCGTGGTCGCTGCTCAGGATCCTGACATCTCCGCCACTTTCTTTCCTTACACGGTCCACTAATCGTACCCATCTCCTCCGTGTAGCCACATCTTGATTACGAAACAGTGAATTGGTGATGATGAGCTTACCTCCACCTCTGCCGACAGCACCCTCCTCGACAGCCGCTTCGACTTCTTTAGGACCATACCACGCACGACCATCATCTTTCCGCAACATCTCAAAGAAGTCGTTCATTAAGCGTGTTTCTCTAGCGTATTTTGTATCCTTCAATTTGACCCTGACTTCTGGGCTCTTCAAAACCTGGTTGAGACTGTAAAGGTGGCCGGCACTGCTATGAACAACGATGAACGCCTTTCGCTTGACTAGGCTTTGTAGTAGTTTCTCGCTAGTAGCGAAGGCTCTTTCTGACGCATACCTGAGAAAGCCAGCTGCGGTAAAGCCGGGACTTGCAAGCAGGATCGGGATTGTCTTGGCTTCCTCAGTCTGTTCGATAAGGCCTTCCACCTGCCTTAGCAATGTATCCAGGACTGTTTTGAAGAACTTTTCGAGTCCTTTGTCGTGTTTTGCCGACCTCTTTGCTCCGTCTCTTTTTCGGGTAACTCTCATTGTAACTTTTTGGCGGAGAAGGGTCTGATACTGTGTAACGAAGCAGATATTTGCCAGGCCCTCTTCCATCACGACTGCCACAATTTCGGCTTTTTTCTGGGGGTTGGTAGCTTCCTCGAGTTGTTCCTTTGCAACGCTGTCCCAACCTTGCTCGCCATCTTTCCCTTCGACTTCCTTTGTAAGGGTAAAATTTCGGTTCAGTTCGAGGTCCAGGGTATGATGCTGTCCAATCTTTGTATGCTTGTTCTCACGAGCTACTCTCCCAGAGACATGTAGTTGTCCAGCCTGGGGGTCGAAATCTAGAGACTTGACTCGGATTGTGAGGTTGACATGGACTCGGTGCGAGGAAGTCGAGCCTGTCGATGCGGATTCTGATGTGACGCGACGGATAGCCGAAGCAGTGAGGAGATCAGAGGGCCGAATCAGGTTGTGCGCGTGCCACTGCAATGCATCTGTTAGTATCGCGCAGAAGAAGACCTTAGAAGCGCCCACCATGTCTTCCGGTTCTTCAGGGTATAATGTCACGCTGCCAGAGCCATCTGGCTCAATATGGCGCTTGACCAACCTCATCGTGCAAGCGGGAAATTGTCTGAAGTTGAAATTCCACCGAAGGTTGCGTATGAATTAGGTCTTTATGTGCATTTAATAAGGAAGCCCGGTTGCGGTGTTTGGAAATAAATTTGTTTGTTCGAGTCCAATCACTCACAACACAAAGGATTGGTAAGTATCAATACATTGGTGTCGTACAGATGATCTCATGCCTGCCGCGGTGTACAAAGATTTGTGGCTAATGTGAATCGCGCAAAACACTATGTTCAAGGCTCAAGCTGTATTCAACCTCAGTGCTGGCCCACCCTGACATGACGTACAGGAAGTCCTCTATCGTAGCAATACTCCGTAGCGTCCTCATGAAGTTGGTTGTCTGCTTTTGTTCCTTTTGCAGATTTTCTCCTTCCCTTATATAGTCTTTCCCACCATCAGGTTAATCACAAGAGTGATATCTGCCTCAAATACTGAGCAGATGAAATCCCTACGACTGCCCACTTCTCGACCCTATCAAGCTAAGCAGCAGCTCTAATGGAGTCTACCACGGATAATGATGCTCCAAACATCCTCGGCGGCACTATCTTCATCTGTTATATTGGAGCAGCGTTACTTCTCACAGGATTGATTGTTTTAAACTTGTACAAAACCTCATTACGAAGTCCACCATCGTCAACTTGGAACCATGTGCAACAACTCTCCACATTCTCTGTCCTGGCTGTTCTAAGCTTTGTAACTCTTTCCTACCATATGCTGAGCTTCCTCATCACCTCATACTCAAACTGGGCAATAGCAAGGGGATTGGCTCTACCCCAGGGTGTGCTGAAAAATTATCTTGAACGGCTACATTTGTGGCAATGGGCGAGAACTTCGACCTTGTTTCAAGACTTTGCGACGAACATCTGCATGGAGTCAAATGGTAATTGGTGGTGGACAGAGCACACGCTGATGTTCAGTATGGCCTGGAACATATACATGGCCGTTGAAGGTAGTCTGGAAAGGCTCATTTCTTTTCTGTTCATTTCGAAGTACTTAGTGTCCAATTGTGATGCACTTCGCTGACCGGTGCCCTCCAGGCACTCGCAGACGAATACCAAAACTATGGTTTTATTTTGCGCTGGACCAGATTCTGCCCGTCTCATTCACCCTGAATCTTTTCTTCCTGGCAGTCCTTCTGGAACCCGCAGAAATGTCCCAGACCTCGATTTCAAGGTGCTGGTCAGCACCAGGACTTTTAATGCAAGTGTTGCCGCTCGCAGTCTTCTTCGTTACGCTATCCATTGCTCCATTGGCCGTGGACAGTTCGGCTCTCATTCCCATTGTGCTGCTCGCTCGGCTTCTCCTATTCCTTCCTTTCCTATCTTACCGTCCAACTCTCATATCACCTGCTGAACCTGAGCAATCCAACAGCGGCAGGTCCAAGAAGCGGAGCCAGAGGAACAGACTCTGGCTGGCCTTTAAACCAACAATCTTAACACTCGTTTCGGGGTATGTGTTTCTCCGGCTAGTCCACACCATACGAGGAACCACCGTCGCCTTTCCATTTATGCGAGAGATCCTGTCGACGGTCAATAATGATTCTGCTGTTGGTGCCCTTGGCTATGACCTCCTCATTGCGATGGCCAGTTGGGCTATTTGGTATGCGATGCATTCTAAAAACAAGGTCCATGCAGAATGATTCGCGCCGCTGGGGCAATGGACCGGAATAATTGGACAATTAGTGGAGTGATCTGGAAGACAATCCTATCCAAGATGAAAAGGTTCGTCATACATCTAACCATGTGGCGAGACCCAACCAAGTTGGCCCAACGCCTCATGACAAAAAGGAAAAGACAAAGGAGGCTGGTGTGCTTTGCTGCTGCTCGAAGACATTACCTCAATGCAGTGATTTCGCAAGTTGTTCTTTGTCCCGAGCAACGCTGCAATGACGTATTGCAGGAGAATCCTGTCGTTATTGTTGAGCAATAATGGCGAATGAGGGGCAAGGTCTGAAGGTGAGGGGGTGAAAGCTCGTAGGAGCACGATAGCATCCCAAAGCCGGTGTCAAGAGATCGTGGCGTATTTGACCACTGCTCAGAATTCGCAGACCAAAAAGTCATGTGCACTGATATGTAATCCTATCGATGTGCGATTGACGATGATCAACTCTAAAGTCCATGTTCTCAGGTTGAAGGTTTTTGAATGATGCTGGAGGACACCATGATCGTACAAGTGCATTCTGGAATTTTTGTGCGAATGGCCACGATATAGTGACAGCAGGCTTCGGAGTGATGGTAGCATCCCTACAAGTTGGAGAGAAAATCGATAGACCTGTGTCGGAGGTCAATATAATACCCTCCATACCTCGCTCTCGCTGCGATCTTCTCCGTCAAGCTCCCTATGAGTTCATACGACCGACGAGTGATCATAGACTCCCACGTCCACCTCTTTGCACGCGCGCAACTTCCTACTCTACGCTGGACACCCCGTCTTCCCTCCGATCATGTTCTCAAGGGACAGAATTCCGTTCAGGAATACTGCTCTGCCATCTCATCTTCTGCAGGTAAGCTACGAGGCTTCGTCTTTATCGAGTCCGATCGCGTATCCTCTCTCTCCCACGCCGGTTGGAATCATGCACTGGAGGAGGTTGAGCTCCCCACTCGAATTGCCAAATGGGAATTGAGGGAGGAAGAGGATGAGGGTTTCGGAGCAGGAGATGAGGACTTAGTCCTTGGTATTGTGCTATGGGCGCCTGTTCCTGCAGGACCGGAGGCCATGGAGGCGTACATGAACTCAGCCAAAGAGCGGTGCGGAGATGAGAAGGTATTGGAGAAGATCAAGGGCGTGAGGTACCTGGTCCAAGACAAGCCGTCTGGCGTAATGCTTCAACCTAGGTTCATCGAGAGCTTAAAGTGGTTAAGGAAACAATGGGCTGGCTTTCGATTTGGGTGTCGATGCAAGGAATGGAGGAATTTGACAGCTGAGGGAAGCTTGTGAGATGTTAAGATTGCTTCACAGCAATAGAAGAAGAGGCAACATGGGAGAAGCTAGGCTCAAGATCGTAATCAACCATCTATGCAAGCCAGATCTACATCTGACCTCGGAGGAGATTGCGAATGGGTCATCAGTCCTACGCCAGATGGAGGGACTACATTTGAAGAGATGGCGAGGTTCGATGGTACTTTTATGAAACTCTCGGGAGCATTCTCTGAGCTATTATCTTCTCAGAATTGGCAAGATCCCGGCTCATTGGAGAGGATCATTGAAATCCTGACGTGCGACGCCTTCGGACCTTCTCGTATCATGTTTGGGTCAGACTGGCCGGTCTGCACTGTCCAATGGCCGTGGATCGAGCTCTCATGGCAGTATTGGCATGGCGTTGTCGAGGCTATCCTCTCTGCACGGAATTTGTCAGATGACGAATCGACCATGATCTGGTCCGGCACCGTGCAGGCCGCCTACAACATACCGTAAAGCCCGCTCGTCAAATTCCTACTTTACACCATAGAACGGACCTTGCTATCGTCATTGCAGATTAACGAACAATCCACCATCAACCAACAAACTCGCCCCGCTCACATAGCCACTCAACTCTGAACAAGCTAGAAACAGCGCCGGCCCCGCCATATCCTCGGGCCTCCCCAACCTCCCCAGCGGGACTCTCCGCTCCATATACATCTTCTTCTCAGACCCATCCCTCAAGTCCTCGTCATTCAACTGCGTCCGGATCGTGCCCGGAAGCAGCGCATTACATCTGATATTATACTTGCCCAACGCGCACGCCGTGCTTTGCATCAAGCTCAACACCCCTGCCTTGGTGGGCGTGTAATGCGTCTGCTGCGCGCCACCAACCAGGGCGGAGATACTCGAGATGGTTATGATCGACCCCCCCTGCGGGCCTGTCTGCTGCACCATCTGTTTTGCGGCGGCTTGGACGGCGTAGAAAGCGCCGGAGAGGTTGGTGTTTATGTGGGATTGGAACAGGGAAGGTTCAATGTTGAGGAAGTCTTCGAATTTGCAGATCCCGGCGTTGGAGATGAAGATGTCGAGGCGGTGGAAGGTGTTTACTGTTTTCTGGATTAGCTCTGTCGAGGTGGAGGGCTGGGAGATGTCGCCGGGCACGAAGATGACAGGTACTCCGGTTATGTCTCGAAGTTTTTGGTCGTCTTCATCTGGGAGTCTGTTATGAGAGCGTCGGGCGTGGAGGGTATCAGATGCTTCTTTCCGAAGCGAGGACATCAGCTCGTCATCATTGGTTCCATGGTTGTTGCTATGGGAGGGAAGGTAATTGATGGCTACTTTTGCGCCGTGCGAGACAAAGGATACCGCTATGGCGCGTCCGATGCCGGTGAGGCCGCCAGTGATTGCGACGACTTTGTCGGTGAGGAGAGGTGGGAGGGTAGACATGCAGATTAGGAGGAGGATGTGGACATGTAGGAATAGATTGTGCAACAGAAATGTTGGAAATGTCTGTCAGTCAGGCAGGCAGTCAATGGCACATGGGTTCACCTTTCGTATTAGTCGCTCAGACTAGATGAGTCTAAGCAATACCAGCGCTTTGCATCTCTTGAAACTGGATTGATCATTATATCAAATTCAATATTGGTAGGCTGCTATCCTCCCGTCGTCTAGCATTGCTCTCCAAACTACCCCACATTTAGCAGTGGTGTAGAAGATGTCATATCTAGTAGAAGAGGGGTTGTCCACCTCACAATGGCACTAAGGAGTAACAAGTAGTGACGGGACTCACTTACTCTTCCTTGCAGTGCAAACATCTTCCCGGATGGACAATGGGTTCAGGCACTCCCCCGATGGTGTGATGCTCGACAGTTGCCCGAGTTCTCCTTGAGGTACACAAAAGGGGGTAGGGAAAAAAGTTCGTGGGAAGGACTCGGAATGCCGTACTCGGCCAAGACGCCGAATACATGTACGATTCAGACTGGGGCTAATGTCAACGAATCGTGGCCAGGCGAACGAACGGCCGTCGAGTGCTTCCACTACCACGGCATTCTCCGGGACAATCAAGGTGTATCTAGTTGGTTAGAGTCTGATGGTGGCTACTGGAGTTCGCAAGTGCTGATCATCATCTGCAAATTATCAGCCACTCACTGATGCATTTCGAAATGTGCAGATGTTTTGACACTGGCCACTCAGCCTTTGCATGACGGAGCAACTGGGAGTCAGCGACGGTAGCTTGCGGTCAGATGCTTACGTCAATGATAGGACTAAAAGAACAAAACGACAATACGTGCTATGTAGAACAACAAGCACTTGTTTAGTCGAGACGGTGTGTCTCACGGCGTAAATGCTTAGCGGGACTTTCTTTCTTTTCTATTTATGCGCGTGTCTGCCTTGCCAAGCGGACAGTAAGATTGGGATGGTCTGGGTCGAATCGGGGGCGGCCCGCCCAGTCATGCCGAGGTTCGGAGTCAACGTGATCCCATAATGATGGATGATTCAGCATCGTTGATTTCCCCCGTCCCGAGCAAGGGATTGAGTACTTTCATGCTTGCAAAAGAAAGAGGATGAGACATTTGTTGGAGGGATAGAAGAACAATGCTGGAAATTGGTATGCCTCGCGGCTTAGAGGGGATCATCCCCAATTCTCTAAGTTAGATTTGATAAGACTGGTGGGGCAATGGCTGCCTGCAGCGGAACATGATCTCTCTGAGCAGGCAGAGAGATCGCGTGATACAGAGATGTATAAATACAGGAAAAGTGTTGCAATCGAAACATTGAGGCTTAGAAATTCCGTGACAACCAACTCTTGCTATATTGCAGATACTGGGCCCAACATTGTCTGACAAGAAAAGTTGATCCCAAAAAGAGCTCAAGATAGAGCGGTTCCTCGCGTGCCTGACTGGCGTGCTGCGCATGACTTCGACAACGTGTTCCCATCCCTTCGAATTTGCAGATCTGCCTTTGATGCCATGGTTCATGCACCGCCACGTGGATGGCTCCCGTAGTGCCAATTCGAAACTGGTGGCCTAAGTGGGATAAAGTCATCGTTGAAGTCCAGATATCATGGTGTTGGGGTTGGTGTAGTTCGGAGGCTGAGACCTTGGCGCGCACAGTGAAATTGGTTGTCGTGTTATGAGGAAGGCGGAGAGCGATGAGTGAAAGGGTCATGCAGGTGCCAGGGGTCCTGCCCCGGCTCGAGGCCATACCATCCAAAGAAACCTCCATCTACTTCTAGTGTAATCCTCCGGGTCTCGGACTGCTGTCATGTTCTGTCGGAGACCATGTCTATAGCTGTTGTCACCGCCGGTAGCCCGGGGCTGGACGAAATGCAGTTCCGCCGCTCGAGTATCCGGAATCGGGAAAGGGCTGCGAGTTCTGTGACGAACCATACTCCCCTGTCCGGCGAGTAGAATGTTGTGGGCAAGCGTATCCCACAAGGACAGTCTTCTCTTGTACATGATGGTGTCGCTGGCCGTATGATTGGCATGGGTCAATGGCATGTCGGTGATAGAGACACCGACAGACCGCGTATCTTTCAATCAATTGATAGCACATGGTGAAGTAAGATTTTTGATTTGTGATTTTTGATTTTGATTTGTAAGATGGTAGTATGGAGGGACGATTGACAAGATAGTAACGTGAAATGCGAACAAAGAAATATATACCTTAACGAGCGCGGAGAGAAGTGACTGCTGTTAGAAGGATGCAATGAAATTGCTGTCTCAGGTGACAAGGCGATGTTGATATACAACACAATCATGGAAGCAGAAGGGAATGGCAGCCTAGCATGCCGGAGTCATCCATCACTGAGGTTCGTAAGGCAAGCATGAATCTAACATGCAAGGCATCCACAGATGCTTCATCGTCATTCGCAAGGATAGGCAGGCTAGATTAGCATATGATTGTGGTCCTAACTCCCAAAGAGAATTGATGGTGATCGAAAGAGGAAGAGGAGAGAATAGGAGGATGAAGTAGATAACTGGGAGATATCAGACAGGCCAATCATTGTCCGCCGTCGAGTGAACATGAGCAGCATGGATATGTGTGTAGGCGACCAAGAGATGCGAATGGCCCAATTGATGTCGATACAAGGTTAGCAGGCACGGCAACGGTCCACTCAGCCTCTTCAGCCAGTGCTTGAAGCCATGGTTCTGGGTCCAGAAGTGAACCGTTCGGTGTCGGAGAACGGGAGGACAACAGCCAGCAAGCATCTTAGCTGTTGTAGCTGATCATCTAACATTCAAGTTGCGGAGGAATGGTTCAACGTCTCCCTCCCACTCCAATCCAGAATTCAGGTCGAGGGTTGTTTTGGGATTCACTAGGCCAACGCGGGCTAGCACTGTCAGAGCTAGCCTTGGCAAGGCTGATGATCTGCATTGATAATTCCACCAAGTTTCGAGTCGTTGGGAAATGTCTCTCCATTCTTAGCTACTATCGGATCGCAAATTAGTCATGCAAACCCGTCACAACGCAGCATCATTCTCTTTTGGGATGAGTACAACGTCCTTTGTTAGACAGACTACGATGTCATCGCAGGATTTCCGTGCCTGGAGGGGATTGCTGACTACGTAGCTGGAGACTTGGCCATATCTCTCGCCATCCTCGCTGCCTCACAAAGCATTCCTGATCCTGTCCTGGTAGTATTCAAGGGCTCCCGGACGGTCCTGGGAGCGTTGCTGAGACAGTCAGATAGTGGATCGAGATGCTTCTTCGCTTGGCAATGGTTCCTGCGCCCGAGTTTCGCAACGCCAGCCCCGATCAGAATAATCTGGCGCAGCTATCTACCTGTGACCATTACCCGCAATCTCTCGGTTCACATCAACAGGCATCTGCTTGGTCTTTCAAGAGGAGCATGAACGGGGTCCTCCGGGTGCTTGCGTATGGAAGATAAAGGAGCTGGCCTCAATTTTACTTGAGTTGGAACATGGAGCTCACATTCTGGGTGGCCTACAACAAACTGTCGAACGGTGATCCGACCCTTGCGCATGAAACTGGTTCTGGATTGACATGATTACCCAACGGGTTTGCCTCAAGGGGTCAACAAGACGTGGTTGAAAGCCCTGGTTCGCGATGGACGTTTGGCGGCAATTTGCCAGTTACATAATTTGTTAGCAACAAATGTGCTTTCCGCCAGAGGTACAGCGGAAGATGTGAACGAGTTTGGTCTGTCAGCCTTGTGGGATGAGTAATCATCATGCAGAAGCCAAGATCGACACAGGATTGTGGCGCAGCCAATCAGCTCGTGGACCTTTGAAGGAACAACGGGAGACATTTCCCGACTACCGGCAGGCCGGCCTGCTGGAAAAGATAGTACATCCTCTGGCTGACATGCTCATCCTTCCACTTTTTACGACGGGTTTCATCCGGTCCACTAAGGCGCAAGGCAAAGCTCCCGAACGGAGTGCCAAAATAGAATTCACGGCATGAAAAGCCATCAGCTCTGCTCGTGACGGTGAAGAATGCCCAGTCGCACGGCGGCCATCCGGTGCCTATTCCATCAGGGGAAGTTATCAAAGTGACTCGTCATACTTAATCAGTTTGACCGTCTCATCCCGAATTCGTCTCAGAATCCAACTTCCTATCAAGCCAGCACGTCGTGACGGTCAACTGGCCGCTTCGTATTTGTGGCCGGGTGTGCTGCGAAGTCATGTCCAGACTGTGTTGCGTCGCCTAGCCAATCCGACTCCGGTGTTGGGACAAGATAATCATTGAAAATAATTTCGTTTATCGCCGGCAGATCTGGTAATGGACCCTGCTTTGTGCCTGACGTCGCCTCTTGTTCGACTGGTAGCGGCAAGCGAGGCATGTTGAAAAAGCCAAACACGTCAAGATACTCAAGATAAGCAGCAGGGGTCTTCCGCTATGTTTTGACGTGGAGCTGGCTTCAGATCAGGTTGTCTTGATATCAGAACATCCAGATCATATGCGCACCTACAACAATAAGCATGAAAATCTAGCTCGGAAGCGCTCTGAGCTCACCTTCGCATGTCGGCGAGAATCTTTACTGTCGCCGCTGTAGGTTGCTCCTTGCTTAATCCAATAGACAATCGGGACTCTTGATATGCTCGCACCACGCGATCAAGGATCTCGCCGTATCGTGCGGCTACCCTCCAACGTCGTCACATCTGTGATAGTAGGGACACAAACACTCCGATCCCAGGGCTTTTTTCGACAGTATGCACCAGTAATACCCGAGCCGCTACCATAGGTAAAACGCAAAGGGGGCCCAGCGCATCTAGGCGGAATGTGCCCGCAACCCAGCGACTGAAGTCCTCGACGCTTTTGGCTGCTCGAACGCTCCTCTGGATAGCTCTGTATGACGTGTAAAGAAATTGGACCGAAATGTTGGGTATGCTGCCAAGGAATGCAGCCTCATGACAGCTGTGTGGCAAGTCGCGTGCAGCATAATCCAGCAAGGGTTGACTCGAGCTTTGAAACAGAAACGCCTCCGAGGTGTCCACTGGCAGGCTCTTTCGCCAAGACGTCAGTTCGTCGTCCAGTTCTCTGTAGGACTTCTGGCATTGCGCGACTTCTGCAGCCAATCCGATGTCAACGGGCTGCTTCAGAGACTGGTGAATTCTACTGATGAGCCCCATGAGCTCACAATAAAAAGCAAAGCTTCCGAGATTCTCGCTACGGTATTCAACGTAGCTCAACCTGCCGCCCGGATTGAACCAGCTGCTCTCTACAGACACATTGGCCTCGAAAAAGGCGTTATCGCAGGGAAGACGTCGCTCTATGTCTTTTGCATTCAATCCGAAGTCGAAAGCCGTGGATATTGTCGCATATCGATCCAGTATGTACGCTCTCCAGAACAACCTTCGTCTCTCCTCGTCCTCTATCCAGGTTTCTGGCTCAGACAGTACGGTTGCCCCCAGAGTGAAAAATTGGTGGACGTGTAGGGCTACTCATGCTCGATGTTGATTCAGCCCCCAGCCCTAGATGCACGGTATTTCGAGTGGTCAGCGCCAATAAATTCCAGGCTGGTGGTCCATTCACTGAGCCTGTCAGGTCCAATGCCAGGATGACCATAGCCTGTAACGCCCGAACACTGGAATTCTCTAGCACATAAAGCAACACTCTCTGTTTTGACGCGTCGTGAATTTGTTTCCGTGCTTCGAGAGTCAATCCCGAGCTGCTGCAAAACCTCATCGTCGTTGCCACGATCGCGTGAAGTAAAATGCACTCTGCCTCGGAAAGTTGAAGTGAGCCGAAAAAGGTCCTGAATGTTGAATCGCGATGCAAGATTGGAAACCATATATTGATATGCTCAAAATACAGGTTGACAAGTAGGTACAGAAGATCGTGTGGTGGGAGATGGCTCTGAGCATCAGGTGCAGCTGACGCGCTTGGAGGGTTATGCCAGAAATGGTTACCGCTGGGAATCTGCTGGTCCGTCACTCCAGAGGCTGCATCTACTGAAAGAGGCGTCCCTTGCTGTGTCGCACCACCCTGTGTGCCAGGATACTGAGAGATGGAATAGGCTGGATGATATGCTCTCTGCTGGCTAACAGACACAAGTGAGCTAGGACTAGCAACTGATCCACGTTCTTCCTGTATCTGGGACGCTGGTGAGTGCGAGATGTGGTCAACAGGCAGACACCTGTGGCTGCTATCATCTGGGTGAGATGTGCGCTTTTCTTCTTGGATGTCTGGTTCTGCACGCAGATATCTGTCGAACAAGCCGTCATGTATGGACACCATCTCAAGTCGATCAAGTCTTCGCTCCAAATCTCGACCATAACCCGCCCGCAATCCAGGCTTCTTCCTTTCTCTGTACTCGCATACTTGATTGTTGCGCGCACACCACCCACATTTGGGCTGACCTCGATCTGGTCCAGCATGAACAGCACGAAAACGAGATGCCAGGATGTGAGAAACCTACCGCATCCGACTTTTCTTTGCTTACATAGCTCGCAACTGATTTATCAAAGTGCAGTCAGGCTGGTGCTGTTCATTGAGACATAGACGGCATACGAAACACTCATCAGCCTCTTTCGCTTGCTTGCTAGAGGAGTTCTACTCCGCTTCATCCTCACTGCTTGATGCAGTAGAGGCGACTTTGGTGCTGCCGTTCTTTTGCCCGTTCGAATTTGGGTGTGAGGCTCCGTGACCGGTGATATAGGCTTGACTCTGCATCGGAACACTGTGGTAAGCGGGAGCTGTAGCTCTCCAGTGGTGAGAGAGCGCTCGGGACAATGTTCTGCCTCAAAATGCTTCCCCGCGATGCCAAGAGGCAGGATGCTCGGTGTGACGATCCACCGAAACCACCGAACCATACTCGGGTCACTTTTAATAACTATAGTCTATCTCGTCGTGAAGGAAATTTGAGTCGAACAGTCGAGCTCGAAACCTGTTGTCTAAGACATACCAGAGGTCAACATGGCTTCTTCTAAACCAACTCGGGCATTTCCCACGATCAAGGCGGTGCGAACATTTCTTGTTGAAGGGATTGGATTAGGAGGTGATTACCATAATGTACGATTGGACTCGCGGGCCATTCCCTCGATGCTGATAAAACATCACAGGTCAAAGGCGGACATTGGCTGATAGATAGTCCCATTGCCACTCCAATGTCGAAATGGGAACAGTACCGCAATGCCACTCCAATGTCGAAATGGGAACAGTACCGCAAATCCCGCACCAGCTGGGGCATCAACGTACTGGGCTCTTTTTGTGTCGAGATAGAAGCGACCGATGGAACCAAAGGATTTGCCACCGGGTTTGGGGGACCACCAGCCTGTTGGTTGTTGCAACAGCACTTCGAAGATTCCTGCTCGGCGCGGATCCGCGAGACACGAACAATCTCTTCGAACAGGTGTATCGAGGCGCAATGTTTTATGGCCGTAAAGGCTTGCCAGTGGCCGTAATATCAGTCATCGATCTGGCCTTGTGGGATCTGATCGGGCACCTACGCCAGGAGCCAGTATACAAACTCATCGGTGGTGTCACCTGCTCCCGCCTGTACTTTTATTGTACTTGACCCGAACCGGCAGCCGCGCAAGCGATGGGCTTTATTGGGGCCAAAGTTCCGCTTCCTTATGGACCGGATGAAGGCCAGCCGGGCTTGGCGAAGAACATTGCATATCTCAAGAAGCATCGACCGGCTGTTGGACTGGATTTCCCTCTCCTCGTAGATTGTTATAGGTCACTGAACGTCCCCGTACACGATTGAACTTGTCACTGCGGCCAATCGCGAAGACCTGCAGGTAGATTGGTGGGAAGAGTGCTTATCACCCGATGATTTCGATGGCTTTCAGCAGCTCAAGCGAGCACACCCGACCGTCAAGTTCACCACTGGGGAGCACGAGTATAGTAAGTATGGCCTCCGAAAGCTGGTCGAGGGCCGCAACGTCGACATTTTGCAACCAGATGTGATGTGGGCAGGTGGCATGACGGAATTGCTCAAAGTGGCTGCTATGCATCAGCGTATGATGTCCCTGTCGTTCCGCACGGAAGTGGGCCATACAGCTATCATTTTGTGATGTCGCAGAGCAACAGTCCTTTCCAGGAATACCTGGCGAACAGTCCAGACGGGAAGAGCGTGATGCCAGTCTTTGGAGATCTGTTTCTGAACGAGCCGATTCCAGAATAGGGATATCTAGATGTAGGTGTTTTGGATAAGCCAGGATTTGGGAGAGTTGAGTCCAAGAGCGAGGTTGTTGCCAGTTGCATGGAATTTGTGCCCTGCTCCGCAAAGGAGTCTGTCAATGAAGGATGAAGCAGAAATGGTTGATGGTAGTCAAAATCAAGTCGAGTCAATTTCGTAGTTCGGACACTAGATCAGGGCTAATCTTGGGTGGTGTGGAGGGCTCCACACCACCCTATCGGTTCGCGAGAGGGCTTGTTGGCCTCAGGAAAGGTGGCCATGCCAACATAAGACCGCAAGGAAAGTAGATAAACACCTGGATCGTATCGGAATGGGTTCCCTTTCTGATGAGGGAATTAAAAGCACCCCTTAACCCCCTTCCCCCTTCCGCACCCTCCTTCCCGGGGCCGCTCCCCCAGAAAAGAGTGATGACTTTTGATACTTCAGGACCCAGGGTTCGGCGTGCCTCGCGTAGGGTTTGAAAACATTTAAAAACCTGTGCAAACTCTTGCGGCGTCTGTGCAGCGAAATCGAAAGATGAGGCTGAAATAAAATATCAATACCACGCAAACAAAGTTCAAGCGAGTGAGATAATCAGTATTCAACTCATCGTAGCAAGGACCCTTCCCTAGTCTCCGTGTGCTTGCTATGCATTTATCAACGGCGGTCGTGAAAGTCATAGTTGCATCTGCGCATCTCCTCCCAAGGCAACCTCACCTAGCTTCCGCTTTCCACGTCCAGCACCCAATTCGTGTTCGGATCCGTTATCAATCATCTCCGTGATCTCCCATTCGACCATCGTCATCCCATCTGCGCTTCTACCAACGCCCCTCTTCGTCTTCTGAAGTCTGCCTAACCTGCTGCCATCAATCATCTCCTCGATCCAACTAATGTCCCTTCCGACACCTCGGCTTATTCTTCTCTGTACCGTTTCATCACGTCCTGCAAGCTGTTGATTATTGGCCCTCTCGGCAATTCGCGTATCTGTTGGGCCCGTAGTGATATCATAATCATCGACATCATCTGGCAGAAGTCCAAGCTCTTCAAGAGTTCTCAGATCTTCGCCAAAGAGACTCCCAACTGTAACATTCAGATAGTCGGCTTCATCTCGAGCAGCTTCTGTCCAATACGAAAGATGTGTTCCACAATATCCACAGAAGATTCTCTGACTATGTGGCTCATGTGCAGGAGTGAACATCTTCCGGATCATCGAGTGGGTCTCGTCGGGAAAGAATGACGTCGTATTGCTCTTATACCAAGTGAGAGGAATGTGAAGCCACACTGTGACTGGTGTAGCTTGTATGCGTCCTAGATAGTTGTCAGGTAGTCTACTATGGTATATTTCTAGCAAAACCCACGGTTCTCGCTGCTGCTGTCAAAGAAAACATGAGCGGAGGTGGCGGCGTTTTCTGGGACTGCTATGATGTAGTTGTTGCGGCCGCAGCTGCAAGAGCCCCGGAGATGACGTTGAACATTCATGATGCGTCTTTAGAGGCCGAAAAAACTTGAGCGTCTAGAGGGGTGGATTGTTCAAGCATAACTTAACTGGATGGAGGTGGTTGTGATTGTGTGTTTGTGCTGCGGTGGTGGTGGTGGTCGTGCGAAGGGATGGAAAAGGTGATGTTGCAGGCTTGGCAGGTACTGGGGGCACAATGTTCGGGGAAAGTGCTAGCCTTGGAGAAGGTGCAAGGGTCTGACCTAGTACGTAACGTACCTGACCCAGAAGCGCAACGGGTCCTGTTGCACTTCTGGGTCAGGTACGTTACCGTTCTGCCACATCCGCTCGCTACACTTTCACATGTGCGTAGTACTGTAGTACGTAGTAACCTTCTCATCTTCTTCTAATGCCCATTCGACCTGTACATTACCACCGCCGCATACTGCCCTTTTCGCAGACACATGCACCGCAACAAGTACTACTACACCACTTCCTAACAGTTTAATCTTGTTGAACTATCGTTCGAATGTGTGCGTGGTTTGTGTGGACATGCCCAAAGCCAATACCCCACAACATTCCCAAGCCGTATCACCAACAGCCTCAACGCAGTTTTCATCATCATCGTCTCCAGCCCCAACATCAAAGCGTTCTAGAAAGCCTCGATCATCTTCTACCAACGCTGGTAACGCCTCCTCTTTGAATAATTCTTCTTCAAAGCCTCGCCTCACAGCCCATCAAAAGTCGGACAATCACAAGGAAGCAGAAAATCGCCGTCGTAACGGCATCCGCGACCAATATGTTGCTTTATCGCAGCTCGTACCAGGCACGGAAGGACAAGCAAAAAGTGAGGAGAAGATGCTGGTTAAGACAGCTGAATACATGAAGCAATTGCTGGATGACCGGCGAGCGTTGACCGCGCAACTCGAGGCAATGGGTGGTCAGGCCGGTGATCTGCTGCTGTCTGACAGCGAATGGGGCGGAACAGAATGGGATCCAAAATGCGAGACTGAGTATTGGAAGAGAAGAGCGGAGAGGATAGCAGAGCAAGGTTATGACGAAGCTGATGAGGGGCCAGACGACAGGCCTGGGAGTAATGGCTGAGGCAGCGGATACTGGCCAAGGAAAGAAATTTCCAGCAATTCTTCACCATCTCCATGGCAGATCGGGAACTTCGCGGACTGGGCAGGTAACTCAGATCCCTCTCATCTGGCGACTCAAAAGTCAACGATTTATGGGTAGCAATGGAGGATCACCATGCCCTATTGCTGCAGAACAATGCCTCATTACGAAAATCTTTCGAATCAAGGACACGGACCAGTGCAATGAGCAATCCTAGCATTCGAGTTAGCGTGGCGTTGTTGGTTGTTTAAACACTCATAGAATACCTCCACTTGCATCCAGCGGGCCAGGCAAGGGAGCAAAAGAATAATGTCACTTCCAAAGCAAGCACCATACCTGTCGAATACCAGTCTCACAAGGTATAGCCACAAGCAGCCTTGAGCAATGAAGAGCCTGGTACACAACGGGACCTCTCCTCCTATTACTATCTGGGTTAATTTGGACTATATTTAAGACTTGAGAACTGTCCGAGCTTGGTACGGTTGAGCTAGAACTCCTATCGCACCGCTGAATCAATCTTTGACATCCACAAACCAGAGAAACGGCAAAAAATGATGTCGGACAAATCGGTAGACCTAGGTGCCCCCTTGACTCACTATTAAAAATGCGCTACTCGCAGTACAGTATGTCTGGCAAATTCAGCCTGAAGGCGAAGCCTATATTGACTCCTGGCTTCCGTTAATGCTTAAAAGGCATCAGCTATTCTAACATTGCTCGCTAGCTTTCATTTCAGTCTTTCCAGAACTCTATTCTATAATCCTTTCAGAATAATTGATCAGAAACCGTCCCAAAGCAGTCCGATTGGCAGGATGCCAATCTTTTGCAAGAGAATCGCTGCTTGCTCTAAACTCTACAGACCAATCACGATCCCATTCATGTCTGTTCCGTAATCGTTTGCCTGGTATCGGCCCTCGCGAAAAAGGTCAAGCAAGAATGCTTTTGAGATGTGACTTCTACAGCATGCGATCATACTATAAACTAACTGAAAGACAAATGGGCACTCCTCGATCGTGCTTGGGTGCGATCTCTCAGTCCGTATGGGTGGGGCAGATGAAAATACGGAGTGCTTCGACCTGTGGTGCATGGAGATGATGCGCTCTACTGCTTAGGCCCCGAGACGAACGTAGATCTGTTCCGAAAAAAACTATAGCGCTCTTGCACACGCCGTTCCTCATCTATCCACATGGTCGGCAGTCCCCACATCCCTCTGCGTCTCCATCAACGCCAACGTGACCGTTGTGAATGTCCCCCACAAGGTAAGTAAGATATCCCTGAATAGCTGCTCCGCCTGCTACCATACCTTCCAGTTGTCTGTATCCTTCAGCTGCAAAAAAGGTGGGAGAAGGGCCAGGCTGAAAACTTCGGAGCTCTCTTGAGGCAGCAGCTAGGCAGATGGTCAATTCTGATTACTGTCAAGCGAGGGTCGTTGCGGACTTCGACAGGAAGCGTTGGGAAGGTGAATGTGCTATCTTTGGTACAAATCGAAATTGGGTTGTGCGGAGGTGTGGTGTCGCAGCTCACATCGCAGGTAACGCTGGGTGTGTGGTTTGGCGAGGCTAGGGACCTAGCATCTTGAAGAAGGGGGATGGGGAGAGATCAATGCGTTTCACGAAGATGTGTAATTCGATGATCTCACCGAACGGCCGCATTTTGCTGTTTCTATCATGTCCCATTTCAGAAAACGGATGCATCAACCACTCCGCCAAAAAGACGGCGCTGATGGTTTTCGAACCACACCTGATTGATGTATTCTTCCTGACAATTTCAAGTTACTGTCTTTTTGTATGCCGGCCTGAATACAGAGGTCCACGGCACCACTACCGCAGGGCCAAGTGCCCCAATAACCAACCAGTACACGAGATTTGCGGCCGGCGTCAGCTTCGTCTTCTGATATTGTCGAGCGTCCATGTTTGAAAAGGAGGTTTTGGTTTGCGTAGCGTCCCACGCCAGAAAGAAGTCTGCATGAGCTTTGATTGAGCTGCCATACGCAGGCTTTGACTGGAAGAGACAGCCCCTACGTAGCCACATGATTAAGCTGCGAAACGCCCGCCAGACTCATCATTCAGGAATTCAAGATCAAGGAGATCTCAATCCTGCAGGCCAGAACCAGCACACCTATGAAGCAAGAAGTCTGTTATGGTACGATCAGCTAGTCCTGTAGGTTTCTATAATGATTGCCATATTCTTTCACCTAGTTACTACATACAATCACTTTCGATCTATCAGCTTCGAACGTCCTCCCAAAAAAACGGTGTGGAGTCTTTTCTACATCTTCGCACTCTCTGCGATGCTTGGCGTATCTGCAGTTGTATATAGTTGGCCGGTCTTGAAGCGGCACGATCGGTGTCAGCGCTGAGGAGTAATACTGTATCAGCTCAAAGCGTCAAGTACTAGTGGTGTGTGGCTACTAGAAATGGAGGAAGTAGCTTCATAAGCGCCAAGGCCCAACAGCAGCCACCTTCAGAGCTGGAACGACCATAATTTGACCGTCATATGGCCATAACTTTGGAGAAAAGACGCCCAGAATGACACAATTTCATTGGATATTAGACGTCTAGCTGCGACTTCTATGCAAATTATATCATATCACGGTTAGGCATAACTTTCAGAGGGCCTCTTCCACAGTTTTGAGCCGCCAGAACAACCCTAACGGGAAGAGCGTCAAGATATACCCCGTAATCTTCATGTCAGAGCAGAGGGTGCCGTTCTTGATATGGTAAAGCGTATGCAGCCGCTTTTAAGTTATTCCGAGCCTCTGCGGCACAGCCTGTGGTCGCCCCCACGGCGACCTGCAGAGCCTGGTTTCATCACATCGCTTTCTAAAAGTACTGGTTCCCTTGATTGGTGCTGACTGCGGCGCGGCCAGGCTATGATGGCGTCCTTGTCTACAATTGATGTTGCCTGCTTTTTTTTTGAGTATTCTATGGTTTAATTGATTGGTTGTCGACGGGAGGGTGGCGTTCTTGATTAGGAAAAGCGTATGTTGTCGCTTAAATATCTTGGCGCTTTGGGCTTAGAGTTGTACTTCTAAGTGCGCGTTTAGGTAAATGCGTTATTTTGGGGGGTTCGAAATGGAGGGTGGAGGGTTCCGAGTCGTTCTACCTCTGTTCCACCTACCAATGTGTCTTCTAAAAGTCCTCGTCTTAACGGCACCTTGATGAGCTTTATTTGTAAACTCACCCAGTAGCACCGCTCAACTTCGAATGGAGAGTTTGATCCGGAAATTTGAGTCCCAAGAGGTCGGATATCTTGGCAAGAGGCAGAAATTATATGGGACAACCCAGACCGGTATGTGGAACAAGACCGATGTCGAAAGATTCTTGAGTATCATCACTGCACCGCAAGATCGGGTAGAAACAATCAGGCCTCTTGCAAGCAGTCTGTTTTTTTAGCAGCCTGTCCGGCTTTGGCAGAACCGATTGCTGCATTCTGCATGGCTTTGGTCAACGACGAACTCACTGCAGCAGAACAGGTCAGGGACGAGATATCGAAGGAGGATTTGCTGTGGTTCGATAGGTGCTCTTTTCTTTTCGGTGCAGAGCTGGATCTGCGGATTGTGAGGTGGCTTGTGGAGGTCCAGAAAATCTCATTTTGGCGGGGTGACCGCCTTGTCCAGGACCCTCCAAGCTGGAACGATACCTATCCAATGAATGCACTACTGTTCGCGATGGATAGTGGAAACATGGAAGTTGTGCATTACTTGTTTCAAGAATGGAATGATTGTCCGGTAAGTATCAACGTTTGGTGTTGGAAATGGCATCCAAAGCAAGCTCTAATCCCCCCATCAGACAATTTGGACGATGGATCACATATTCAGTGGCTCCTTTGATAGCAGACAATACTTTGACCAGATTCTACAACAACGACCTCAGAACTTTGCCTGTATGTCGTTCGATGAATAATGCGTCTGGTACTTCTGGAGGTATCTCCGTGTTCCTTTCGGCGAGGACCAACTAGACATCGCGATGGCCAAATTGGAGTACGACGAGGAATTTCTTTCGAGTGCGGTGCGACTTTACGATGCGCTAGATGGTCGTATGGATGAATTCCATTCTGAGAAAAAGTATCAATATTATGCTGTCTGGGAGCTTTACGGCCATGATAAAAACCTTTTTATGGCAAGTATGGATGATGTGGAACCCATCGACACATTCTTTTCCAATTTTCAGCCGTTTCGACACTCCCCTCAATTTTCATCATTGAGAATACAAACTCTAGAAGCATTGAAGAGAAGTAGGAGCACTAAGCTCAGGACGGCCGCAGGCATCATGACGATAATTCAAGAAGACTGGGACTACTTTGACTGCTGCTGGGAAGCTGCTAGGAAAGTTGACTGGGCTCATTCTGCCGGGAACAATTGCCCATCCGAATATCCCTTCTTGCAGGGCCTAAAACTCATAGCTCGAGATCTGTATCGCCGCATCTTAGAACAAGAAACTCAAAGAGCGATCAAATTCATGTCGGACCTTGAAAAATACAATTCTCTGGACTCACCTTCCACCCTGGGCGCAACAGACAAAGTTAACCAGAAGAGCTCCGAAATCTGCTCTCTACTTGCCGCTGCTGGGTCCAAGAAGACACATCGAATGTTCGATATGCTTCGTGCGCACTTTGGATTCTATCTTGTATCTGGAGCAGTACGAAGCGAAGAACTTCCTACGGATCCTGGAGAGAGACTATACTGTCCTAGAACAAGTGCCGTGTGCGCAGATATAGAGCTCCTAATTCGAACCGTCAACCTAGGTCCGAAAAGATGACAACCCGCAAAATCCGGCATCTTTAGAAGGAACGAGGTGATTTTGGAGGAACAGTGTGCGCTACTTATAGACAGCTGTTTGATACTACTGCTTGCAATGTTGAAGCGCGGTAATCAAATAAAGCCGTGGCAGTGGCTGCGATACCAGCTGTTCTCCGACGGGGACGTCGCTTTCCGCTCCTTATTCCACTGCCTCCTTCTCGCAAGGAATGATGACCCGTTCGGATATCGCAATTTGGATGATTAGGCACTGCACGATTCTCAACGAGCTTCTTGGAACGACATGCAGAAGAAAATCCACCTTCTCTGGTGTTTTGACGAGGTTCAATGCGACGCCGCCATAGCTGTGAGGACGAAGAGGGAGGGAGACGACATCACGGATTTCCGCTACCAGGATATTGAAATTGAATACCAAGACCCCACTGCTTTGTCGTTCCTGGTGACTTCACTCTATTCTCTGCCAGGATGTCATAGCAGTGTTCTGGCAGGCACTGCTTTGAATATAAAAAGAGTCGAGGAAATAGTGAACCTGGCTGTTGACACGTCTGCAGATACTAGGCTCGCATATGGCCTTTCTCCGACAGGATACAATATTCCTCAGATGAAATCGCTTGATCGTTCTCATCTCGTAAGCGCCGACAGATATTTTGAAGATTTGTTGGAGCCAAGCATCCGCTCAGTCATCGAGGTCTTATGGGACGCAACCTCTCCACAACCACCAGATAAGCTTGGACGCTGTCCGCGCCAGGCTCAAAGCGTCTCTTGTAGGTAGTGAGACTGTCTTCGAGGATCAAGCTTTTATCAGCAAGTTTCGTGGGCAACGCCAGCAGGGAGGTCGTTTTGCCAACATGGGCAAAAACCAAATAGCCGTTACAATAGTCCACTGGTTCTGATCGAATGACATCTTGACTCACATTCTGAAACAAAGCCTTCCTCTGCGCAGTCGCTCCCCATGGTCCGTTTGTTACATCGAAGAGCTCTTCAGAGCTTATATCATAAACCTGGACTCAATCAGCCAAGACGGCTCGCTGTCCGAGGAATTTGCGAAAAAGATTGCGATACATCTATAGAGGTCCAAAAGAAAGCAAATCAGCCTCTGAAACAGAGAACTCAGAAATTGGCAACCTCCGCAGATCTCATATGGCAGAAATTGGCCAACGATGTTTCCTATATGGCGATGCAAGCTGAGCTGTTCAGCCGTTCTAGGTTTTTGGATATTGCAGAAGCGGCAACCCTGGTTAAGCAAGCAATTGCATATATGACCGAAGTGGACCGCGGAAAATTCCTGGTGTGTATTGCAGAACAGCTAGTCGTTGACGCCGTAATGGAATATCTACGAGATAGAACGCCTCCTAGCACGCATACAGACGAATATCTTGGGTTATGGCAGTACAGCGCCTCTTCTTTTGGATTTATCGCAGAGGATCGTCTTGCCAAAGCAATATACACAAATGCGTATGAGCACAAGAACCCGACAGAGCGGACTAGGTTCCTGACAAAATTTGATAACGTCTATAAAATATCAAAATCCCTTGGTTCTCAGACCTCCTGGCTTGGCCTTAAGGGTTTTGTTCTTGAGCATAATTCAGGAACAGTGGATGTGGCACTGAGCGGAAACGAGGCCGACGGACAGGATGATGACAAAGACGAGGACCACGAAAAAGAGGACGGCGAAAACAAAATTGTCAGGGGAATGAGTGTCGGTGAATGGCTTCACAGAGTCCTTCGAAACGAAGCAAGACCAACCTTCCTACTGCCCAGTACATCCGCAGGGCCTGACGTGATGTTCGTGCTTTGCAGGAAGCAAAAGACATTGATTCAGCGGGTCATATACGCTGTCCAGGTAGGAGGCAAACTCTCATTGCCGGTCTTTGAAGCTAATACTCGTGTACACCGCAGTCGAAAATGGCCATGAGAGTCAGCGTTGACGCAAAAGTACAGTATACTGTCAACCCTGACCGGTAGTACTGTGGATCTCGGAAGCGGAATGAGAAAGCCGAGTTCCTCGAAATATTGCATGATTTCAAGACAGCCTGCGCAGCACGGCCAGGAGAGTTCGAGTTCCTCACTTTTCTACTTCTGGGTTGCGACGAAGAAGCAGATGTGAAAACTACCGAGATTGTCAATAAATTGACTAAGAGGAAGAAAGACGCCAGATTTGCGCAAGATATCGTGAACAAGGCAGAACTTAAAAAAACTAATCCTGGCATGTCTAAGCCTAAAGGAACCCTGGTCGTCGAAACCTCGATCCAAGGCTAGATCACAAAAGGCATTCCTGGCTAGACGGGGTTGTAAGTGATAGAATGCGGGTGAGAGATGTCGCTATCGAACCACATGCTCTGCGTGAAAGTTTATTGCTGAGCCAGACGATCTTCGCTATCTTTACATCCTTCTCTGCCTCCAATTTGGCCCGGGCGTCCTCTCGAAGTGACCCTTCCGGTGTGAGAATCACGTGTGCCGCGATACTGTCCATCTTGACGGGATACAGCTGATCCCCTAGTACCCGACCACCCTGCGGTTTTGACTGTTCTGCTGCTTTTTTCACCTGCTTTAATTCTTCTTCGTCTCTGTAGAGAATGCTTACGCGCTAGGGGTTTCTGTTGTCCTGAATAACCGCATTATAGGACCAGCCTGGTTGCTTTTGGTCTGATCGTATGACTTTTTCCACCCCTGCTCTTATGTTGCTTAGTAGTGCCTCTTTTTCCTTTTCTGTCATATCCAACCCCTCCACTGTGCAAAACAGACTTGAAGTTACTGTTAGTTCGGGCGCAAAGGTGAGGGCATTCGGGCTAAGGCTGGTGCTCTTGTCCCCGAGCTTCGTGGCCTTTCTTCCTATAGTGTTTGTTGCTGCTGCCGCTGTGTATGTGATTAGTATTATGCGTTAAGGTGCTTGAAGAATTTCGATCTGCTGTCTTAGAGCTGTGATGAGCACCTTCTGATCTTCCATTAGGGCTTTCATATCCTTATTATCCTTTGTTATGTCTTCTAGAAGAGCCTTATCCATCCTCTATGCCTCCTCTATCTCCGTTATCTTGTCTTGCATCTTGTCCAGCCGGTACTTAAGGACCTTAATGACCGCTTGAGACACACTCTCTTCTATCCGGCGTGCCAGAGACTCGTTCCCCAGCTCCTCGTTTCTATCACCTTGCTCGTCGGTCTCCATTCTGTCCCGGGCATTCCTGATATCGCGCAGGGGTTCACGCTTTGATAGGACCCCTCGGGTGGCCCCTGTCAGGTCCTTCTTCTGCCGGCATTGCACTACTACCGAAACTCGGTGCGGATGCGTCCGGGAGCGGCTACGACGCGTTTGCACGACCGAGTCGTTATTGCTGGCCTCAATTGGATAAAAATTCGAGTTTTTATGTAACTAGAGTGTACACACTGCAGCTAAGTTGTCTGTACTCCTTTCTTGTCGATGAGGTGTTGACTTTTGTCAGCCATATTTCGGCGAATCCTCGGCCCTTCGGCTTTCATTAGCCCGTTTGTTGCCTGCGCTATTTTCCTACGTTATTCTGTGCCTGTTTGACAACTTGCTCTACGCATTCGCATTTCCTATTTGAATGGAATCAGAGGCCTCCATACAGGCAGAACTCTGGTCTGCCTATGTACAGGCGCTGTCGCCTTCGTACAACGCTGTTGCCTAAGGATACCTGTTCAGAAGCTGAAATAATGACGCTGGAGGATGCCTCTAAGGGAACTACGTTCCAGGTTCGGAGAGCTCATCTTCTAGTAAGAAGGCCGCTGCCTGTTTTTTAAAGTGTAGTCCGCTTAAGTGGGGGCGTAAGGTGGTGAGGTGTCAGAAGGTGGAGGCACCAAACAAGTCTGCAAATCGGATGTCTCTAAGGTGTGAAAAGGTGGAATTACAGAAGTAGATAGAAATCAACTAAGACTAGTCAGAGTCAATAGAGTAGAAGTGTCTTACTGATGTGGTTGAATTGCTTGCTTCTTCTAGCTATCTAGGGAGCATCTAGTCTGTTATATAGACTACCGCCAAGGAGCCAGAAGAAGCCTAAATAGCTTGTGAGACTGTTTATGCTAACTAGGACACTGTCTACTACAGATGCGTAATATATGTATAGCATTTTTTGCACAATGCCTTTGCTGTGGCATGTTACTGTCAGAATCCCTGCGTATATGATACGTATCTGTTACGTATTAGCATGATGGTACAAGGGTCCCCGCATGCAAAACGCACGAAACGCTCTTGTAACGGTAACGCCCTGTTATTTATGGCAGTGAGCATTGCTATCCACCACTCTGTCATAAAATGACGGTATTTATCATTGGCTCAAATATCCGCAGCCAAGGTATCTCACGTGACTATCTACCAATGAAAAAGCATCATCTCAACCTTAATCCTCTTAAAGGTGCGCCTGTAGCGTACCTCGCGTCTGTGGCGGATATTTAAGCCAATGATAAATACCGTCATTTTATGACAGAGTGGTGGATAGCAATGCTCACTGCCATAAATAACAGGGCGTTACCGTTACAAGAGCGTTTCGTGCGTTTTGCATGCGGGGACCCTTGTACCATCATGCTAATACGACATCTCTGAACTTTGGTTGAGTTCCAGCCATGTTCCAATTGATCCTGATGCCAAGCTTTAACTAGCGCGCTTAGCTGCGGCAACTTGTGTGACGCAGAGCCTCAGAGGACTCCTCGGCCTTCTAGGGACTTGGCCCTCAGGGGACTTGGCCGCCAACCAAGCTATGACGTAGATTAGCTTTTGCGGGGGGCATTAGCGGATTGAGATTAGGAGATTCTTCTCCGACTCTGCGAAAAGACCGCTAACTTAGTTAGTACTTTTTCGAACCGGATGCGTTCTCCGCCCTGACGGTTCAAGACAGTGTGAGTGTAGGGGTACAATCCTGGAGAGCGAGCTATCGAACTCTATTCCCAATATCGCCTTAGCTCTTGCCTCATAAAGCAATCTAGGGTTGGCGCGCCATTTATAAGTACAGGAACGTCTGTAGGTCTGGGAGGAACAGCTTTAAAGGCTTGAGACCACCTATTCATCCCGTGCGTATGACCAAAACCCTTCCTTCTACGCCCGTAAACCAGACAAGGGTACCTGTCACCTCATTAAAGAATCTTGCGTAAATAATGTTATGGATAGAGAGGCCGGCACGCTGCGTAAAGTACTGTAGAATAGCAAGTTGTTCTATCTAGAAGGGGGGGTAGAAGGCGTAGAGGTACATGTACGTAAAAATAGGCTGTACGGTCCAGCGAATTAGTGCGGAGATTGCATGCCAAATTGGCCAATAACGAGTGGGCAGATTACATAGAAAACGCAGCAAAATCGATCAATCAGCTGTCACAAATGTTGACAGCTACTAACTTAGTATGTATAGCGTCAAAGTATTCACATCCTTTCAAGGCTACCCCGATCTGGAGGAGAAGCAGACTTCTAAGTTAGCGCTGTCACTTTCGCCGTTGTGTTGTTCGAGCCGGTGTTGTTTAAGGTTTGCTGCTGATGCATTTGTCTGACAGAGACTCCCATGGCGACACCTCGAACATTTCTCCGGCCTGTCAGATCTGCTGAACCAAAAGGGCCGTGGCCAAAATTGGCCCCTAATCAGCTATTTGTCTGACAGAATCCTCTCACTTCAGGCCCTACTTGTTATTGTGCATTGCGAAACCTTGCAAATCCTTGACGTTATCTCAAGAATTGTCGGCACCACTGCAGGTTGTTAACAGAAACAGCTCCCAAAGATTAAATGAATAAACTTACTAAATGGACTCCACATCCAAATAACGCTAAGCTTCTTTTACTTCTTTTTGATACAGATCTTTAATGTATGAGACTCTTTTTTAGGAAGCAATATTTAGAATATGAAAAGTATACTGTATTAATTAAGCTCTGTATCACTAGTTATCTATATCATTAGAATCAGAAGATATCCACCTACACTTCGTTATAAGAAATATATAGTTATGATATTTAGAAAGCTTACGAGAGTTGTTTCTGTTTGAAGACGTGGCGCCAGCAACTTGAACTCTGTAAACCTGCCAAGAAATGAACAGTACCACGCCGGCCTCGGCAGACTAAAAAGACGTTATGTGCCTAACCGCTGTAGGACTACCAGTACGATGTACGACCAGAATTCAGATATCCGGGTGTACGGAGTCATGCATCAAAAGTAGTCAAACTACGCTAATATTAGCCGCCTAGTCAACGTGTTTTCCTGCTACCGGTATTCTGCTGCGAACTTGCTTAGCGCTGAAGTTCGTCTAACCGAAAGATACTATGCAGCAAATATAAAGTCATGTGTGCAGGCTTTCTATAAACTAATCTGTAAGGTTGATTCACAGCTATGGTTCTGAACAAATTTCAGGCGTGTCAAATTTCCATGCATGGCTCTGTGAAAAATTTACAGCCACAGAGCCTACGAGCAGTCTTCCGTCCCCGCTAACAATCCACTGCGCAACCACCAGCGCTCTCTTCACTCTTCAAAGAGGGAATCGGCGATGCTGCGCACCAATAGGCCACAGTCAATGTCAATAGCCATGACATCATGGAGCTGCGAAGGGAACCTCGACGGTTTATCACCCCTGTGTATGTCCCAAACAGCATTGTGCTGGCCCATGGTCGCGGTCTGGATCATCGAGAGACCTCTGATGCGAACTTGCTTGCATGCAACACAGGCCCCCCACAGGAGAGCTAACATATTGATTCGTTGCCGCATGGAAAGGGCTGGCTATTGTGCGCCTTTTTGCTTTGTAGTCCTCTATCGCCCCAGGATATGAATCCGAGATGGGTAGCCTCGCGACGATGACAGAGCTCTATTCCATGCTATGTCCGCTCTAGTCCTTTTAGTTACGGCACACGACTGCAAATTGTGGATGGCATGCAGTCGATCAATACTCAGTCCTCGCCCAGCTACTTGTGACGCTGTCAAGCGTCATGGAGAAAAGAAGCGTCATGGAGAAAGCGTCATGGAGAGCGTCATGGAGAAAAGTGTACTTATAGAGCCCGTTCTGCTGTCAGTGTACATTCCTATTCTACTTCCAACAGTTATTACCACGGTCAAGTAGCTTTCTCTTCATCGCTACCAACAAAAGTTTCCTCTTCTCTTCTCAGTCCTTGTGAAATTACCGACGTCCTTCCACAACCACCCACTCACAACAATTTTACACAAGATGCATCCCAACACTCTGACCATGGTACTCCTGTTCGTCTCCAACAGTGCAGCTATCTCCATCGGCTCAGCCAGTAACTTCGGCGCCTGCGCTGGCCAAACCGTCACCTCGACCGGGAACACGGTCATCGTCGGGTCCGTCGGCACCTCACCCGGCACCTCAATCACCGGGTTCCCACCGGGCCAGGCCACCTCGCTCAACCGGGCCAACTTTGCCGCCCGCAGGTGCATCGCGGACATCTCGACCGCGTATGCAGCGTGCAAGGGGGCCCTCGCTCCGGTCATGCTGACAGGTCAGCCGCTGGATGGCAAGGTCCTGTCGCCGGGAACGTACAGCTATGCCACTACAGCGGCGCTGAATCCCGGCGCGACGCTCACGTTCGATGCGCGTGGAATTTCCACTGCCGAGTTCGCCATCCAGGTCGGCACCTCGCTTGACCTGTTCAGCAACAGCAAGATCCTCCTCACCAACGGCGCAAGGGCCTGCAATGTCATTTTCTGCGCCGGCAGCTCTGTCGTCATCGGCACTAACGCCGGCGTCAACGCCACCATCGTGGCCTACACGAGCATCAGCGTTGCCAACGAGGCGGCGAACAGAGGTGGCTTGTATGGCATCAATGGCGCCGTAACCTTGATTAACAATAGAATCAACTCCTGTTCCCAGCCGTTGTTGGATCTATCTGTGTCCATCGGTTAAAGGTACACACGTGGGTAAGGATGACACAAGACGAAATAGAAACGCATCAGCAAGGATGGGATGGCTGAGTATATCAGAGGCCTGACGAGGCTAAAGGAATACTAGCTGGCTTGCTTCTCTGTTGTTCCACCGCGTCCTCTGTACCTCATGGCCGCAGAAAAATTAGCTGGACAAGCTCCAATAGTCCGAAATACATCAATCCAACCAATGGTGGATGTGTATACCGTTTTGTACCGATCTAAGATTGTGTACCGTTAGTACCGTATTATAGCAAAGCCAGACCTCTTAATGTCTATAGTATTCAAATGACAATATCCTCCTTCAAAATTCCAATGGTTTTATCTGGGTGTGGCACCCTTCTCCTCACCCGTTTGTCGATGGCGCCTCGGACCCAGCGCCGACAGGAGCGGCGCGTGGCCCAGCAACGGTGCGGGCACTTCCGAGTTAAATATTAAGCGGATCTCGTCCGGTGTGTTCCAGCTGAGTCGCGACCGCGAATATTCACGGCAGCTATATAGTGATATATGAAGTCGGATAATTGTCGGCATTACGATCCGAAGAGGATTTAGACGTTGACACAGACAAGGGGAACAGTGACTTCGCAAGTCCCTTGTGTTCCTGAAAGCAGAATTTAGGTGTCCAGCACTCTGTCATAAAATGACGGTATCCACCACTCTGTCATAAAATGACGGTATTTATCATTGGCTCAAATATCCGCCACAGACGCGAGGTACGCTACAGGCGCACCTTTAAGAGGATTAAGGTTGAGATGATGCTTTTCAATTGGTAGATAGTCACGTGAGATACCTTGGCTGCGGATATTTGAGCCAATGATAAATACCGTCATTTTATGACAGAGTGGTGGATAGTAGGACTAGCAGGCTCTTCTTTGCTGGTGTGCTAATTCTAGAGACAGCGCTCTCTAGGGTTTCAAAATATCGCTAGCGTAAAAGTTTGAACAGCTTAAGGCGCTATACGGATATAGGCATAGCTAGAGTAGTAAGATATGCAGTAAGAGATATGTAACTTATTAGCTTTATGATCGCCTTGTCTAATAGCGTCTCTATAAAGGCAGATACAATATCGGCATTGATGTTTTAGTTTTAATAGTTACGTTAGTAGTAGTAGATTCCTTCGTTTATATACCTTACTTGTTAGGGGCACTTGTCAGGCTCACAGGAGATGACAGCCCTCCTGGTTACCGGCACTCAACCGGTACCATAGCAACGGTTAGTTAGTATGGCACTAGCCAACCGGTCATATGGCGGTAAGCCGACCAGTAGGTAGAGAATCAAACTTCCATCACACTTCAGATTGACTGGTCTCTTTGCATTCATGCCATTGGCATGATAGCACTGCTCTGGGTGGTTCCCAGGTTTAGGCGTTGGTCTTGGCGTTTAGCCCCATCATCCTTGTCTAGTGTGGGTTCAGAGGGTGTCAAAAGCAGCGTCAAAGGGTCGCTCCGGTCCCCCGATTTGGCACCCTTTGCACCCTCATCTACGGATACTCGTACTCCGTACACATTGACTCTTACCAGATAGCTAAAGATATGCACAAGACGTCATCAGTAGAGGTAGCGAATATTCTATCAATCCAGATCACAACAGTATCATCGAATAAACTGATTCTGACCGTATAATAAAAAATCTTTCCGGCAAAGTGAATTCAAAATGACTGTACTTAATTGGATTGCGGACAATCTAGCTACATATCTTTTGTACACTCTAAGCAATCTTACGGTTAGACTTATTACGTGGAGTACTCAGGGCACATACAAATGGCTCCTTGTCAGGAAATACATCAATCGAATGAGGTTCAGAAACCCACCGGCGCTGTCCTCGTGGCGGAGTGGTTGTCATCCTTTTTGTCATCCTTTTTGTCTTCTGGCATTATCTTAGGGAGGCCTCTTCCTGCTAGGTAATACTAGGGATTCAATTTTTGTCTTAGATAGATGTCTGCAAAGGCAAAGCAAGAGGTATGCAAGTGATGCATACGTAGAATGAAAAAGTGTCGCAGGACCTTGAAGACTCCATGATCGATGCGTCTACTTTTGCAGTTTTGTTAACGTGTCTCGACGTAATTGTACTACTTTTCCTCCAGGATCAAACCTTTGCGTTTAGGTCCAAAGTATCCATCCTTATTCCAGATCATGAATATTTACCACTAATCAACAGTACCGGTAAGATGTCAGATATCAAGAAAGCGCCGGTACCTTCAGAACCTCCTCCATCCTACGAAGCCACACCACAGAATCCTGCCTCTCCCACCCCCCCTAAACCAAGTGTATTACGCCCTCCTCCTTTAGACCTGCCTGCTCTAACCCTCCTCCGCCGCCGCCGTACAATCCTAGCTTCAGCATCACCGCGGCGGAAACAGCTCCTTGCAACCATAGGACTAACCAACATCGAGATCATCCCATCGTCTTTCGAAGAGAATCTACCAAAGTCCGCATCTCCATTCGAATATGTCCTCGCAACGGCCACAGAGAAGGCGCTCGCAGTCTACAAGCAAGAGATCGACAATGAATCTAAGGGTGAACCAGCGATGATTATAGCCGCAGATACAATCGTCGTGAGTAATTCAGGACAGATTCTAGAGAAGCCACGGAGCGAGGCGCAACATATAGCCATGTTGAAGTGTTTGCGAGATACGGGGGTCCACCGTGTCTATACGGCTGTGGCGTGCATGGCTCCGTTAGAGAGTGCACGAGATCCTGGTTATGCGATGGAAACGGCGGTAGAGGAGACGGCTGTGAAATTTGACTCTACTGTGACCGACGAATTACTGTTGGCATATGTAAAGACCAGGGAAGGGGCTGATAAGGCTGGCGGTTATGGAATTCAGGGTACAGGTGGTATACTGGTGGAGAAAATCGATGGCAGCTTCGATAATGTTGTGGGTTTGCCAATAAGGGTAGTATTGAAGCTGATCGAAAGGGTAGTTGAAAAGAGCGAGGACGGTGATATTCTGGAGCACGATTTGCTGGGGGATGAGGAAGAAGAGGAAGAATGATGATAGATACAAGGTACGTATGACAGGAGAAAGCCGGTTAATGAAAGCTGTGCACAGGTGCTAAGACACATTAATAAATCTGATATTGCCCTGTCAGGAATGATATCCTTATATGTTCTGGCCTAACCAAAAGAATCAGGCCAGTCTCAACATTCCAATGTACTTCAGGACTCTCGCTTTCGAAGTGTTTTGACCGCCAGCTGGCTGTCCAAGCAGCGACTTGACACCTTCCTTGAGGTCATGTATCGGCTAAGGATATGATTGTCAAAAAGCCTTCCTGTGTCTGTCTCCCTCAAGCGGATCCAATAGCCTTATCGGTTGATCCTGCCTTCCAAATCCTCCTGACACCTTGGGTAAGGCCCACATCGTTTGTCTCAAATTCATAAAACCCAATCCCTACAACCAGTGTACCTAACCTGAGCAGCCACTCGAATAGTTTTCTCGCTCTTGGGTGATTTCTGTTCGGGATGTAATCAATAATAATTGATCTTCCAATCCATTAGTATTAATGTCCAACCAGACAGTATCACATCTCGTGTCACACTCACGTAAATCCAACATGGCTATGTAGTAGAATTGCAGCGACCAATACGGAGTCCATCACGGGGTTTAAACTTCCGTATGCAAACGGTGCTATGGTAAGAGGTACCAATCCCAAGGATAATGCTCGTTCGAAGGTCCAATGATAAGATCCGTGAGTTGGTGAAGGCTTAGGGACAGGAGCAGGATCGTTAGCAGTGCCTTCGAGAACTTGAGGACCAGCGGGAAGGATAGCTCGTCGACTTGTAGTATGAAAGGTGGTAACTAGAGGTGTTTGGCAGATAATAGAGGTGATCGGTGGGATTGCTGCTGGTTGACATGCACGGAGTATTGAGGGTTTTGGAACGAAAGCTTTTCTCGAAGTGATCAAGAGACTCTGCCGAAGGAGCGCTGGTCGCATGATTGATGCCATTATCATCAAGGCACGAAGTTGCCTGGATATTGTACAAAACAGCTTAATGGGACGATGTTATGTTGTCGAGGTGGACTCGATCACTAGACATTTGATCCGCCGAGGTTGGTGCTGATCTTGGCATCAACGTCAGTGGAGCTTCAATCCACCAACCCACTTCGTGCACCAGAACAGATTATGACTGGCATTTTGATCCAGTGCAGGAAATGCCGAATGCTCGCACTGTTAACCAAATTGTAATTCACAGGGTTTACAGCAATTACGAGGAGGTCGAGGGTCGTTATCGTTATATGCAACATCGTGGAGTGGATTGGTAGAATGAGCAGGCACTGCCTTGGCTACACCCAGAGCAAGTTCTACGCCGAGCTTCCATAACCCCCATATTCCTTTGGGAGCACTCTAGCCATCTCAAAGGCCGACAATGTACATCAAATACATTCTCTGCACCAATCCCACTGCACGAGCTGGCGCTACCATGACCAAAGGGACCGCCTCTGATCTTCATTTCCTCGTCCCTCGCTCCGATTTTCCACAACTACTCCAGCTCTAACCCCTCCTCTCCTCTCTATAAGCGTAATCTCGCACGCCTCCTGGCCGCTCATTATCCTAGGACCCAGTGGACTCGACCATTTTCCAGCCCTCCTGCACCCCATTCCAATGCCGCACCAATTCTTCGGACGAGCAGCTTGTCTTAAACTCTGTTTCCCGGAGCACCCTGTGATCGTTAGTGCCTCATTTGGGTATCCTATTGAGCCTAAAGGGCTGGCCGCGGCCAAGGGATATCCTATATGAGTAAGAGAGCGCGCGTTGAGCGTCTGCCATGACTGATGTGGAATTAACGGGTAATTTGGGGGTAAACATGCATTATACGTTTGTGGGGAGATTGGGGTTTGGTTGGTCGTGACAGGGGACGAGGTAGGAAATATTGGCGCCAGGAGGAAATAAAAAACCTCATTTTGTGTATAAGGGTCTGAATCGATAAGATGGGAGATGAGCCTGTTGTCTTTCACGTTGTTCAGTATAGGGCAAAATGATCCATATCCACTTGTCGCGTTACATGGGAAATGCCCATTGGTTGATAGCTCCATAGCCAAGAAAATTGAAAATACCCGCGCGTGATCAGGACGCAATGTACAGGGCCATAAATCATGTGAAGGTCATGTCTGATGCGGGTGCTATGTCAGTTATAAGTTAGCTTATTTCCCAATAGAGACGAGGATATCACTCTCAGTAACTCGTAACCCTAAGTTAGGGAGGCATCACCCGCACGCAGAAGCGGGGTGTATGAGCACCATAGGCGAGCAATTGCATCTACTATCGAGTACGCCTACAGGCCTAATTTTTGTACCCCCAAGGTCAAAATATGTTACAAACGCCTTTTATACATATACATCCCTGTCAGCATCCGTGTCGCTATTTTGCATGAATTTTGCTCATCCTGCAAATTCTGGATTAGACGAATGATTAGATACAAGAGCGCTATGGAGATACACTGCACAAGACGATGAGCTACGAGCGGGCTGTTAATGCTGCCTGGGATGCTGTGCCTTCTGACTATCTTCGAAGCTGCTCAGTTGACGCAGGCGAGATGTTAAGCAGTGATAAATGCCAAATGGAATGCAAACTGGATTTTATAGACTAACCATATTTAGCTAATGTTGTGGACGTCTTTGCTTAATTCGATATAGTACGTTATGTACCGAGACTAACGTTTCAAGCAGGGGGGTACAAAAATTAGGGCTGTAGCTGTGGTAGTATCTAAGGTTACACGGCAGGGACGTGCCACAGGAACCGTACTCGCGCGTCTCCTCGATCATTGGTGCCGTTTTTGTCACGCATCACATTGAAAGTAGCTAGAACCTGTTCTCAACGAGACACTTCTCGGTCAGCGTCGCATCCTTCCGCAATGAAAAATTCAGCAATGCGCACGCAAAGAAAGAACTACCTCTAAGTTCTTGAGAACATAGATTAATATCAAGCCAATTTCGACATGCGAGATTCTCTACGACCGGCCCGTTGACATCAATTTCCACCCAGTATGCCGAAGCGGAACTGGACCGAAGCAAACCCTACATCTCCACACGGCGTTTCTACCATCACTCCGAACCTGTCACCTTCTCCTTCTCATGTTCGGTCTTCTGCTCAGGACAGTCCTCGACCATTAAATACTCAGGCTGCTCCCGCTGGGGGCACCCCTCAGAAGCAACTGAAGTCTGATACCAAGACCGCGACGATACACAAGGCAAGCTCGACCAATGGCTCAACCAGTATGAATGAGCCGAGGGTTCCGAGCATTTCTAGGAAGGTCAAGGCATGTGCAGCGTGCCGTAAGCAGAAGGTGCGCACAGTTAAGCCGTCCAGTCTTCCGGGTCTAATTGGGTAGATAAAATGTCTCATGGGACCGGGCGATTCACCTCCATGCCAAAGGTGTCGTGAGAGAGGTTTATCTTGTCGTCTTAATAAGAGCTTACAAACACTGATGTCGGAGGATGCCAAATGGAAGACTTCCGTGACAAGAGATATCGCTCACATGCACACCTCGTTGCAACAAGTTCTGCAAACGCTGTCCCTCCCCGGACTGCCAAATCCACATATCCACACCGTAGAACCTACCGTAATATTCGATCATGACCCGGAAAATGAGCATGAAGACTTGGAGGAGGAGGAGGAGGAGGAGCAATCATACGACAACTCCCCTAAACTTTCGCCTCTGGCGGAGAACGTTGCTCAGATACCCATTGAATCACTCTATCAAATTACTGGCCTCAGATCCCTTCGTTCCACAGAATCTGTTACTGACGAACAAAGGCGTATATGCAAACAACTTCGTGATAGTGATTTTATCTCTCGGGGACAGATCAGTGTACAGGACGCTGAACGACTAGCTGGCTACTACATCACGCGTCTGGACCCTTATTTCTATAATATGACTGCCCAGTATGAGGGCCTTGACGACTTTCGACGTCGATCTCCTACCCTGACGGCCGCAGTCTTAACTGTAGCAGCATTGCATGATGTCTCCGCCAAACCCGACCTTTACTCGTTATGCAGCAAAGAATTTAAACGCCTGGTTGCGAATGCGATGTTTGAAAGAAAGATTGACGTCGAGTACCTTCGAGCTTTGGTTGTCGGTTCTTTCTGGCTGAGTGATGTTGGATGGACGTTGTCTGGATATGCAATTCGTCGGGCAGGTGAATTTCACTTGAGAGCATGCTACTATCAACTGACGGACTCACTGAAACATCCATCAAAATATGACAAAGATCAGCTGTGTGACGCACGTGACGGCCTTCGATTGCTGTATCTTCTCTATATCTGTGATCACCATCTCTCTATTCTGTATGGAAGAGCATCCATCATGAGAGACAATGAGCACTATATTCTGGGCTATGAGAATTATCTGGCATGCTCAGTGGCTTCTGATAGTGACAAAAGGGTTGCTGCGCAGGTCTCTTTGCTTCTTTTGATGTCCCAAATCAGGGAGAGTCTAGGCCCAGAAGATGATACAGGAAGTCCATTACCGGAATCCATGCTCCCCAGGATCAAAAGCTTCGAACGTGACTTGGAAAACTGGGTTTTGCGCTGGTCAAAAACTCATAGTTAGTCTTTCGCGACCCTTTCCAGAAGCTAAGAGCTTTCGATTTCATTCCGATGGAAAACAAAGTACTGACAGGTACCCTAGATCCTAACAAGCATATTGGCACCTTTCCTGTTAAAGGAACATACATCCACCACTACTTCAGCAGAATCTATCTCGATGCCTACGTCTTTCGTGGTCTAAGGACTAACTCAACATCCCAAAGCTCAGTCATCCCCCAACCATTTGTCGAGACGGCTTCTGCTGCTGTCACCGCTGCTGTGAGTATCGTCAACATCATTCTGGAAGATGTAGAGGTTCAGGTCGGGCTCGCTGGCGTCCCTCATTACTTCTACGGCATGATAGCCTTCGCTTGCGTATTTCTAGTAAAGGCGGCAGCAAAGCACAGTGCACAGTTATTCATCAACCAACAAGAAACGCGGATGCTTATAGAAAGACTATCAACCCAGTTGAGCGCAACCCAGGTTGGTCGTGGCCACGTTATTCACCGAATGGCAGGAGGGCTCCGGAAAATGGCAGAGTCTTTAGCTTCTGGGGTCACTCAACAAGTGCCAACCAAAGCCGCCTTGCCCGAATCCAGCTCACAAAGCATGGATTACTCACCTGGAAGGCCAGCTGTCCCTATGCCGCTGGAATTTATGAACTTCAATCAGTTTCCGTCGATGGATGGAACAAATGTTGGTTTGGCCGATTCTAACCTCGGCTTCGGGATGCCGTTTTTTGACTTTGAAGGCACCAATATAGATATGTCAAGCCCAGTCTTCTCGTTTCCAATATGATCCAGTCTGATGTATAGGTGCATTCTTCAAGGTACTTGGCTTTAAGAAAGCCTGGTATGTTTGATTGTTCCAGGTGCTTTCACTAGGTATCAAAGTCTTACACTATGGAGGCTCTCAATTCTTGGCAACACAATGATTTCGGCTCTGGATAAGGACCCGCAAATCAGGCGGTTTCGGTCTTGCAGTGGATAAGTACTTTACGTCGCCGCAGCCAAGGTACAGCTCCTCGAACCTCAAGTGCCACTCAGGTCTTCCCTTCCAACAAGAACATCAACAATGACATTTGGCAGGCCATGATGGCTGATAAAAGCACATCAACTATGGAATGCGGACCTTCATGTCGCCTGGTAGATATAAGCCCAGTCATCACCAAGGGATCAAACACCCAAGGAGATTGGCTCAAAGTCCCCTTAAAGTCTATCACTTGCCTCCAACTTAGCAAGCGTTCGAACAAGTGCCACCACAGATTCTGATGCACAGGATGCGTCCCCACGGAACATTCTGACACTTGTCACTAGCAACGCTGATGAAGGTTCCCGCACATCTACCCCGGGAGTCGATATCACGATACATTCGTGCGGTAGCTCTCTCGAAGTTGACACGAGCGGACAATATGTTGTAGTTCCGGAGGGTAGTATCGCCGCAGGAGGAGAAGGTACCAATGTTATTGCCGCAGGAGGAAGTGGTGCTGGGATAGATGATGGTAGCAGAGGCTAGTGGAAGAAGGATGGAGGAGATGATGGAGAATTTCATGATGATTGAGATAGCACAGGAGAAGCTAGGGCAAGGTATAGTAAGGACTAGTATCTGCTTGGCTTGATTGAGCTTCAACTTGATCTGTGAGCTTGATTGTGGAAGAGAAGGAAGATGTACAAGGCACTCGCTCCCCATTACTTATACGGAGATGAACTTGTGCCGGGCTAAGTGCTGACAGTCCAGAACACAGAGTGGGCTGATCTAGATGGACTTGTCGACAGAGGCTAAGGAGAGTCACACATCGGATATATTACCCTTTAGTAGAAACGTAAGTCTTAGCCTGAAGCGGATCAGAAAAGCGAGCTTTATCTAAGCACTATAGAAGTCAATGTTGTCTCTGCATGACTTGGCACTCAAGCATGAACTTGCATCGGTTGTCTTAGGTCAGTGTTCGTGCATATTCAGTGTCAAGTAGTACAACTTAGTGGTACTAACTGTCATCGACAGGGAGTTAGATCTTTGGTGGGTCCTAGACGATGGAAAATTCTTCGCTCGGCAAGGTAAAAAGCTGGTCAGGCCAATCACCATAAGACATAGGCGAACTGTTGGCAGTCTGCTGTCTGACAGTGCAAAAGTGAGATCTATCATTCGTCTCCGCGCTCTAATGGGGTTGTTGTCTGGGTACTCGAGACCGGACCAAAGGCAGAGCAGAGAACTCGCTGTGCAGCCGATTGATGGTGCACTAGGTGGCTGCGCCGTTCACAGTGAGTTCAGGCCACAGGAGCTATGATCAAGAATGATGAGTTGAACCGTCCTGTCTACATCAATCGAGAAAGAGATAGTGCGGTGTGCCAAGGATTCAGAGCTGTTTCCTTCAATGGCACGGTTGACTGCAGTGGTGAGTACCACTTAGCTGCAGGAGAAGGGCTCTGAAAATGATGTGGTATTGGTCCTTAGTAATTTAGTAGATGTTTTATTATAAGGATTGTCTCAAATAGATCATAACTTAGCCATATTTTGACGGTCATTTTCCTGGAATGACGTCTGAAATAACATAATTTTATGGGATTTCAGATGTTTAGCTGCATAATTCTATGTAAACTGGATCCTATCACGGTTAGGCCGAAACTAAGCACATATTGATGATAATTTAGACATAGTTTTCAGAGGGCCTTCTCCTGCTAAGTAATACAGAGTAGTACTTGCCCGTCCCAATCCTTCCTTCCGAAAAGGCGCCTCTTACTGCAAGCCCAGCCTCCGATGGACGCTGGAACTATTACTTGAGCACTTCTACACTTTCGTGTAAACTCCTGACGGAAGCCCCGAAGCCATTACCAGTGCTCCAAACGCTGCTCCTGGAACCTAGAGAGGTGAGCTGTATTATCACCATTCCTAACGAATCTTTTTCGACTTCTGGGCAACCGTTGGCTATGGGTCTGCCTCATCGATAAGAAGATTCCACATCACTTAGTAGTATGAGTTATCAGTCCTTAATATGTATCCCATAATATACAATTTGATACACTTTGATACACTTTCTGCTAACTAGGGTCCCCTCTTCCACCCATGCGTAAGGCTAAATAGTTATGCCAACAGTCAGTCAACGTAAGAAGGGCTACGATTCATAGATGGCAGCCATGTCTTTGTATTGGTCCACCATTATACAAGCTTGGGCTCTAACAATGTACTTTATTCAAGACAATCATATTAGAGAGAAGATTGTAATACTTCATCGCCATGAGTAGTCAGTTTCAAAGAAAGCCAAATTCCGTGCTCCAAAGTTTTCCTGCCAAGTCTTAACACCACGCACCGCAGTTGAATTTTGATTGGTCATTCTTGCCAGCAGCTTTCAGCTTTCTTCAAACTGCGCTAGGGCAGGTACCTTCAGACTTCGCTACAAACCAGGTCAACATCTTCCGGACTCTCCTTTACACTCGCGATGGCTTCACGGAGGCTGGCGTATAGCTTCAATCAAGCTCTGCGCACTCGAAAGGCTTTGAGGTCAATTCAGCCCATCAAGCGAGGCTTTGCTACTCCTCTGGAGCCAGCACAAACAGAATGCACGACCCTCTCGAACGGCCTGACGGTAGGATTATGCCAGAATCTATTACCTTCCTCCGAACTGACAACGCCATCAGATTGCCACTCAACATTCACCATGGGCGCAGACGTCTACCGTTGGTGTGTGGATTGATGCTGGAAGCAGAGCAGAAACCGACAGAACGAATGGCACGGCGCACTTCTTAGAACATCTTGCATTCAAGGTAATGATGGAGGCCTGTTCCTCTTTGATAGAGCTGACGTTGGTAGGGTACAAACAAACGAAGTCAACAGCAGCTGGAGCTCGAAATTGAAAACATGGGAGGTCATCTGAACGCTTACACCTCGGTACCGTCCATTCAGTAGACGCAAGCAATATGGGTCCTGACAGAAAATGTAGCGCGAGAACACTGTTTATTATGCCAAATCTTTTAACTCCGATGTTCCAAGAACTGTCGATATTCTCTCCGATATTCTCCAAAATTCCAAACTTGAGCCGGCAGCTGTCGAGCGCGAAAGGGACGTCATCCTACGTGAGCAAGAGGAGGTTGACAAGCAGCTAGATGAAGTCGTCTTCGACCACCTTCACGCCACAGCTTATCAGGGTCAACCCCTTGGCCGGACAATTCTTGGACCAAAAGAGAACATCGCCAGCATACAGAGACAAGACTTACTGGATTACATCAAAACAAACTACCTGGCCGATCGCATGGTATTGGTCAGTGCTGGAGGTGTTCCACACGACGATCTGGTCAAGCTAGCAGAACAGTATTTCAGTAATCTACCACAAGCACCTCCAACATCGTACGCTTCGCAAGTCGCAGCAGAACAGAAGCGGAAGCCGGATTTCATTGGTTCAGAAGTTCGAGTTCGGGATGACACTATACCCACTGCACACATTGCTATTGCCGTTGAGGGAGTCAGCTGGAAAGATGATGACTACTTTACTGCCCTGGTCACCCAGGCCATTGTGGGAAATTGGGATCGGGCAATGGGTAACTCACCATATCTGGGCAGCAAGCTGAGCAGATTCGTCCACGAAAACGGTCTTGCCAACAGTTTCATGAGTTTCTCTACAAGCTACAGCGATACTGGGTAAGAAGGTCAATCTCTTATTATGCGGGTGACCGCTAACCAAAGTCAGTCTATGGGGAATATACCTTGTTACCGAGAACAAAACCCAGATTGACGATCTGGTTCATTTCACCCTACGCGAGTGGTCTCGCCTCTCATTCAACGTCAGCGAAGCAGAGACCGAGCGGGCCAAAGCTCAATTGAAGGCATCCTTGTTGCTCTCGTTGGACGGCACAACTGCCGTTGCAGAGGATATTGGTCGGCAGATTGTCACCACAGGTCGAAGAATGGACCCTCTTGAGATTGAACGGGTCATAGGCAACATCTCCGAAAAGGATGTAATGAGGTTCGCCAGAAAGAAGCTGTGGGATCAAGATGTGGCAGTGAGTGCGGTGGGCAGTATAGAGGGACTGCTTGATTACAACAGGATAAGGAACGACATGAGCAGGAACACGGCATAGAAGGGGAGCTTGGAGGATATGTAGAAGTTTGGCTTGGGTGAAAGCCTTGTAATTGTACAGACAGCCAAGCATAACTTTGAGCCATCACAATCTTATGCGCTTGTAAAAGGGAGAATTAATCCGTAGTGGTCGTCGTGGTACTCGGTGCCGCCGACCAATACGTTCTAACATGACAGATCCTTCCTTATATACTATAATATGTATCGAGGCCGAGCCCGAATCGAAAACGGCCCGAAACAGTAATCATCCTCTCATAACTTGCTGACGTGATAGGTTTGGTTCAAATGTTGACAGTGTATCTTGTACGTCTTTTTGAGATCTGTCATATTGGATCTGCTTATCAATGGAGATATTGAGGTCCATGAGAAGAATGTCAAGAGTGGAAACCTGTATCGGAAGGAACGCACTTCTCGACACGCCAGCGTGTAGGTTTCCAGCCTCTTGCCGTTTCCGGCACTAGATGCCGATACGGCACTAACTACTACGTAGTACCCCTTACGTCTTCTCCCCATTCTACCTCAACACTTGCCATTGTGGCTCAGGCTCCGTACCCGATGGGTAACCTTACCTCGGCGCAAATAAGGTTGACGTCGGAAGTGTCTCCTTGAGTCCTTATGCAGTCCAAGCTACGCCAACATGATTATGGAATGACGTCGTTAGCTTGGAAATCCAAATGCGAAGGTCAAGACGTCCCACGGGCGATGCGATTGGGTATATCGGATGAGTGACTTCTAATCGTCGTAGATTTGCTTGATATAAACCTCTTTTATGCCTCGAAGCGTTGTCGGGATTCCATAGAAGCAGATCCCTTCTCAACTATCAGCCTGCGTACACATCAAATTATTGTATCTTGTTCGGCAATTCTCCGTATTCTCGTAACTTCCGCGCAAAGAGCTAGCTTCTGCTTTCTCATGAGCGCGAAACGCCACGCGGCATATTTGTGAGGACATTCGTCTTACTACGCCATGGCGCTCGAGAGAACCTGTCCATCATCTTCAAGAAGGTTCCTACTGGCACGCCGGTAGCTGGCGAGCATCTGAGTGTCGAAGATCGTGGTTATGACTCTTCAGCATCTGCTCCATCGGGGGGTGTCATTACCAACAACCTCTATGCTTCGTTCGATCCTTACATGAGAGGTCGAATGCGTGAGCCAGAGAAGAAACTTTATTCTTCGCCATTCACTCTCAATGAGCCCATCACGTCCTACTGCTTCTCACGCGTCCTGAGATCCGACAACACGGACTACAGAGAAGGAGATCTCTTGGTTGGACCTCAGATTCCTGTGCAGCAATATTCATCGGTACCAAAGGAAATACTGGAGAATGCACGGAAGATCGATCCTTCCACGGCACTGAAAGACTGAAGGAATTATATAGGACCACTCGGTATGCCTGGATTGACAGCTTACAGCTCCTTGTACGAGATTGGAAAACCAAAGGAAGGAGAGGTGATCTTCATTTCCTCTGCTGCCGGTGCGGTGGGACAGATTGTCGGCCAGCTATCCAAACACGAAGGCTTGACCGTCATCGGCTCCGTTGGAAGCGATGAGAAGCTCAACTTCATCACTACAGACCTGGGCTTCGATAGCGGTTTCAACTACAAAAAAGAGAAGCCGCTCGACGCACTCAAACGGCTGGCTCCGGATGGCATCGACATCTACTACGATAACGTCGGAGCCGAGCATCTCGAGGCCGCCCTTGAGATGCTGAGGAACAATGGACGAATTGTTGGATGTGGAATGGTCTCGCAGTACAACGCACCCCCGGATCAGAGATATGGAATCAAGAACCTGTTCCATATGATTCCGAAGAACCTTACGTTCAGGGGTTTTATTGTGGGCTCACCGGAGTTGGGACCGAAATATGCGAAGGAGCATCAGCAGAAACTTAGTCAGTGGCTTGCTGACGCAGTTTCACGGCCAGATTTTCCGAGACGGAGGGCATTGAGAATGGTCCACAAGGATTCGTTGGCATGCTGAAAGGAGAAAATTTCGGAAAAGCCGTTCTGAAGATCTAGATTAAGTATTGGTGCTGATAGGATTCATGTTGTTGTGCTCCAAAAAATTCGCTACACATACCAACTGTGCTTCAACTGGAGTGGCACCTTGTTTTCTCGGACTGATGTGTGCGTCTTATGATTGACGGTCGATGTATTCAACCCTAAACTGCAGCAGAGAGCAGTTCTTGAGCTCCTTAACCTGAATGCTGTACGGAATATAGGCTTGGACATTTCTGTCAAGCGTGGCGTTTCGTTGTGACAGACAATGCCTGGCATCAACCATACGTAGTGCGTAGTAACTTAGCCACATTTAATCTTGGAAGTAATCAAACTTGCCCCTTTTCTTCTAGTTCAAGGTTTTGGTCCCAATTTCAGCCAACCGCGTCCCAACCAAAGAGCCTCCAGAGATCCACTCTCATATCCTTGCCACAGTTCATCATGATAGCAGGATTGCCGATGGTCCAGGAGCTTATGCTCATCGCGACTTTGTCATTGGCGTGGGGCATTTTGATTGCGGGAATAGCCCGGTTTCTAGTAGCTTTCCATGCAGACTTCCGTGCGCGTTCGTGGCCAGTTTGATGCGCAACATTTTCCTCTCTTTCATCCAGGATCTCTGTTTTTTCTGCTGTTGATGAAGTGACCGTTCTGCGTCGGTTAAGCCATCGTTCTTTCTCATCTTTTGGATCTTGCACACTCACTCTTTTGTGTGTTGGTCTCTGACGCTCCTTACGTGTATATTGAACCCTTCAATATATCTTCCTGTATTGGTCAAAGGGCTCCGAGTGGCCGTCACTGCTCTCGCTCTCCAATCAGTGTCACAAGCAAACTCCAGGTCTGAAGGTCGCATATCGACCACTTTACGCGAAATATACATATACTTTGAGCTTGCTTCATCCCAGAATACCTCACCAGCAATATGGCAGGCATCCGAGATCCAGCGTTCTGGCGCCGTTTCTCGCTAGCCGTCCACCTCGACGAAGAAAAAGCCAATCCGTCACATACTCATGGCGCAGCTTCTCCTGCATCTCTTAGGCCAGAGCTCAAGCACTCGTATGTCCATCCCAATACATCTTGACGTCATTCTCATGGCTTCGCCTTGTTCGGTCACATCCTCCTTTACCAATCTCGATCAACTATACTGACCATTATCTCTACTGCTTAGAGACACATGGCTCGAACGAAACCGGAAGAAGCGATCGAGAATGGTGTGCATTGGGTGGTCGGTCTCGCTGAGCCTGGTCGTGATCATTGCCGGCATCGTGCTGGTCATATTATGGCTAAAGGGCAGCTTGCTTCCAGCACCACCCGCGCCAACCTCTACCTCGGCGCCAACACCGACTCCCACTCCCACTCCCATGCCGCCGGGTGGTGCATGATGAAACGCTACCAATGACACGTGCTGTGTCCGAGTGGGGACTGTTCGGAGATGCGCGGAGAGAGTTGGGGGGAACATAGACCTACGCAATCGATGGTCGACCAGCGTATTGAGTCGCTCCAGACACGCGAGAGCGACAAATCCGTACCCAGCCGTCCCCCGACTGCTCCACCCCTGGCACCGAATGAACAGCGCACTAGATGATGAGCACGGACTCACCAAAAAGGAACAAGCACACATACCTGTCCTGAGCAGGCTTGCCGTCACATACATGGATTTATTATAATGAATAATGTCTTAACTCGGAGCAGAAAGAACACAACAGTGTCTAGCTAGCTAGCCAGCCAGCCAGCTCACACTCCAAACTAGAACCTAGCAACTAGAAGATTGCGGAAGCTCCCTGATCTACCATACCTGGCTTATCCAGCTGCTCTCTAATACGCTTTCTCCATCTACACAGAGTACACATGTACGACTAATCGAAACAGAGACCAGCGGAACGAAGTGGGAAAAAAAAGGGGTACCGCTAAACCTTCGAATGGAAGGGATCCCGTATCTTACTTGAACCTCTCTTCCTTTTTCCTTTCTTTCCTCCTTTCTCTTCTTTACCTCCTCTCCTCTGTTATACTCTGTGCGTTGCGTTCTCAGCGAATAGACTCGCGCTGGGATTTCCCTTGTTGGCTAATTGAGAAGCCAAGTCAGGGCTATACTGAGCGGGATAAGGTGCTTTAGCCATTCAGTGAACATTGGAGCGTACGTACGCTAGGTGCTGTTGAAGGAGAGATTTAGTCTTGCTTCATGGGTGATTACGCTGCTGGGTTTGGGAGATTATTTTGTTGTGTTCAGCTGGGCGGACGGGGTACGGGGCAGGAGGAGGAGGAGGAGGAGGAGGAGGAGGAGGAGGAAGATGCCTTTGAAGACTACTAAGCTCTAGTTATGGATTCTTATTTGTAACGTGCAGAGAAGGTGGGCAATAGTCAGAAGTAGATCTGAGATTCGACATGGGATGCTGATCAAGGTACTCGAGGATCATCTCTCGGATGTTACTAGTGAGGTAGAGCAAGAAGGGTCAAAGTGGACTTGCGCAGAAAGTGATCTGTGATCTAGTTAAAGTGACCTGTTCCTATTGGGTACCGATCGCAAAGACGTAGAGGTAGTTGCTCGTCGACGTGATGCTCAAACAAAGAGCTATGATCCCAGTGGCTGACAACCAAGTCTAGAACTTCGTATGGAAGACCTTTGAGAGACATTCTACTCCTTGCAAGAGCTTGAGTTTGAGACTCGGCGATAGATCAGTCGTTTTGGAGCTGAGATGGTTCTTTTGGGGATTGAAGGTAGAAAATGCATTCAATAACAGTATGAGAGCTTGTCGAGATGGTGAAGAGACAATGCTGGTTGACGGACAACACGACAGAGTCTTCAAATAAGGCAAGTAGAGATGTCGAAGACAAGAGAAAAGCTCTGCGTGGAAAAAGGAGCCCTGCCAGCCTTGATGTTTACTCCAAGGGAGCAGTAAATGAAGGGGACTCAACTGCTCCAAATTAGATGATTTTCGAGTGCAGAACCCAGCCTCCGCTTGCAACCAGGTATAAGACGGATGATTGGAAATAGAGCTGGGTTTAGATGTCCATGAAAGATTGCCAAAAATCGGTGTGCTCCCACAATCTCCAGAAAGCCAGAGTCTCGGGAGCCATGGGGATCATCACGATATTCCCTGCCGGGATCCTGCCTCCTCAAGCGCGTCAACAAAAGCAACAAAGACACTATGCAGCAGTCCGAGTGGATCCGTGGATCCCTTGGGTTATCTAGGAGTGTAATATCCACCTCGCTTGCCAAACCAGGAGCTTTTGTTAATGCTGTTGCATGCGCACCGAAAAGACGGAGAGTCTCCTTATCGCCAGCTACCGTTGCATCAGTACATGTTTGAGAGCTAGGATAGAGCCGGAATATCACGGACCATATTCAATCACTCTGATCCAATTTATTTCGTAGAGAAGACAAGATGTCGTATTATATGAACACATACGCTTACTGAGCATAGTGGCATCAACGAGCGCGTCACCAATACGAGTGGATGTATTTCCTTTTTCAAGCACTTCCACAGTGACTCATGAATCTATCATCAGCTCGGTTCGAAAGGCCATGGCAAAGTGCTTCCAAGTCTCGAGATAGGGTTGGCTCGTAGATTTCAAGATCTCGATTTCAAGGGTATCGATATCTGCGGCCTGAACATCAAGTGCATTTTACAATCCTCCAGTTGGCCATCCATCTTATTCATTAAATTCTCCAGAGCTACATAGCGTTAAGATGCTCATTGTCATTGTGGACGAGAAAGTAGCAAGATGGAAATTGGTATGGCCGTTGCGGGTACTGGGAGACAGGCATAAGCGCAATAAGTGCAAGGTCAGTAAGGTAGGACGACAGAGCCCGAGGACGTTAGGGTAAGTGACCACACCTGGCCGGACCTAGAAAGGAGAGCAAAGTTGTATGCTTGCGATGCACAAAAGGAGTCTGAGTCTGGGCGAGGAGAAGGATCGATTTGTAAAATCTGACATGAACAAGGTGTTAACGTCTGTGTTACAAAGTTGCTACATCTCTTGCTATGGATACTTCAATGGCATCTCCATGAAGGTCCACGTATGTGCAGACACCAAACGGAAAGTGACCCACCAATGCTGGTGCTACCCCAGGTACTAGCTCTCTCTATCCATTTCAGAATAAACCAACATGCTCATTATCATGTATTTCATGATCCATTGCATCGTTGAAGCTATTATCGCAAAGGCCGGGGCAGCCCCTCGTCAAGGTCGTTTGCTGTTTTCCTTTCCCTTCTGGCTGTCGACTAGCTCATTCCTCAGAGGATGACTTAATAGCGTAGGAGTTGGGTTGTCATCTTTGTCCTTCTGCAAAGGATATTTCTCCAGATCTTTACTGCTTGTGCTGAAGGTTGACTGCATGGACGGATGCTTCTCTCCTGTCGCCGGGTTGCTTCCATTACTTGCTTTCTTTTCGTGACCTCCAAATCCCTCGCCAGACACGGTCGGGGTGGCCACGTTTTCGCTCCCCGGGCTCAGCAGGTCATCGATCTGAGCGGTAAGACCATTCAAGCCGCCTTCAATGTCTCTGACCAGCCGAACAAATTCTTCAGGTACAAGCCCACTTTCTCCAGTCTTAGGATCTTGAGCAACAAGCCAGCCTTGACCATGACGATACGATACCAAAATTATTTGTCCTTCGGTCAAGGGCAACTCATTTTCGTGCTCACTCTTGAAATCAAATAGAGCTACTGCTTTGCCATGCATTTCCTCGTCTGGGCTTGCGATAGTGAATGAGTAGTTGCGGGAAAAGCGTGCCTCGTCATCAGCCTCCGAATACTCATCATCAGACTCATCGGTGCGGACTCTTGCATCACTTTCAGATGATCTGCGTAATGATGTGGCAAAATGTGAGTCTCTTCGCTGGCTGGATTTATGGAAATCGGGACTCAGCAGAGACTGTCTAGCTTGATGTGGTGGATATGTGACAATCTCTCCTCCTGGACCATCAGTATCCTCATCCGCTTGGTTTTCCTCATCAACATAATATGTCTCGCTACCGTCTACGTTAACACCCACGAAAACTCCTCTGTTGCCATTCGAGCTACCTGGTGAACGTCCTCTATTATTGGTTGACGACTTGCTTTTCTTATGACGCGAGGTCGTTACCACAGGTGAGTGGAGGTCTTCGTCTTCAGAATATGGTGGACCGTCATTAGTGAACGTCATTGCTGGTAGTTGTTCTCGGGAACTGGTTTGCGCTGTGTTGCCTGTATTTTCAGTCGTCCACGGTGGTGTATTCGACGATTGTGCTCGCGATTCGTCCCAGTGGGATACCGCAGTATCCGAAAGCCGCCGTGACTCACTGACTGGCGTGGAGAGACCTGAGGTGTGTGGAGGAGGGCCGTAATGATATGGATGGTTCGGTGGGTAGGCGAAGTCGCGGACAAGAGTGTAGGGTAAGCTGGAATGGAAGATGGGAAAGACGTGTGATGAGGGTCGGGACTGAGAGGAGTTTTTGCCCTGATACGATGACATGCGCCTGTTGGCGTATGAAGGAGGCCTCGGCGCCGTTGTTGTTCGCCGGGCGGTAGCCGTATTTGTATTTGTTATCAATGGCGGTAGAGTAGGAGGATTTGTAGGTGGTGCGGATGGTAGGCTTTTCATGGTAGGAGATACCGGCGGGGAAGATGCGCACTTGGTTGTAGAAGGTACCAATGCTGGTGGTGGTGATACTTCTGTAGCCATGTTGATGGATAAGAGGGATGCGATCCAGCAACGAGAGAGGGTTGCGCTTCTTATTCCTTGCCCAACTTTACCTCCTGTTCAACTCCATTCATGAAGATAAAGTGTGACGGTAGAGGCTCTGGAAATATGATTATGAGTCGAAGCAAAGATGTACAACCACCAATCGTGCTAGGCTCGAGGGAAAGCGCACCCGGCGTTATCAGGAATGGGATCTAGATTATTGGGCGAGCGAGGTGTGCTTGACAGGAGGGAGAGTAGCACGGATAGAGAGTAGGATGGTGGATCGGCACTGAGGACGATGAGGTGTGGATTCGAGCAAAGGCCGGGGTAAGACAGGGTTTGGGTTATGGTAGGCTGGAGGATGGGCGAGAGGGTGAATGATCTTCATGAAGTGTTCTATATTTAGGCCCGAAGCCGGAACAGGCGTCAGTTCCGGGGACCACAGTCGGCATCAACCACGGAAGAAATTGAACAAGGTTGAAGAAGAGGAAGAGTGACAAGAAAAGGGAAAAGAAGGGGAACAGACAGACCAAAATGCTGTTGGAGTCGGTAAAGGTTGAAGGATCCGCGCACATCTGACCTGTGCTACCGTTACTAGTGAGCACGGTTAAAGAGCAGGTGGTAGTAGTAACTTAGTTAAAAGAGGCGAGGAAAGGTTTCAAGTGCGCTTAACAAGAACAATCGGTTCCTCAGCTGCAGTACATAAGCAGAGTAGCTGTTTCATCTCTGCAGCCTCCTGCTACAGTAGTACTACTATGTAACTAGTAGTAGTTAGTGCTGCGTTAACTCCATCCGTCTAACCCTTTGGGGCTGCCAGATAGCGGACATCACCATGTTCCCGTACGTGTTTCCATACCATAAATTACACGTAGTGGTACAAGATGTAAGCTGCAAGAACAAAATACTCGACAGAGCCATAGCAGGCACCGCTACCAGCTACAACCAGAGACCACCGTCAAACTCGACGCCAAGTACATAAAGGTACATAAGGACGTCTGAACATGTAGTGTTGTCGACAGCAAATCTTCGTACGTCCTCTTCATCATTCTCATGCATACAAACCTATCTACTGTGATGATCTACTTTATTGGAGCTGTCCTATTCATTATGAGGAAGAATACTATTACTATTATACGCAGCTTGGTTGTCTGAAGAAAGTCCCTTGATCAATACCTGCTATTCTTAAAGAGAATGCCTATTTGTCTTACTGACACGTAGTCGCAGAGGACATAGCTCCAGCTCCGGTTACTGAAGTACGAATACATTCGAACCATTTCCTGCTAGATCAACGTGTACGGCGCTGAAGACCTGCACCACCTCAGTCGGGCGGCAAACCTAGCCTTCTTCTCTCGCTTGTCACATCCTTCATAGCTATCATGGCAACCGATCCTCGCCTCGCCCGTCTGGCTCCGCGAACCACAACACCACAGCCACCCCCTCCCCCCCCTCCACCACCACAATCAGCGTTTACCTCATCCTCACTTGCTCTCGATGGCGTTTCTGAGAATCCTGCCTTCACCACTACTAACAATAACATACACACCTCCAAATCGCCCTCGCCATCGACCACAACCCCTTCATCCTCTTCATCCTACAAACTCAGATACTGCACCGTCTGCGCCTCCAACAACAACCGCAGCATGGAAGCCCACTCCCGGCTCTCCCTCTCCTCCAACCCGGTGATCTCCTTCGGAACCGGTTCCCTCGTTCGGCTCCCAGGCCCCTCAATCTCCCAACCCCAGGTCTACCCTTTCAACACCACCTCCTACGCGACCATGTACGAAGAACTCCTCGCCAAAGACGCAAGATTATACCGCTACAACGGCTGTCTGAACATGTTGGAACGAAACAAGCATCTGAAGTGGGGACCGGAGCGCTTCCAGGATTGGGTGGTCGGTGCCCCGAGGCTTTCACAGACGGAGAGGGGTGACAAGGGGGCTCAGGGTACGGAAGCAGGAGTGGTGGATGTGATTTTTACGTGTGAAGAGCGGTGCTGGGATGCGGTGGTGGATAATTTGCTGGATCGGGGCGCGCCGCTGAATCGGCCGGTGCATGTCTTTAACGTGGATATCCGGGACAATCACGAGGAGGCGCTGGTGGGTGGAGGTGCGATATTGGAACTGGCAGAGGCTTTGAATCAGGCGGCGAGCGAGGAAAGGGATCGGACGGGCAGTGACGCATGGGACGGTGGCAGTGGGGAAGCGAGGAGGGAGTTTGACGAAAGGGTGCCGGATATTTTGGCAGAGTGGCAGGAGAGGTGGCCTAATCTGCCGGCCCTGTGGACATTGGCTTGGTTTTGAGTTCAACGTTGAGTGCTTCTGCAGGATGAGCATCCAAGCCAGTAAGAGCAATTATGATCCACTAGAGCGAGGTGTTGAAGGCGCACTCGTCCCACCATTTCAGGAGATCTCACACCGAGCCGTTTGAAATAAGTCTTTTTTAAAGCCTTCTCAACAGCATGGCTTGGCCTAAGCTTCTTCACAATTTCACAGCCCTCTCGCTTCTATCCTCCTGCTCATTCCCATTCCCATTCCCATTCCCATTCCCATTCCCATTCCCATTCCCATTCCCATTCCCATTCCCATTCCCATTCCCATTCCCATTCCCATTCCCATTCCCATTCCCATTCCCATTCCCATTCCCATTCCCATTCCCATTCCCATTCCCATTCCCATTCCCATTCCCATTCCCATTCCCATTCCCATTCCCATTCCCATTCCCATTCCCATTCACCCTACCCTCCTCCTGCACCTCCCTCCTACCTCTAACCTCCAAATCCCTAGGCCCCTCCTTACGCCACCTGAACAACACCACTCTCTCCCAATCTCCACGCGACCCGGACCCTAGCTCCTCCATCTCCGGCCCCGACTTATCCAGCGCCAGAACCGCCCTTTCATCTCGGCGTGGATTATGCATCGGCAAAACGTAGGGAGAGATACATTTCTCTGCCCACGAGGGACTCCCATCTGCTGGTCCGTGGTAGATGAAATCTTTCAGCTTTTGGACCCGTTGCGCGGCGGGCAGGGCGTTGTCGTCGAGGAATCTTGATATCAGGTGTAACAGGAGGAATTGAGGCGGGAAGAGGATTATCTTGCCCGATTGGGCGAGATGGAGCCAGTGGTGGGCTGGGTGGAAGGTGGTGGATGTGTTTTCGAGGTTGTTGTCGGGCGTTGGTGTGAAGTCTGCTGTGGTTGTGGGCGTGGTGCTCAGGCCGGATGCTGGAGGGTGCGAGTCGTCAGAGGAAGATAGTGCGTGGAGGTACATTTGGGTTGCGAAGCGGCGAGGGGTGTTGGGTGGAGTGACCCAATGGCTGAAGGGGATGAGACCATCAGTGTCTAGGACAGCATCTGGACTCTGCTGAGTGAGCCAGGCCTGGAATGAAATCTTGCCGGAATGAACCAATTTGCGTCCCTCTTCGCGGCTTTTTTGGGGCATAGATATCAATTTTTGGCTTTTCTCATCCTGCCTGGCGAGCAGTATCCCGGTCTCTTCAAACAGTTCCCGGAGAGCTCCTACACGGTAAGCCCAGTTATCCTGATAGCGCTCGATTCCATTTTCTGGAATGTGTCCATCTGGCTTGTCGATATGCCCACCTGGAAAGACGTGCGCTGATGGAAAGGAAGAGGATGTCTGTATACGATGCAGGAGCAGGATCTCAAGATCTGGAGAGATAAGTATCACACTGGAAGACTTCAATAAATCAGATGGAGACTTCTGATAAGGCCGTATGTCTACCTTGAGCTGGGACGAGCCGGCGCTCTTCGTGCTGGCTTCCTCTTGCCATCTCCAGAGAGGTTTCCTGACTGACTTCTAGCGGTAGCCGTGCCAGACATGACCAGGGTGGAAAGATGACTTCGTCTTACAGCCAGGCTTTCGACATGCCAATAAGATTTGCGGAGTCTGAGGACGTAGGAATGCTCTATCCAATTGATCAATTGGTGTGTATGATTCCCTGAGGCCCAGGAACGAAAGCGCCATGAATCGAGTAGCATGTCACACAAGATTCAAAGTGTCCGAGGATCTGGCCATCTCCTCCCGAGGGGTTTTACGGGGCAAACTGTAGTCATGACTGTTACGTATTGAGCGAGGTTGTAACGTTCAATACAGTTTACTGAGGTCCACACAATTAGCAGGGAGAGACCCTCTGAAAGTTTTATCTAGATTACCATTAATTTGTGCTTGAATCATGCCTATTTATGATATTATACAGTTTGTATACAAGTAGTATGCAGTCAAGACATTTAAAATCCGAGTCATTTTGAACGTCTTGTTCTAACATTATTGTTATATGTCGAACGTTGCTGACTAATTAAGGAGATCGGTGGAGAAATAGCAAGTTGTTCTATCTAATTCAGTGCGAAGAGCACGTATGTATACGTACTACGTACAGATGCTGCGTAACATGAAACGCAGATACCAAAAATACATGCAGATCTCATGCGAAACACGTATCAGATCTGTAACAAAACGTATCTGAAACGCACGGTCAAACGGCGCTCAAACAGTTCAACATTATATGACGGCCAGATTATGGTCATCAAACTGCCTTGTAACGATTCTGGTGATTACAGAACATGTACCAGTTTGCTAAGCACCAATGCCCTGTCATTTTCCAAACCCTTTCTCTAGGTAAGAATTCGGAGAAAATGTGCTAGGTAGGGACGAAGAGGTTTTGTGCAGCGGCACATACTCGTCCATATCCCAGCACATGGGTGCTTGGGCGACATTATTTTAGAGGGAATAATCATATGCTGATTTTATTACGCTTGAAATGCATATTGTGTAACATGATCATGTAAAGTGTGGATATGCTGCAAATTGTGGCCCAGGCGCTCAATATGGGATTTGGAAGAGTGTACTCTGATCTTTTCCCAGGGTAAGGGCGCTGAGGCAATGAACAGCGTACGAGAGGAGAAGGGCAATAGCTTCCAAAGTCATGTAGTCAAGGTCAAAGACGACAATTTTGGCAAGCTAGTTTCTTTCCTTGGTCGCTAGTTAGACATGAAGTCTGGCTGATCAAACTTGAGATCTCTGAGATGTTCATGCTCCATGCACTCATATTGTATATCGTGCTTGGCCTTATCTTCAACTGTCGTGCGGTACAGAGCTTGAGGCAAGACCTGAAGCAACTGTCGTAGATAAGTGCTTCTACGTAACGGTGAGAACTGGGATCAGGCGCCGTCGACTTGATCCGCAAAAGATAGCCCCCGAAAAATCCAGCGACCGCCCACTGTCCAGGGCATGCTCAGATGCGTTATTACGCACGTATTTTTGCCTCTAAGCTTCTCCCCTGTGCCGGCATACAAGGCACCAACAAGCCGACCTTGTAGCGTGCTCCGTCCAACGCCAACACATGCTTTTTGCTGGATTGACAAAACGCAAAGTTATGCAGGCATTTCACGAGTATAGTTTCTTGTCGAAGCTGTGTAGACCATGCACGTTACCTTCGGCCTGGGCACTGGCCGTCCTCAGGTCAAATCTGACATTGCCATTCTGTACCCCTTCTCGGAGTTCCACAAGGCTCTTCACACCAATGTCCTGCATAGAGTGCTGAAGGCCAGCAAGGAGATATGGGACAAACTTGTTAACAGAGCCTCGATCGAGAACAGATCCTGATACCCCTTGCGCAACAAGTAAACGGTCTCCTTCAGAGAAATAGCGAGCCGTGCCGGCATTGCTCGCTTTCGTGTTCTTGGCTCCAGCACCTGCTTTTTTGTCTTCCATTGCGTCAATACTGCCCATGCCGCGGTAGGCTTTGACCAGTTTTCCTTCCCTACTGACGAAGTAGTCGCCAGGCGATTCTGTAGTTCCAGCCAACAAACCTCCCATCATTACGGTTGACGCTCCCATCGCGAGGCCCTTTACAATATGACCAACGTTCTGAATTCCGCCATCGGCAATACATGGGACGCCGAACCTTGCTGCAAACTCGGATACGCGGTAAACAGAGGTTGCTTGTGGTCGACCTACTGCCATGACCTCTTGAGTAATGCACGCACTTCCGCTACCCATACCGATGCGAAGACCGTCAGCACCTGCAGCTATAAGAGGGGCCGCTTGGTCCCGTGTGACGACATTGCCTGCGATGACCTCGAGGTTCGGGTGCGTCCTCTTGATGTACTTGATCATCTCAATCTGATAGATACTGTTACCCTGACTACTATCAAGAACGACAATGTCAAGACCAGCATCAACCAGCGCCTGTAGTCTACGCTTGTCATCTGGGCGAGTTCCGATGGCAGCAGCACAGATAAGCTGTTTGGAATGGGGCAATTTGGAGGCGAGAGGATAATTTAAATTCTTCATTAGATCTGACCGTGATAGAAGCGCAACGAGGTTTTCATTTTCGTCTACCATTGGTAATTTGCCTTTCTTTGACCTTCGCAGCAATTCATTGGCCTCCAGAAGAGTCGTGCCAGCAGGGGCTGTGACGAGATCCTTCGACATCACTTCGGAGACGGGGTCATTCGAGGAAGGATGGAATTGGATATCGCGGGTGGTGATCATGCCGATAAGCCTTGATTTGAGCGTACCATTCTCTAGTGAGCTACATCAGTGATGGTAATTGTCGGAGAGCATACACAACAGATATGAGTGTTTGGCTTTCTCAGACAGAAATCTCCATAATGTCCCCATGGCACATGAATGCTGCGGATGAACGAAAGTTTAAAAGGGTAAATTTGTTTAGACATCATCGAAAGCGGCAGGCTGGAAAAGTAGAAATGCACTGACCAGTGACCGGAAACCCGCCAAACCCCCATTTCTCCTTGAGCTCTTTGGCTTCACCAACAGTGGTATCCGGGGACAGAACCACCGGGTCCAGAATGAAGCCATTCTCGTATCTTTTGACTTTCTTGACCATGTCGGCCTGTTCCTCGATTGAGCAATTGTGGTGTATGATACCCAGACCTCCAAGAAGCGCCATATATATCGCCATTGTGTGCTCCGTAACGGTGTCCATTGGCGAGGAGAGAAGTGGTGTTTTTAGACATATTCGCTTCGTCACTGGGGAGTCTAGTGATACTTCTGATGCAGCAAATCCTGTGCCTGATCAGTCTCAGAGACAAGACCATTGCAAAACGCTGCTGCTGTACCAATATGACCTGGAAGGACAAGGAAGTCATTGTAAGTCAAGGCACCACTCCTCGTAGAATCAAGTAAAGTCTTGATATCGAGTCCATCTTTTGTTTTAAAGCTGGTTTGAAGCACTTCCTCAGCTTTAGTATAATCAAGTATGGTCATATCACGAAGCAAAGGGACCGCAGGGCTCTTCACATCTCCATTTGTCATTGGCATCTTGAGCAGCAGAGATTGATAGTCAATAGGAGAGCAATGAAGGCGTTCTTGACGGAGAGAGCAAGACTGTATCGACCGTGTTGCTGACGGGTGAAAATGGCCTTCTCTTGAGAAGTAAAGAGATGTCGGGCGCTAGAATTCCAGAACTTTTTCAGACGCGGAGCCGCGGAAAGTGCGTTAGTGGCGGCGCTAGTTAAAGATACCCCTGGCTTTGGCCATACCCGTCTGGGAACTTTGAAAACAATCGGTTCGGCCACTTGAAGGTCTGTGCTACTCTCCACCATCCCAAAACTCACAATCGTGCTTCAGATTGCTGAGAAGAAGGTGATTTTGTGGATAGAGCCTCTGCTGCGATATATTGCGCTAATTCCAATAAGTTCTGTGGAGATACCAAACTTCAGATCTGGTGGCCAAGCAGAACTTCTGCGCGTGCGACCTCTTTTCCGACCACAGATGCTTTGTGATATGACGAGATGTGCAGGCTGAAAGACCAGGAGAGTGATCTTATCTCAGGACAGGCTCTTCATCGACAATAATCTTGTAGTCCTCCAACGGAATGTCGCTACACAGCTTAAGGCGAGCGCAGTTCGAGAACAACTCTGCTTCGGCGAACCCGCTGCGCCAGAGTTCAATTGCCTCTACAAGTTCATCCGCATACTCATACAATTCCAACCCATCGATCCCAACTCGTACGAGTACGATGACCTCAGCAGCTTCTAGTACTTATTTACAGGAACGAGCGGGACATAAGAGGGGTATCAGTGAAGCAACCGGCGTTGCATCCAGATATACTGATCGCAGCAGTGTCGAGCGCAGCCCCGATCATTTCTACAGCCATGCTCGACAGTCGCTGAGGCCCCTACCACAAGCCCCGGCGGCGTCGCCTCCTGCAAAACGACACAGCCCCAATCATGTGCGCCAGGAAACGGATAGATATTCTCAACACCAGCAAGAGGATCCATTCGTCTCAGACAAAATCCGCCGCCCAATACCGGACGGACGACTCGAAAAGGCGCACATTCACCATGCACATTCCAACCCGCACTCTTCAGCGTTCGTCACTCCTGATTTTCAAGAGCTCCAAAAGTCCTCCACCGGCCACCTGAGGGCTCTCTCGAAATTTGCCCAGAGCGATCAAAGTGAAGACTTTTCAATCACTACACCAGCACCTTCTGTGGTTGGCCTCCACAACCGCAGGCAGCTGAAACGAACAGACTCTACCGCCGGGGGAAAGCCGCAGAAGGGGCGCGGAGGAGAGAGAAATTATGGATGGGCAGAAAGAAATTGGATGGACAAGCAGAGGCAATTTTTGCAAGCTTATGAATACCTTTGCCACATTGGTGAGGCCAAAGAGTGGATCGAGGATGTGATCCACAAACCAATTCCACCCATCGTCCAGCTTGAAGAAGCTCTCAGAGATGGAGTGACCTTGGCTGAGATAGTGCAAGCAGTTTATCCACAACAACGGCTGCGGATATTTCGACACCAGAAGCTTCAGTTCAGGCATTCTGATAACATTGCATTATTTTTCCGCTTCCTAGAGGACGTTGAACTCCCAGACCTATTTCGCTTCGAACTAATCGATCTGTATGAGAAAAAGAACATCCCCAAGGTCATATATTGTATTCACGCTCTTTCTTGGTTATTGTACAGGAAGGGAATAGTCGATTTTCGCATCGGCAATCTCGTCGGCCAGCTCGAATTTGATCACCATGATCTCGAACAAACGCAGAAAGGCCTCGACAAGGCTGGAGTCAACATGCCCAGCTTTGCAGGAATGGGTGCAAGCTTCGGAGCAGAACCTGAGCCTCCGCCCGAACCTGAGCCGGTCGAATCCGAAGACGACCGAGTAGACCGCGAGTTGAAGGAGCACGAAGCTATTATTCTTGACTTTCAGACCCAGGCCAAAGGTGCACTGCTCCGGATGAAGCTGGGTGACAGGATGGCCCAGCTCTGGGAGGCCGAGACTATGTTGATTGACCTTCAAGCCAGGATCCGTGGGGACTGGGCCAGGCAAATCATTGGCTATCGGCTAAGTATGCAGAGATTTGCCGTCACTCTACAGTCCACCGTGCGTGGTTACTTGGCACGCTCAAGAGGCCTGAAAAGAGAGAGGTGGTGGAAAAGCAAAGAGAGAGAGGTTTTGGCACTGCAAAGTCTCGCACGAGCTCGGAGGACAAGAGCTGACATAAAGAACCTCAAAACGCAGGCGAGAAGAGAAGACTCAGGCATTCGACTTTTCCAAGCAGCAATCCGTGGTGCACTCGCAAGAAGAGAGGTATGCAATCAATATGAAGCAACCAAAGAAGCTGAAAGCGTTGTGGAAGACCTTCAGTCTGTGGTAAGAGGTATGCTCACCCGCCATGATCTTCGAAAGCAGGACCTGATTCTTGCGCAACATGCTTGGAGCGTTGGCGAGCTTCAAGCTGTGATCAGAGGTATGCTGGTGCGCCAGAATCTTCAGAGGAGAGTTCGGGTACTTGAACAACACGGTCGAAGCGTCGCTCTTTTACAAGCTGCGGCACGTGCACTTCTGGAGCGTCGCACTCAGAGCCAGCTGCAAGGGAAATTGCTCTCCATGTCCTCCCTATGGACTACTCTACAAGCCATCATACGAGGTAATGGTACAAGGACTCGTTTCGCGCAGATCAAAGCTGAGCTCCGGCACCATTCCTCTACCATCTGTCATGTGCAGGCATACATACGAGGCGCAATCGCCCGGGAGGAATGCAATGCATTACGACTTGCCTTATTTAAGCAATTGCCAACAATTCTGCAAGTACAGTCCCAGATGCGTGGCTCGCTGCTCCGCCGAAAGGTTGTACAAGACCAAGAAGCACTTCAAGCAGAAGCAGCTGTGATTACTCGTCTACAGAGCCTTGGCCGAGGTGCTATCGAGCGACAGCGAGTGGGGGGGCTCCTCAATCAACTGGATCTCACCGAAGCTGAGACTGTCCTTCTGCAAGGCCTGATCCGGGCTATGTTCTTGCGCGGCCAGGTTGGAGACGTCCTTGCTGAGCTCGAATCTCATGAAGTCACGATTATCGACCTCCAGTCCGCCATTCGTGCAAGCATAGTTCGTTCGCGTTATGAGGAGAAGAAGCGATTCTTCAAAGAGAACATGGAGAAGGTGGTCAAGATCCAAAGCATAGTCCGAGCAAAGATCCAGGGCGGAGCTTACAAGAGTTTGACAAATGGGAAAAATCCTCCTGTCGGAACCCTGAAAGGGTTTGTGCACTTGCTAAATGATAGTGATTTTGATTTTGATGAAGAGGTCGAGTTCGAGAGACTTCGTAAGACTGTAGTCCAACACGTTCGGCAAAACGAATTGGCAGATCAATATATCACTCAGCTTGACATCAAGATCGCGCTTTTGGTCAAGAACAAGATCACCCTTGATGAAGTTGTGAAGCATCAGCGGCATTTTGGCGGCCACGTGGGAACGCTATTGCCCAATAGTGACATGTCATCCAAGGATCCATTCGACTTGAAGGCCCTGAACAAGGCCTCAAGGAGAAAGCTGGAGCATTACCAAGAATTATTCTTCCTTCTTCAAACACAACCTCAGTACCTCGCACGACTGTTTCGCAGGATCCGCGAACACGCAACCGCGGACAAAGAATGCGAGCGGATCAAGCATCTGATGATGGGTCTTTTCGGCTATGCTCAAAAACGGCGTGAAGAGTACTATCTAGTGAAATTGATCGTGCGGTCTCTGAAAGAAGAAGTCGACAACGCTCATTCGATGCAGGATTATCTGCGATCGAACGCTTTCTGGAACAGAATGTTCGGAGCATACATCAAGTCGCCTCGCGATCGAAAGTTCATGCGAGACGTCCTCGGTGGAATCATCAAAGAGAATTTCATCGACAACCGACAGCTTGATCTCGAAAGCGACCCAATGCAAATCTACCTGTCTGCCATCAACAACGAAGAGCTGAGAACCGGGAAACGAAGTCCAAGAAGTCCAAACGTCCCCAGGGAAGAGGCAATTCGAGATCCTGAAACTAGGGCAACTTTCATTCACCACATGCAAGACCTTCGCGACATTACCGACCAATTTTTCGTGTGTTTAGAGGACTTACTTCATCGTATGCCCTTCGGAGTGCGGTTTATCGCGCAGCAGACTCATGAGTGTCTATTGGCTCGTTTTCAGGAGGAAGAGCCAGGTCATATCCTTCAGATTGTTGGCCAGTGGATGTGGAGGAATTATCTGCAACCTGCGCTTACAGAACCAGAGAAGTATGGTGTTGTCGACCGTGGTCTCACACAAGAGCAGAAGCGGAATATCGGGGAAGTCGCAAAAGTCCTTGGTCAGGCAGCCTCTGGAAAGGAGTTTGGCGGAGACAATGTCTATCTACAGCCTCTCAACACCTACATCAGAGAAGCAATGTACCGCTTCGGTGAGATCTGGAGTCATGGTAAGTATTCCGTTCCGTCTGCAGCGTGCAAGAAGCTGACTTACGAAATAGTCATTTCCGTGCCTCCAGCTGAGGAGCACTATGACATTGACGAATTCAATGATCTCTACGCCAAAACGAAGCCCACACTGTACATCAAAATGGCTGACATCTTCTCCATTCACCAACTGATCACAACAGAGTTGCCGCATGTGTGCCCAGCTCAAGATGACGTTCTCCGAGACGTGATACGAGAGCTAGGCAGTGTGAAGAGCAACGAGAATGAGTTGTTGAGCGTGTCATCAAATGAGATTAGCCTAACTTTGAACCCGAAACTTCACAACGCCGAAGGTATGTTGCATTACACAATCTCGTCCAGAATTTCTGCTAACCGGACCACAGATCCAGATGCTGAGATCAAAGCACTCTTCACAGAGACGAAACGGTGTGTCTTGTACATAATTCGTGTTCAAGCCGGCACCAATCTTCTTGACATCCTTGTCAAACCAGTGACAGCAGAAGACATAGATCGATGGGAGACCCTTGTCAGAGAGGAACTCCGAACTGACGGCAGAAAACGTGAAGCGTATTCCGAGGCAAACACCCACGTTGACATTAGCTCCCTAAGCTATGTTGACTTGAAACGCATCGCCCTCGAAAATGTCCTCCAGTTAGAAGATGTTGGAAAGTTAACTCGACGCAACCATTATCAGGATCTGCTGAACGCAATAGCAGTGGACATCAGGACCAAACATCGAAGAAGAATCCAAAGGCAGCGTGAATTGGAAGGAGTGCGCACCACCTTGGCGCGGCTCAATGAACAGGCGGTATACTTGGAGCAACAACTGAAGACATACAATGACTATATCGAGCAAGCCATGGTAACGCTGCAGAGCAAGAAGGGCAAGAAACGATTCATCATGCCTTTTACCAAACAATGGGATCACGAACGCGAACTGCAGCGCACCGGCCGCTCATTCAAGTTTGGCAGCTACAAGTACTCTGCACGCAACCTGGCAGACAAGGGCGTTCTGGTCCATTGGAGGGGATACATGGAGCGGCAGTGGGATCGAGTCGACCTGACCATCTCCAGCAATGAAGTCGGCGTCTTCACCATCGACGGTAGCAGCGGGAACATGATGGTCCCGGGTGCCAACGCTCAAGTACCGCTGGACGATCTGCTGCAGGCCCAGTTCAACAACACCCAGTTCATGGACTTTTTCGAGGGCTCGCTTCGAGTTAACGTCAACCTCTTCTTGCATTTGATCATGAAGAAATTCTACAATGAGTGATGGACGGAGGGGAGATAAGGAGAGGGGGTTTTGGAGACCGCTGGAGGCATATTCTCTCTCTGTCTCTTTCTTCTCTCGACCTCTTTAATTCGGTACTCTGCATAGCTGGCCACTGGTTTGAAGGGTTTATAGTCCGTGCCGATGTCCCTGTCGAAGCGGGAATAGAAGGTGGTGGCTCCCGGGCGACTGGGGTTGCAGCAAAGGAGTAAGAAATAATCATTCCGGTCCCTGTACATGCGCAAGACGTTTCCTCTTTTTTGCCCCATGGATATCAGTTGAACTAGTCAGTCAAGCAATGAATCATTGTATATATTTCTAAATCAGGCAATTGTTGAGAGTGATGACGCTTGGTTTCGCGGACGATCGTGGGCTGCTCTTGATACGGACCGGTACGGTGGACGTCCAGATTGCAGCGAGCTCCAGCCACCTCAAACCTCTGACAACTGATATCTTCCCAAGTATCATCAACACACTTTCAAGTTCGAAATTGGCGATTACGAGCTTCTCTGCTATAGTTGAAGTGATCGTCATGGCACTCGCCATTGTAAGTGAACTAATCAGCCAGCGAATCCTCCCCGGCTCACATGGGCGATTTCACAAAGCATGTCCCTCTCCATCTCAAGTGATTATTAGCCACGTCGCCCCAGGTTGGGATGGAAGTTGAGCGGGATTCAACCAGCCATGTCCCGAGTAGGTGAGCTTTAGCCTAAAAAAAAAGAGAGAGAATACTCTCCTGGTTAAACGCAACATGGCTGCATGTGGCTAAACTGATGCTGGAGCAGTATTGCTATAACGTTAGCAGCCCTGTCAGTCGTACAGAGCGAGGTTGTGAGGGTTGGTGGACGAGGATGTAAAAGTCGAACGTAGCTTCGGCCGCCGGGAATGGAGTTACAGTACGGAATCGTGCCCCAGAGGTAGAAAAAAGTAGCTGACATCTGCTAAGGATATATGTGCCAAGAGGTACGGAGTATGGAGTCGTGCATCAAAAGTAGTCAAACTACGCTAGCATTAAAGTAAGAGCTAGAATGCAAGTGTAAGCTAGGCCCTCTAGCCTAAGATATGCGACAGATAACTTATAGGCGTACTTAAGTGGGCCTTCACCACTAGAGGCCCGTGGGCAATCACTTGAAGAGAAGCCTAAAGAGCACTTAATTCAGGGGCTTCTCTAGGCTTTCTTTAGGCTAGAGTACCTGTACGATAAAGCATTATCTTAGGTTACTCAACACTAGCTACCTTTGGCAGAGCCTTAATATTAGCGTAGTTTGACTACTTTTGATGCACGACTCCGTACACTCTTAGCAATCATGTCATCCTCTATAAGCCTTAGGCCTACTGACACCTCACCTCACAGTAAGGCTTTAGATGACCTTTAACCTTCAGCTGTCTGAATTTAGAGCTAATATGTCTAGAATAGTGGTTGCTTAACAGACATAATAGTGACATTTCCCGTGACGTTTTAGGCTAGTTATCGGCTTCGACCCCTGGAATACTTAGAATAACACTACAAGAACTTTAAGTGTCAAGATAAATTAATTTCTTTATCTTGGCAAGCTATCTCTTAGCGTATTTCAACCACTTTTGGGGCATGACTCCGTACTGGAGATTGGATAGAGTGGCGCCGTGTCTGGATATAGCGCCGACTTTCGACAGGTGAAACAGCCATTCTGAGACTGCCCTTTACAAACACGACTTCGCTGATAACAGGACCCATGGGCAAACAGCCATGGACTTGTAAGCACTTTCAACATTCCGCAGACGTCTGCAGGCAGCCAGATGAGAGAGGACCACTAGTTAGTACTTACTACATTGGCCTCGTAGTACTGAGTATCGTTAGTACTCCGTACTGGGGCGATGATATGTCGTGCAGACGATTACTTCAGCTTCCAAGTCCCCCGCAGCCTTACAGGGAATGTCAGAATCTGCTGCAGGCCCGACGTTCAGCCTAAGGGGGGAAAGAGGTGTTGCTGTGCAGACCTGAGCAAATTCTGACGCCCTTTGTGCCTGGCTACCTTAACCCATGCTGCACCTGCAGAATTAGTTGAGATTTACCCAGTAAATTAAGTTGAGTTGAGCCGAGGCATGATGCTTAGCGGCAACTGCCCCTTCTAGATTATCAGCTCTCAAAAAGACAGACTGCTACAATCCCAATATAACCAACGGACTCAGTCCATGTCTTTCTAAGCCATGTCGCTTGAGAGGCACTGAACCACTGAGCTGGCGCCGCCTTCCTGGTCGTTAGTCAGGATTGAGAAACATTTCAGACCGTGTTGAGAGCATATACTGGAAGCGGCTGATCTCTGCCTCTTATCATGCACCTAAGGTGGCTATTGGACGACTTATGCCATAATGACGAGGTTCAACCCTGACCATCCTCCATCTATAATGAGGATTAACTAGCTCCACCCATTGACTTTTTTTGACCACGTCTGAGGAATCGCCAGAATTAAGTGACCAGCTATCTTGTTCCTAAGCGCCACCTTCGGAGTCCGGCTACGTTGACTGTAGCGTTTGGCTGGACAATGGTATCCCAAAAAGTGCCTATGATATTGTATATAATGCTGCCGAGAAACATCACAGCAGCGGCATTCTGTCTAAGCCAGCTTCTGTCCTGTCTTTTGCAGCCTCAGTCTTCGGGCTTCGAAAAGCTACCCCTCCGACTCTAGCTGAAAACAACCAGCTGGGACCAGTAGATGAAAGATCTTCTTGTGGGTCTTTGCAGGAATGATGTTCCCCTTACGCTTCACAGAAATGCTCATCTAACTATTGCAAAAGGCACGGCCCAGAATCAAGCCTAGCTGACCGTGTACAATGACAATCAACCAGTGGTCTTCTGGCAGCTGTATATTTTCCGTCATGGGTCGATTTGGTCGATTTGGTCGATTGTTGGTCATTATGCTTGTTCTCAGCACCATGGGTAATGATTGCCCAAAATTACACTCCATGACTTTGTCGTTTGCAGATGCTCTTTCAATATGCACAAAGGGGTCCACCATTCATTTGAAAGTTTATTGCACAGTCATCTATGTTGCAGTTGCGATGCCAGGCTAATCACAACCCGAGGCCGTTCTCGAGAACTTCGTGCTGGTCATTGTTTGTTACATCTCTCAGTAAAACTGTACCTGAACTCATGCTGATCACTAGTATACAGGGGTATTGGCTGTTATGTATCAAGGCATATCTGCCCTTGAGTATGTCATTTCCAAGAAAGGCATGCCAGCTTACACTCCTGCTTTGTACGACCTACCGAAGCAATTGCCACCATCTTCTGCGGCTCTTGGTGCCGTTTCCTTCGGCGTATTTGGTGCCGTTATGGGTATGTCGCAATTTTGATTTGCTGGGCTAGTGGGCAGAGCGAACGGTGATTTATCTTTGGATGATGTTGGAGTTGAGTTGGCTGGTCTGGTAGTGGACGAGGTAATACTTCTGATAGGTTGTTCTGGAAAAGCTCCGTCTCGTTCGATGTTCACAACGTCCCTTCTGTGAAGTCGGTCCAGTGCTCAGGTGTTGATGCCATGAGCGAGGGGAAAGGAGACGCTTCCAAACTGGCTGTTGTCTTGCTCGGTCTTGGTAGAGGTTAAAAAAGCTGCCCGGATATGTGTACTGATAATTTGAAGCGTAGAAAGTGTTTCTGATTTCTTTGTGCTCCTGCCTGAGATCAGAAGACTTAATTTACTTCACCTCAGTGCTGGCATATAAAATTGAATGACAACACCAGATCCTAGACTTTATTATTGACTCCTGAACTCTTTACAATGATTCTCATCGCCATCTTCCTACTTGCACATTACTTTCCACGCTTCAGACATTTGCTTCTAGGAGAAGAGGATGAATTAGTGAGTCTCTCGTCGCCGTACAGTATTGTACAATGCCGTACCGTACCGTACCGGCCCCTTTCCGAGATGCTCCGCTTCACGTGCTGGAATCTTGGCATAAATCTGTCTCGAGTGGTCCCAGCCAGCGGTGCAGATACAATCACAACGTTTCTACCCATCGATTGCCCTTTTGGTTCCCCTGACTACGCTGCACACAATCTAACATGGACCTCAACAGCTTGAGAGACCAAGTCAGCAACCTGACCTTGTACGATATCAAGGCAGGAGTGCGCAAGGTCCAGAATGGTACGATGAGCCCCATGGAACGCGGTGTGCGAGCTGGGTTGACACTCGTGTAGCGGTGATGAATTACACGGAGATGGAGTCTAAGGCCGGCCTCACTCTGACTCTCTGCTCAGCCTGTCTAACCCACCGCAGGTCCGAGAAGCAACGAACAATGAACCCTGGGGCGCCTCGACCTCTCTCATGCAGGAAATCGCCAATGGCACACACAGCTAGTACGGTCTGTCCTCTATCGGCTAAGGCTATGCTGATTGATCTAGCCAACTCCTCAACGAAATCATGCCTCTGATATACAAGCGGTTCACAGACAAATCCGCAGAGGAGTGGCGCCAGATCTACAAGGTACTCAATCTGCTGTGCGAGCGCCCCTGGCCGCTTGCTAACAGATGGATAGTCCCTCCAATTGCTCGAGTTTCTGATAAAGAACGGTTCTGAACGAGTGATAGATGACGCGCGACAGCACGTTTCCCTTCTCCGCATGCTTCGGCAGTTCCACTACATTGACCAAAATGGCAAGGATCAAGGTGTCAACGTTCGAAATCGAGCCCAAGAAATTGCGAAATTGCTCAGTGATGTTGATTCGATTCGAGCTGAAAGAAAGAAAGCTCGAGCAAATCGAAACAAGGCGGGAGGTGTTGAGGGTGGAATGGGAATTGGTGGAGGCATGTCCAGCGGCAGCAGATACGGTGGATTTGGAAGTGATGCTGGGTATGGAGGATATCGAGGCGAGGTGTACGGCGATGGCGGTGGCTTTGGCGGCAATACATCGGGATTTCAGGACACTCAACGTCGTAGCGACAAATTTGAAGAGTATGATGAAGATGAAGAGGATGGTGGCTCGTCTGCTGCAAAACCATCTGCGGCCTCCCACGCACGGACTGCCTCCGGTCTGCGCGCCGCTTCCCTCAACACGATCAAGAGAGATGCTAAGATCAAGAAAGAGCCGGAGCAGGATCTATTCGAGTTCGGAGACGAACCAGCAGCGACTTCAGCCTCCAACGGCAAAGCCAAGATGAGTTCACCCAAAGCCGCTGACGAGCTCGGAGCCATGGATTCAGGTATAGGTGGTGATGATGACTTTGATGATTTCCAGTCAGCCACTACACCAGGTCTGACAACCGAAGCACAAAGTTCTGCAATCCCAGGCCTTACATCACCACCACCGGCAGCCAGCTCAGCCATTACCTCCTCCACGTCATTCGCCGCACCTCACAACGTGGTACCGCCACCAGCATCCAACATAAATGACCTCTTCGCAAGCTTGTCGCCTACCACATCCTCAAACAAACCTATAAATACTTCAACACCATCACTGTCAATGACATCCTCCATCTCTTCCCTACCACCGCCATCCCAAGCAACCAAACCAGTAACCTCGGGCTTTGTGTCCTCAGGGCCGAATTATTACACCTCCGTGCCCTCCACCATCAATAATTCCTCTACAACAAGCACCACTTCATCCGTCAAATCACCCCTCTCAAGCACGATCTCCCCAGGCATGGGCCAGAAACAGTATTCCTCTACGAACACCGCATCCCTAGGCAAACCAAACCCCTCCACATCCACATCCGCCGCCGGGGCCGACGTATTCACCTCCCTCTGGTCCAGCGCCAGTGCCAAATCTGGGATCCAGAGTAGATCCGGCACTTCCACCCCTGGGAACAAAGGCCCAGATCTGGCGAGTATGGCTAAGGCGAAGAATGAGGCTGCGATGTGGGGAACTCCAGTAGGCGCTGCCTCTGGGGTAAACGGCAGTGGAGGTGGGAGTGGAAGCGGTGGCATACCGCCTAGACCCAGTGCGCCGACGCCTAGGACAGCTACGATGGGTGGAGGGCAGGGGCAGGGACAGGGGCAGGGGCAGCAGCTGGGTGGAGGACTGGATGATCTTCTAGGTTGAATGCCATCATGTGTGTGTGGGTCCGAAAGGTTTGAGAAGGCCAAGCAGGGGTGGGTGCACGCCTGCCTTTGCATCTCCAGCGGAGAATTTGAATCTATAGCTAGACAGACTACTAGTCAGCTACGTGTATGATCGGGACCTCTGGGCCGGGCAGGAACAAATCACGCGCAGCAGACCCTCATGATGTGATGTGATGTGATGTGATCGATATCAATACCAAGCCTTTCTGGCTGACAGCCTACAGAAAAATCAGCTGGTCACAGTACATCGAATGAAAATGGATGAAGGGGAGAATACGGCAAAATCATTGACGGGGCTTCGTTTCACTCGTATCTACCACGACATGTTTTTCTTTTCTTGTTTTGAGCAGATCGACGACAGGGCCCGTGATGCGCGGCGCGCGCCATTGCTGATTCTTTGATTTCTTGACCCTTCATCTCGATCTCGGTCTTGGTTCTCGAGACGTCCCTACTTGACTAAACTAAAGTAATCAGTGGTAATTCTTGCTTTTTCCACATAACATAGACTGTCTCTCTCTCTCTCTCTGTTTTGCAATGGAGACGATCAACTTGAACAGATAGAATATCCATCTAGCTATACCCAGTATAAATTTAGAATCTCCTAGCCAGAAACGGAAAGGCAACTCTGTGGTATGTGCTATAAGCCAGGCGGTATTGTAGCACGGCCTCTGGTTTACCCCGATTCCTCCCTGGCTCCTGCACGTATACTGTTCCGAAGTCGATAGGATCCAAAGCATGGCACCTGCGAAAGGCAAAGGCAAAGGATGAGGATAAGGTCGATAGCTCTTAAGTCATGTCACTAGCCGGCTGTTGGCTAGTCCTTGCTTGGGAAATGGTTGTCTGCCTGCCTGTCCGCCTGCCTGCCAAGAGGTAGTAGGGGGCGAGGATGGATACTTACTACCGCATCCTTTCTCCTCATGTCATCACACCGTCACCTGTCAGTCGATGAGTGTATATGTCTATCTACAGACGTACAGTTCAGGAGGTGCTTTTTGTGGACATGTCCTTCGAAAGAGTAACCTAGTTAGAGACTGTGCTATAATTCCATTCACTTCTGAATCAAACTTTACATTGTTCAGTTCCTTGTAACATTCTGATACAAGACCGCATGGTTGGTGTGCCGGGCGCCGGGGGTCGGGTGCCGGGTGCTATGGGCTCTAGGATCTCGAATACACATACAGCTTTTGGTGGAATTGGCAAGGCTGTTTGAATTGGTGTTGTGCTGTGTGAAGGGGCAAATGAGTAAGTATTGCGGATCTGGATTGGTGTTTCCATGGTTGAGGGGCGCGCGAGAGGAGGTAATATATGTGGGAAGGAATATTGTGACATGAGTATGCAAGGGCTGTTGATGAGGGTTGACGAGCTGACAGCTTAGTAGGGGTTTGCAATCCTGAGAAGGTGTATATCGGTAGAAGCCAGGCTTGCTCAGACAGATGAAAGCGTTCCCGGTCAATGTAGATTCCAAAATGGGGACTCGGCTTGTTTGACTTTAGTGCATAAAGATATAAGGGACGCTGTTGATTGGCTTCTTGCATTCTCATGTGCGATAAACTCAAGGATTTGTCAGTCTGAGGAAGCAGGCAAACCGTGGGTCATTTGTAGTGGAAAATTTGTGGATATCGAGCGACGCTGTAGATGAAAGATGGCTTTGCATGCTTCACCTCCAGATCTCAATGTCTTCCGTTCATATCGATGGTTGACAGGCACTTTGGATTCTTGTCCCCTTGATCTGGGGCGCTCCCATTGGCGGAGCACAAACATGAAAGTGGTCATCCCAATAGAAATCTCATTCTAGATGTCCGCTCTTGGAACATCTATGCGTACAGCCTGGTGAGCGTAGATGTGGGCAGGAAGAAAGATACTGCTTGTGCGGCTGAGGGACATCGCTCGTGGTCCTAACCGTCTCGATGGTAAGTATATTCCTAGAGGTTTCTGCTGAATTATCGGAACGCCACATGGAGAAACTGAGAAGTGACTGCTGTCCTCAGTGACAAGCTGATTTACGTATTTTTGCGCAACTCAACAACTCCGGAGGCTGTCCAGCCATAATTTGATGAGTTTTTGACAATGATAACTGACAGACGAGACAGAAACAGGAATGAGAGTCACCTCCAGGCATTTCATTTTGTCCCGCCGCACAAGCAATTTCGGTTGTACGCAACTGGTTTTGTTTGCTGCCCATTGTGACACAGCACAGAAGGCGACTCTGTGTATGACGGTGAGCTGGATAGCTGTTTATAAGAGGATGCTGGGTTCGCGCCTGCTGGTCTTCGTCGACCAACTCAGCATTAAGATATCGCAAGCCCAATACTAAAAGCACGATAGAGAAAGGGCTCTCGAAGACGTCAATAAAAGAAGACAAGTATCGGCCATACAGGTCAACTGACGTTGAAGACATCATGTGTAGGGTTCTCACAAAGTATACTTGCGGCGGTAAGCTTTCCCTTTACAAATTTTCAGATGGCAGCAGTGATTTCCTCAAGCGATTACGTTTGAGCACTTCATGGTTCGAAGCATGCCTGACAAGTTTCATCACTGATAGTTCGCTCCCTTCTGTAGCATCTCGCCGTATATACGTTGATCCGAATGGCTGTTCCTGCGAGGAAGTAAGAAGTCTAGCAGAAAGCAACACTCGATGTTACACATGCGATGTCTGCATGCGGTGGATGAATCGTACTGACAATGAAAATGAAGGGAAGGGGCCTGACCACTGGAGAGGCCAAGGCGGTAAGGGAACCGGAACAGATGTTAAGGACTTTGCTTATGAGAAGAAAAAATAAGGTGGAGGGATGGCGGTAGAGTTGAGGAAAGTAGTTGACGAAACCAAAGGTGAAGCTTTGTAGCTATGAAGGAAGGAGAGCTTTGACCTTGAACTGTCGAGACTGATGATGAACGAGCTTGGCATCAACGAAAGCCCAGCATGTGCTTGGAAGTATTCGTTTTGATAGTCCAACTTTAATCTGGGGGCTGACGGTCAGAGCCCGTGCACAGCATGTGCTGAAATGAACAACACCTTCTGCCTGATCTCTCTCTAGACTTGATATAATCTGCATCGAGAAAATATAACACACCCCTCTGGTGTATTAACCAGTAAGTTGAAGTGTGGTCGTAATGTCAGCAAGATGGAAGCTCGGCCAGGTCATACCGCTCTATTGAGTAGTTTAAAGACCACGGAGATTGCTGTTAGAAGATGCACTGATCCTTGAGAGTGGCGAAGGTATAGAAGGGTACTGCCAGCAGTGTTGAATCAATAAACCGGGTAGAGAATGGTGTAAAATCGATGATCATTCAAAGCATGGCGTGAATGTTTCCACAGCTCACCCTTGTAGGCCGGATGGAGATGGTCGTTCTGTGGCTGTTTTCAAAATTGCAATTGTCTGCTCTTTTAAGTATGGCGTTTTATGTTATGCGTAAAGGCGCAAGTAGGAAGCAAAAAGTGTATATCAGCGTATTCAATGACATGACACTCCCACCCCAACCTTCGTTTAATAGTAGTTTGATATATGCAGCGATACAAGAATGGGTGACTGAAAAGTGCCACCCTCTTGCTGCATGAGTTGTCTATTCTTTCAGACGACGAAGCTCAGTTCTGTACTGGTGAGTATGAACAGGCTGGCACTGTAGTATTCGATGAAGTACAATCGTTGTGGCATTGCAACCACATCTGCAAATGCATGCGTGCGTTCCATGTATAATACCAGTCCACTGTTCACATACCCACAGAGCCTGTGAGAAGGTATTGGATGTATCAGTACTTCCTTCCGCGCCTGTTTCCTTGGAATATGTGTTCGTGAAGACAGCAGTCTGCTCGCTTTTTGTCATGAGCACAACATTCGTTTTGGGAACTAGGTTCGGTGGAAGCCCGTCCGAGACTGACATCGGGTTTCTCGCATCTAATTATGCTAAAGACTAGCGTCGATGAAATTCTTTCCAGGTAAATCTGCATGGGTAGACCAGATGTCTGAGACAAACTTTGACCGAGGTTTGTCTGAAAGAACCCATCTTCGTGGCAGACGACACTGCAAGAGGTTAGAAGTGCTCGAATCCTCCCGCACTTTTGGATTAAGTTGTGGAGTCGACCGCTCAAGTTCATGGTAGAGGCTTTCCAAAGAGTGAGTCACTTAAAGTGTACAAAGTAAGGAGAGTTCCAAATACACGGGCACTCTCCTCGCTATAAGGAGGCTCAAAAATTGTTTGAGCCATGCGATGCTAGATTCAAAAGGTCACAGCAAAGGCCCTAATGTTCAATCTTGGTGTGGATTGCTCTCTGCCTCATCTGCCCTTTCAGCCGTCTCTTGGGGTTTTCAAAGCGGAAATCATCTTTGATCGAGCTTATATGCAATTACACAGAGCGAGACAAGGAAAATTGGTGTTAGAAGCAGATACCACAGATATCTAACCCGTAGGCAAGGTATAATGATATGATAAAGACAGTTGTTACTGCAAGGCGCGAAAAGACGGCGCTCTCCTCAAGTGGGTTTCATCACAATGTTTGCAAACACAATATCGGGACCTTGCTGGTGTTTCCATGTGTCTCGGGAGGAGACCAACAGGGTCTAGCAGATGCTCTAGGCCGGATCGTTATCCGGAGCAGAGGAGACGCAAGTGCGAGAATTGTTGCCAATAGTGCTCGAGGTCGGCTGTTCCTGCAGGAGTGTTAGAAAGATAAAACTTTCTGCTTTGTTGCGATGCCAATGATAGCTAAGAAAGCCCTAGGGTAACGTGTGTTCACGGGCTTCTGACCTCCATGGATCCGCTTAATGATAGTTTCTAGCAGATGGTAACACGATTTGCAGAATACGGGTCGCAGATTGATATCCCGAGATGTTGAACGTTGAATCCAAGCAGACACAGTTAACGAACACCGTGCACAAGAAAGAAAGAGTCTAGGGAATCATATATAAGGAGAACTCAATAATTGAAAGGAGGCACACTGGCAGAAACACGGTCTCTAGAGAAAGGGGACAAAAGAATCTGCTATAAAATTTCGACGTCAAGGCAAATCAGAGATCTGCCTTGCCAACTTGAAGATCTTCGACTCAGCAAACGACTGCGACAGCAACAACATCGGAGACTAGGCTTGCCCTTTGTTACAAGGACATGAGATTTTTTCAGCTTTTGTCCTGCATTTTCGTCAATCTAACCCATTTACATAGTATTGCTGTAGGCGTGGGAATGGCCATAGCTGCTGCAGCTGTGATATCTTGGTGGCACTTAAGTAGGTATATCGTTATGGGCATTGAAAATAGGATGGAAACATGCACCAATGTGGTGATGAATAAATATGGACGGGTGTGTAGTGAGGATCGAGAGCATGGGCCAAGATTAGAGTTTGACGTCGAGACTTTGCAGTATACAACGTCATGGATTATTGGCCAAGGTATCTTTATGTAACAAGTAGTAACTCTCGGAAGTCATCACTTAATTGAACACTTCCTACTCCCTACTTGAATTTCACTTTAATCATACCTGCGCACTGTCCATTGCTCATCCAGTCAATCATTGCCAGCATCATCTATCTGATCCTATTTGGAGGCCGCTCGGTTGAAGCCCGTTCCCAAAAAATCATGAGTACCAAACCAAGCATGGAGAACCTGAATGGTACACAATCCCAGTATCCATTTTTCGCGTCATCGATCTATATCATTCTAACCTCAGTTGAATAGTTCTAAAAAAGCCTCTCGCCTTCTTCTCCAACAAACCGCTCACGGGCTTCTACCGCGACGGATACTGCCGCGTCGGTCCTGAAGACAAAGGCAACCATGCAGTGGCAGGCGTTGTGACTAAGGAGTTCCTAGAATATTCTGCATCCAAAGGCAATGATCTCCGCACAATTGGCCTTACAGACGGTTGTAAATGGTGTCTGTGTACGACAAGATGGAAGGAGGCATTCGATGGATTCAAGAATGGTGAGGTTGGCGAAAAAGCTGTGCCCAAGGTGTTTCTGCACGCGACGGATCAAAGTGCGCTGGACAAGATACCGTTAGAAGACTTGAAGAGATTTGCGGCACAAGGTGAGGCGAGCAATGCGGAGAAAAGACCTGTGGAGCCGAGCTCGCGACCAGGTGCAGCCATCAAAGAGGTCTGAAAGTCGGCCACGAAGGCTCAAAAGCTGGAGCAAATGTCCAACAAAACCATTAGCAGTATCCTGAACCATCATGTACATTGCAGTCACGCACCTGAAAAAGTTGAAATTTGAAGTGCCGTCCCACCAGAGTAATCGGAATCGAATTGTACCCTTTCCCTTCCTTCTATCCGTTTGCACAGACAAGAAAGACAGAGATCGAGGCACGCCGCGTATTGCACTAAAGTATCACCCCCTCTCCTCCCAGTCCAAGAACCGAGCAGCAGAGGACGCACACAATCTTCGCAACGGCTCTCCCATAGGGAATCCCAGCTCAGCGTCATCCCAAACTCGAATGAAACCGCCCAACCCCGAAAGGATGAGTGAGGGATACAAGAGCAGGTCAGCTTCAGATCCAACTGGCCCTGTAGATTTCTGATGCCAAATTGCGGACGCTTTCGCGCCGGACCCTCACGGGCAGTCTATCCACCACAAATCACGATGCTACCAGAGGCAGCAACGGACAGGAGCGGTAGTGTAGTGTTTGAAGATTACTCCGAATTTCTCATTTGCGGGTAATAGAATACTCTCGACCGCGAGGAAGAGAGTATTGTTTGTAGCAAATATACACGGCGATGGTGGGACGGCACTTGGGGAAAAAAAAGCATCACCAAATGGGAGCCCCGAAAGTTCGGGAGATGACTCTGAAATAATTAGTGCCGCTTCTAGCCGCCTTCGAAGGGCTTGGCGTCCAGAAGTAGCATGTGCTTGAAGAAGAACAGAATCACAGGGCAAGGATTTATGCATAGGAGCAATCGAATTCTGCTAGAGACTCAGTGGCGTCTCGTACTATAGCTGGAAAGAAAGCTCATCTCGATGGCTATGTATGAGGCCAATCCCCAACTAACTAGCCGCTTGGAGGACCACTCGCTTCATTTTGCACCAACAACCCAGCAATACTAGCACTCGACAAAGTAGATATAGCTCCTGTAATAAGTGCTGATACAGCCACGCGAGAAACGTCGGCAGATCTGCTTGGAGATATCTGGGACAACACGCCGATTTGTGTGCCTAGTGATCCAATATTTGCGAAACCGCACAAGGCGTAGGTAGCGATGATTTCAGATCGTGGGGAGAGTGATGCATATGCCGGGTCAGTCATCATCATTCTGAATGCAACGAATTCGTTCTATGTCACATATTAGCCGGGAATGACAAATGCTTCAGGAAGGGTGATGCATACCACAATAAGTTTCACGCCAATCAGTCTACCGACCAGGAGAAGATCGTTGCCCTCGCGTGAGACGCCCAGAAGGAAAGCGATGGGGTAACATATGTACCCAAGAATCAACTCGAGCGTCAGGTCGTACTCGCCATCCAGATTGAGGAACCGGCCCCACCACGCTACAAAAATTCGTTAGCAGAGCGTTCGCCGTAAACCCTGAAGCTGAACTCACTTAATACTGCATTGATCAGCCCAACCAGGGCAATAATGCAAAGCAAAGTTGAAATAATCATTCCTGCAATCTTTAACCCAAGCCAGGCACCGTTGGCAAAGGCATGCAATGCATTAGCTGCGCGATGCTCATCATCATCTGGCACAACCACACGTCCGGCTGTGAGTGTCTCTTCAGTTTCCGGATATCTGAGTTTGCTGACGGCCAGTGATGCCGGGATCGACATGACGCAGCTAGAAACCAGGGCTTGTGGATTTAGACCGAGTCCTATGTACGCCACCAAGACGGATCCAGCAATCGTCGCAAACCCACTGGTCATGATCTGATGAATCTCGGCCATGGTAAGATGGGGTACAAATGGCCTGATCAGCATTGCAGATTCTCCTTGACCCTGTAAATCTGTTAGAGACTATAGGTACTGGAACGGCGCAAAATGATGCTTACAATGAACGGTGAAGCTGCAGCTACCACAGCCTCGGCTCCCGAGACTTTCAAGGCCCAGAAGAAGAACACGGCGAATTTGCCGACCGCCCATTGTAGGGTACCAAAGTAGTAGAGCAGTTGGACAAGGGCGACGAAGAAAATGATTGGTGGAATAACGCCGATCAAAAACCATGGTAAGGTGGGTACCGTCTCATCGGTCAAGAAGGTTGTTCCCTGTTGCGCGAAGCCAAGCAAGCTGCGAGCCAGACTTGAAATGAAGGCAAAGATGTCATACCCAGCCTTGGACCGAAGCACGAAAACAGCGATAATGAACTGGGTGAGCATGCCTCCAATAACAGTGTGCCAAGGTATCTATACGATGAACCCAGTTAGCTTCAGCTAGGTTTGCTGTCATAACAGGTGCTTTTACCTTGCTTCTATTTCGAGACGTGGCATACAGGACGGCGATCATGACGGCGAGTCCAAACAAACTGACAGCCCGATTGGCACGTGTATTATCCGCTGATTCTTCTGAAACAAATGCGCCGATGAGCATCACGGCAATGGTTCCAGCTGCTGCAAGTGGCTTCCGAAGTCTGGCGGGTATAAGGTCGTGGACGCGCACAGCGGTATGTTTCCACACTGTTCTGGTAGGCTTCATGATAATAGAGACAGGGACATAGAAAGTGATAATCCGTATAGTGATGAAGAGCCAGAGAAGAAAAGGTACAATCCATCCGCGGTCATCTCTATGAAGGATAAGAGCTGCTATCCACCACCTGCCATAAGATCTGGTTAGATCCATAAGAAGGAACAGGCCCATTGAAGACGACGTACCCGGTCATCAGGGCCAAAAACGCAGCATGGAAGAAGATCTTCCATTTGCGATAGAAACCAGACACTTTATGCGATCTCGGGTCATCTTCCTCCTGCGATAACGATGCTGGGCTGACGATGCCCTTTTCAGCATCGTGCTGGACTATAGTAGGCTTGCTAGGAGTCTTTCTATCAGTGTGGTAAGCTTGATGGTGGCTGTCCTGGGCGTTCTGGTCGGGCACATTGGACTTTTCAACATCATGGCCATGAGAGTAGACAACCTCATCGTCACGTCCCTCGATGGACCTCTTGTGATGATGTAAGTGCTGATGTTCATGTTCGTGGGAATAATGTAGCACAAGGTCGGGGTTGGTAGAAACGTCACGCTGTGAGGAAGCGTTGTGTCCGTGGGCAGGAAGATTGTTAGCACTGGTCTGGGCCTCAGTTAGATCCTGCTGCTGAGGATTCTGAGTTCCCGTCGTTGATATCTGATTCTTGGTATCCATCTTTTCTTGAAGTAGTACCACGGTAAGCAAGCAGCGGCGAAGACTGGACGCTGTGTCGCTGCGGATGCAGATGTGGACAGCAGTAGGGAAATAAAAATATACACCAGAAGAGGCAAATCCAGCTATCAGTCCAGCTGCAGCATGGAAGGTTTTGCTAGCATTCCGCTCTCACGACTCGGCAGGCATCCTGACCATTCCTATGGCAAGCTCCCTTGTCAAAGTGTGGTAGAACTGCATTCGGTGATAGCCGTACAGTATCATGCGAGGCACATCTTCGATAAACTCTGTTGCCACCCAAGTCTACGTGTAGCCGAGGCAAAACGATAATTGACCTATCAGCTGATGGAACACGTTGGTCGTTGTTGGCTGACATGTCAAGCTGCATACACTTTAGGCAGGAGATCATCTTGCTGGGGGCGGTTGGAAGCGAAGAAGCATCGCGCTTAGCTGAGGAAAGACAAAGGGCCGGAGGGGCCATGAAGAAAGGAGGGGGATTCTGAGAGGGTGGTGGCACTTCTCCTGCGCAATAACAACTCTATCGGTTACTACGTAAATGTCTGCGAGGCAGTAGTCCCACAATCCTGGCTCAGACTCAATCCAATGGCAAGCCTATCATGTGCCAAGCAGTACTAGTAAGCGTCGTGCTGTGGTATAGATAAGCTGTGAGGCCTCAACAGGCATGTATCTACTTCCATCTAGCCTCCGGAGCAGTCGGCATAGCTTGACAGAAGTTGCGATGCAAAGAGAGACAAGAAGACAATACATATATACATTCACTCATTCATTAATTACATACGCATAGCACTGTGGCGCTTTACACCACCATCTATACAGAGGCCTCGACCGTACTCAGCGGCACATACTGACCTCTGTCCTGTTCTTTTTTCCTATCAATAAATCCCAATCCAGAACTCCACGCTTGCCGTATATAACCAGAAACCCCCCGCAGCTTGTCTTTCCTGATACCTACTCCGCCGTTCTTGATCTCCTGCTCCAACAAGTCAACATTCAGCCAGCCCGGTCGGCGCCACCACTTCAGCATCAAGGACGAGGAAACCACGGACACACTCGAAAATGCCATGGCAGCTCCAGCCGCCATGGGCGGAAGCATGATTCCTCCAAAAGGAAGGAACAAGCCCATTGCGAAAGGTAGCCCAATGACGTTGTAGATGACAGCCCATGCCAGATTGAGCTTGATGCGGGTAAAGATCGTGCGTGACAGACACAATGAAGCAGGGATGCTAAGCAGGTCATCTCCTCGCATAAGCACAATGTCGGCAGCATCCATGGCGATATCCGTGCCTGAGCTGAGAGCAATACCGACATCAGCACTTGCCAGAGCTGGAGAGTCGTTGATGCCATCGCCAACCATAGCTACGGTTTCGCCTTGTGATTGTAGTTCTGCCACAATGTCTTTCTTCTGCGCTGGTGACACAGATGCCCTGATTTGATCCTTGGAGATCCCTACAAGTTTGGCAATGCTTTGAGCAGAACTGAGCGTGTCACCTGTGACAAGAGACGTGCTGATACCCATTTTGTGGAGAGCAGCAATCGCTGCTGGAGCTGTAGGCTTCAGCGTATCGGAAAGTGATAGGGTTCCAGAGTATTGGGAGGAGATCGCCACATGAATGCGGGTAACACCTGTAGCTGAGGAGACCTTCGAAGGTGACTCTGCATCCACATTGCTCTCCGGAGCTTCATCAACTGAATTGGGGATGACAACGCCATTTGACTGAAGGAAAGATGCATTTCCGATCATGACTTCGTATCTGGCTCTTTCTGCCACAGATGCAGGCTCAACCGTCGCCTTGATTCCTTTCCCAACAAAGACATCAAATTTGCCTATAGCTCCATTCAGATTCTCTTCCGAGGTCAGCCCGAGTTGTTCTTTGGAGGCTTCAAAAATCGCTTTCGCAATGGGATGTTCACTGCTCATTTCCGCCAGACCAACAATACACCACCAAAGGCGGTAGCGCAAGCTGTTAGTTGTCCAAGTCGGCTCTAGATCCACCCTAGCAATCTTCATCTTGCCCTCGGTCAAAGTGCCTGTCTTGTCAAGAACGACGTGAGTGATTCTTGTCGCTGTCTCGAGGGCAGCGCCCCCTTTGACTAAGATGCCGTTCTCGGCACCCACACCAGTTCCAACCATGACAGCGGTTGGTGTTGCCAAACCAAGCGCACAAGGGCAGGCAAAGACGATCACCGAGATGCAAAGCTTCAGACACACCATGACCTTGCCTCCACCTTGATGGTCCCTAAAAATCTCTGGTGGACTTGAAAGAAGATGACTTAGCAGCATCCATACCACGAAAGTAGTCAGTCCAAGCAACAGGATGATCGGCACAAAAATTCCGGCAACATGATCGGCCGTGCGTTGTATTGGTGCTCTACTAGTTTGAGCTTCTTGGACCAGATTCACAATCTGACTGAGTTGTGTGTCTTTACCTGCACGAGAGACTCGGAAGTCCACTCGGCCGGCACCATTGACAGTTCCAGCAATAAGCAGACTACCATTCTTTTTCAGTACTGGCATTGCCTCACCAGTGATCATGCTTTCGTCGACGTAGCTCTCTCCACGCGTCACCATGCCATCAGCAGGAACTTTGTCGCCGGGTCGAAGAATGACGACATCTCCAACCTCGATCAATTCGGTTGGAATGGCCCTCTGACCAGGGGTATTTTCCTTTCTGGCTCTGTTCTCGGCCACATCGCCGTATTTCTCGACAGAAGGGGAGAATGGCACATCCCACCCTTCAGCCGCCTTTTCCGCAGCAATCGGATCATCGTAGATCGTGGCCATGGAGGGAGTCAGCGACATGAGTCGCGACAGCGCCTTGGAGGTTTGACCTTTTGCTCGATTCTCAAGGTATCTTCCAAGAGTGATAAAAGTGATGAGCATGGTGCTTGTATCAAAAACGGTCCCTGGGCGACTGTGCGGATGAACCAAGAAGGCCACAATCATGGCGAAGACGCTGAAGAAGAACGCGGCAGAAGTTCCCAGAACGACAAGGACATCCATTGTAGGAGATCGATGCTTGAGAGACTTGAAGGCAGAGACGTAAAAGCGCTTGCCAATGCCGAACTGCACAGGGATTGTCAACAACATGCAAACAACGTCGCCAAGATATATGCCTGGGAGTAAGGCTATGTAGCCAAAATCACAGAAAGGTAGAAACATGGGTATCAACATGCTGATGCAGAAAACCGGGATGGCGAACGAAAGTGAGAAGAAAAACGCCCAGCGCCATTCTTGAATCTCTCGTGTCTTGGCTAGTGACTGGAGCTGGGCGTTGTTGTCATCAGTGTCTGCTACCAAAGCATTGTACCCTTCGGCCTCGACGGCTTCAACAAGAGCCCTCAAGCCAATCAGGGACGGGTTGTACGTGATCGTTGCTCTTGATGTTGAAAGGTTGATCACAACTCCAGCAACACCGGACTTTTGACGGAGAAGATTTTCGAGCGTAGTAGCTGCAAGGCCGTCTGAAAGCCCGTAGACCTTCAATTGTATTGACGTAGACGACTGTAGCCGCTGACTTCCACCAGCTTGTGACGAAACTAACTTGGCGTCGAATCCGGCATCCTCAATGGTCTCAAGGATCTTTGCGATGGACAGCTTGATGGGTTCATGTGAAATAACGGCTCGTTCGGCAAGAAGGCTAATATTGAAGTGGATAAGACCGGGCATGTCCACGAATGCACCTTCGACAGCAGATGTGCAGGCTCCACAGGTCATCCCTTCAATCGCGACCGTGGTAATGGCTGTATCAGGTTGTACCCCTTCAGCTTCGGGTATTGTGGCACTCATATCTCGTAGGTCGTCCTGCACCTTGGTATCTAATACGGTGGCTCCAAAACCCCTGTCCTCGATGATCTCAGCTACCTGCTGAGAGGAGACTATTGTAGGATCGTGCTCGACGACTGCGCGCTCGGATAACAACGATACACTCATGCTCTTGACACCAGGGACATTCTTAAATCCCGCTTCCACCGAGGATGTGCATGCGCCGCAGGTCATGCCCTCAACCGCTAATGTAGTGGTCGAGATCTTTGGATGAGATGTGTCCAGATAAGCGGGTGGTGCAGGTAAATGTGTGGATAGGACCTCTGCGTCGAAGCCCCGATCTTCAATGATCTCCGCTATCCGGTCTGCTGATAGCTTTTCTGGGTCATGGTGTACAACCGCCCTACCCATAACCAAGCTGACAGATACAGCTCCGGCCCCTGGTATGTCTTTGAATCCTGCTTCCACGGCAGAAGTACAGGCGCCACAAGTCATGCCATCCACCTTTACAGTCGTCGTTGCCATGTGCGCGGTTTCACCTTTGGGTAGTGGTTGGTCATCGTCTCGCGGTACTGATTGATAGGTCGCCATATTGCACGGCGTTTCACCTAGGGAGCGAGAACATAAAAGAATGAACGAGACCAAGGTCTAGCTTGTGGATATGGTAATGGTCAGTACTGATCCAAGAATAGTTCGGTTCGTGATCGGAAGGCGCTAAGCGAGTGAGAAGAGGCTGCGAAGCGAGGCAAAAGCGCAGCAGAAGTCCAGCTCCTGAATTGAATAAATCGTATAATCGTAAGTGCAAGTGACAGCGGGACAGCCGCAAGACACCGAAGTGGCTTTCCTATAGACTGAGTGCTTTGTCAAGGCTGTGGACAATGCCACTCAGCTCCAGTTGGGGGCCTTGGTGTTGCAAGGACAAAGGAGAGAGTCTGATTACGGATCCGATTATTCGCGCTCGCCCTGCAGTCCCGTGCACAATGCAACGCCAAGGACATGGGACCAAGCCGATGCTTACCAACTTCTGTCATTGTTGTCCAGCTCTGAGCACAACGTCGGCTCGAGATTTGATAGAAGATTGCTGTGTACTGGTTACAGTCAACCCGATCCAAAAGGCTCAGAAGAATGGACTTGGGCAGGATGAGTCTTGCATGAGTTTCATCCTACAAGGAATTTGAAACTTGAGCCATCCGGTGTCAACCACTAAGTTAGAATCGCGGTTGGCCTCAATGTCCTTAACGATCACAAGGGAAATATGTCTGGAAATGGGTTGCATCAATTATCTCGACATTCGAAGGCACTTGCATTTGATTGGACAATTGTGCAACAGGTACCGGTCTGTACGAATATAAATATGTGCACGTGGCCAGAAGCAGTAGGATTACGTCAGCAGAATTACATTTTGCCAAGCTCTCTTGCTTGCAATATTGCAGTGGTAGTACTAGGAGAACTGTACTCCGTACTATGTAGCTTCAACCTCAAGTGCAGTGTGGTAAGTACGGTGCATACTTGATTCAGAAGCTCAACCTGTAGTCCGCAAAACATTTTTGTGAGATCTACTACTTGGGCATTGTTTGCTCGTTTCTGTGTACCTTCATTGTCCAGCCATGGACCAGGCTCAAAATCGAGCTTTGGCAGCTCTTCAACCATTTCTTCATCTCGCCCTTACCACCAAGTCACCTTCCCCCCGTATCCTCGCTGATTTTATCATACGTGCTACCTCCGCCCAAGGAACATACGTCTTTACCGAGCTTTTGCAGACTCCAGCAATCCAATCCCTGCGATCACCCAGCGCTCCGGAGGAGTTTCGAAACTATTACACAGCTTTAGAGATCTTCAGCTATGGCACACTTGCAGACTACCAAAGTATGTCTCTTCCGCCCTTCTGCAACTTACACAAACTGACATTCATCTCACTAGACGCTCCTAACCTCCCCACCTTAACTCCACAACAACAGCACAAACTTACACTATTGACACTCCTCTCCCTAGCTTCCGAGCCCCACCCTCTAACCTACGACTATTTAACCACAACACTCTATCTCGACTCTGCCGCTGCCCTCGAAGCCCTAATCACAGAAGCAATTTACAGCGGTCTCATCACAGCTCGGCTATCACCCACTTCCAGCCCACCGATTGTGCACATCACCTCTGTCGCTCCACTCCGAGATCTCCGTCCCAACAGCCTACCTGAGATTTTGAAGGTGCTGCAAGTCTGGGAGAGCCGATGCAGCAGCGTGGTGGGTGATATCGAGGCGCAGATCGCCGGAATAAGGAACAATGCCGCTAAACGGAAGGCGCGGGAAATGAGAAGGCAAGAGGTTGTTGATACTGCTGTATTGAGCAATGATGGCACTGGAGATGTCGGCAATGCCGCTGGAGGAGGTGCCGGTGCCGGTACCGGTGTTGGTAGTGGTGCTACTGGTGGTGCTGGCAGGATGACGAGATCTAGCATTATGCGTGGTGGTTCAGGCGACGAGAACAGGAAGAGCAAGGGGACTGGAAATAAGCGCGATCTAGATGAGCAGCAGGAAGACGAGGAAGTGAGTCAGTGGGGTCAGCAAACGAGCGAAGAGGACGGTGGTGTTGGCGTCGGCCTGGCCAAGATGGAAGTTGATGAGGGAGCTGGCTCCATGGGCAAAAGTGGCGACGGATCGAGAACAGCTAAGAGAGTACTGGGGAAGAAGGGACTCTAAGGCCAAACCGGAGAGTGCCAAAGCTAAGATGGCAAAATAAATGACACGAACGACACAACATGAACATGTCACAATCCCGCTTGAGAACACGAAACGGGTCGATACTATATTCAAACATTGACATGAGCATATCTTGCGTTGCCAGCACGAGTGGTGGTAGCTACCAGGAAGAGATTATGGCCGAGAATCGTCCCTTGCACCCTAAAGACCATGAAGCCCATGCAGCCGATACACCTGTGCCTTCCCCTCCCGCTGTATCCATTTGACCTCAATCCTGTCACGCCAATTCCAGAGCCATCAGAAATTCGTTCCCGGCACAAAGATGAATAAGACGAGCAACAGAAGCGCAATAACATGAAAAAGCACAAAGGCCATCAAGGCCCTCTTCATGATGAGTTTGCGCACATACGGTTCCCTGATCTTGGACCAGTTCATGAAGGTGTATTCGCTGTAGCTGAAGAAGGCCATGAAGACGTCGATCTTGTATTGGTAGGCTACCAGGAGGTGGGAGCCGAGGAGGTAGGGGATGATGAGCTGAGCAGAACAAGTCAGATGTTAGCTTCGGTTGTTGGAATGAAAAGAACCTTTCTTTTCGGGAGATTCTTACCCAACATCTAGTGGCCCTCGATTTGTTTGTCAGGATCATGTAGTAGCCACCCCACAATCCCGCGAAGAGGCACGCTAGGCCAAGACCAAGCCTCAGGAGAACACTGAGTGGGACGAGATTTCCCAGCGCTTTGGCTTGAAGGAAGCCGGGAAATGCATCGCGTTCCATGGCTTGGAAGACGTATTCTTTTGCGTCGTTGAAGACTTCAGGGTCGTCACGGCCTTCTTCTTCAATGGCATGGATGATGCGGTTGAGTATCATCTCGGGAAGCACAATCTCGCGTTCTGATCCTGGTAGGACGAATGTGTAGAGGATCTTCTCTGCGCTGGCGCGGATGTCGGCCCGTGCGACTGTATGGCCTGGAGAATTTGAATTTGTCTGAGTATCGTCTGAGTTCTTGAAGCTGGGTCGAGGCCTTTCGAGAGATGCTGCTTTTATCTCCGAATGCCGTGATCCTAGACTGCCGCGGGGTGAGTGGTTGTTATGTCCAGCCTTCCCATTCTTGCCATTACCATTCTGTGAGCGTAAATAGTCGGAGACAGCCTGGTCCTGACTTTCTAGCTTTTCACTGTTGGGAGGAGAGTCCCCATCCATCCTGAAATTGTCCAATCCTTCCGATGTTCGTTTGCTTGGGGCTTTCTCCAGCTCTGGGGTTTCCACCAGCATGGACCTTCTGAGCTCTCGGACGTAATGCCTGCAAAGCGACATATGCTGTGAAACATCGAGCCTACCACGGATTAGATTCAAGAATCACAAGTGTAAAGGTCATGGCTTACCAAAAGTCGAGGTAGTCCACTGACCGTTGCTGGTCTCTCATGTAAATGTAAAATGAGAAAAGGTCGGTTGGGGCAAGTGTTCTTCTACCCAGAACCTCCAGTAGAGTCGGAAGTCTATTTCGCTGTTCCAACTCCTCTGAAACGGATACTGAGGGTGAGGACATCGTTAAACTGCTCGCTTAGTGCCCCCCTTTCCCTCACCACCGAGGTCCTGCAAAAGTGATGTCTACTATTATTTTTATCGCGACGTTTCTCCGCTCTCTTTCAGTAGTGAGACCGCAAGAGTAGAAAGCGTAGAGAGCAGACTGCTCGCGAATCAATATTTGTCCAATGATGACGGTGTCAAAGAGGAGTTTCGGAGCTTTCTGGTCGTAACGAAGAGCTTGGTCGTCGTTATTTGGTCTCAATCCTGGTCATGGCAACTTGTAGACATGGAGAGGTACTGATGGGCCTAGGATTCTGCTTGCGACGAAGTGTATGCGCGAGTCAAGCTGGGGAGAAGCGTCTTGTATCCGAAATTGAAGTTGGATCATTTCAAGGTACGGATGTTACATAACGCACCAATCAGGATCTAGTAATTGACCCTGCGTGCATCACCGGAAGAGCGGCCAGACCTGCATGCAAAGTCCATCAGACCTACAATAGCTATAGACAAGGGTTGAATGGCTTCTAGATATATCTCCTATAGCCGTTCATGCAGATGTGAAGTCAGCAGTCCACCCCCCAAAAAACGGCTGCAGAGAGCTGATGATGATGCTCCGATAAACCTCTTCTGCATGCCCGCACCATGCCAGATGAGCAGACACCTCTCCTAGCGGTGGTTCGTGTTGCACAGCGAAGACCACGATATCAGCATTCAACAGTCCGCCGCTTCTGCACGATCGTGCTGTCTGGCGCCCTAGTCGTTGCACTTATATGTCTTCTACTTCCAGCCGCATTCCTGCCCGTTGCCGATGGCCCAAAATCATCATATCTGCCCTGGGCAAATCCATTTCCCCATCAAGCATGGCCGGGAGGTGATGGTATGACATATGAAGAGCTGCAGACGATATTACTGCAAACACCTAACGAAGTGGAGGCGAGAAAATCGAGCGAGTATTACACAGCCGGCCCGCATCTTGCAGGTAAGAATTTGAGTCAGGCACTCTGGACCAAGGAAAAATGGGAGGACTATGGAGTCACATCGTCGATTGTGGCCTATGACGTATACCTGAACTACCCCTTGGACCATCGCCTTGCCCTACTGGAGGGTGTTGACCTTGCGACAAACAGGCACAAGATCAGGTACGAGTGCAGTCTGGAAGAAGATGTTCTTGATCAAGACCCAACAACTGGTTTGAGTGACCGGATACCCACCTTCCACGGCTATTCTGCCAGCGGTAATGTCACTGCTCCTTATGTGTATGTCAATTTCGGAACGTACAAGGATTTTGAGGACCTACTTGCTGCCAACGTGTCTCTCGCAGGCAACATAGCTATCGCAAAGTACGGGCGCGTGTTCCGAGGCTTGAAAGTCAAACGCGCGCAAGAGCTTGGAATGGTTGGCATGGTCATGTATACAGATCCGCAAGAGGATGGGGAAATGACTGTTGCCAGCGGCTACAAGGCATACCCTGAAGGGCCAGCACGGAATCCTAGCAGCGTACAAAGAGGCAGTACACAATATAACAGTGTGTACATTCCGATTGCATGTACCTGATCAAGCTGACAGATGTTGCAGGCGTCCTAGCTGGAGACCCGACTACTCCGGGGATACCATCAAAACCAGGTTCGCCACGTGTTGATCCGCACAAGGCGATTCCATCGATTCCCTCCTTGCCTATTTCTTATCGTGACGCGCTTCCATTGTTGAAGGCATTGAATGGTTATGGACCAAACGCCTCTCATTTCAATAAATACTGGCAAGGTGGTGGGCTTACGCACGAGGGCGTTGATTATAACATTGGTCCGAGCCCTGACTCGCTCGTGCTGAATTTGATGAATGCTCAGGAATACACTACCACACCAATATGGAACGTTATTGGTGTTATAAATGGCAGCATCCCAGATGAGGCTATAATTCTCGGCAATCACAGAGACGCCTGGATTGCTGGAGGTGCTGGTGATCCCAACTCAGGCTCAGCAGCCTTTAATGAAGTAATTCGCGCATTTAGTGTCGCGATGCAAGCTGGATGGAAACCTCTCCGCACCCTTGTCTTCGCAAGTTGGGACGGTGAAGAGTATGGGCTTCTTGGATCGACAGAGTGGGTGGAAGAGTATCTCCCTTGGCTTTCCGCTGGGAGCGTCGCATACCTGAACGTTGATGTGGGGTCTGTTGGCCCCAAACTCAACGCTGCTGCCTCTCCTTTGCTTAACAAGGTCATTCTCGAGGCGGCTGGTTTGGTCCCTTCTCCGAATCAAACTGTGCAAGGGCAGACTCTACTCGATACATGGGATAAGAGGATCAAGACGATGGGATCAGGAAGTGATTTTACTGCTTTCCAGGACTTTGCGGGAATACCCTCGCTTGATCTGGGCTTCAAGGAGGCCCCTAACTCCCCGGTCTATCACTACCATTCCAATTACGATAGTTTCTACTGGATGGACAAGTTCGGCGATAATCAGTGGCACTGTCATATCACTATTGCAAAATTGTGGGCTCAAATCGCCATGCAGCTCTGTGAAACTCCAGTTCTGAGCTTAAATACCACGGACTATGCTTTGGCTCTTAGTAGGTACCTTGAAGGTGTCAAGGAGAAGGCGAAAAAGTCCACAATAGGCGAGGATAGCGCATTCTCTTTCAAGTTCCTCGACCACGCAACCTCCGAATTACAAGCTGCAGCCACCAGATTCGACACCTACACCGCTAACCTAATTCTCCGCCTCTCAAAGCCCGTTCCCTGGTGGCAATGGTGGAAAACGGTGAAACTGCTCTATGAAGTCCGCAAAGCAAACACCAAATACAAACTATTGGAACGGCAATTCCTGTATCCCGGTGGACTGGATCACAGGCCCTGGTTCAAGCACGTGGTTTTTGCGCCGGGGAGGTGGACAGGGTATTCTGGTGCGACGTACCCGGGGCTGGCGGAGAGCTTGGAGGATGGGAATGTTACGAATGCGGTGAGGTGGGGGGAGATTATTGTGGAGAGGTTAGAGGGGGCGAAGAGCTTGCTTGAGAAATGAATTGCTGGGGGTAGCATTTGATGGCCGTGTATGATTGTGGATGTGCTTAGGAGTTGGGGATCTTAAAAACCCTTCCATACGGCCGTGTCTTTGGGCATCACAGGGGTCATCACCTAGCACATAGGGCATATCAAGGTGTTCATATCTAGTTCTCTTCCGGATAATGGTATACGTAGTACAGTACCGACAATGCCATTCCTACCTGCCAAAGGTTTAGTAACCCGGGAGCAGCGATGCTAGAGCTCTTGAAAGCTCCACCCATGGCTCAGACTCAGGAAGGGCGTGCTGCCAAGGTATATATATACGTGTTGCAGGCTTGTGGCTCTTGATAATGATAAGAAGACCAACGACTTATGTTTCACCTTGTCAGTCATAAGCTGGCCAGACACTTTGAACACGGGTTAGTGGCCCAGAGGCGATTGTCATGGGTTGTAATAACTGTAGCTGTCTTCTCTCCGCCTTTTATAGAATACAGATGCCTCATCCCATCTACATGGCCTCCCTTCTCTCAATGCTCATGGCTCGGCTGGCCATGATAGCCTACAATCTTCATCCTGCCTATCATCGTTCCCACTGTGAAAAATCCCAATAATTCTGCGCCGATCACGCTGAGAGAGATCAACTGCTGTCGATTGGTGTTTCGGACGTTGCTGAGTATCGTTTCCGGGTTGATGTAATTGGAGGTAGAGCTAGCGCGTGACATGAGACTTTTCGGGTCCCTAGCGACATTTATGACTGGTTGGAGGTAAGATTGGATGTGGGAGAGAGATCTAGTGAATATTCCATCGAGGTCAGCTTCAATGTCATGACGGTTCAGGGACGATTCCTTGTTTGCGACTTACGGTAGAGACATCTTCTGTCCTTGGAAGACAAGCTTTGAAAGCTCGAGGCCAACGCGAGCATAATACACGGTAGGCGGAATTAAGGCTGCATCACTGTCAGCTACAACCATCTCTAGATGATCCTTCCGCAGCAGCAGCGGGAACACTGACTTTGAACAAAAGAAACAAGTCTGCCAGTCCGTCCGCCCACTCTGCTCATCACATTTTGTGCCCTTGAAGCCGCTGAGCCGATAATACCACCCGCCGACGACGTAACCTTCGACAAGCCTTCTGAAGCTTTAGAAGTTGTTTGTGATGCCGTCTCCTTTGCTTTCGTCGCTGCCTCTGAGGTTGTGGAAGCTTGTCTGAGGTTGTTTCGCCGGAGGAGAAATCGGGTTTGTCGGAGGATGGCACGTGAAGTAGGTGCAGGGGACATCTTTGCTGAAACCCTGCTGTGAAAGCTGCGGAGTAAAGTAAGAAAGGTAATGAGCGTCTGCCAGCCAGATCACCTCAAGTCAGGCCAACATGAAAGCCAATGGAAGTTGGCGATTGTTTTTGCTCCAACTTAAGGGTTGGGAAAAAGGTACCACGGAGAGCTTTGACCCGACATTGCTGTGATTGGCTCTGCCACTCCAGTGGTCTTGGCAGTATCTCCTTCAAGCTTCAAGTTCTTTCTCACTACCAAGTATGTATTACAAGCATAGTACTCCATTATTTCACCTTCAGCATCGAGCAAACGTGCTGGACACATTGAGTTCATCATATTAACAACCCTTAAGATGCTGATGCTAGAGCAGATTTGCCTGGTCGAAATGTACTCCGGCCGAACTGATGCTGCATTGTTTGAAAATAAACACGACATCTGGCCAACCAAAAAGCTCACAATCTGTGATGGCCTATTCACTTGCTATCACTCAAAGTTTCTTAGAATGAAACAATGCAGTGATACTCAAGTGTCGAATTTTGGATCTCCTTGTTATTCCCCAGTACTTCTTTGTTGCATGTTGTCTTTGCTCGGCGTTGTTCTCATTGTCTGCTTGCTTTCTCTTCTTAGACATAGAAGCTTCAAGATAGAAGATGCAGCTGGCCGTGTTATCTCTCCCACTTCCCACAACCACTTCGGAATCTCACTTGCATTCCTTCTATCCTCAAAATGGAAAATCCTCGTCAATCTACAAGTGCTCTTTGCAGGACATTAGCGCATGCTTTGAAGCGCCTGTTCAAGTCCGTCAAGGCTCGAACTGGCGAAAATACTCTCAATGGCCCTGCGGACATCCTACGTAGGGACTGCTCCCTCCCACCATCCTTGTTGCCACGGATCTCCCAGGTTTCCATGTTCCCAGACTTTGAGTCTCCTGATATATTCTATGATGATGCTGATAACCGCACACCAACACTCCCAATGACTTTCCACGAAAGCCACACCAGACAAGGACTTCCAAGAACTCTCCTGCCAGCGAGATCCCTCAGTCACTTCAATCTCCAGCAGGTCTATGCTGACCACTGTGGTCTGCCTGTTCTGCCAACTAGAAAGCAAGACCATGTTTGGCCAGCCGAACAGCTAACCCCTGCTAATACCGGCAGAGTCCCCGCACACAAACCGGTACTCGTTTCCAAGAAGTCCACCCTACAGATTCGTCGACCTGTCTCATTCCATGCGAGTATCGTCAATGCAGGTCCCGCTGCATCCATCCATTCCGACAGCTCCTCTGCTGTGCTCCGCAGAACGAAACGTTCAGGGAACCTCCGTAAGTGCGCAATAGCAGAATCACACACGGCCGAAACAAATCTGTTGACTCCAATAGCAGAAGATGCTTGTTTCTTAACCTCGAAAAGCACTGGTCACGATTCGTTCCGACTAGTCAAACATTTTGCTTCCTACTGCATAATGGACATGGCCGCTCCAGGTTGCCCTATTAGTGCAGTATCCGAAAATCTTGGCTATCTCTACGACATCAAGGACAGGTTCGTGTTGAATGCTCACGAAATTTCCGAGCTTTCAATGGACCTCAGCATTGGTCGTGATCCACATGGCAACGAGGTCACTTATCTTTTACTCTTTAGCCCTCTTATATCACCAGCTACCACAAAAAGCCGCTTCATGCTCGTGTCCGCAATCGATGTTTCCGGCTATATTCGCTATGCGGCCACTCTTGAGCCCACTCCCGAGCCAAGGAGAGAAACCAAGTACCTGAACTCGTACAGGGAGAGATCGAATCCGACACGCAAAACATCTTCGACTTCATGGATAGATGAAAAAACTGATCAACTTGCAGATGAGCTGCTTCATGGATGTTCCATCAAAGAATCTTCGGCCAGCACCTCTGCAAGCAGGAGAACAATATCGAATGCCGAACCGGTTCGATCAGCCCACGAATGCGAAGACATCTGGACCGCAATTGCTAGAGAAGAAGGTCTGATGACTCACTCAGTCTCAGCAGCCTCCAGATCTTCAGGTTCTCTACACAGCTCAGCGACTTCTTCCTTCCAGAGCCGGGACCCACCCACGAGGTCAACAACTTCGCAATCAAGTCTCGATTACGCGGATGAAAAAATCATCGAAACATTCATCGACAGCCTTCAAGTGCTGTACTCACAGTATTTCTTGCTAGTCTGCTCGCCCCTGAACGGTGACTTCTATGAGATATGCTACGTATCCCCTGCCGTCTACGCAAGTGGGGAATACGTTTCTGGTCATCTCTCGCATACCCCTTTCAACCTGGTCAATGAGTTCGGTGCTCATTTGGCTGCGGGAAAGCGTTTTCGAACGGACATACGTTGGGGTGTTAATGGGGTAAAGAAGCAGCTTTACTGTGTGCCGTTAATGGGCCATGAGCCTGCTCCTTGGATCTGTATGCTTGTTGATGAGGGAACGCCGATAAATTGGTGAATGAGATGGCATTGCTCCCTGTTCTGTCGTGGATTGATAGATGTTTTGTTTTGCACTGATCAATTGTATTCTGTCCTTGCAGTCTTCTTTTCATGACTTGGTACAACAACGTCTCCAGCATGACTTATGTAGGTGCAGCCTTGAGCAGTGTGTCCATTTGAATCAAATTGAGTCAAATAAACCAAATCAAATACTTGGCAATGAGCCAGATCCGTGCTTCGAAATTTGACAAGTTGGTCAAATGGAGTCATAATAAGAGAGAAGTCTTCTATTTTGAAACATTCAGGATTACTTATTGTTGATGAAAACATAAAGGTCTTGGCGGACTCTCTTTGTGAGATGAAAATCTTTGGTATTCTGAGTGACTGAGGCAAATGATTGGGTTTATCTGATTCCTGCACCAAGTGCAAAGTTGTGGCAGATGTTTCTACAACTTCAATACTAGTAGTTGATCCTTCTTGGGGCCAGTCCAGCACTTGTTTCACGTGACTGCTCTGCTTCCCTTGCTCTTACGGAAACTGATCCCCTTCTTCCTCGATAGACCTCATCCATTCCATTGCTCATACCATGATAACTTGATTCTGGAATGGCAATCTGCCCCTACCTGGAAGGATAGATGGTCTGGTTGTGCTATGGTCCCACTGAATTGAAAGTACGAATGGAGTTCCGGGAAGAGCAAGCACAAACCCACCAATTATGCCGAAACCCCCATTATGATGTGAGTGAGACTGCGTTTCACCAATGAAGAATCGTTTCTTCAAGGAATTTCCCTGCTATGGGAAGGGGTGCTGTTATTGCGCTTCTCTTTCTCAAGCTTGATTCGAACTGCGGTGGCAGTAACTGACTCGGATTGGCAGGCCCAAGAGGATTTTCTTCCTGGAAGTTTGGATTTTCCTCTTGTACTGGATAATATCACAACTGCTCAGGGAAATACGAGGACGAATTGGCTCTTCTGGGTCCACTTTTGCATCCTTTCACAATTGCACGCAGCAATAGCCACAATCGCAGCAGGATCTTCACGAATTGTTTTGTTCCGCACTGCTATTCTGATGATCATGGTAAGTACTATGGATGACGGTGTGCACTAGGTGGCATGTTGAAGGCTGGAGGACAACAACTGTTTTATTAGTGGGCCTACACCTCGTTGGAATGTATGCTACAGAGTTTTTACACCTGCACCATAGGTTCGGACAGATGTCGTGTACGAATTTGGGTTCCAGGTATGACAGACGAAATATTTAGATGTGGATGGTTCTTGTCCGTCTGCTTGATGATCCTTGCTTACAGGATTAAGACTAATGCCAGAAACATTCCGAGTTAGCGAACTAAGGTGCGAGTCAGCGAATTGAAAGCCACCAGCTTGGTAGTAATTCGCCCAATTGGATATACTTTCGAGAACAAACCTTACTCTGGGACGGCTGGACATCTCAATCTAGTCTGGCGGCCTCTGTAACATCTATGCACAAAGTAAGAAACTTGCTGGATCAAGACTGCTTCATGTAAAGCGTCCCTATCAAGCATCTCTAGACGTACGTGAAGAACGTTAAGCACCTTTTACATTTATCAATGTCGGAATTCATGAAATTCCTGCTGACAAAGTGTGGTCCCAGCTCCATAGGCACGGGGTTCTGAGGAGCATGCACCGACCTGTACGGAGTATTATTATTCCGGAAAGAAGCGCAGAACTACTTACTAACTAGGCCTAATTAATGCGTGAAGTCATCTACTAGTACATGTACTACTTGTGCAGTGAATAGTCGAGTCCGCCCAGCACCGGAAAAAATGGCTCAATTGATCAGCTACTCGACTACTTGGTTGCTTCACGGTCTGTTCTTCAACTCCGTCAGCATAGCATTCATCGACAGCAGCAATGCAACTGCGCGATGTAACGAAGCTGGTCCTCAGTCCTTATAAATCCCCAAGCATCCTCAGCAATTGTCGGGTACTGTAATTGAGTTCGGCTTCCCCGCGTCGCCCTTCAATTGTTGATACAGATGTCCCGCCGTTTTGACTCTCCGTACTGAGAATATATCGACAGCAATCATGGACATAGTCGACCGTGAGGTCGAAGTAGCAGAGGAGCAAGCCAGCAGGGGTTTCTCTGGCCAAAGTCTGGAGCACCATCAACACCTCGAGAGAGCCACGAGGACTTCCACGGTATCCAGCTCTGGCTCATCGGCCACCACCTCCTCCATCTCGACCCGGCCCGACTTGCATGCCACGATGTCAATGGGACGAGCCACCACGGCCAATACCCTAGAAAGACGGAGGACAAACGCAATTGAGATGCACAGGACAGAAACACAGCGGCTACAACATAGTCACACTGTAGGGGCACGCATCACCAAGACAAGAACCTCTCAGAAGCCTTTGCCAAATTTCGGAGGTGGGAAGCCATATCCGCCTGATCTGCCGGCACAGGATGAGTACGTGGTGGAATATGATGGGAAGGACGATCCATTACATCCGCAGAACTGGTCAATGACACGGAAGTAAGCAGCTACGGGCACGCACTGGCGTCAGTTGGGAGTGTCTAACCTGCTGCGTCTGTCCAGACTCCATATCAGTGTCATCTTGGCATATACCTGTCTCTGCTCCACTTTCACTTCTTCCGTCTTTTCCGCTTCAACACAAGCTGTAGCAACACAGTTTCGTGTCAGTGTCGAAGTATCTACACTCTCGACATCGTTATTCGTATTAGGTTATGCTTTTGGTCCAATTCTGTGGGGACCACTTTCAGAGCTGGAGGGGCGGCGGCTCCCCATCATGATCGGTGGGCAATTGCTCCCACTCCTCCAAGCAGAATCTAACCAGCTCCACTAAGGAATGTTTGGCTTTAGCATATTCAACCTGGCAGTTGCTGTCTCCAAAGACATCCAAACGCTACTGATCTCCCGCTTCTTCTGCGGTATCTTTGGTTCCTGTCCTCTCGCTGTTGTAGCCGCCGTCTACACCGATATCTTCGACAACAAACAGCGAGGTCCTGCCGTGACCATCTTCGCAACCACAGTCTTTATGGGGCCAATGTTGGGACCATTCATTGGAGGCTTTATTGTTACTTCGTACCTTGGATGGCGATGGACAGCTTACCTGTCCAGCATTATGGGATGGCTGTCCTTTGGACTGATCATCCTCTTTCTCCGCGAATCCTACCCACCAGTGGTACTTGTGGCCAAGGCTGCTGAACTTCGTCGTCGAACCAAGAATTGGGGCATCCACGCCAAGCAGGAGGAAGTAGAAGTCGATATCAGCGAACTCATCACCAACAATTTCTCCCGCCCTATCCGTCTGCTCTTCACCGAACCCGTCATTCTTCTCATCACGATTTACATGAGTTTCATCTACGGCATACTCTACCTCTTCCTGACTGCCTACCCCTTAGTTTTTCAAGGCGTCCATGGCATGTCTCCTGGCGTTGGTGGCCTACCATTCTTCGGAATGGTTGTTGGCCTCTTCATCGTCGCAGCGTATATTATCTGGTCCGCAAAGGGATACAACAAGAAATTAGCCGCTAACGGCGGTGTACCGGTGCCGGAATGGCGACTCCCCCCCGTCATCATTGGCGGCACGCTATTTGCTGCTGGACTGTTCTGGTTTGGTTGGACTGGATTCACTAGGGATATTCATTGGATTGTACCTACCCTTTCAGGCTTACTTACCGGATTCGGCATCTTGGCTATCTTCATTCAACTATTCAACTACATCATCGATTCTTACCTCATGTTGTACGTCCAGCCCTCTCCTTTAACGCTTCCTGGCAAACCTTTCAGAAGCCGACTAACCTTTTTTCTGTGATCATTTAGCGCCGCATCAGCAATAGCAGGTAACACCTTCCTCCGCTCCATCACCGCGGCTGGCTTCCCTCTCTTCGCACGTCAAATGTTCAACGGTATGGGCATCCAGTATGCGGGCACTTTGCTCGGCTGTTTTGCTGCCTTGTTGATCCCGATTCCGGTCTGTTTCTATCTTTATGGCAGGAGATTGAGGGAGAGAAGTCGTTTTAGTCCTACGATGGCGGATAAGCCACCGATGGATGAGGAGAGCAGTTTGGCTGAGGAGCTGGGGGAGGGGAATGGGGATGGAGGAGATTCGGATGCGGTGCATTCGCGGGCGACGGATGGGACAGGGACGGTGAATGGGGATGTGGAGAAGGAAGGTTGACCGCAGCGCAAATACCGTATCATATTTTTGTTACACGCTTTGGTTATCATTGCGGTCATCGACGCGGCTTATGGCGATAGTTCTGACGTGGTTCTGCTATAATTTGGAGCTAAATAAGGTAGTGTGAGAGCGCTCCTTGGTCAGTGCTTCTACGTTTTAATCACTATTATTCGTCTGCGTTTGATTGGTCCAATTTGAAGTGCAAATTTTGAGGTCAATCCTGCTGTCCGCGTCACAGCCAATTCGTATCTCCCCTCTATACTGTACCCATACGGGGGGTTGCAGAATACGTTCAAATGAATGTGGTCGATCTTTTTCATTTTCAATGTCCGTCACAATTTTTTGTACAAAGCTGTCGGTATTATTTTGCTCCAACCCGCCGCGAGCTTAGCTGGCGGGTAAACTAGCCGCTGCATCTACTAGTATAACGCACTAGCTTACTACTGCGGTATCATGCAGAAGTAATGTTAGCAGGACGTTAGTACTTTTGCTCCAGCACAGACTCTTAACGAGACAGCTAAACCTTTAACAGTTAGCGGTACTAGTGTGGCTGAAAACGATGTTTCATCGATCAGAGAGGCTTCTAGACATCCATCTGGAGCTGTGTTATAACTAATTGTTACTTGTTACTAGAGCCATGCTTATCATGGTATGCTACGGAGTACCTTAGTCCTGAATAAGCTACTCAGTACTCCGCAACCTCCGATCGAGATCTCGGCATCTTGTTTGAACCACTGCAGCTGGCCGTAGCCAGGGGAATTATAGACACAGGAGGAAAGTAATAAAGATAATAACAACATCACACCATGCCGGTGTAGCCAACCGACGTACAGCATCAATGATATACGCGCTCATGTTCTACTACCGACAGAAGATTGCCCGTGCATTGGAAAGCTTCTGGCCTCATCCCGAGTGCCTCGTTGAACAAATACATGCTGCACAAGTTGACACATTCCAATGTTCTCGGCACATCAGTTCTTGTTTTGCTCTCTTAAAGAAGAGTCACTTGGACTACTAGTTAGTTCGCTATTACATTTTTAGTATTCGACTTCACCAGATATTCCATAATTCGCGGCAACCAGATCAAACCATCAACCATCAAATCAGGATGGAACGGTTGTGGCGCATAAGTATTCCTTTGCAGCCTCGTAAAGCTGTGAAGGCACTCGTAGGGCTGCTTGAATAATAGATCTCGTAAACCCACCATAGCTTGCATCGGAGGTTCACGCTGTGTTCCTATTGCTTCTACTAGTGTCGGTACCCATGTGATTGAGATCCGAAGCATCTCCCACTTAACCCAAAAATAATGCTCTCATACGTCAGACTTTCCCCCTTCAAAGAAAAGATGGGCATGTTCTGGCCAGGCTTGGCCGATTCGCAACAATTGCTCTGTTACTACCCAGCAACTGTCCATATTCTGCCACATCGCCTATCGTCGGATCATCACAGCACGTTATGCTTCCCATATGAATACTGTATCCAGACATCGGGAGCAATGACGATCCTGTTACGCTCAACAATGCAATCTTCTGCGAAGTGGCTTCCATGACTACCTCCCAGAGGCCGCTTGTGGATTTTCCGTACTTGCACTTTGATTTCCGAACCCCCGCAGCAGCATGTCGAGAAGACGATGAGCGCAACTCTTTTACAAGAACACAAAAATATCCTGTACAAGACATACAGTCTCCTCACGCGCCACCATCATATACATCTCGTCTGTCATACTCCACACCTTTAGACAACGTGATATCCCAATCATTGTCTCCGCCACCTGGTAGCAGAGCCCTTTTTCTGTCCAGATACACATCGACTGACGCTGACGGAACCTGGAAACTCCAGAGCAAGCCTCTGGCGAGCACCAAACGCCTCCGTTCCGGTGTTTCTACTGCTCAAGCCGACGAATATAATCATCTAGCCACAAAGAGAGCAAAGTTCTGCAGGGCGGTGGCTACCGGGACACATTCAACCGTCATTTGTGGTATTGGGCCCGGCTTGAGGACCGATGAGCAACATTCGGTTGGGTTAGAGACACGAGCGAAGAGATATACTGCTCCGTTGCCAGACTCCACCATCTCCCTGGCTGCAACTAAAATGCTTGCGCGCTCGGAAGATGACGGCAGGATAAAAACCGTGAAGCTCGCGAGAGGTCAAGCGAGCAGCCCTGCGCGGCCACCAGGCTCTGCTTCGAGCAGGAATTCCAGCGAACAGTACAGCCGTAGCCTGTCCGCTCGGGAAAACACTATCCAGAATAGCGCACATATACTAGCGGATGTAGGCATCCTGGAGCTTTTGCAACAGGACGAGCGCCCTACATTCATCATCGACGTTGCAGATGCTGCCAATTCCCAATCTGGTTTCCTGAATTTGATATTCGCGAACACTGCTTTGAAGATCCGTCCTAGCCTGCTTGAGCACGTACGAGGCGTTGGTGATGACTCTTCCCAAGCTATTGCGAGTCCTTCTGCATTCGTCGAATTCAAGCGATGGGCAATGAGCTTTGTGAAAGAGGGCGAAGCCCTGACCATTTCGTTGCCGACATATTCATATGCGGGATTCATATGGACCTCGTCGACATTGCGAAAGCGCATTCGAGTTATTGCCTGTGATCCAAGTTACGCCCCTGCTACATTGACCGGATCTTCCAATCAATCAGATCTGCGCCTTTTCAATGGACTGAGCTCGTCATCCCTAGGAAGCTCAGAGACTACAAAGCAAGAATTGGCGGGCTACTTCGATCAAGCACATTCAGCTCGAGGTGTGCGCACTTCTACGGATCCTACGAGTCTGCCAAATCAGGATTCTATTGAAGCACTTAGCTGGGAACAGTCAAAAGGCTTCACTCGTGTGCCTTCCATCGGTACTAACGGCGATATAGAGAGCATGGAAGTATTGATGAGCCCTGGATCGCTAAAAGAACAGACAGAACCCTACCAGCCTTTGGAGGCATCAGACTTGCCTAAGGACTCCGAAGCACATTACATCATTCCTGGTCAGGGATTCTTCGATTGGACAAGGCTTCCGGAATCGTCAGCTTTCCCTCCGCACATTCGATTCGCTCGTAGTGTGAATTGGGCGGCGACCAGTCTGGGGCCGATTGAAAACTGGGACTCGGATCTACGAGCCATGTGCAATCTGATTATGGCTAGTCCTCATCCAGCTGCCATGTATTGGGGTCCTGATCTGATCGCCATCTACAATGAGGCTTACATACTCCTCGCGGGCAACAAGCATCCGGCACTGATGGGTCAGAGTTATAGGGAGGCATGGGGGGAGATTTGGGACGCGGTCAAAGACGTGTTCGCCAGCGCAGTATCCAGCGCCCAAGCCACAATGAAGGACGATGACCGTCTCTTCATGAATCGAGACGGAACGTTTCTGGAGGAAACGTACTTTTCATGGTTAGTCAGCCTCAGGACCACATACCCTACCTTTTCGACCGACTGTCTCACTCCCCATCTTCCAATGCTGACGATCTGAAGGTCGATCATTCCTCTCATAGGGGCCGATGGATCGGTTGTCGGACTTTATAATCCAGCATTCGAAAAGACCCGTCGAAAGATTGCGGAAAGACGTATGCTTACCCTCAGAGAGATAGGAGAACAAACGGCGGCCGCCCGAGAAGTGTCGAAGTTCTGGCCATTGTTACTGCAAGGCCTAGAGTATAATAAGCTAGACGCTCCTTTTGTCTTGATATATTCAGTAGCCGAGGATGCGGACAGTGACGATTCGTCGGTACAATCAAGCAGCGTGGTTACTCAGAAGACGCTTGTGCTTGAGGGTTCGCTAGGTGTTCCAGCAGGTCACAAAGCAGCTCCTGAGCAGATTGACTTGAGCAAGACCATGGAGGGCTTTGCGCCTATTTTCCGAGATGCTGTCAAAACCGACAAGCCCATCATTCTATCGGAGAAAGACGGTACTCTAGACACCGAGCTTCTAACAGGAATCCAGTGGCGAGGCTATGGCGATCCATCATCCACCGTGGTGATTTGTCCAATACATCCAACAACCGGAGAATCAACATTAGGATTTTTGGTGATGGGTACGAATCCGAGAAGGCCGTTCGATGATGACTACGACCTCTTTGTACAATTACTTGCGCGTCAACTGGCAACCTCGGTGGCCTCCGTGGTCTTGTTCGAAGAAGAAATCAAAAGGGGGGAGCGAGCGGCTCAATTAGCAGCCCAAGACCGCCTGCACCTATCAAACGAGCTGGCCGAGAGTGAGATCAAATTCACGCGCATGGCTGAGTTATCTCCTGTTGGTATGTTTGTTGCAGATGCATCCGGACGGCTCAATTATTGCAACAATACCTGGTACGACCTGTCTTCTGTTCCAAAGAGTAGCTCAGTTGTCGAAGTCGAAGAATGGATGAAGTATGTCGCAGACGAAGACAAGTCTCTGACAGCCCGACAATTGCGAAAATTACTAGACGAAAAGGTACCAATTTCCGTTGAATTTCGCTTCAAAACACCATGGCAGGCTAAAGACGGCAATCGGTTGAGTGAGACATGGGTGCTCGCTAGTGCTTACCCTGAAAAGTACCCAGATGGCCAGGTCAAGCGTATCTTTGGATCAGTTACAAACATCAGTACTCAGAAATTCGCCGAAGAGCTGCAGAAGCGTAGAATGGAGGAGGCAGTCGAATTGAAGCGGCAGCAGGAGAATTTCATTGACATCACGAGCCATGAAATGCGCAACCCCTTATCAGCCATCCTTCAATGTTCCGAGGAAATCTCGTCCTCTCTGACAGAGGCGAGAGATAACCCTGAACTCCTGTCTGATGTGCTGGACAGCAACATCGAGGCTGCCCAGACGATCACTCTTTGTGCACAACATCAAAAGCGGATTGTGGATGATGTTCTCACCTTGAGCAAGCTCGATTCTGCTCGGTTGTTGGTGACCCCTGTCGATGTCCAGCCAGGCACTGTGGTGCAGCGCGCACTGAAGATGTTTGAAGGAGAGTTTTTGACAGCCGACATCTTGCTCGACTTCCAGATCGACCCATCCCTTCACACGCTCCGTGTCGACTGGGTACGGCTCGACCCATCTCGTCTTCTCCAAGTACTCATCAATTTGACCACGAATGCGATCAAATTTACCACGACTCAGGAGAAGCGATCCATCATCGTGCGCCTGGGTGCGTCCTTGCAACCGCCGCCCAATACGCCAGACAAAACCGTGGACTATGTTCCGTCTCGAAGCAAAGGCAAAGACACCACATCCTCACCAGAGTGGGGTACAGGGGAGGTGGTATACATAACATTTGCTATTCGAGACACAGGCCGGGGGTTGACGGAAAGCGAGAAAAAGCTGCTGTTCCTCAGGTACCCAGGCCCTCTCCTGCTTGACCTTGTCACATTCGAGCTCATGCTAACCGTGCTTCTCAGGTTCTCTCAAGCCAGTCCTAGAACGCACGTTACTTATGGTGGATCGGGTCTTGGGTTGTTCATTTCGAAGGAGCTGGTCGAGCTTCAAGGTGGTGAGATCGGAGTCTCTTCAGAAAGTGGCAGAGGGAGCACGTTTGCCTTTTACGTGAAAGCTCGACGCTCATCTGCACCCTCGGAAGACGCCGGGGATCCCTTGAGCGCCATGCAGGCACGCAAAGGGTCAGGGCCAAATAACATACGACCATCTGGGACGAATCAGAATGCTAGTGATCCAGCAAGCGCTGCCGTCACGTCCATTTCAGCCATACCTCCGGATGCTGCAGAAAGCTCGTTGAGAGTTCTGATTGTGGAGGACAATTTGGTAAACCAAAAGGTGTTGGCGAAGCAGCTACGGAAGATGGGATGCGTCATCTACCTCGCGAACCATGGAGGAGAAGCAATTGATTTTCTGGCTACTTCGCGCTTCTGGAAGGACCAGGAGACCTCTGGTATCGAGCTCGATGTAATCTTGATGGATTTAGAAATGCCTATCATGGACGGGTTGACCTGCACGAGAAAGATCCGAGAGTTACAGCAATCGAAAGATCTAGTGAAGCATGTGCCGGTGATTGCGGTCACAGCGAATGCCCGAGAGGAGCAAATCACCAAAACGAGAGAAGCTGGCGTGGTGGGTTCATCTTGTGCCTTTTCATCGGAGTTGGATGCTAATGAACCTTTAGGACGATGTCATGTCAAAGCCATTCCGCGTCCCAGAGCTTTTGTTTAAAATGAGAGGACTAGCAAACCTGAGTCCACCACGAAATGCAAGTCCTTGAGGATGATACTTTTCCCTCATGCCAATTCCACATCCCATCCTAAGCAAAACTTCTGAGGGCGAGACTCTTCAAATCTTCAACCGTATCATCAGCGTCCAGTCGCTCAACGACGCTCTGTATGAGATGAAGGCACAGGTGCCTTTCGTGAAGGATCAAGCACCAGGGTTCTATCACCGTTTAGCGCCGCCGATTTCTGAGTGTATACCAGTATTAGAATCACAGTTGAGGGGGGGTTCACGACACAATCGACGTCCACAACTGTCCTATAGATGCATGAGCAGCCGGAATGTCGTCAGTCTTGCATCCTTGCTGAAGCACGAGTGGTCAGGCGTGCTGCTTGGAATTTTCGCCTCCAAGCACGAAAGGCAATTGGGGAGCGGCCAGGGTTACATCCTGAGGTTCGTACAAACTGTCCTTGGCCTGTTTGGTTGTCTCAACCGGTATCAACCGGTCACAAGAGGCGAACATGAGATGCCGTGGTTAGCCGGTACGCGGAGTGCAGTGCTACACCGACTGGAGGACCTGGAGTGCATGCTAAGGCAATTGTGGGTGCTTAGCCATCACTACTAACCATTAATAGTAGTAACATCGTAGCTAGTACTAATACATAAGTACCGAGCACGGAGTCCCCCAGCAATGTCTTTGGATCCATCACCCTATCGACGTCAATTTCTGCATGATTTTCGCCGAGTATTTCTCCCGACACTCCGCTGGACCGAGAGGATGAATTGTTCGCTGTCAAGGAGCTCTACCTACCCCTGTAGTATGCAGATAGAACCTCCGCTTGCCGTATGTAGTAGCCAAGCCGAGATTGAGTGAGCAGACAGCGGGGTAGCTCCATGTAACTCTGCAAGTGATCGAGGTTACACAATCCGGGGGTTGGTGACTGACTTTCTACCATGTATGGTTCAACTGGTTCTTCACTGCTCCACTTTCAGTGCGTCGCTGGTAACCCTTGACGACATGGATTCTGGTGAATTAAAGCTCAGGAGACTCGGCTGCGTCACATAAAACCCCTGAAGAAACCCCTCGTCCAGACACATCGAGGCCAAGGTAAATCCATAACTCGTGCACAAGATGTTCTTTCTGTGCTGCATCACTGTTGCCCTTGCAGCTTGTTGTGTACAAGCGCAGAATCCCACTTGTCCCGGTTACACTGCTTCTGATGTGGTCACTACTGATTCTGGGCTCACTGCACAGCTGACTTTGGCCGGACCTGCTTGTAATTCCTATGGAATTGATCTGGAGAACCTGACTCTACTTGTCGAATACCAAACAGGTAATTCTAACGGTATCTCCTTTTTAGCTCCCACTAAGATCTTCAGATAAACGTCTCCACGTCAAAATATCAGACGTCAACAACACGGTCTACCAGGTACCAGAGTCGGTGTTCCCACGCCCGAATGGCACAGTTTCTTCTGCATCAGCTTCACAGCTTCGATTCGACTACACGGAGTCCCCCTTCAGCTTCACTGTCACTCGACAAGATGGGCAAACTGTCTTTGACACGTCTGGGTCGCCGCTTATCTTCCAAAGTCAATATCTCAATCTCAGGACAGCCCTTCCGCCAAACCCTTATCTCTACGGGCTCGGGGAGCACTCCGATCCCCATAGACTGAACACTACAAACTACACGCGGACGATCTGGAACAGAGACAGCTACGGCATCCCATATGGAGAAAATCTGTATGGCGCCCACCCGGTCTACTATGAGTCCCGCGCAGAGAACGGTACTCACGGTGTGTTCCTCCTCAACTCCAACGCTATAGAAGTCAAAATCAACAACACCGAGCAAGATGGACAATACCTCGAGTACAATGTCTTGGGTGGGGTGTTTGACTTTTACTTCTTCGATGGGCCGACCCCTGTCGAGGCGAGTCAGCAATACTCCCAGATTGTTGGGCTACCGGTCATGATGCCGTATTGGGGCTTTGGTTTCCATCAATGCAGATATGGCTATCGTGACGTCTATCGGGTGGCTGAAGTGGCCATTAACTATACGCGAGCAGGGATTCCACTAGAGGTTCTATGGACTGACATAGATTACATGAAGGATCGATGGATATTCACGCTTGATCCAGAGAACTATCCACTTCCTAGAGTTCGTGAGCTTGTCGACTACTTGCATGCTCACCAACAACACTATATTGTCATGGTTCGTTCCCTTTCCCAGCCGGAGTAGACATCTGCTTACCGCCTACTCAGGTTGACCCAGCTATCGCAATCGCCGACAATTATAGTACCTATTCGACTTCCATTGAGCAGGACATTGTGGTGCACTACGAGAATGGAACAGTCTTCCGTGGAGTTGTATGGCCCGGGCCAACCGTGTTCCCAGATTGGTTCAATCCTGAAACTCAACAATTCTGGAACAACGAGTTCACGTCATTCTTCAGCGCTGATGAAGGCATAGACATCGACGGGTTGTGGATTGACATGAATGAAGCTGCCAATTTCTGCAACTTCCCTTGTACGGATCCTGCTGAATATGCAGAGGAGAACAATTTCCCTCCTGAGCGATTACCTGCCCGATCCAGTAACCCTAGACCGCTGCCGGGATTTCCCCTCGAGTTCCAACCCAATGCTACTGCAAGACGTATCAAGCGGCAAGAACAGTCGGGGTCAATGATGGGACTGCAGGGTCGTGATCTTCTCGACCCACCATATGCCATCAGAAATGGCGCCGGCAGCTTGTCCAACAAGACTATTCATACGGACGTCATTCACCAAAATGGCCTTGTTGAATACGATGTTCATAACCTCTACGGCACCATGATGTCAACCGCTTCCCGCGAGGCGATGCTGGTGCGACGCCCAGGGATCCGCCCGCTAGTCATCACTCGGTCTACCTTTGCTGGTGCAGGCAAGGAAGTTGGCCACTGGCTGGGTGACAACCTTTCTTTTTGGGACAAGTACCGAGTCTCCATTAGTCAGATGATGGATTTTTCGGCACTATTTCAGATGCCCATGGTAACCCGCCCCTCCTCTTTTCCCCTTCCACCCAACCCTCCAACCTCCCTCGTCCCTCAAAGACTGGGTTGGCTGACTCTGTTGATTATCAGGTGGGATCGGATGTTTGCGGCTTCGGGGCAAACACTACGGAAACACTGTGTTCGCGTTGGGCGAGTCTTGGGGCGTTCTATCCTTTCTATCGCAACCACAATGGAGACACCAGTATTTCCCAGGAATTCTATCTTTGGGAGTCAGTGACACAATCTGCCATCAAAGCGATCGATACGCGATTCAAGATGTTGGACTACTTTTACACTGCCTTCCACAAGCAGACTGTTGACGGCACTCCTTCCCTGTGCCCAATGTGGTTTGTCTACCCTACCGACACCCAAGCATTGGATATAGATCTACAATTCTTCTGGGGCGACTCTGTCTTGGTGTCTCCAGTGACGGAGGAGAATGTGACTACGGTGGATATCTATCTGCCGGACGACATTTTCTACGACTACAACAATAACTTCAGCATTGTTCGAGGCAATGGCAGCACCATCACCCTGTCAGATATTGACTACCAAACAATCCCGATCCACATTCGAGGAGGCTCCATCCTTCCCCTACGTGTCGAGAGCGCTAACACGACGACAGAACTCCGCAAGAAGGGGTTTAACATTGTGATAGCTCCTGGTTTGGATGGAAGCGCAAGCGGATCTCTTTACCTTGATGATGGAGAATCTATTGAGCAACCAAATACCTCACTGATCGATTTCACCTTTGCTAACGGGCAATTCGCGATGACTGGATCCTACGGCTACGATGCTGGTGTCAACGTGGAAGCCATCACTATTCTGGGCCAGACTGGGGAGCCTGCAGTCGTTACCATCCCGGGATCCAGCAATCCTCAATACACATACGATTCCGGGGTTGTGGTGATCAATGCCAGCGTGCCATTGACGGGTGATGCGCAGATCAGTGTCGATTAATGTGGGTATTTGTGGCTTTGCGGTGTCATTCTTGCCGTTGAAGCCTTCGTGATAGGCACGGACGAACCCTGGTCAGCAAAGTCTGTACATATCATAACACATACGAACTACGAAAAGTTTCTTAGCTTTTGATACAGCGGTTGAGGTCTTGATGGAGTCGGCCAATTTGACACTGTAGAGAGGTACTGCTCGAAATACGGCTTCCTAACCGAGTAGGCACCAGATGGGGTTGCTGTGCTTAACTGACTCCGAGTGAGGCGATCCCCATAATAAGAGGTTTGGTGAGCACCTAGAGCATGAACAATCTCGTAAATTTCATATCTCGGGTCTTTAGTGGTCTCTTGAATATAGGTGGGTGGTGGGTACCGTAATTGTAAGTAAATATGAAGCTCTTTGAATTGGAGTCGGGTCTGGGTCTTTGGCAGAGACTTACAGTACATACAATACATACAGCCGAGGTGGACATGCTCCTCCAAACACCAGTGCAGTGACACTCATCACCCAAAGGCTTGGTTGTGAATCCGTCTGCCCGACATGCTCGTAGCTACCGTGCTGAAGTCAGTTCGAATGGCAGAACCTGATTCCATCTTGATGACGCAAAATCCGCTGTGAATCTCTGCTTCATTGGACCGCATCAGAGGCCGTCACCATGCATGCTACTGTCTATGAACCTACCTGAGCTGCTTGTACCTCTCTAACAGTCACAAACGATACAAATTTCATCTATCAGCTTTCATCATGGCTCCATCAGAGGAGGGATCCTCTAAGAAAATGGGCCCAGCGCCTCAAATTCTCCGTCAAGCTGAAGCTGCAGCAGCAGGTAATTCAGAGTCAGACTATCCCAGTCAACCTCTACGACGAGCAGGGAGAAATGAAGATGACCACGAAAAAGTGGCGGGCCCGGCTGCGGGCTTTGGGCAGCTACCTGATATCGAGGTTGTGCCGCCTCCTGCCTACAATAGTAAAGGCTATGGTCAGCTCGATTTCAGCCAAATGGGTTTGGATACCGGCGCCAAAGTCGGCAAGGATGGCCGAGTCAACATCAACATCAAGCAGCGAAGCCGGATGCTCACCGGCCTCCTGGTGCCTGCTCTTCGGAACCAACTTGACATCCACAAGCGGAGACCTGCCCCAGAAGGCCCAATCGTTCCGCCAGGCCTCGGCGCTGATGGGAGAGAACTGCCTCCACCACCTATGAACATTGTCATACAGATTGTTGGGAGTCGCGGGGATGTACAGCCATTCATCGCTTTGGGCCAAGTCCTCAAGCATAAATATGGGCATCGGGTGCGAGTGGCAACGCACCCTACCTTTCGGGAATTTGTCACCGAGAATGGACTAGAATTCTTCAGCATCGGAGGGGATCCTGCAGAACTGATGGCTTTCATGGTTAAGAATCCTGGCTTGATGCCCGGTTTCGATGCTATGAGGAACGGAGACATTGGCAAACGAAGAAAGGGAATCAGCGAGATGATCACCGGGTGCTGGAGATCATGTATCGAAGCTGGCGATGGAACAGGGCTTGAGGCTTCCGATCACCTGGTTGATGGTAGAAGCTTTGACAGCGGCGTCTCCACCGGCGCTGACCCGATGTGCAAACCATTTGTTGCGGACGCCATCATCGCAAATCCACCCAGCTTCGCTCATATGCATGTTGCTGAGAAACTCGGAATCCCGCTCCATATCATGTTTACTATGCCATGGTCTCCTACTCAAGTATTCCCACATCCTCTTGCTAACATTCAGTCATCCAACTGCGACCCTTCCATGACGAACTTCATCACTTACGCGCTGATTGACATGATGACTTGGCAAGGTCTGGGAGATATCATCAACCGATTCAGGCAAAAGAGCCTTAATCTGGAGCCTGTGAGCATCATTTGGGCACCTGGCATGGCAAGTCGACTTCGCATCCCTCATACATACTGCTGGTCACCCGCGTTGATACCAAAACCAGGGGACTGGGGAAATCATATCGATATCTCTGGCTTTTATTTCCTCAATCTCGCTACGAACTATACCCCTCCCGATGACCTTGCAGCCTTTCTTGCTGCTGGCCCACCGCCAATCTATATTGGTTTTGGTTCAATTGTGGTGGACGACCCGAACGCCATGACCAAATTGATCTTCCAAGCAGTAAAGAAGACTGGTCAACGAGCCCTGGTCTCCAAAGGCTGGGGAGGTATTGGTGCTGACGAACTAGGCATTCCCGAAGGAGTCTATATGCTAGGCAATTGTCCCCATGACTGGCTGTTCAAACAAGTATCCTGCGTTGTCCATCATGGTGGTGCAGGTACAAGTGCTGCAGGAATATCTTCTGGCCGACCAACCGTGGTCGTTCCATTCTTTGGCGATCAGCCATTTTGGGGAGCAATGATAGCTCGTGCTGGTGCTGGACCGACACCCATTCCATACAAGGATCTGACCGCAGACAAGCTTGCTGCAGCGATCCAAGAAGCCTTGAAACCAGAATCGCTGGAAAGGGCTGCCGAGTTGAGTGAGAAGATAAGACAAGAAAATGGTTCCGAGGACGGCGCCAAGAGCTTTCACAAACATCTCCAAGTGGACTCCTTGCGATGCGTATTGTATCCCAGATTACCTGCTGTGTGGAGAGTCAGGAGAACGGACATTCACATCAGTGCTCTGGCTGCTACCGTGCTCGGCAATGAAGGACTGGTTGACTTTAGCGACCTCAAGCTATTTCGAGCGAGAGAGTACGACACTGATGAAGGACCCTGGGAGCCTTTCACGGGCGCTGCAGCAGCCTTGATCGGGACCATCGGGAACATGATGATGGGTGTTGCAGATTTTCCCGTGGAAATGCTCAAGGCCCTTCGCATCGCGACATCCGAGAAGAAAGAGACATCGCAATCTGGAAGCGATAGCCCCAGATCACCATCACGTCCAAGCCCAAGTCCAGGGCCTACACCCTCCAGCACCTCATTACCAGAACGAGCCGCCAGCCCAGCAGACAGCGAAGAAGCACCCAGAAGTTTCAGTCCTGATGCCCAGTCTCCCAGTGTGCAAACAACTCACAATCACTTAAGCGCAATCTCTGGTCACGACCCGGGCAAGGGTTCGAGACCAAGCTCTCCTGCAGGAAGGGCAAGCGGTGCTGGAAACCAGATGTCCCTAGAAAACATGATAGACAGTGGAAAGGGAGTATCTCGGATTGTATCCGCCGGAATCAAGTCACCCATGGACTTCACAATGGCTCTTGCGAAAGGGTTCCACAACGCACCCAAATTGTACGGCGATGAAACAGTACGCCCGTCCGACCGTATCACAGGGGTTCAGTCCGGTTTCAAAGCGGCAGGGAAAGAATTCCAGTATGGGTTCTACGATGGGATTACTGGTTTGGTGACACAGCCCCTCAGGGGTGCAGAAAAGGAAGGGGCGGCGGGCTTCTTTAAAGGTGCAGCCAAGGGCATCGGTGGTCTTGTGCTCAAACCGGCTGCGGGCATCTGGGGCATCTATGGATATACCGCCAAGGGGATATATGCTGAGCTGCAGAAGCATTTCGGGAGTTCTGTGCAGAACTACATTATTGCTGCTCGAACTGCCCAGGGCTACGAGGAGTGGAAGGAGAGCAGTGCTGAGCAGCGTTCAACCATTATCAATACGTGGAAGAGTATCCAAGATGAGTTGCGGCGCCAAAATCAGAGACCGAGACAGAATCAGGAGACCGAAGGAGATGTGGAGGGTCAAGAGGCGCAGCGTTCATCTTCCGGGGATTGGTGGTCTCGTTTCAATCAGAATCGTCATCTGCCATACGACGAGCGGAAGAAACTTGCCGAAGAGAAGCAAAGACGCAAAGAGGAGAAGAAAAAGAAGAAGGGTGGGGACGGCAAGGATAGCGGAAAGACCACGACGAGATGCAAGTACTGCCCCCTACAGCATGACGAAGGTGTTGAGTGTGCGTTCAAGCCAGCGGCAGGATTTTCAAAGGATACATCAGATGAGTTTGAAGACGCCATCCGGAGGTCGGTGACGGCCACCTCGCGAGGAGATGCTGAGGAGGATGCGATGATCGAGAGGGCGCTACGAGCTTCGGTGAATGAACTGAAGCATGCACGAGCCACTGGATCGAGCTATGAAGCTTACGATCATGCCGTTGCTGCTGGTGCAGTGGAAGCGGGGGAGGCCGGGCAGACTTCTCAGGCCATTGACGACGATGATGACGACGACGATGCTGAGCTGAGTGAGGCGCTGCAGAGGAGTCTACGGGATGACGGAGCACATGAGACAGCTTCCTACGACGAACAGGCGCCGCTTGACTCGGGCTTGGGCAGCGAAGATGATGAAGATTACAAACAAGCATTGGCGGAATCCCGAAGTGTACACTCGAGCCTGCAATCAAGAACGGGTCGTCCCAAGGAAGATGCCACGGCCGCTCAACCAGACTCAGATGATGACGAGGACCTCAAGCGCGCAATGAGCGAGTCAGAAAAGAACCACAGGTCCAAGGAGGAGGCGCTGGCGCGGCAGCAGACCGAGGAGGAGATTGTGCTTGAATATGTGAAGAAGCAGAGTCTGCTGGAGGAGGAGCATCGGAAGAATCGGTTGGAAGAGCGGCAGCAGGAGCAGCAGCAGCAGCAGCAGCAGCAATGATTTTACGAAATTACAATGATCTGATGGTTATGGTTATGGTTGAGGTTGAGGTTGACTGGTTGGGGATGAAGATGAAGATGAAGATGAAGATGAAGATGAAGATGAGGATGAGGATGAGGATGAGGATGAAGGATGAAGGATGGTTAGATACCCCTGTTGAATAAATTTGAATGCTAGTACTGTCGCTGTGTCTCTTCTGGCCAGTGTCAGTGTCAGTGTCAGTGTCGGTCTTCTGAACACACTTTGCTTGTGGAAGACTTGTCTGGTATCTTGTCCTGTCTTGTCCTGTCTTGGCCCATCTTGTCCCAGCTCGGCTGCTGCAGTGTAACCTCCATGTTCGGGCTCTCTATGCTTGACCCTCCGTTCACTTCTTACACCATAGGCTTGCACACCCCTGTAATCCCTTCTCCCCGCACGTACACGTCACAATTGCACAGGCTACACATTGGACAAGCAGTTGTCTCCAAGCAACTTGTTCATTACGATCTCACCACAATTGAAGGTCGTCCGTCTTCAATCCACAATCCACAACCCAAGCCGGTCTCAAAATGTCTTCTTCATCAGCTCCAACAACCGAGATCGCCGTCCTGACCCTGAAACCCGACACGCCCATCGAAGACATCTCCACCCCCGCGGGCCAGATCTTCAATCAGATGCTGAACAGCATCAAATCACAATCCGGATTCCAGCGCCAATACTGGGGTCGACAGCTCGAGAACCCCAACCATCTCGTCTTCTCCATCGGTAAGCAAGGCCAAACTCTGAAATCCGCCAACAAAGCGCCCATTCTAACATTCCTCCCCTATTTCTCTCCCGGCCCTCAGACTGGGACAGCATCACCTCGCACACCTCATGGATGAGCTCTCCCTCCTACCAACAATTCTCCTCCGACATCTCCCCGCTCCTCGACCTCACCACCTCCTCCTTCCCCCCCAACATCATCCACCTGAACTTCCACCCGCACCCGCCCGACACCCCGCGCTCCGCGCATCCGCCCTCGAAGCCGCCGTCACCGAGCTGGCGGATCTCTGCTTGGGGAAGAGCGAGGGCGAAGCGGGAGCGGGAACAGGTAGAGAGAAGATGCCGCACGCGACCGCCTACGCGACGGGCTGGGTGGTGGAGCCGATGCAACATCATGCCGGCACGGACGGGGCGGCCATCAGCCTCGGCTTGATGGTCGGCTGGGCCAGCAAGGACGATCATCTGGCGGTCAGGGAGTCGGATGCGTTTGCGCAGAAGGTCAAGCCCGTCAGGGAGATGGCCTTGCCGAGTGAGAAGACGAGGGGCGGGGCCGGGGCCATGTATCATGTGGCTTTTTCGAGGTGGGGCGCGGGCGTTGGGGTGGAGGTGTGATTTTAGAGAAGGAAAAAAGGGCTGTTGCTGTTGCTGTCGCTTATCTCGATTTCTGTTCCTGGTGCCTTGGCCGCTCCTCCTTCCTGCGCATGCCTGCTAAGAATCCATATTTGGGGGAATCTGCAATCGGAGTGGCGCCTTTCTTCCTCATGTCACAAAATCCACCCAGACAAAAGAGGCGCTGATACCTCTCCCAAATAATAATAATGATAACTACATACAAAAATAAAGAATGAGGCTTTGGTAAAACCAGTTTTCCATGAAGGCCCCCCCCCCCCTACTAGAAAAAGGGGATTAAAAAAAAGATAACAATAAAAAAAAATGACGAGAGAACGTTTGCGCGTGTTCCAATTCCTTAGGCCGTACGTTATGCAGCAACAGCGAAAAAAAAAAAAGGGGGTGGGAAGCCAGTCGGTTGATTAGGGATGTAGTAATAATCTCTACTCAGGCATCGCGATGATGGTTGAAGAAGAAGGAGAAGGAGAAGGGAGAAGGAGAAGGGAGAAGGAGAAGGGAGAAGGAGAAGGGAGAAGGAGAAGGGAGAAGGAGAAGGGAGAAGGAGAAGGGAGAAGGAGAAGGGAGAAGGAGAAGGGAGAAGGAGAAGGGAGAAGGAGAAGGGAGAAGGAGAAGGGAGAAGGAGAAGAATGATGACTACCACTTCTCCTCGCTGTGTCAAGAGAGGTGTGAAAATCTTTTGGATTTCGAATTCAGGTAATTAACTGTGTTGGCGGTGGGAGTGGTGGGTATGACTTCCAATTTCAACTCATTGCAGCGAGTGGGTGGGGAGGCTGTTTGGAGTTCTGGGAAGGGGACACTACGCCTGGTTCAATGAGCCTAGACTGTTGTGCAAGTATTGTTTATTCTTTTTTTTTTTGGTGGGTGGGTTTGGATTATCAAGTCTGTTATCTAGACTTGCGTCCACCTTTCGAATCTGCTGACTGCCTTTCACCTCTTCTTCTCTTCCAAGAGCCACACCTTTTCATCTGATCACCTGGGTTTCATCCTCCTCCACCAACGTCTCGTTCTCTCCAGCTTCCACATCGTACACAAAACAAATACCGCACCATTTCTCCGGCGGTTTGCAGCAGAGGCAAAAACGAATGACACGAAGCAAAACAATTCTCAAGGTTTGTCCTGGAATCCGCATTATCGAGGCTCAGCTTGGAGGAGCCGCTTTATCCTTCAAACGCCGAATTTAATGTCCGCCCGTCAACACCACGCTATGCGGTCGTGCCCGATGATAGAGCGAGAGATCACCAACCGACAGGAAGATGTCTCTGCTATGCAATTTAGTGGGGCGAGAATACAGGTCTTGGAAAGAAAAGATGCAAAAAAGCAACGCCAGTGTCGAGTCCATAGCCGAGGTAGAAGATCAACTCAATGGATCCACCAATGACTATGACTTAACATGCAGAATAGTTGCCTTGGTGTCTAGCGAGGCGGGGTCGCTGATGGTACAAAACAGGGAAGATTCGAGCGTGTATAGCTTAATCCTCTTTTGGTGAGCTAGCGTACGGGTCAGCAAGAGTTCGGGCAAATTTCAACGTTTTGAACTTACTTGGGAGAGTACTCGGGGCTCTTCGGACTGTTTGGCGAGTACTGTGGACTCGTAGCAGCGCCCGGACTCCTTGGGGATCGATTGAAAGCTGGACTCGTAGGCGAATAAGCGGGAGACGTCGGACTGAGTGCTGGAGACGTAGGGCTAAACGCTGGAGAGGTTGGCGAATATTGTGGTGAGGTAGGCGATGTTTGTTTGTTGCGAGCGGCACCTGCATAAGCTGGCGACGTCGGACTCCAACTTGGAGATGTCGGGCTATATGCCGGAGACGTGGGAGACGTCGGCGATGTTGGGCTGAAAGCTGGTGATGTTGGAGAGTATTGTGGCGACGTCGGCGTGTATCCTGGCGAGGTTGGAGAGAAGCTTGGAGAAGTTGGTGAATACTGTGGAGACGTTGGAGAAGGGCCAGCTTGACCAAAGCTTGGAGACGTCGGACTGTATGCGGGAGAGGTAGGTGTGAAAGCTGGGCTGGCCGGTGACATTCCAGGTGATGTGTTGTACAGAGGACTGGCCATGCCCAGATTGGGAGAGGTTGGTGAATAGGACGAGGTGGGCGAATAGGCAGGTGAACTGGGACTAGTGTTGCCAAATGGACTTCGAGGTGACCACGCACCCGGACTGCGCGGGTCGAATGGACTTGTAGGACCAAAGCCTGAAGCGGGCTGATAGTCGGTAAAGCCACCATGATCGTCACCACCAGGTGCGGCAATGGGAGAAAATTGAGCACCGTAGTCAGGGGAGCCAAGACCGCTGGTATCTCCAAGTGGTGAACCCACGTCGTAGGGTGTAGCAGATCCCTCATAGAGTTCCTGCTGAGACTTGATTCCGATACGGCCGCCCAGTTCATCTCGGTTGGGCTCGACCGTTGACAGCATATTCTCGTCCAAGAAGATATCCATCGTACCAGTTCCAACAGGGGCGACTTGTCCGAGAATCAAGTTCTCCGACACACCTCGGCAATCATCCAGCTCGCCAGAAGCAGCAGCGTCAAGAAGAATCTCAACAGTCTGTTCAAAAGAACACCGCATCAACGCGCCAGTATCGGACTTGTTGATACCATGCCGTGTGACCGCCATAACATAACCTCGGGAAGTCATAATGTCGCAAAGCAGAGCGAGGTGGCGATGGTTGACATAAGATCCATCGAATGAAAGCACCTGAGTAAGCTCACGAAGGATGGCAGAACGAGTAGCCTCGATACCGAACACCTCGAACACTTCAGTGAAGCGATTGGAATAGGTCCGCGTGGTGTCGATGCCTGGGATGGCAAGGACTTTGGCCAGAGAACTACCACTCGTCTCCAGGACAAAATCAAAGCACCGAGGGTCTTCCTTGCTCATGAAAATGGAACCATCGTCGTCGATCTGAGGGCGGATCTTCGTATCGATGAACGCACGAGATACTCCCGGCACACCACGGAATGTAAGATTGTCCAACATCTCATTCAAGAATCGTCTCAAGCTCTCATCGTCCTCTTTTCGATCTTCCTCCTCGTCTTTGGAGTATGATTGGTCGTTCAATCGAATACGAACGACCTGCTCGTCGGCATTCACATCACTGTAGACCACCGCAAGATCTCGTCCGTAAGTGGATTTGATCTTGTTGCCGACATCGTTGATATTTAAGTCTTTGTCCAGCAACTTGGCACGATTCAAAACAATGCGAAGAAGCCACTTGGACTGACGAGCAAGGTCACCCTCACTGACCTCAGGCACGATGAAATATGATTCGACCATGTCGAGATCTTCGGGAATGATCGTGCTCTGGACATCGGGATCATACCAAAGTTCGCACGTCTCGGTCACAGAACGCAGATTGGTGTGCTGGACCATACTTCGAAGAACTTTGGCCGATTCTCGATCACGCGCTTTCGAGGGTTCTTGGTAGACCGTCATGGAAGGCGTCTTGATGTCCTGCGATACGTTCAGAATTTCCTTGAGACGAGGAACACCCAGAGTAACGTTCTTTGCCGACACACCAGCAAAATGGAATGTGTTCAGAGTCATTTGAGTGGCAGGTTCACCAATAGATTGGGCAGCGAGGACTCCGACCATTTCTCCAGGATTTGCAGCCGCTTTGATGAAACGCGTCTCGATTGCTCCCACAACGTGATCAAAAGCAAGACGATTGAGAGAGTATTCCATGACCAGCCTCTTGAAAGCCAGGCGGGAGCGCAGTAGGGCTTTGATTAGTAGAGTAGCATTGTTCTGAGCCTCCAAAGAGATCGGGTCATCTCCTCGAACGATGACCAAGCGGTCAAGCAGCTGCTGTACCTTGGGTATTGCGTAAGTTGGATGCAGATCGCTAGGAGTGCCTGACTGAATCTTGAAAGTTGTTCGAGCTTGGTTGAGGATTCGCTGCACGTTCATGGGGAGCGGCATCATCTCATCAGCGGAGGTGGCGGCCTTCTTGATATGTCGTAGAAATTTGCGATCCTCCATGAGCTGTTCATATTCCTCATCGAAGAGTTTCTGCACATCGACGTCTCCATGAATCTCTGAGGCTTGCTCAAGTCGATCCTGCCAGACCAATTTCTTCGGCTCCATCAGATCAACGCGGAACAATTTCTCGAAAGCACCATCCGACATAGCGATGACATCAACACGTTGGCTCTCGATATGCGCACCGTCAAGTCCATCTTCACCATAAATAAATTGGACGATATTGCCACGAGAATCTCGAACTGTGCCGTCGTACTTGACCGTAACTTCTTCCAAAGCTTTGACCAAACGACGCTGGATGTACCCTGTCTCTGCAGTTTTGACGGCAGTATCGATCAAACCCTCACGACCAGCCATGGCGTGAAAGAAGAACTCGGTGGGGGTAAGCCCTCGTAGGTAAGAGTTCTCGACAAAGCCTTTTGATGCAGCGGAGTAATCGTCTTTGGCAAAATGCGGTAAAGTTCGATATTTGAAGCCGAAAGGAATTCTCTTGCCCTCAACAGATTGTTGTCCCACAATCGCAGTCATTTGGGAAATGTTGATGGTGGAGCCTTTGGAACCAGCTCGAGCCATCTGGATAGCATTATTGGAATCCTTCAAACTGTTTTCAGTGGCAGTACCCGCTTCATCTCGAGCACCGTTCAACGCAGCCGAAACTTTGCTTTCAAAGGTCTCCCGAACATTCATGCCGGGAAGAGCCTCAAGATCTTCTGCCACGGCGCTTTGAGTGATCCGCTCCACCTCAGCCTTCTTCTTGTCTACTTCCGACTTGATCTTCTCAACAGTACCTCTGTCAGGAACAGTATCACCAATTCCGATGCTGAAGCCGTTGTGAAGAAACCAGTAATTGATGACGGTCTGTGCGCCGTTGAAGAAGGCCATTGCGGTTTCATGACCGAACTCGTTGAATATAGTGTGAATGATACCATTAGAGCCAGTTCCAACGCTCTTCTTGTTGAACAAGCCGAACATAAGCTCGCCGTCAGAAACAAAGAGCCCACTGTCTCCAGCTGGGGCAAATCTTTCAATGGGCGGCTGGCTCGCTTTGCCGTCAATGCGTACGAGGTTCAGAGCTGGCGGGAGCACCATGCTAATCATCTGTTTACCAGTCCAACGAGGTCTCGGTTTGAAGATAGCTGGTTGAGGAATCACCCCATCCCAATCTGGCACCCATAGCATGATATTCATAACCTGCTCGCGAGACAGAAACACGTCACGGCGGCAGATTTTGTAGATCCCACAGAGGGTATCCTGAACGATACCCATCAGAGGCCCGTTTCGTTGCGGCGAGACAATATTGAGAGGCACCATGCATAGCTGCGCAAGCTCTGCCCGGGTTTCCTCACTTTGGGGAACGTGGAGGTTCATCTCATCTCCGTCAAAGTCGGCATTGTAAGGAGTGGTCACAGACAGATTAAGTCGGAAAGTTGAGTAAGGCATGACCCGCACGCGATGACCCATCATAGATTCCTTGTGCAGTGATGGCTGTCGATTGAAGAGAATGACGTCTCCATCCATGATGTGTCGCTCAACTTTCCATCCTGTTTTGAGAGCAATCTGACTGGTATCCTTGTGGTAGCGGAGATCAATGCGCTCGTTATTTTCTCGAATGATATACCTAGCACCGGGATGCGCTTCCGGGCCATTCGTGACAAGCTGTTTGAGCTTGGAGATATTGAACCGAGTCACGGTCTCAGGGTACGTCAACGTCCGAGCTATGCTTCGAGGGACACCGACTTCGTCAAGAGACAAATTTGGATCGCCAGTGATGACTGTGCGTGCTGAAAAATCAACTCGTTTGCCCATCAGGTTCTGGCGAAGGCGACCTTCTTTGCCCTTCAGACGAGCACGTATGGATTTGATTGGTCGACCGCTCTTGTGCTGCGCTTTATCGAGGTTGGCAATGTCATTATCCATGTAGGTTGCGACATGATATTGCAGCAAGGCTTGCAACTCTTTCGCAATGTGGTCAGGCGCACCTTCCGCGTTGATGCGAATCAGGTTTTGGTTGGCACGGATGATGTCTCCCAGCTTGAAGGTCAGATCATCCTCTCCACGGGAACCTTGTCCACTTCCATCGACGCTGATGCTAGGTCGAACAGGAGGAGGTGGTACAGGCAGACTCTGCAATATCATCCACTCGGGCCGAGCAAAATCAAGGTTCAAACCCAGGGTATCGAGCGTTTCGTCAGTGAGATGCTGAAATACCTCCAGCGCTTGTGCAGGCCAGATCTGCGATTTCTCAGGAACAGTCTCCTCATCGTCATCTCCTTTTCGAGGTTTGTATTGTGCCCAAAGCTCAAGCCCACTTCTGCGAATTTGTGGCTGGGCATTGCCACATCCACCGTGTCCTACTTTGCCGCTCCTCTCTCTCGCCGTCGGGTCTTCTTCATCTTCGGGGCTATCGGCTTGACAAATGTTCTGCTTCTGACTAAGGCGCCAAATGAGCTCGAAGCGCTTCTTGGGGTTGCGAACAGTAAGGGCATATCGCAGATCCTCAGACTGGCGAGAGACGTGTCAGTATGGTGCGAAATACATTCGTATGCAAAAACGAAGAACTTACGTCCACTGCTTTTATCTTCCCACAATTATGGCAAACTGTCTCGAGGAGCTTCTTGACTTTTCCGAGGAAACCTAGTTGAGTGTAAACATGGTTGCGCAAGGAGGGCTGGTAAGATGTACCATAATGATAGACAGGCACCGCCAACTTGATGGCTCCAAAATGACCAGGACACTCGGTCATGTTTTCTTCGCAAGTGGCACATTTGAAGTTGCGATCGATCGTACCCAGATGAGGATCATTGAGACCTTTCTCTCGAGGTCGAAGACGCGCTTCATCCTGCAATTTTACGATGTGAGAAATGTGCTACAAGTCATGGCGTTCGTAAAGTACAGCGAGTGACACTGACCATAGTCTCAGGATATTCAACCGTGATAATTCCCATCCGATCAATCTCCTCTTTCGAGAAGAGACCAAACTGGATCTCTTTGACGGTGCGCAATTTCGCGCTGGAATGCGCGAAGTTGAGATTCGCCATGATTGAGATTTGTCGTGGTGATTATCTGAGACTGTGGCACCGGTCGTGAAATAGGACTCAGGTCAGAGTGAAATCTGTCTGACACCGAATTTTGGAACCTCAACCCGATGAATGGGATCTTCTACGTATTCGAGAGGTCTTCAAAGTGCCTCTTCGCTTTTGCGCTCCCCGCGCCAGCCGGGCAGCGAGGCCACGGGGCGACCCTGCCACCCCAGAAAGCTCAACTGCTGCAGCTTTTGTATTATTGGGAAATCCTATCCTAAGACTCCTGAATCGGCTATCAGGAAGCTCACGGCAACGTTCCGAAAGGCTATTGAGATTCGAAACGCGTTTTGTCGGTTTTCGTGGATGGAAGGGTGGATATTGAAAGAAGGATGGAGGAATTTTCGCAACCTGCGACCGGACTCCTTATTTTGAAGCTGGGGCGCAGGCTCATAATGCGCTAACCGCATCTAGTCGAAGTCTTGGCATATACTTCTATGCCAGTGGGGCCGAGCCTCACTCCAGGTGACTCAATACAAGAAATCTGTGATTCAACAGAGAGTGTTATTGTCGCTCAGGCTGCTATTGTTTGTAATGTCTAACAATACGAAGTGCATATAGGAACCCTGAAATGCAGTCTTTACTATGAACTAATGGCAATGCCAGTGCTCACCAGCTAGCTCCACAATTGTCTAACTCATTGTGCTTGCTGTTCCATGCATCCAGTAAATGCTTGAATCCATTATCAAAAGAACATTTTCAGGCTCTCTAGAATCAAGTCCTCTAGCGAAGGCACTTCAGATCTTCACAGCAGCCCGAACAAAGCAGTATCGCCCGATTTTGCATCTTCATCACACCTTTATACTAACAACCATTTCTCCAGGATTCAAGCCTGACTGTAATGCGACCGGAATCTTTTGTTTACAGTTACTGGCCACAGTCTAGCTGTAGAGATAGAACCTTATCTCACCTTTACCTGACTGGCTGAGTTTGAAACGCTGCATAGACTGAAGAGTCACAGGCACACGCGGACCAGTGGTCGGCAAAAGTCCGCCGCTGCCTGATCGAAGCCTAGCGGCGCAGAAAACGGCTACTACTGCTAGTACTCTAGTAGTTACCTCCAGCTTATCCTTGTCCCGCATTCTAAAGCCCTTAGCGCCAAGGCCTGCTGCGCGCCATGCTGCAAGTGGACTCGAATTCCTTTTTGAGGAAGATCTTTGGTGGTTAGTAGTGCCGTGACCACAATGGCCATGTTCATGTTCATGTCCATATCCATTAATAAAGATGAATCTTGCACTGATTGACCCTTTCCAACTAGCCCAGGATCATCCCGATACATTGATCAATGTACTTCGTACGACCACCTCTTCTGCAACACCGCCACCCTTGCTGACTCCAATACAGGAAGCGGTCATGCAATTGCTCTCCGATTCAGTCGCAAGGGCGACTATCTTGCCTCAGGCCGGGTGAGTTGAATCCATGTCATTGTTGGTCTACCTACGTCTAACGGTGTCGTAGGTGGATGGCAAGCTGGTCATTTGGGACATGCAAACCATGAGCGTTGCGCTGAAAATGCATGGCCATTTCAAGCAAGTACAATCAATCAGGTAAGCTTCTCCGGCCCTCTCAACACCTTTTTCTCTGACCATGCTTGAGCTGGTCACGATGCGGTCGGTACATCCTGAGTGCGGCTCAGGATTGGAGAGCCATTCTCTGGGATCTTGCAGACGCAAGCAGAGTTCGAATAGTCAAGTTCCAAGCCCCATGCTACATGGCCGAGCTTCATCCATACAACCAGTATGTCTGTGGCTTGTAGAGAAGGGTTCCAATCTGATCTAATCATTTCAGCAATCTTTTTATATGCGCTCTCTTCGAGGATACGCCGTTCCTCGTTGACATCACCAATGCCAAACCAGTTAAGCGTGTTCTTCCCTCCAATCCACTGATGGACAACTCTCTCTCATCAAAAGATGGGAAACATACCACATGCGCCGCAATCTTTTCGCTCCACGGCAACCATATCTTGACCGGCACTAATAAAGGCTATATCAACATTATCGAGACCGAAACCCGGACGATCATCCACAGCGCTAAGATCAGTGCAGGCTTGATTACTCTTCTTCGCCTCAGTTCTAATGGTCGATCCCTCCTGGTCAATAGCACTGATCGAATAATTCGAGTCATCCATCTACCTGATCTCACACAGATCAGGCCGTCAAACGCGGTACTGAATCATGATGAAGACACGGATCCAGGCACGGTAGCAGAAAACATCACGTTATCAGTTGAACACAAGTTTCAGGATCTTGTCAACCGCCTACGATGGAATCACACCACTTTCTCACACTCATCATCTAACTCATCTTCGGATTATGTAACAGCTTCCACGGTATACACCTGTAGCTTCGCCTTTTATCCATATGCACCTTGACTGACCTAGATGCCTAGTACATGAAAAAGGACATTTACATCTGGGAGCTAAGCACCAACTCCCTCCTCCGCATCCTTGAAAACAGCGAAGAACCCGCAATCATTGAGTGGCATCCCTCCCGTCCGTTGATTGCCACCACGGGGATCGAGACTGGTGGCATCCAATTCTGGGGTATCGAGCCCCAACAGAAATGGTCTGCGCTCGCACCCGACTTTGCCGAAGTGGAAGAGAACGTAGAATACACGGAGCGTGAGGATGAGTTTGATGAGTATCCCGAGGAGGAACGCACGAAGCGACGACTGGATCGTGAAGATGAGGAGGTCGACATCTTCACGATAGAGCCGACAAAGGCGGATGAGGAGGAGGCGTTCGTGCTGCCCGTCATTATTGGCGTTGATCAGGAATCCGATGATGATGATGAGTTGGTGCCGACCGGGGTTGGGACCATGAGAAAGAAGGAGGCTAATGAGGGACGGGAGTGGGAGGAGAGTGCTGAGCCTGCGGTAGTTGCCCGACGACGGGCGCGGTGAGCGTGACGAGCGGTCTTGCTCTGTCCAATGGCCAGTATACTTTGCTCCCTCGAGTGAATGGGGCCGGAGATTAGAGCCAGAGGACACGTGATGATCTTCAATGTGACAATATTCAGGTGCAGGCCAAGTCAGCAGCGCCGACGTGCTATACGCTGTCAAGGCCTAAGACGAATATGTCAGACCCAGTACATCGTCGATAAGGGCCATGTGTCCACTAAGGCTGCTGTCGTCTTCATCTAAATGATTGCTATCTAGGCGGCTTACCCATCATTGAACAAGATCTTGTCTCATCAATCAATGATCGGCTTATCTATTACAATGGATGGGAAAGGCATGCGCCCCAAGCAACTCATTTTTCAGCTCCCCTGAAAAAATTTGAGGTCAGAGCTTGGCAATGATGCCCTAAGTACTATAACCCCCAAAAGTGTCGAGATGGTGGGTATGGGGTATGGCACGTACGTAGTACATACTAACTAGTTAGTAAAGGTTGTTTGTGCAGCTCGTCTGTAAGCCTGGGCAACCTTGCTTTCACATCCTTCCTCCTCAATCAAAATGACAATTTCCTTACTCGTCTCGGTCGAACCAAAGAATATACAGGCAGAAAAGGTTGTTGGCCTGAGCCTCCAACAGGTCTCGTATCTAGGCGCATGCTTGATCACGGCAGCTCCAGAAACGATTGCGTTATCCACGGGTTTTTTGAAACAGAATTTCTCTCGACTAGCTATTTATGTGGACGTAAGAAGGCTCAAAACATGGACCGATGTCGTCGACATCCTCAATACCGGCGCTGCAAAAGTCTTTGTCACCTTTGAACAATTGAAGGTGCTTGTTCAAGAGCCAACCATTACCTCCGATCGACTCGTCCTCACGATCAGCCCCAACAACCCGAAAACAGACATTTCAAAGCTCAAGGCTTTCCTCGATAGTGACAGAAGATGGAGGACGACAGAGTGGGCTTTCGATGGAGACAAGGGCAAAGACTATGTCGATGATATACTCAAAGAGCTGGCAAACTACCCGCCGAGCTCAGACCAAACCATATACGTGACAGTCGCGAGCGAAGCCGCCGGGTTGGAGCTCCTGCACAAATATCCCGGGGACACGCTGATCGTCTCATCGGAACGATTGACGTTTGATCCTGCCAAAGACGAGCAACTGATCCCTGCAGCACAATTGCTCCTGTCTGGTGCCAACGCTGATCGGAAGACAGGACTGTATGCCACCACAGTTGTTGATGAGCGAGGTACTGCTCTTGGGTTGGTCTGGAGCAGCAAGGAAAGC